AATCCAAATAAACTCGAAAATTGTGTATACGAAATGAGAACGTGGCAATGTAGAAAATTTGATTCTCTAGGAATCAACTAAAAAACACTTATAGTTGAAAAAAAACGGTCCTCTATGAATCTTTTAGTTAACAAAAGGTGGTAGATACTACTAGAGAGCTAAAACATATATAGACATGAATAAAATAAACTGATGTGTATATATAACTGAAAAATGCAGGTGATGAAGAAGAAAGAAGGAGAAGAAGAAGAAACAAGAGATGGGACTGTTGATTACAATGGTCGTCCCTCTATTCGTTCCAACTCAGGCCAATGGGTTGCTGGCATCATCATTCTTCGTATGTCTCTCTTCTCTAATCAAAATTAAAATCAAACTATATATATCACAAGAAACTAAAACAGTTTTATAAAATGAAACAATATTTTCTTGAATTTTTCAACTTTTCATAGGAAATCAACTGTAAACCGGAGTTAAAATCAAAATTTTATTCAACCGATTCACGTTTCGAATCACTTTTAGTTGTATCAAACCGAAATAGTAGCAAAATTTTATCGACACCTTAAAAACATAGAACCTTTTTTTTTGTTCTTCACGTCCTTTTCTTAAAGATACCACATACACACTCATCATGGTCCTAACACAGGTTTGTTTATTAGGGTCCATATATACTATTATCGTGTCATCTTTCTCTTGGAGTCATGTTTGTATTATCTCTTACAACATGATTATCTATACAGAAACACATGCTTACATAACTATATAGTATAAGTTAACGTATATGATGTATATCTAAAAGTGTGTAGAGTTGATTGATATGCATACTTAATTTTGAGGTAATAAGTTATCAGAAACTAGGTAAGTGACAATAGGACTAACAAACAAAATATTAAAAATTAACTTCGATCGAGTTATACGTGAACGTGTCAAGACATATCCATGTGTTCGAACATAGGCTGCATGTTGTGGTATATAACCCCAACCACATGACAAATGCATATATTTCATCATTCGTTACTTATATTATACCTATGATGCTAAATAGTTATCAGCCACATGTTTACTTTTCAATCCTACTCCAAAAAAAGAATGCAACTTAAAAGATCTGAATGATTGAGTGTGTTTACGCACAACGGATTTAATTAGTTGTCATTTTAGAATTACTTAAACTGAAAACTTGTAGAGAGTTGCAAGTGATTCTATTTATGTCGATAGATATTTGGGTTTTGAAAAGATGTTTTTGATTTTTCTAAAATTTAACCCAAAAAAGGAACAAAAAAAGTTATTTTGAGGTAGACGACACTAATAACAATATATTAATATAAGTGCAAGGAAAGCATGTGTTAGTGGAATTACGTTGCCTTACACGTAATTGCCCATCTCGTCTTTTCATGACGTTGGCTTATGCCACGTACACTTATTCACATTTTTCTCCTATTAGTATCAACTTTTTAGCTTATAAAATATGCTAACATTAAATTATATGTTAGAAAATGTATTAAGAATCTAAGATTTTAGTTGGTTTTCTAAACAAGTTAGTAGAGTCCAGCTAACAGCAGTTTCTATATATATAAAAAAAAAGTTAGAAGCTTTGTTTAGTTACCGATTTGTATTTCGCATGTGGAATTTATTTGGCTAAATCCTCATTATTTGTACAATTTGATAAACCAATTTAAAACATAAAATTCGTTAGAAGGTGGAACAATTATTGAAGTAGTCATTAAATACTATCCAACCAAAGAAATGTTAACATCACCTTGACGAACACGGAACATACTTTCAATTATTCACAATCATTCATTCCATTCATTCATCAGTTCCGGTTTCTTTCAAATCAAAATAATGTGAGCTAGTTAACTCACTAAACCAGTTTCTAATCGAATTTTGTTTATTGAACCGGTTTAACAGTGAACCAGGGATTGGCGACTCTGGCCTTCTTTGGAGTTGGAGTGAATTTGGTTCTGTTCCTAACGCGCGTTTTGCAGCAGAACAACGCAGACGCAGCTAACAACGTTAGCAAATGGACAGGAACCGTTTATATATTCTCGCTGGTCGGAGCGTTTCTCAGCGACTCTTACTGGGGTCGTTACAAGACTTGCGCTATCTTCCAAGTCATCTTTGTCATCGTAAGTAATAACAAACCATCGTCCTCAAGAATCGCGTTTTGGTGTGAAGTTTGAAACGTTAAGCTGATAGAGAACATTTTTTGTAAATGTAGGGACTTTCATCGCTATCGCTATCATCGTACATGTTCTTGATAAGACCAAGAGGTTGCGGTGACGAAGTAACGCCATGCGGTACACATTCCACGATGGAGATCACATTGTTCTACCTCTCCATCTACTTGATCGCGTTAGGGAACGGCGGTTACCAACCAAACATAGCAACGTTTGGAGCAGACCAGTTCGACGAGGAGCATCCCAAAGAAGCCTACTCAAAGATCGCGTTCTTCAGCTACTTCTACCTCGCTTTAAACATGGGGTCGCTCTTCTCGAACACCATCTTGGGATATTTCGAGGATGAAGGAATGTGGGCTCTTGGCTTCTGGGCGTCCACTGGCTCAGCCATCTTGGCTTTGATTCTCTTCCTAGTTGGAACACCGAGATACAGATATTTCAAGCCAACGGGGAACCCTCTGGCTAGGTTTTGCCAAGTTTTAGTAGCTGCAACGAAGAAATCAGCGGTTGAGGCGCCGTCTAAAGGGAGAGAGGAGATGTATGACGAAGACAGACAAGGCAAAAATGCTCCAGGAAACACAGGGAGGAGAATTGTCCATACCGATGAATTCAAGTAAGTTAGCCACCACAGCATTTTGTATGCTTCCGTCCCAAGTCTCACTTGAGACCTAAAAATGTTTCTCTTTGACTATGTAGATTCTTGGACAAGGCAGCTTACATCACAGCAAGAGATCTTGATGACAAGAAACAAGGAGGAGTGAATCCATGGAGGCTATGTCCGGTGACACAAGTTGAGGAAGTCAAGTGTATTCTTAGACTGATGCCGATTTGGTTATGCACTATCATCTACTCTGTAGTCTTCACCCAAATGGCTTCTCTGTTTGTGGAGCAAGGCGCAGCGATGAAGACAACTGTCTCTGATTTCAAAATCCCGCCCGCAAGCATGTCTAGCTTTGATATCCTTAGCGTGGCCTTGTTCATATTCATATACCGCAGAGTTCTTGAGCCACTAGCCACCAGGTTCAAGAAGAAGGATGGAACGAAAGGAATCACCGAGCTTCACAGGATGGGAATCGGACTTGTCATTGCTATCTTAGCTATGATCGCAGCGGGTGTTGTCGAATGCTTTAGACTTAAATACGCAGACAAAAGTTGCACTCATTGTGATGGCTCAAGCTCATTAAGCATCTTCTGGCAGGTAAATAATTAAAAGACTCAAACTCATAAAATCAAATTACAATAACAGAGGAATGATAATAACATTATTTTCTCTTCTTTACAGGTTCCACAATATTCTCTTATTGGAGCATCAGAAGTGTTCATGTACGTTGGTCAGCTTGAGTTCTTCAACGCGCAGACACCAGATGGGCTAAAGAGCTTTGGGAGTGCTCTGTGTATGATGTCAATGTCGATGGGGAACTTTGTGAGTAGCTTGTTGGTGACAATGGTGGTGAAGATCTCTACGGAGGATAACATGCCTGGTTGGATTCCGAGGAATCTCAACAAAGGTCACTTGGACAGATTCTATTTCCTACTTGCTGCGTTGACCAGCGTTGACCTTGTGGTGTACGTTGTATGTGCGAGGTGGTACAAATGTATTAAACTTGAAGGGAAAGATGATCAGATGCAGATCATGACGAGTGATGATGATGAAAATGATACGGACAGTGATGACTACGAGGAGCCAATGAAGGATTCTAAAGTCTAACAAACAATGTTGTGTTTTTGATTTTCTGTTTTTTGGTTTTTCGGTTTTCCGGTGATGTAACAAGCAAACTGATTTTATATAATAAAAAAAGGCTAAAACCGGGTTAGTCTTTTTCGTCGAAAAGACTGTTTCGTTTTAATGGTCATGTAATGTATTCTGTGAGTTTACTCTTACCATTAATATAAGTTATGATAACATGAATGAGACAGAATCCTCCATGCACATCAGTTATTTATCGTCTTAGTAGATAAAGAAGAAGAAACAAGAGATGGGACTGTGGGTTAATAGAGGGACGACCATAGTAATCCACAGTCTCATTTCTTGTTTCTTCTTTTTCTTCACCTTTCTTCTTCATATCACCTGCATTTTCATTTATATATGCATACTAGTCTTTGTATTTATCTTGATATGGAGAAGATTCATCATCATAAGTTCGATAGTTTTTTTATTTCCACTAAAAAGGTGATTTACTTGATTATTATAGAATCTAATTTTCTGCATTGCTACGTTCTCATTTTGTATACACATTCTTCAAGATTATTTTGGACTTATTATTGATTTTGAACTCCAGCAGAACAAAGAAAACAAAAGAGAAGTGTTACAGAAAGAAGATTAGCTACAATACAGCCAAAATTGTAGAGCTACAATACCGCATTGATTCAAACTCGGAATAATATCAAATCAAAAGAAACAATTGAAGAGAGAATTACATACGTCTTTGTTAAAAATATCTAGGCAAGACGCTTTTGATGATATTGGATTATATGATGTGAGTTAGATAGAGTTGTTTTGATCACGATCAGATAGATTTGGGATCTAATTGCACTCAAATAGATTCATCTCTTATGCTCTGTTCTACCTTAATAGCAATAGTTTATTACAGTGTGCTATCATTCTGTAGAGAGAGACATTCATGTGAGGCACATAATGATAAACCCATCAGTATACGCTAGAACAAGGAAAAGAAAAAGCTTCAATAACTTTAAAAAAATAATATAAAGGTTTTTTGATTCACTGTGGTGACTCAAACATATATGGATCATTAAACCGTATGAGAGAAAGAAAGCTGAGTAAAACTCAAGAGATGTTGAAAAGTTCAAGAAGTAAAAAAAAAAACATCAACCTATCTTTATCTTACGGACTTGTATGAGATGTGTTGACTCTTCACGCCAAATTGGTTGTGCACCGCTTTGAACAAGCGTTACATGTTGTCCTTCCTTGAGCATATTCTCATCCTAAACAATATAGTAACAGTTTAGTGTTAGACAAATTTTCTTCTGCAATTGGAGAAGACCATGTAAGGTTGATAGATGAGACAATGTACCTGTAAGAGTTTCAGAGACCGAGTGTATGTATCTTCAGCATCATCAGAGAACTCCATGTATATAGGCATGACACCTTGATAAAGAGCCAGCCTTTGCATTATCCTTCTCCTAAAGGTAAAGAAACCAAAACATATATATCAAAAGTTCAAAACCCAATTCGTCGATTGACATTTTCCTGAATGACAGATAAAACAAAGACTCACTGGTTTGTGAAGGCGAAAATTGTTGAGGACGGGCGGTAATGGCTTAGAAGCACTGCCATGGAGCCAGTTCTTGTGAACACAATCAACGGTGTGCTCAGTGTATTCGCCATTATCGAAGCATGAAAAGCAAACATTTGTCCCATGTGACCCTGCAAGCAAGAATGTTGTATGACTAAACGAACCAAATTTAATCTTTCTGGTGTGAGGAATGTATGTGTGTGTACCTTGTAAGCAGTGGTGCGGAGTGCTGAGGTTCTAACAGGTAGACTCGCCTCAGTTCTCAACGCCACGGTATGCATCACGTTAACAGCTTTCAACGGAAACCTGACAACAGAGGATTTGAAAAATATAAGAACATTTTCAAAACCAGATCTATTGATGGGAAATGGTAAGGGGTTTTCAAGTTTGAGTTACGGACTTTCCGTGTGCGGTTTCACCAGAAAGCATGATTGCATCAGCACCTTCACGTACTGCGATTGCAATGTCAGAGACTTCAGCTCTTGTAGGTGTTGGATGGTTAATCATACTCTCTAGCATGTTTGTGGCGACAATCACTGGTTTATGAATGCTTCTACACCTTCTGATTATCTCTTCCTGAAAGGCATAATAACAAAAACATAAATACAAACAGAGTTTTGTATTCGCTGGTTTAAGGTATTCGCAAACCAAGTTTTGAATTTACCTGTAACAATGGGACTTCTTCAATGGGAAGCTCGGCTCCAAGATCTCCACGAGCAACCATCGCCTGACAAAGCATTGATACTCATATAAGCTAAAGGATTAAGCATCAACATGTTATTTCTGATCATAGAAAAAGACTTTGAAACCTACCCCATCACAAGCAGCTATGATAGAAGGAAGATTCTTTATAGAGTCTGCACTTTCGATTTTCACAATCACCGATATATCAGCATTGCAGGCTGTCAAAAACATTTGGAAGTTTCATTAGTTTCACAGAAAACTTCATCAGTGCAAACAGGAGACTGAAGAGCAGAGGACAAGACTCACAATTGAGATAGTTCTTCAACTCATGAACAACTTTAGCATCCTTAACAAAAGAAACTGCATAGAAATCAACTTGGTTGTCCACTCCAAACTTAATATCTTCCCAATCTTTATCTGCACCAAGTTCAAAACAAAAGCAAGATCATTCAAAACCACTGAAATTAAAACTATAAAACACATCCTTGATGCAAGATATTGGTGATAGTAATACCAACCTGTTATGGAAGGAAGAGTCGCACTCTTTCCTCGAACATTCAAGTGACGTCTAGATTGAAGCTCTCCACCGTCAATAACAACACATTTCACCAAATCGCTCGTCTTTGATTTCACAGCAAGCGACATCATCCCACCTTAAAGACACAATAACAAGCCAAATCTTGTTACAAGTGAGCCACAACAATAAGAACAAAGATACCAATACTCTTAGATGTAAAGCTCTTTACCATCCACCAAAAGTATGTCCCCAACTTCAACATCGTTTACAAAATCATCATAATTTACACTGACTGTGTCTTTAAGCGAGACACCTCTCTTGATGGTGAAATTAAACTCTTGTCCCTCTTCAAGAAATATCGGCTGAGGTACATCACCGCTTCGAACCTCAGGACCCTTCACAAAACATACCATACAGATTAAATCAAAATTTCCAAGAATTTTTCGTTTACAAAGAGAGACGAAAAGATTAATACCTTTGTATCCAACATGATAGCAATGGCTTTGTCTACAAACTGAGAGTTGTATTCTTTCACAAGATCAATAGTTATCTGGTGAGAAGCGTGATCTCCATGAGACATATTCAAACGAGCCACGTTCATTCCTGCTTCCGCGAGCTTCCAGATCATTTCCCGAGAGCTGGAGGAAGGTCCAATCGTACACACAATCTTCGTCTTCCTCGTTGAATCATTGTTACTTGTTCTTGTTCTTGGTTCCGCAAATTTATACGAATCAGCTGGAGAATCCATCACTCCCTACAATGACACCCAAAAAAAACAAAAACTTACAATTACAATAGAAGAAATTCGAAAAACCACAAAATCAAAAGCAATTCATCGCTATCAATAGAGAATCAAACATTTCATTCGAAAGCATTTGGGGGAATCAAACAGAACGTGAGAAACAAGAAAACATAAAGGAGAGCTAAATGACCAATTTAGGGGGGAAAAATGGAATTAACTAACCAAATCGAAAGCGCCATTTTCTGCATAAACCTTAACTCTCCGGCTATCATCAGTGATACTATTCGATCTGACGGAGAGAGACCATTGACGGTTAGCCAAACCAGATTTACCGCCGGCGCCGATTAGCGTACGCCGGAATGATGGCGGCACAGCAGCTCCAATGTTCCTGGAGGAGGAGGAGGAGAGAGTACGATCCACCATCATTCCCGTCGAGATTTGACCTACGGCCGCCATGTCAAAACACCTGACGAACAGAGGTATACAGAGGAGAGAGAGAGAGAGAGAGAGTTTTTGGGTTAACGTTTAGTGGCGATATATATGAGAGAGCCAGAGAGGGCGGAGAAAGAGAGAGAGAGAGAGAGAGAGAGAGAGGGTTTCGTCTTTCGTTTGTATTGTTTGGTGGACAGTTACAACTTACACTGAACCCTCTGACTCACAGAGAAGCAACAGAGTTTTCTGATATATCATTTGTCCACGGCATCTTTTGTTTGTGACCATTCGCATATACCAAACTCTGATTTGTCATCTAATACTGTATGTGATGTACGGAAAATTGTTCTATGTACACAAAAATTCGATAATTTTGAGTATCACACTAGTCTGTCTTTTAATATTCACACGTAAATAAATTCATAATCCACTTTTCACCTAATTGTGACAATTAAAACGTTTCTCGGTTGACAATTTTTTAACTTTATTTCCGTTCGTCGGCAGTTTTAATGGTAGAGGAGAGTCAACTGTTTATCTTCTTCCTCCTCAACCATACAATCACCATTACTACTACTACCACAAAACATTGGCAACACCATCTGAGCTTTCTCACAAGCAGACTTATCACCAGAGAGAAACACATTAGCTCTTCCATTAACCACAATCCAACTGCACCCCGGTGTCTTCTTCACACCTTTAAACCCCATCTCTCTCCTCATCTCCTTCTCCATCTCATGCCTACCAAAACCCGCATACACATTACACAGCGCCACGTGTCCCGGTGCATTAACCGGATCCAGCTCTAGCAACCGCATCGCAGCCCGTTCCGCTACACCTTCTGCATCTTCATCTCTCCAATTAAGCCCGCATAACCCTAGCAATGCACCGTAGACCGTATGGTCTGGAGTAAAAGGCAGAGTTGAGATGAATTCCTCTGCTTCTTTTAGCTTACCGGCTCTGCCTAAAAGGTCGATCATCGAGATGTAATGCTCGATCCCGGGCTGGATTGAATGTGTTTCCTTCATTGCTCTGAACAGCTCTAAGCCTCTGGTGATGAGTCCTGAGTGGCTACAAGCTGAGAGAACCGCGAGAAACGTTACAGAGTTCGGTTTCACCTCTGAATCAAGCATCTCTTTGAACAGTTTTAAAGCTTTATCCGCTAAGCCGTGGTGAGACAACCCCATGATCACCGAGTTCCATGAAACTGTATCTCTCCGGACCATGTTCGAGAATATCTCATACGCATCGTCTATGGCTCCACATTTTGCGTACATTGAGACGAGTGAGTTTTGAAGGATGAGATCAGGATCATAGCAAGATGTTGTCTTTGCGATCACGCAATGTAAATGCTTCCCTTGGTCGAGATTCGAAGTGGCACCAGCGGAGCTTAGAAGAACAGAGTAAGTCGAGTCCAATGGCTTCAGACCATGTCTCACCATATCTGACAATAGAGACGCAGCTTCTGCAACAAGCTCGTTTTGGACTAGACCTGAGATCATAACCGTCCATGTAACCCCATCCTTATCGTCAAGTTTCTGAAACATATCAAACGCTCTCGTTACATCTCCCGCGTCTAGATACCCTTTAATCATCGATGTCCAAGACACTCTATCCTGAAAGCTCTCGACTTTCTTGAACAGAGTGTTAGCTCTTTCCAAATCCCCAATTCTCAAGTAACCTTTGATCATAATATTGCAAGACTGCAAATCAAAGCTCTCGTCGAACAGAGACTGCGCTGAAGCAATCAAACCAGACGACGCATACATATGAACAAGACTTCTCGCCAACCTTCCATCGTGATCCACACTTTCCCAACCATTAAACATAACCTGTGCGTGCACTTGCTGGCCAAGACGGTGAAATCCAACACCAAGACCACCACAAGCATAAGCAAGAGAGATAAGAGTCTCACCATTCTGCGATACGGCATCAACATCCTTCTTCATTTCAAGAAAAAGCAACAACGCTTCTCTGTAAAACTCATTCCAAGCAAATCCACTAATCATAGCGGTCCAAGAAACTACATTTCTCTCAGGCATTTCACAGAACAATCTATAAGCTTCATCAACATCTCCGTATCGACAATAACCAGAGACCATACTCGTCCAAGTCACTACATTTCTCTCACTCATACTCTCAAACAAGACCTTCGCTTCCTCCAATCCATCGTTCTCGATAAACCCTTTAATCATAGCGTTCCACGACACAACATCTCGGCTAGGCATAGCATCAAACACCTGCTTCGCCTTCTCCATATCCCCACTCTTAATCAAACCCGTGACCAACGTGTTCCACGAAACCACGTTTCTCTCAGGCATTTCGTCGAACAACTCGACCGCATCATCACTCCTTCCTTCATCGCAAAGCGCAGTGAGCATCACAGTCCACGAAACCACGTTCTTCGGCATTTCCCGGAACAATGTCCACGCCTCGTTCACTCTCCTGCATTTCACATAACCCGTCAACATCGCGTTGCAAGTGACGATGTTCCTCTCCGGCATAACTTCGAACAGAGCTCTTGCTTCGTCCAAGTATCCAGCTTTCGCGTATTTTGTGAGAAGCGAAGTCCAGTAGATGACGCGGCTGATACTTCCTCTCTGAGGAATTCTGTCGAGCAAGTGGCGTGCGTGAACGAGACCTCCTTCGGACAAACGCCGGAGGATAAGAGCTTCTTCATTAGAGAAACCTCGACGGCGGTTTCCGTGATTCGATATCGCATTTCCAGAGAGTCGACGACAAGGTATAGAAGAATTGAGAGATAGTTTCGAGAGGAAGCAACAGATTTTGTTTACACAGAGAGCTCGCATTCAATAAAATTTTCTTTTTCAGTTTTAGCGAATGCTTAAATACCTAATTTTGGTCAAGCTTTTTGTATGTTCCATTGACACAATGAAAACCGGACCGACCCGGTATTTGGACCGGGTTTAACCACGAAGGACATTAAAAAAAAAGAAGCATTGATAGATGTTTTTCTAAACCCAGTAGAAAAATTTGCACGATACGCAGATTTCAGGTAAAAAGCTTTAGCAAATTACGAATTCAAGATAAGATGAAATTCTGGATAATAAAGATGGAGCTACGCTCAAATATTGTTTGATATGAGTCAACAAAAACATGAAAAATTGGCAGTATCATGATACTTTAATTTATTGTCTAGAGCAGATAATTCAAAATAAAAGTACATGAAACATATGTTTATTACGATGAAAGACTGCATAGATGATGAACAACTTTTTCCGCAACGCATACACTCACGATGGACGGTCACTTATGGTGTTCACCAGTTGCGTCAGTTGCATCATCATCATCATCCTGTATCAATAGAAAAGAAAAATCTGGTATTAGTTTTACATTTTCACGTGTGTTTATATATGAATCTTTCATATTTACCAAGAAAATATATATAATAAGTGGACAGATCTATACGTGCATGAATGGTCATGCAAGTGTTCATGGTTAAATAAGAGATTTTGAAATGTTGACAAAAGGGAGATTTGAATTTGTTACGCACCACAAGGTTTGTCGAAGCTGGTTGAGCTTGAATGGACGGGTTTTCCTGTACGTACAAGTAGCTTAAAATTACACATGCAAGCTCATAAAATAAAATAAATCCATATTAACATACGAATCAAAACGTTCGTGATAGTCATGCAAAAAAAAAACACAAAATAGCTATACGAAAAAAGCAAAAGAAAAATACCGTATCATCATTTTCAGAGCTTGTGTTTGTGCCCTGATCTTCACATCGACCACCACCACGACCACAGATATCACAACGACCACGGCTAGGACTACCTTCTGGAATATAAGCGAATGAAATAGGAACTGCATCTATAACAGGTCCATTGTCCAATACGTTGGAAGTTACCTCTTCACTATCTTGAACAGCTGCATTTCGTCCGGGGAACATTCTCTACATATATAAACATCAATTTAATTTGTAAATAATTTGAATTAGGGTTATTACTAAAAAAGTAAAAGTTTTTTAAAATTTGAAAGATTAAACTGATATTAATCAAATCTTATATATAATTAGGGAGTTGCTCTCTCCTCTTAGAGTGTCCACATCAGCAAAAAAAAATTAATTAAATCAAAATTAATGATTCAATTAATACATACACTTTCATAATATCATTGAATGATTTATTATTCAACCAAAAATATAAAAATGTATTAAAAAAGAAATGATTAATAAAAATATAAAAGACAAAAATAAATAAAAATTGGTTGAACTTAATATTTAAAAGATTAAAAGTTAATTTTTAACAGTAGATGCAAGAGATTTGTTTTTAAAAGAAAAAAATGTACTGAAAATTTAAAATGTCTAAAATTCATAATAATATATATTATGTAAAAAGATAGTGTATGTAATAAAATTTCATGGAAAATGTTTAACTGTTGAAAGCTAACAGTTAAATTTAAGTAATAAAAATAAGTTATATATAAAACTAAATTATTGATTTTGATGTTAAAAAAAACTAAAGTATTGACTATTTCTAACATTTAAAAAAAACACTCACAATTTTTTTGTTTGTTTAAATATTTAATAAATAAAAGAAAAACATTAAGAGCACAGTTTGTAAAGTATATAAATGATGATGAATAACCCGCGCTTGCGCGGGGTACAGTTCCTAGTGTATGAAATTGAAAAGTGCAATGCTTAATTACTTACTGGGCGTAATGCTTCTGGAATATGACGGATAGCAGGAAGAGCAAGAACCTATTCGCTCAAAAAAAGAACAAAAATTATTAGCATGATGTACCTTTAGAACGACAATTAAAATAAAACATAGTGAGTAATAGATTGTATTTCAACGCTCAAAAACAAATAAAACTTTTCCATTCGAATTTTTGGTGTAAACAGAAAAAAAAATATCTCATTCAAATTTTCTGTGATTATTTGAAAAACAAACATACCACATGTAGTGGTGATCCGGATTCATAAGAAGAATTTGAGTAATCGGACATGTCAGATTGAGAAGGAGAATTCGAGAGATCAGACATGTCAGATCCAGAAAAAGAATTTGAGCGATCGGACATGTTAGATCGAGAAGGAGAATTTGAGAGATCGCTTAGATTAAATTTGCGAAATCAAAGTCTTCAGATTCACCAACCTCACTTCATAACCCTTAAGTAGTAACTGGAAACACTAAAAATCTAATTGAAGTAATGAATCTCATTCACAACCAAGTGTCCAAGTCCACAACTTGTTTGCATTAGGAAAAATAAATTTCCATACTTGTTTTTTCTTTACTTGTTGACCCAAAAAAGTTAACATAATCTACTTTGGAAGGAGAATATTTGACTATGGTTTTTTTTTATTTTTTTTTTTATTTTTATTATTATTTTTTTTTTGCTTCAGTTTCTATAAATATGTGGGTGTCTTTTGGATCTAGTCACATACATTACTTTCGGTAGACTAATTCCCGCGCATACGCGCAGGTTTTCTTATTGTTATATTTTAAGAAGAATGCTACAAAACAGTTATATATTTGTGATTAATATTTTAACCCAAGTAACATATGCATTTTAATCCTTATTTGCTCGATTAGTGACTGACTTTCAAATATATAGTTTTACTTAATACCGCATGTCTCTATTGCCTTCACTCTCTTTATTTATTGAGCGCTACATGGAACAAACTCTGTTTCACCGCCATTGCTTTTCGCTAAAATTATGTTAATGTTTAATAGTGATTCAAGATGGAAGTCGAAATATAATAGTCTTGGAGTAACAAAATAGTTTTCTTTATTTTGTAAGTTACAGTTGACACAAAAGAAAATTACAAGTTGCATTGAAGTTCCATTAAAACTTTTGAAATATTTTTAAAGTGAAAATTATATGAAGATCTAATTTTGTAAGTTACAATAAATACCAAAGTATACCAAAAGTTGCATTAATGCTCCATTAAATTTTTTTGAATTTTTGTTTTTTAAAGTGAAAATTATACCATATATCATCTTCTCGTGTCCACATATCCATAATATGAAGAGAGTTGATCACAATTCATATATATGCTTTTAGTTTTTTCAGTGAATATCGCAGACAAATATACATCAAGACATTTGGATGCTCCCATAACAAGTCAAGTCATTTACAAAATCTTCAGTTTTCGATTGTACTCAAGTGTTCAATGTTGATATATTTTCTGATTGATTCATCAGAATACACTTCACATGTTTTTACGCTAGTGTCATTCACTAAGAAAAAAATGAAACTTTTTCCCAAATAATAAATCTGTTCTATACACCAAAGCCAAAGCCAAACCAAACCATATAAAATTTCATATTACAACCATTCCATTCATACATACACCGGAACCTATAAACCCTAAACTTGTGAAAATCCAATCTTGTGACTAATCAGCTGAGACATTCCGTCCCAACGAAGAGGTTCTTCTTTTCGAAGCATCAATGGAAGTAGTACAAAGGCTGAGACTTTGAACTTGAAACTATTGAAAATGGAATTTTGTGTGTGACTATCTTAGATGTAGCTGTAATAGTTGTCACTGCCATCTCCTATGCAAATGTAACTTAGAATAGCGACGATGAAGACAACATAGGAGGAGAGATCAAAGGCTAACGCTCCCCAACCGATGAGTCCAGCGTGTTTTAGAATCGAAGGTATTGCGATGCTTCCAACAGCTGATGCACCAGTCAAGAACTTGGCTGCATTGATCCAGCTGAGCAAAAAACACAACAACAAAATTATGTTCAGAAGAGTCTTGCATTATTGTATAAAACACATACTAAACGCAAACGCAAACAAAAAGTCTGAGGCATATATATATATATATATATATATATATATATATATATATATAATGTGTACCTATTGTCTGATTCACTGAATAGAGATGTACTATCCGATCCAGCGAAGAAGAGCAAAGGCATCGGGATAAGCACATACATTATCACTGCAAAGAAACAGAGATTATTCAAACTAATCGCAGGCAAGAGGTTAAAAGCCATCACCATTGATATACAACTCACCACTTAGCATTGGCCACCAGTTATCAAACAGAGCACAAGCCTGTAACAAAATTAGAGAAAGGGTTTAAACAAAACTATGATGAATCTAAGGATAAACAGATAGTGAAACTTGCAAGAACTTGTCAGATACCAGAATCTGCAACACGATTCCTCCTGAAACTAGAATAGCTAAGAAAGCTATCTTCCCCATATCCAAACAAGCGCGTATGTGTCTAGGTACGTCTGCCATTAACGAATCTCTTCTCTATAGCTTAGTCTTTCCACAAGAAAGCTGAATACTAACAGAAAAAATCAAAGGGATAAATAATCAGAGAGAGAGAGAGAGAGACAAAGTTATGAGTTTCTAATCAATGAGAAAATCTTCAATCAAAAAGAAAGTATTATCAAAGACATGAATTTTTTTATTTCAGTGGTAAGAGATCAAGCTTATTCGGAATATACTTGTTCATTCGCTAACTAACTGTGACGAAAACATACTAATTCCCAGAAAATTTTCTACAGAAGATGACCTAATACTTGCCAAGCTCAGCTATTACCAAGAAACTCGACCAAAATTACCGAATCGAACTCCAATCGCCAGAATCAAATTCAATTGAGGCATCAAACGGATCCCGAGTTCATAAAAAAGCGAAAGTCAAACAACAATAGCGTCAATTTGAAGAATTTAGAAGAGGTAGACGAGAATCATACCGACCAAGGTTAGATTTTCAGGCCGATCAAAACCCTTCGCGACCAAATCTTCTTTTTGATGAGTCTCTTCAAATATCAAAAAATTTCAGACATTGTTTGCCTAATATCTTCTTCTTTCTGTTTTTGTAATATCGGAATCCTCAGTAATCCAGCTCATCGTAGCCACGGTAAACCGGGGGAAATTGACGGCCACGTGTCAACTTGTGATTATATTCAATCAACACCGGTTATATGGTGTCAAATTGACCGGAGCGGTTTATAGATAACTTACTGCGGTATGGTCTGTCTGGTCTGGAGGGGAATAAAATTCACTCAAGATGAGCTAAAACTGGACTTGTTTAAATCCTTTGAATAAACCCGGTTTAATAAAACAACAAATTCAACGAATATCAAATTTCAGAGCCATTCCTCAAACTTTTCGACAAGTGATTTACACTCTAATCACTCTGAACCGATAAAGCATCTAACGAATTTACAAACATCTTCTCTTCAACCATGATGCTGTACTCAAATTCAGAAACCAGACATCATATCTGCCTATTGCAATCTGTGTTCATTACATTTAAGTATTTAACCATTTAATTAATCATCAAAAAGAATGAGAAAACACAAACCAAGTTAAAGACAAAAAGATACAGTAGCTAGACATGTCTTAAGCCCAGGCTTGTGCATATGCATTGCCCTTTGTGTACTTTAGTCACGCTGTAATTATAGGTCAGCTCCAAAACTATCGACCAGTGTTCTTCAACATATCCTATCGTGCGTACAGTGTACTGTTTCATCCAACAACAAACAAAAATACTCGGAAAGTCCTAAAGTAACTCAAAAAGGCTAACATCGCATTACGATTACTTAAAATTCAGGTCCTTCACAAGTGTCTCATCCCGATGAATATCAAACTTGAGGACAACCTTTTTTTGTAGCCAGCTGTCAATTCAAAATATTTGTATTAGATAAAGTAAATCTTCTGATACATCTTAAACATTACTAGTAAGAATTTTATTTACCTTAAAAGTTAAAAGTATTGATTGATATTAACAATCCAAATTTAGTTTTTTTGAGTAAATGACACACATGAAACAACAATCAGAAATTAAAATTTTCTGTGCCTTTAAACATTCCACTCCACACAAAACTAATATTTTATTGCCGACAGAAAAGTAGAAAATTTTGAATTTTAATATGCAACGACACGTAAGTAGCTGGGCTCCTGAAATGAAAAGGCCATATAAAACTTGGATAGGCCATTTCAAATTTAAAATGACAGCTGGCATTAGTAAAAGCTACCAACAGCGAAAAAATCCAGACAAAAAGGTATCCAAAAAAACTCCCCATTTCCCTTCGATTTGTGTCCTCTTCCTCTCGTCGACACAAAGAATAAAAAAGTTAAACCATCATCAGAGAGACCTTGCGCTAAGATCGAAGAAACATTCTCTGTAAGTTTCCACCATCTTCTTCTTCTCCTCTCAACCTCTTGCTTCGATCGCGTAATTTTGATTCTCCGATTCGTTTCCATCTCCCGATCTGAGCTAATTCGTTCGAAGAATTTTGTTGTGGAATCGTTTTTCTCGGTGCAGCTTGTCTTCGATTACGAGTTTTCGATGTCAGTATTTTTCTAATTCTTTGCCGATTACGGAAGATTGATCGGGTTTCTCTCAATTCTCAGCTGTATAATCGATTGGATTTGGGCACGACATCAAATTTCGTTGAATTTTGAGTTTTTGATGAAATTTGGGAGATGTTTTAGCAATGATCTTCTTTGTTAGTGGACTGAAAATTCATTTGTCATTACGAACTCGTTGAATTGAGCTTTTGATCTTCTTTTTAACGACTGTGATTTCTTATTTTTAGGGATAATTCATTGGACTGATGAATTAAGGGGAACAATCAGAGTAAACCATTATAGCAGTTGAGAGTTCGTGAATCAGAAACAAAAAATGGCTTGTAGAGGTTGTTTGGAGTGTTTGCTCAAGTTACTCAACTTTCTACTGGCGATTGCTGGGCTTGGTATGATTGGTTATGGTGTCTACTTATTTGTGGAGTACAAGAGAGCAACCGACAACTCTCTTTCATTCACTCCGATTAATGGAGACGATCAAAGTTACGTCTCGTTTGGGAGGCCCATGCTTATGGCTGTGGCACTCTCTTCCAATGTGTTTGATAATCTCCCTAAAGCTTGGTATGTATGTTTCAAAGGTTTGCTTCACTTCGTTGGTTCTTTATGTGCTCTTTGATCTGACGATCTCTGGTTTTGATTCGTTACGTGAATGCAGGTTCATATACTTGTTCATTGGTATCGGCGTGGCTCTCTTTGTTATATCATGCTGTGGCTGTGTTGGTACTTGCTCGAGAAGCGTCTGCTGCTTATCTTGTGTATCCTTATTTCTTAACTTTGCTTTTCTTATTTATCATTGCTTGACGTGATTTGATCATTTTAGGAAACGAAAAGTCTTTACCTTTTTGTTTCCTTAACTGAAGAATAGTACTCTCTTCTTCTGATCTTGTTGATCTTGGTGGAGCTTGGATTTGCAGCATTTATTTTCTTCGACAACAGCTGGAGAGATGTGAGTTATCATTTTGATTGTGTTTTTTTCCTCTTGCCATCTGAAGACAGGGACTGTACACGTACGTTGCTAACCATTTTGTGTGATTGTTCTCTAGCAACTTCCTTCTGACAGGACTGGAAACTTCGATACGATATATAATTTCCTGAGAGAGAACTGGGAGATTGTAAGATGGGTAGCTCTAGGAGCTGTTGTTTTCGAGGTAAGAGCACTCAAACTTTTGATCATTTCTTCTCTTCTCATTTGTAAGGCTATATACATACACCATGAGTTAAACTTGTCTGCAAACTTGTTTACTACTCAAAAGAAGGAAGCAGAGTATGATGATATAAGGAACATGTCACATAGTTTTAATGCTTCTCTTGTTTACTCGCATTGCAGGCTTTGCTTTTCTTGCTCGCCCTTATAGTTAGGGCAGCTAATTCGCCACCAGAGTATGACAGTGACGATGACTATATTGCTCCAAGGAGACAAATCAGGCAGCCATTCATCAACCAGCAACCCGCCCCTGTCACCGGTGTCCCAGTCGCTCCTACTTTGGACAACCGCCCGAGCCGCAGTGACCCTTGGAGCGCACGCATGCGGGAAAAGGTAATCAAACTTGTTTTAAAGATGCGGATATAAGAAGTAAAAAAATTATTATCAAGATCCTGATGGTTTTTCTTTGAAAACAAAAACAGTATGGGCTTGACACATCTGAGTTCACGTACAATCCGTCAGAGTCACACCGGTTCCAGCAAATGCCGACGCAACCAAATGAAGAAAAGGGCCGATGCACCATCATGTGAGTCTCCATGTTAAAAAAAAAAAAAAAAGTTGAGTCGGTTTCTCTGTTCCTGTTTCTCTTTGTTGTGTGTGTAACAATCAAAGAATGGTGTCAGTAAATTTAGGGGTTCTTTTGTTTCTGGGTTGATGATTAGTGATGACTGACTCTTAGCATTGGAGATCTCTAATCAGTAATCAACCTAGTCACGTTTTCTAAAACTCTTTTTGTTGTGTCTGTGTAGTCTCTTGTAAGGATTCACTATCATGATTATTCATCTTTGTTGTCTGATTCGGTCCTAAAATTCTTATTATATATGAAATTCATCTGCTTCATCTAGATTTTGAGACCTGAATTGTTCCACGTCCTTTCTTATTCTTAAACCCAATACAAAAATTTATTGTCCTATAAAATAAAGCCAAAATAATAAGAAGGTAGATTAGGTTCTCTGTTCGCAAATGTAACATCCAATGTGTGAGAGTTGGGTATGAAGAAGATACACTACGACATAAGATTTGCTCAGCCCAGAGATCCTCACATGGAAGATACACTACGCATAAGATTCGATTGGACATGAGAATCAACAAGATTTAGACTTTTTGGTTCTGAATTTCACCAGTTGCAGCACGCCGCCTAGCCATAGGTGTGATCTATAAGCTATCATATCTTCTCCCAAACCGGCGACTGATCAGTTGCTGATAGAAGTCGTTAGTAGTCGTGAGAAGTCTCCTTTCAATTGTAGATGAAGCCATAAATTGCTTTCACCTTGGGAAAATCCAACATAATGCTAGAGAGAGAGAGAGAGAGAGAGAGAGAGAGAGCATTCCAGTAGACAAAACCACGTTTTAGATTCCCACCAAGACAAAAGATTCGGTTTTATGCCTTTAAACCAAAATCAAACCAAATTAACCAGACATCGAACATATTATGATTTCTATTACTCAACGTGTATAATATCATTCAAATGATGACTGTGTTAATATTACTCAACGTGTATATTACTCAACGTGTATAATATCATTCAAATGATGACTGTGTTAATAAGGAGAAAATTAATTTTAAAAAATAACATTAGAATTGGAAACTAGCAATTTATAATTTCCTCACAAAGTAATTGTCAAATAACTGATCAAATAAAAAAAAAGGAAAATTCATAATTATTATAACCAATTTCCTAATTTATTGTTACAAAGTCTCGTGTATGCGTGACCTATATATATGTTTAACTAGGGGATTACCCACGCCTAATGCGTGGGATTGAGTAAACTTTAAAATTTTCATATTTAAAATAAATTAGTATTAAATGGATGTCATTTTAGAATAATGTGTGGAATTGTTTTGAAAAAATGGATAGATATTTAGTTATTAATTTATGTGTTTTGAAGTTGTTTCCTATTTTCAAATGCACGAGATTGAATTAACTTTAATTTATTCACATCTTAAATAAATATTATTTGATGGATATGTCATTTTCTATATTGTATGTAGACTACTAATACATGTTTTGTTTCTTTATCATTTCATATGTAACAAATAATAAACATATTGGTTCCGTTGTTGATTAAGAATATTTTAATTTTTGTTTCTTATAATAATGGATGGATATTTAGTTATTTATTTACGTGTATTATTATATCTTAATTGTTTCACATTTTCAAAATACATTTGTTGTATGATTTGTATAAAAGATTATGATTTAGTTAAATCTAAAAGACCTTTAGAAAAATTGCCAATAAAATTTAGTTAGGCAAACCTTTCTTAAACTTCATATTGAAAAACCAAATAGCAATATCCACTATATATTGCATTCAAAATACTTGTCCAAAAAAACATTGTAGGATTTTAATACAAAACATAGTTCTGCTATTTTTTCACCAAAACATAAGTTTGTAAATATCCCCATGGACATATTTAAAGATGAAAAGTTGTTTAATTGGAAAATAAATTTCCCCTATACTGAGAAAACCTATTCCAGGTACCTAAGTATGAATGTATGATGTTAATATGCAGTTTTTTCCTACAATGGTCCAACTAAAGAGTTTCAATAATTGTCAAACTTAAGATATTACATGTAGAATGTATAACTGATAGTCGAAATAGGAAACATGTCTATTTGCGATCACCTTCTTAATTTGTAAATACATCTGTCTATAGGTTGTTAAATACACATGTCTATTTAAAATAATTATCTTTAAACTGTGCCTATTTGAAATAATTATCTTTAAACTATTCTTTTAGTCTCTTATTTCACGAATAAAATTAAAAGCTGCTTCAAACTTCAAATTAAATTCTTTATTGTATCCTTCAAAGATCAGTTTCTTACTACGAATTTTTTTCTTTCACCAGGGATTGGAATTCAATCTCAAAATCATTCTTCACAACTCCCTTTCGCTTGACCCTTCCTCTTGAATCTCTTTACTTTAGTTGCAATATAAACGATAAATTACACCATTTTTCTAAGTAATTTTTTAATAATATATCTGCTTTAAATAATTGCAGAAACATGATAATTCATTTCCTACTTTGGCGAAATACTACAACATTTATATCAAGGTCCAAATGTGCTCATATATAGAGATAATAGCCACTTTACAGAGTCTTTATATTCTAAATTCATTAAACACGCGAAAATATGAATATAGCCCACTTTTAACAACCTTTTTGTTGTATATACAATAATATCAGTATGGTCTATAGTAAACATTTTTACCGTATAAATTGTTATACACATGTAATGATACATAAACTACATGCAATGCATTGACTCTGTTAACAAACATTGTTACAAAGTTTCCACATGAGAGATCTTAAGCTCAAGCTCGTCCCACTCCGAGGATGGTTGTTCCTGCATAGATCAATGCTCCAAGACCATAGGAAACATAAAGACAGTCAGATAGATGTAACACTTAACAGTAAATGGGCAGTTTGATACGCTGAGAAAAGTTGATGTTAAGTAAAAAAGCTAACCTTCTCGACTAAAGCAGATCTTATCTTAAGCCAACAGAAAATTCACTGTCTCCACCACCAAAGAATCCAACAGGTCCAGCATACTTACCTCTATCAAATGATTATGAAAGAAAAAAGAAGAATATGTATCAAACCTCAGTATATATGCATACTAATCAAATCCAAACAAAATATAATTCGCATCTATTATGAGAAAAGCTTATTCGGCACAGAAACTCTTTTTTTTTTTTTCCTGAAACGACGTAAGTGCTAGAAACTATGGCAGGAAGAATTAAATCATATTATACCAAATTGCTTAATCACCAAAAGTGCTTCCTCTACTGGACATCCATAAACAGCTGGCGTTGGATGCAAAGCAGTTAAGATGTAAAACTGAAAATATAGATATATACATTTCATAGGTAAGAGAAAAAAGAAGTAGTAGCCTTTTTCACTCAATAGTATTAGAGTTAAGAGAAACTAATATCAATTTCAAATAACTTACCCGCAACCTATGAAGTGAGTTAGATATCATCATGAAACCCGTCATCTAACCTCGTCTTCTCTTCTTAGTTGTACTGCCAATTGAGAATGATGCTGCATTCTTGCAAGCTTTCTCACTGTTTTTAGTGGTTTCACAATTACCCGGTCGTCACATATGGTCTGCAAAGCACAAAATGAAAATTATTCATAAGATACAATAATAATCAATGGTAATATTCTAGGAGTAACGAAAAGGAGAAAACAACCACCCCAAATGAAACTGAAATAAAACGAAAAGGAGAAACAAAAAACAAAAGTATTGCAAAAAAAAGGAAAACAAAACGAAATTAAAACAATAACTGTAAGCATGCTAACCTAAAAGAAAAACTCTGGACAATGAAGAAGAAATCTAATGAGATTTTTGGATGTGTGATTTTGCAAGGCTCTCAAGAAGTTTATATAGCGGTGTGGTTCGATTCCAAGACCTTGAAAGTAGGTTAAATCTAATTATTGTATATCTTCAAACTATTGAATTAGGTAAAGAAATTGAGCTTTAAAATCGAATATTTGACACAACAAATAAGGTAATACGTGCATATAAAAAGGTGCAAAATATCTCCATTTTCCATACTCTAAATAAGGTAATACGTGCAAAATATCTCTCGAATATTTTAGTAACCATAACAGTTTTTCGAATCTATGGATTCAAAATTATTTAAATTGATCACCTTCGCCGTCCATAAACGGATCCAAAATTGCACCTATGATTAATTGATCACCTGCACATCCAAGAAATACATAAAAAACCACCCCATAATTTCCATCATATATTTAAATTGTTCCATAAGAAACAAATTGTCCTCACATCCAACAAAATCTATAATTTTGATCCAGCGCAACCTTTCCTTTGTCCTCAGACCCATTCCCATGGACATTTCCGTCAAATCTCCGTCCTTTACAAAAATTGGTTTTCCATAGACCCTTTCCTTTGTCCTCAGACCCATTCCCATGGACATTATTCAAATCAAATCATTTCTTTGAAATATCGAAATTTTCGTTAGAGAAAGCTCATTTTATGAGCATAATCGCTTTTGTACTATATCTTTTGCTTTTCAATAAACAAAATCAGCAGATTTTAACAAAAATCTGAATTCATAAGGAACGAAACACAGAAATAAGAAAAATAAAAGATCATCCACCAATGATTTGAATTTCCGAAAGATAACTTTGGTTGAAATCCGCACAGATTATAGCGTTTCCCCATAAGTCTTTCGTTATCTAAGGTGATGATTGGTTCTCCCGCTACCACCCGCAAACGCAGCGTTTGCGGTTCGTAGCGGTTCTTAGCGTTTTATAACAATCACGACAACCGCTTTCAACCGCTCTATACCACTCTGTACCGCTCTATATCGCTGAAAATCAAAAGCTCCTTTCCGCAAGCGTTTGCGGTTGCGGGCGGTTGCGGTTTGAAAAAAAAAAAAAAAAAACATAATATCTCCAAATTTGGAATAAGGGTATATTTTTTTGAAAAATACCATAATTATGTTTAAAAATTTCGAAAATACCCTAAATTTTTTCTGTTTTGAAAAATACACTTTTAAAATGTAAAAAGTATGTTTTGACGTGATTTAAACAAAAAAATAATAAATAATTACAAATTATAAACGAAAATTTAAAAAAATAATAAACTAATAAGTTTTTTTTCAAATAAATATAGTATATGTTAAACTGAAACAAATTTTAATATTTTGGATCTTTATATAAACAACTTAACCTCATACACATTCAAACCAAATGAAACTTTAAATAAATTAAAACTTTACATATATTTAAAGTTTATAAATTATTAAAAATTTAAAAGTGGAGAAATATATCTTTCATTTTTAATGTTTATCTTTTGAAAAATTTAAATATTTTTGAAACTTTGCATAAACAACTTTAATCTCACCCCATTTAAACTTTATATAAACAATCTTATATTTTTATTAAATTGTTTAAAAAAAACTAAACAGGTAATTAGGATGTTAAAATGATACAAAATTATTATCAAATATTAATATTTTATATTTCTTATTTGAATTTCGTTTTTATTAAATTAGGAATAATCATTTTACATATAAAAAGTGTATTTTTCAAAACCAAAAAAAAAGGGTAGTTTTCAAATTAAAAATTCATCAAAAAATATATTTCAAAAAAAAAATTATTAATATGGTTATAAATGTTTTGAATAATTATATATTATTTTTATTTTAGTAACTTTTGGTTAAACCGCTCTTGCACCCGCTGGCTAACCAGTCAAAAATATCCCGCAAACGCAACCGCTATGAATTGCTATACCAGTCGTACAAACAGCTTTTAATCGCAAACTCCCGCTTCCGCAAACTCCCGCAGCCGCAAACTCCCGCAACCGCAACCGCAGCGGTTAAACCAGACCCTAAATTGCTAAAATTCAACTGAATATTAAAAAAGAAGAAGAGATGAATATAAAACTAATGTGATAAACATCGATTTGTAAAATAATAAATATAATACACAGATAACATAAATATACCAAATAGAAGTTTCTTGCTTCAATGGATTACTACAAACTCAGCACGTAGCATATTCAGAATTAGAAAAATAAAATACAAAGCTATTTTGTAGCATAGACAAAAAAAGAATGAAACATGTGAGATGTGAGATGTGGTTGATGATACTCTTTATAGATAGGTACTCGTTGAGGTTTAGGTTTAGCAGAAAATATCTTTGGCGGCACACAAAAGGCCAAAACTAATAATTATGTAGGCCCAAAGTTTTGACCAATACATGCTTAAAACATGACATTTCCATTGTTGGGCTGAATTAGCTAATTCTTTAACTCGAACATGGTCTTGTAGTACTACTAACTCAATTTCATTAAATTTCCCGGTTTATTTTAAGTATACCAAAGGTCCGCGTTAGATCCATACAAAATTGGGTCGGACTTTAGAATTATTAATTTAATTAAATAATTCAAAAAAAGTCCAAAAAACTGTGAGCTCGCCACATCAGCAAAACTGCATGGTCTTTAATATATTGTAGGATTAGATTTATTTGTACGCGTATTCATTCGTATCTCAAAAATACAAACGATCATGATGATGAACTCCATCCCGATTGATCTCTTACACGAGATTTTCTCAAGATTGCCTGCAAAGTCAACTGCAAAGTGTCTTCAGGTGTCGAAGCAATGGGAGTCCATACTTTGCCGTCCAGATTTCACCGAGTTGTTTCTCACCAGGTCCTCGACTCGTCCGCGTCTCTTATTCGCCATCAGAGGACCTCAAAACGGTGAGTGGAGCTTCTTCTCGTCTCCTCAACCTCAGAATCCATATGAGAAGTCGCAGTCGTCTCTTGCAGTAACCGCCGATTCTCATATCAAGTTCCCTGCAAAGATATCACTACCGCTTGCTGGCTATGCCTCTGGTTTGATCTGCTTCGGTGGTGTACGGTTCTCAAAAGATTCTAAATATATTGGGAATGTGATATGTAACCCTAGCACGGGACATTATGCCCTCTTACCTAAACTGAATTCAAAAAGAAGTTAAGAAATCTTTTTAGGGTTTGATCCCATTGTCAAGCAATTTAAGGTATTGTATGTTGCTTATTCACATAGTGATCAGATTGTGCAACATAGAATTATGACATTAGTGTAGGGAAAATTACTCTTTAGTTTTGTGTGTTTGCGTGTTCAAGATGGGAATGAGACAACTAGAAGCTTTAAGAAAATTTTCTTTTATATTAGGAAAGGGATTACAAAAGCTCTCAAATGTTTTCTTCGATGGATGATTACAAATGAGACCAAACAACTCTATTTATACTAGTGGTAGCTTCTTCTAGAATTATCTTCTAATCTTATCCTAATTAAACTTTCTTTATTCTTCTAGGACATTCACTAATCATTATCTACTTAGCCTTGATATTTCTAGATAATTCTTCTTTTCTCCATAACTCCATTTCTCCTTCTTCATAGTTCTAGAGTCTTCTTTATTTAATTTTGGGCTAATGGAGGGAATATCCAACAAATCTCCCCCTTCCCGACTTAGCCCGAAATTGTCACGATGCCGATGCCTTGACAACAATCTTCAAACTTTTTGATTGGCAACACTTTGGTCATGATATCTGACCAATTTTCGTCAGTGTGTACTTTGTCGAGATGTATGAGTTTCTCTTCTAGAACTTCTCGGATCCAATGATGTCTAATATCGATGTGGTTCGAGCGGGAATGCAAGGTTGAGTTCTTTGCTAAGTGAATAGCACTCTGGTTATCACAAAGCAGAACATACTTACCTTGCTTTACTCCCAATGCATGGAGAAAGTTCTTCATCCATAACATCTCCTTGCAAGCTTCAGTGGCTGCGATATACTCTGCTTCAGTAGTTGACAAAGCAACACACTTTTGTATCTTTGATTGCCAGGAAACAGCTCCCCCTGCAAAGGTAGTTACATACCCTGATGTTGACTTCCTGGAATCCTTGTTGCCCGCCCAATCTGCATCGTTATAGCCTTGTAACTCAAGCTTCCCATTACCAAAACAAAGACACCTTTTTGTTGTGCCTCGTAGATAACGGAGGATCCATTTTACTGCCTTCCAATGCTCCTTCCCTGGATTTGCTAGGAAGCGGCTCACAACTCCAACTGCATAGGCGATGTCTGGCCGTGTACATACCATGGCGTACATGAGACTGCCTACTGCTGATGCATATGGAGTATTCATCATTTCTTCTTTTTCTTTCTCATTTGTTGGACATTGTTCCGAACTTAGCTTGAAATGTCCAGCAAGCGGAGTGTTTACCGGCTTTGCCTTGTGCATGTTGAATCTCTCCAGCACCTTTTCAACATATCGTTCTTGGGATAGCCAAAGTCGCTTCTTTGACCTATCACGAGTGATTTTCATCCCAAGAATCTGTCTGGCAGGCCCCAAGTCTTTCATAGAGAAACACTTGCTCAAAATCTTTCTTTAGAGCAGCTATTTTGATGCGGTCATGGCCCACAATCAACATATCATCAACATAAAGCAAAAGTATGAGAAAGTTGCGCTAGCGTACCTTTTTATGAAGACACAATGATCATTCGTGGTTTTCTTGAAGTTATGATCCGCCATAAAGGAATCAAACTTCTTATACCACTGCCTTGGGGCTTGTTTAAGACCGTAAAGGCTCTTCTTTAGTCGGCATACCATGTTTTCTTTGCTTGAGACCTTAAATCCTTCAGGTTGCTCCATGTAGATCTCCTCTTCGAGGTCACCATGAAGAAATGCCGTCTTGACATCGAGTTGTTCAATTTCCAAGTCTAGAGTAGCAGCTAGACCAAGAACAACTCGGATGGAGGACATCTTTACCACTGGAGAGAATATTTCTTCAAAGTCTATGCCTTTATTCTGGCTGAATCCTTTTACAACCAATCGAGCTTTGTACCTCGGTTTTAAGCTGTTATCTTCAGACTTTATCCGATACACCCATTTATTCTTCAAAGCTCTTTTTCCTTTTGGTAACTCCACCAACTCGTATGTGTGATTCTCATGCAAGGATTCCATTTCATCTTGCATGGCTTCTACCCATTTATCTGTGTGGGTGTCGACTATGGCCTCCATATAGCTTTCAGGCTCCTCCTGATCTGTAAGAGTCACGTATTCATCCAACGGATATCGTGTAGACGATATCCTACCTCCTGGTGACCGTCTTAATTCAATCTCTTCTCCTGGCTCTTGTTCTTCGTTCTCATCACCATTTTGATCTGAAGTAGTGGTGTCTTCTTCAGGGTCCTTTTCACCATCTTCAACCGCTTCCTCTGGATTATCACGTGATTGATGATGTTCTACATTTTTGCTAACCTTTAGCTTTGGCTTCTCCGACCTTTGGATGTCTTCGATTGTCTGGTCCTCGAAAAATACAACATCTCTGCTTCTGATGATCTTTCTATTTTTCGGATCCCAAAGTTGGTAGCCAAACTCATCTCTTGGTGAGCCAAGATAGATGCATTCCTTGGTTTTGGAGTCTAACTTAGCTCGTTCATCCTTAGGAATATGGACAAATGCTCTACACCCGAATACCTTCAAATGGTTGTAGTTAACCTTCCTTCCTGACCAAACTTCCTCTGGGACATCACCGTTTAATGAACTGATGGTGTAAGGTTGATGATATCAACCGCGTTCATGATAGCTTCTCCCCAGAATGACTTTGGTAGTTTTGCATGAGAGAGCATACAACGAACTCTTTCTCCAATTGTTCGATTCATTCTCTCAGCAATACCATTCAGTTGTGGTGTCTTGGGTGGTGTCTTCTCCATCCTGATTCCATGACTTTTGCAGAATGTCTCGAAGGGACCCCGGTACTCTCCACCATTATCAGATCGAACGCACTTGAGTTTTTTACCCGTACCTCGTTCTACTTGGGCTACAAATTCTTTGAAAGCATCAAGAACTTGATCTTTCGATTTTAATAAACATACCCATACTTTTCTTGAGTGGTCATCGATGAAGGTGACGAAATATGATGCACCACCAATGGATTTTTCAGACATGGAACATACATCGGTATGCACAAGATCGAGAATGTGATTCCTTCTCGTAGGTGTAGAAGATCTCTGGAAAGCGACTCGATGTTGTTTTCCAGCTAAGCAATCAGAACATGGTTCGAGGGACATACCTTTCATATTGGGGAGTAAATTCTTTCGAGCGAGAATATTTAGACCTTTCTCGCTCATATGTCCCAATCTCCGGTGCCATATCTCCATGTTAGCACTTGCGACATTTACTTCCTCCTTACAAAGCTTAGCTTGGGTCACATACAACGATCCCTCTTTCTTTCCTCGAGCCATAATCAAGTTTCCTCTGGTTAGTTTCCACTTGCCTCCACCAAAGTGATTTTCCAAACCAGCATCATCAAGCTTTCCAGTTGATATGAGATTGAGTCGCATGTCGGGAACATGCCTCACATCTTTGAGAACCATCTTACATCCTGTGTTTGATGTAAGGATCACATCTCCTCTTCCAACAATCTTGCTTCTTCCTTGATTTCCCATTTGTACGTTACCAAAGTTACCACTTTGGTAAGTTGAGAAGAAGCTTCCATGAGGAGTGACATGAAAGGAAGCACCAGAGTCAACGATCCATGAAGTATCATTGGAGGCAATATTGAGAAGATTGCATTCTCCAATAATATAAACATCATATAAACATCGTTATCCTCGTCTGACACAATGGTGGTGGTCTTGTCATCGTGCTTCTTTGTGGGATTAAACCGGTCTGGTTTTATGTTACCCGTTTGTTGGTCTTTCTTGTAAAACCGGCATTCTGGTTTTCTATGACCCACTTTTCCACAATAGTAGCAAGTAACTCTAGGGCGTGACTTGGATCGTCCCCTAGATTGATCTCTATCTCGGGTTCTATTGCGTCCACGAGTTTCATCTCTACCCCGTCTATCTATGACGTTTGCCTCCGACATGGTGCTTGAACCTCGTTCTTTTCTCCTTGTTTCTTCGTTTAGAAGACTATCGCTGACGGTGTCCATGGTGAGCTTTTCCTCTGGTGCTGAATTGCTGAGAGTGACAACTAGTGTGTCCCAACTCTCTGGTAGGGAGCTAAGGAGTAAAAGGGCTTGCATTTCATCTTCAATCTTCATGTCGACTTTGCTTAATTGATTGACGACCCCCTTGAAATTGTTCAAGTGCTCCATCATGCTCTGGCCATCCTTGTATTCCAACTTTACCAGCCGTCGAACGAGGAGAGCTTTGTTCCGAGGCGTTTTCTTTTGAATCATGGACTCAAGTTTTGTCCATAATTCATAAGCGTTGGTGTAAGTAGAGACATGTTCGAAAAGTGATCGATCAATGTACTTACGGATTACAGCAACCGCTTTTCGATTTAAAATCTCCCATGCCTTGTCATCCTTTCCTGCGGGCTTATCCTTTGTAATGATGGGCTCATGCAAGTCCTTGCAATAAAAGTGATCTTCCATCATCGGCTTCCAATAAGAGTAGTTGTCCGTCGTAAGCTTAAACAATATCACCTTCAAAAGTAACGGTAGCCTCCATCTTAATATGCACAAGATATCAATGCTACAAGTGATCTTGTGAACCTGGCTCTGATACCAGCTGTAGGGAAAATTACTCTTTAGTCTTGTGTGTTTGCGTGTTCAAGATGGGAATGAAACAACTAGAAGCTTTAAGAAAATTTTCTTTTATATTAAGAAAGGGATTACAAAAGCTCTCAAATGTTTTCTTCGATGGATGATTACAAATGAGACCAAACAACTCTATTTATACTAGTGGTAACTTCTTCTAGAATTCTCTTCTAATCTTATCCTAATTAAACTTTCTTTATTCTTCTAGGACATTCACTAATCCTTATCTACTTAGCCTTGATATTTCTAGATAATTCTTCTTTTCTCCATAACTCCATTTCTCCTTCTTCATAGTTCTAGAGTCTTCTTTATTTAATTTTGGGCTAATGGAGGGAATATCCAACAATTAGGAACTGGAGAAAAGAGTTGGAGGAAGATCCAATGTTTCTCACCCCATTATCCTCACTCCAATGGGATATGCATTGATGGGGTTTTGTATTACGTAGCTCGACGGTTAGATGAAACGACTTTAGTGATAGTTTGTTTTGATGTTCGGTCAGAAACATTCAAGTTTGTCCATAAAGAACTCGACTATGAAAGGTACAAATTGATAAATTATAATTATAAGGGTAAGTTAGGTGGAGTTCGTTTGCCTAATGTTCCCGATCCGGGAAATTGTACCCTTGTGTTGTCGGTGTGGGTTCTAGAGGATGTCGAGAAAGGGGAATTGTCGACAAATCAGTACAATTTGCAAGATGATAAATTGTCAAAACCGTATTCTCAAATCAGTACTATTCGCGTTGCTGGAGTCACAGCTGCGGGTGACATTGTTTTGTCGATGGGTTACACTGGAGTCACATCTACACCGTTTTATGTTTTCTACTTCAATCCGGAAAAGAAGACTCTCCAAAGTATTGAAGTCCAAGGTTTTGGAGATGTGTTTGGCAGGAACAATGATGTTGAAGTCTTCGTAGACCATGTAGAGGATCATAAGTTTAATATTACCAAGACAAGATATGCTGCAACATCTATAAGCCAACCAGAACGGAAGCCTAAACCCACCAGCATATCAACATCACATGAAGCTCAACTGCAACAAGATGGTGGTACGTTTGATGCTTTGTGTCTTTTAGATGATCATTAATTTACAGGTGTCAAAACCTGAATGCCACTCCTTGGTCACTACAAGTCAGGCTAAAAGCTCTATTTAATATACAACAAGTTGTACTCCCCCCCCCCCAACTATTCTCTCTGTTATCAAATAAATTCTTAAGAAATTCAGTTTTATAGTATTAAAACATTACATTTATATAGTTTTTTGTGAGCTTTATCACCCACCCGGTTTATGCGTTTAAATCAAAATCGTACCAAAACAACCAAAACTCGATTAGGTTAAGTTCAGAGCCTAGGGCATTTTATTATGTTTATGCGTGTGCCAAGACTGCCATGATTTGTAATTTTTGTGTTCATCACTAAATGACGACGACGGTGATGGATTCCATCCCAACTGATCTCTTTCTCGATATATTCTCCAGATTGCCTGTGAAGTCAGTCGCAAAGTGTCTTTTCGTGTCCAAGCAATGGGCGTCCATAATCTGCCGTCCAGATTTCACAGAGTTGTTCCTCACCAGGTCCAACACTCGTCCCCGTCTCTTATTCGCCGTCAAAGAACTTTCAATCAGCGAGTGGCACTTCTTCTCGTTGCCTCAACCTCAAAATCCATATGAGAAGTCGTCTCTTGTAGTATTCCACGATTCTCATATCAAGTTCCCTAAAGGCATGCGTCTAGATTTTTGTGGTCATGCCTCTGGTTTGATCTATTTCCATGGTACCTCGGAAAGGGTTGAGGATACGATGCATGTGATGCATAACCCTAGTACGGGACAATATGAGTTCTCACCTGAACTGAGAAAGGGCAGAGATTCGCAATGCTATCTAGGGTTTGATCCTATTGACAACATAATCAAGGTATTGTCTTTGAGTACTCGACCTTATTGTGATGAAGGGGATGAACAAAGAATTCTGACATTAGGAACCGGAGAAACTAGTTGGAGGAAGATACAATGTCCATTACATCATTGGCCTTCAAGGAACGAAGGGATATGCATAAATGGGGTTTTGTATTACCCAGCTCGACTAGATGATACGTCTAGTGTGGTAGTTTGTTTTGATGTTCGGACAGAGAAGTTCAAGTTCATCGCTACTTCAGTATTATGTGATGATGATAAATTGATAAACTTCAAGGGTAAATTATGTCGAGTTGATTGTTACGGTATTACTTCCTCTGACGGAAGCCGTTCCTTTGTGATGTGTATGTCAGTTCTAGAGGATGTCGAGAAAGAGGAATGGTCGGAATATACCTACTGGTTGGAAGATGATGAATTGGTTCGTCACTGCATTCATGTTTCAGTCGATGGAGTGACAGCCACCGGTGATATTGTTTTGTCAATGGGCTCTTATACATCTAGACCATTTTGTGTTTTCTACTTCAGCCCTGAAAGCAACACTCTCCAAAGAGTTGAGATTCAAGGTTTTGGAGGTATGTTTAACATTCATACACATAGAGTTGAAGTCATCGTAGACCATATAGAGGATTTGAAGTTTAATATTATATGAAGATTACACAACACATATATGCTACAATAAGTATAAGCGTGAACCCAAGAGCTAGCACACCAACATCATCTAAAGTTTTTAAAACATGTCGGTTGTAGTTGACTTCTCTTTTATATAGTTTTGTGTGAGCTTTATCACTCCGTTGCCTTACCATTTTATATATTCTTTGTGGACATCAACTAATCATAAATCCTTTTTGCCTTTTTAAGAGACGTTTCTGCCTTTTTTTTTTCTGCGTGCATTCATTTTATTTGATTTCAACTATTTAAAGATAGAGGAAATGCTTTGAATATCAAAAGTACTGTACGAGAAACTCAGATTAAAATTCAAGACTTAGTTTCAATAGACAAAAACGGCTTTGGTAAGAGGTTTCTTGGCTGCAACGAGGAAATAAACTTTAACACAAAAAAAACGTTTCTTGCAATGTACTGCAACCATTTTATTTGTTTAGCTAGGTTCATGTAGTATTTTCAGAAACTTGATTATATTAATACAGCTCTGAGATGATGATGAACAACTCTACTGCAAAGGAAAAGTCAAGAGATTTAGGCTCCCGACTAAAGTTATATGGGAAAGCAAATTTTAAAGTCTGAGTGAAACAACAAATAGACAATATATGAAAGCTTTGTCTCTGCCCGTGAAGATGGTGGATAATCTTTTGATCCCAAAAGTGAAACCTGTAATGCATTATGAGTTTGTTATCAATGTTGAACCGCAGAGAGAAAGCGCTTGCTGATATTTATAAGATCAAGATTAAGTGAGTTTACACACTGATTAATGTACTGTGCAAGGAAGGTTAAATATTCGCTTCTCCTTTCCAGTAATTTGCCTTAATTTTCTCGAATCCCCTTCTCTCTCTGATGAAAATGTGGTTTAACACTTTTGAAATAGTTTATGCAGTACATGTTTCTATGTTAATTCAGTCTACCAAAAACTCATTATGGCGGCTTATATTTGTGTATATATTATAGATTCCTTCTTATATTTGAATTATGAAATCTTGTCTGTCAATTTACATTTTTTTTGCTGATCAAACCCGAGAGGTGGTTATATCACTTATAAAATCATTCTGATATGAACCTTTGTTCACACACTTAAATTGAAAGATGTAAAAGCTTAGTTCCCTCTTAACCCTAATTCTCTCTTAGAGATTAAGGTTAATTCTTGGGACTTGATTTCTTATTAATCATTGGAGACCTTTATATAGATCTTGATACAAAACCCTAATGTAAAAAGGAAAACATGAATACCTAATTAATCAATTAAAACACCAAAACCATTAATTAAAAACTCTCTAACGATAGTCTCAAAACTGATTAGAAAACTATACAGAAGAGACAAAAGAGAAAAAGGTGCTCGGATCAAATAAAAGCAGAGAGACTGACTCATCATCAGTCACCACCAATTGTATATACATTTTTAAAGAGAAAAAAGAAAGCAAGAGATAGAAACAGAATCTGGAAAATGCGTTTAGAATCTGCATGAGAAACCTTAACTTATCAAGACTCTGGAACTCAATCACCAGAGTAAAGTTATAGCCTATACTTCTCCATATCGAATCAAGTAATCTAATGGGACTGGGAAGAGAACCCTAATCTTGCAAATCACTTTACCTTGCATCTTCCTCTTAGCAAACCTATACTCCTCCATCACCCAAGTCACCTTAACATCATCCTCTTCAAACTTGAAAACCGGTTTTGCAAATTCCGGTTTCTCTCCGTGACAGAACTTGTAAAACCTCTTGAAACCAAGAACCTTGCTGCTCCTCTTCGAGATGATCACTTTATCACGCCGTATCATCCTCCAGCAACCGCCGTCGCATCCATCGCTTCTACCGCAATTCTCTGTCCTGTTAACGAAGAAGTATTGTCCCTCGTTTAGGGCGAGAGAAGACTGAAGAGCACACACAATCCTCCATGGCTCCACACCGTAGACTTGCTCGCTACGCAAGAAATGGCTAGGCCAATCGTCACGATTATCAACGAGCAACATCTTCAGATAGTACGAGATGATTTCATCCTTTGGTACGTCTTCTACACAGAGATCAAACCTCGGCAACAAACAACGTCTCGGAGAAAACGTTTCTGGTTTCTTGATCAAGAAGGAGAAATGCGTGGCGAGCAAGGAAGTAACCTCGGGTTGAGGCAAAAGACGAATCTTGCAGATCACTTGATCTTGCTTCCATTTACTGATAAGCCTATACTCTTCCATCACCCAGACTCTTCTCTCTTCCTCTTCTTCTTCTTGTGATCGTCTCTTCTTCTCCTTTTCACAGAACTTGAGGATCTTCTTGAACCCTAGAAACTTCCCGGTCTCCTCAGACTTTATCAGTTTATCACGACCCATGATTCTCCAGCAACCCGATTTGGATCCGTCGGTTTTACCGCAAGACTCTGTTCTGCGTTTGACGAAGAGGAAGTAGTTAGGGTTGTGAGCGATGAAGAAGCTCCATGGATTCATGTTGTAGACGCGCGCGTTCACGTCTCGGACGAAATGGCTAGGCCAGGATTTGCCGTCGTTGATCATCGAATTCAGATAATATTGGATTATCACTTGGTCTTCTGGTTCGATTAGGTCATCGTCGTTATCATCGTGAGATGAAACAGAGTGGTCTTCCATGGCTTCTTCTTAGGTGGCGAAATTCGATTGATCGGATCGAAAGAGACGGAGAGAGACAAGAGGCGCCAAGAAGCAAAGAAGAAGAGATGATTTATAGTTAGTTGTTACCGTTATTTCTCTCTATTCCGTAACTACCTTCTTCTCCACGAATATTTACTCTTAAGCCAGATTTACATAAAGTTGCGTCTTTTAACGTTTTTTAATATCATCTCTAGTTAGTAAAATATATAAATGTGACGAATATTATTTAGAAGAAATCATAGTGCTGATTGTTGATTATCGACATTATATTGCAAATTTATGTACATGGTTCTGGTTTTTGAATTTTTATGTGCATGGTAATTCCTGAAAGATGAATGCTCTTTGCTAATTAAATCACTGTTCAGTGTTGTTCTTAATGAAGAATTTTGATTTATACATAAAATGTGATTTCTTTTGTTATTGATCATGAGTATTATTTCTTTTTTGGGGGGCATTGTTAAGCAGATGTTAACTTTTGAACAAACAGTGACATTTGATGGTGGAATTAACGTTAAAGTAGTTCAACGATGAAAAGAACTGCATGTTTGTAATTTTATTCATCAACTTTGGGACACATAATTATCTCCTCTTTACATAAGCCAGTATTCGATAGAAATTAATTTAGTATACACATATTTCTTCTTTTACCTATATGATCATATTTCAAATCTAGACGGTCTAAACTAATGATGAATTTGATACTTAAAAACTTTGCATTACCTTTATTTCTGAAATAACTAAAACAGAGTCACAAGCATCAAAGCAAATCATGGTTAGGGGAAAATAAACAAAGGGGTATGCATCAGTTTGCTTGACGTAGATTAAGCTTTACCAACTTCTGGGAAAAGAAGTTTGGAGACTTATGCAAACTCCATATTGCCTAATGACTAATGTCAAGGATTCTTTTGGCAAGAATGTATTGAACGCAAAACTGGGTACAAAACCACCATATGGCTTGAAGCCTTGAAGGTCACATATTTTTCATTTTAAGGGATTAAGTTTTGTTATTAGAGAATATGTTCCTTGGCTAAGTATTAATGTAAGATCTTTTAGGATGGGAATTATGATGAAGATGGTACCACTAATACAATTATATGATTGAATTCATATAATTTTTGCCTTTCTTGTCCTATGATATCAGAAAACGAAACGAGCAAAAGATTCTATAACCATGGTGGTGGGCGTAGAGGGATACTCAGACAGCCAAGGGTTGTTTCTTCAAGTTCTGGGAGAAGAGCCCAGATCTGAAACTCTAGTCCACGAAATATTCGTATCATCACCATATCCTTTTACGCCCCCACACAAAAATCGAAAAACGAATCAAACACTTTCCGTTGTATAGTCTTAATTTGATTCAATTCGTATACTCTGATTCAGTAAACGCCGGTTCAAATAAAGCCTCCAAGTTGCAGAAAGAACCATAAAAACAAAACATAATCTGGACATCAGTTCTCCAAGGTGATAAACACATCAATGAAATTTCAGTCGCAAATTATAAGATTCATCATATGCCCAGATCTATAAAGAACAAACAAACATATCGGACAAAAATCAAATTTAATTTCGCCGGATTTCAGTGAAAAAGATTTTTGAGTGTGTCAAAGAGAGTCTGCAAGAAACAGAAGGAAATAAAAAAGAATCTGGACATCAGTTCTCCAAGGTGAAAGAGACATCAATGTAATATCAGTCGCAAATTACCCATTTGTTTTCTAAGATTCATCATATGCCCAGATCTATAAAGAACAATCAAACATACATATCGAGAAATCAAATTGGGAGAGTTTTTGGAGTCGATCAGAACCTGTCGAGATTACACAATAACATCACTCAATGTTGTCAGTGGATTGACAGACTGTGAATTTTTTATCGTCACTTCGATCAAAAAAACCCCCAATTTTTCAGATTTCAAAGGAAAAAAAAAAAAAAAATAGATGTGTAGAAGCTCAGAACTTCTTAGAGGGTTGTGTTTACCGTCAGCGATGAAGTTGTTAGCTTCAATCTCTGGACACGGTTTATTCATCACAGCAGCTACACAGATTTCGAAGAAATCGAATCGAACAAAGGAAAACCAAAAACGCTTTTTTACAGAACATTGAGAACAATTTCTAAACTAACGATAAGATAGACCAGAGAGACGAGGAAACTTATCTGTTTCACGTCACGGTGTAAAGCCTATATATATATGTATATATGCAAGGACTGGGGTTAAGAAAACCCTAATTTACGCCGCATATGTTTTTAGTTAAAATGATTTATCATGCATTAATTAGCTGTTTAAAATATTTGTTTCCATTTTTTTATATATTTTTCTTTTCATTTTGTCAACTATTTATTTATTTCCCCTAATTCAAAAAAATTGTGTTCAAATGTAAATTGTGTACTATCTACAAGTATTGAAATTGTTATCAAATCTTGAGAATTTATATTGTAAAAATCATCAACAAATCATAAGAAATTGTGTTTTTTCTTTAATAAATTTAATTATTTTAAGCAAATCAAAAATTAATTTTTATATCATTGATAATTCTGAAGTCTAAACTAAAAAGAAAATGTATAAAACTCAGACAACTGACAAAGCTTGGGTGAGAAAGAGAAGCAAAACATGGTTAGGGTAGAAGGAGCAAAAGAACGTAATCCGATCCTAAACCGAACCTTAAATCGATTAACAAAAAGCATTGGTAAAGATACCACAGAAAATAAAACTATCAAAGGAAAATGCTACTAACGGAGCTATCATCATGGACACGCCAAATGGTCTCACCCAGAAGATTAGCCACCGACAAAATCGTCAACTGCGGGAAGTAATTATTCTCCGCTACCGGTAAAGTATTCGTCACTATCACTTCTTGCAGCAAACCGCTCGATAACCGCTCTATCGCAGGCGGGCTGTTACATTGATTCAAGAAAACAGTCTCTCTCTCATCACAAGCTTTACTTAAAGAAGAAAACACAAGAATGGTCAAAATCGAGAGCTAATGAGTTTACCTGAAAACCGCGTGCGTGCAGCAAGCGTAAACCTCACGAGCACCCTCCTCATGTAGAAGAGCTGCTCCTTTCACAATGGTTCCTGCAAATAGAATCAAACTGGTTCTTAGTATTTTGTCAGTAACAAACATGATCATAGAAAAATGGAGTTTAAGCACGGTTTTGACTAACCAGCGGTATCAATCATGTCATCCACCATTACTGCCACTTTCCCTTTAACATCGCCGATTAGGTTCATGACCTGTGTGGAAATAGTATTATTAACAAGGCAAGAAACTGAATATTTCGAAAACGAAAGAAAAGTTTTTTTACCTCAGCAACATTGTGGCCGTGACGCCTTTTATCAACAATGGCGAGTGGAGCATCAGATAACTTCTTAGCAAACGCACGTGCCCTGGCTACTCCACCCACATCAGGAGAGACCACTACCAAATCCTCAGAGGAAATCGACTTGCTAGCAAGATAATCAAGTATCACAGGCTGCAATGTAACCACAGGATTTTTGTAAGCTTTTTAGAGGAAACGGAAAATCTCTCAAAAACGTTGAAATTTTGAGTGTTACCTGGCAATAGACATGATCCACCGGAATGTCAAAATACCCCATGGACTGTCCTGAGTGAAGATCACAAGCAAGAACACGATCTGCACCAGCTTCGGTTATAAGGTTTGCAACCAGTTTGGCAGCTATGGATTCACGCCCTTGTGTCTATAACAATCAAGAAACACAATCAGATGCTTGAATCCTATGCAGAGAACTATTCACTAAAAACAGAAACCTACCTTTCTATCAGCTCTTGCGTATCCGAAATACGGAATCACGGCTGTTACTTTCTTAGCGGATGCTCTTCGGCAAGCATCAACCATGATCAACAGCTCCATGAGATTCTCATTCGTTGGAGTGCAAGTAGGCTGCACCAGAAACACGTCGCAACCTCTAACACTCTCTTTCAGCTGAACGTAGATCTCTCCATCAGCAAATCTCTTTATGCTAACCTTCCCTAGCTCCAATCCCATATACCAAGCGATTTCCTTCAACCAAAATTTCCAAGGACTCAGCAAATACTTTACTCAAATCTTGATCAAAAGACTTGTCTTGAGAAGAAAAACTACCTGAGAAAGTGCTGGATTTGCAGTACCAGAGAACAGCTTCAGCTTCGTATTGGTTCTGCTGACAGATTTCTCCAAACGGGAAGAATCAAAGAACTTTGGAATTGTCGTCTCATTCATGATTGGCACACGAGCGTTCCCGTTTCCAACATTCAGCGCCTTTGGCAAATTGCATTTCTACCAAAAACCAAAACGCAATCAAAACCAAATTCACATGAGATTACATATAGTCTCCAATCTCCACCATCACATTCATCTATACATGTTACTGCTCAACAAATAAAATTTCTTATCCCATCTGCATAAACGCACTGCTAATAGCATCCACTTCAACCCAGAAAATCTCACAGATCAAAGCATTGATTTCAACCAGAATATTCAATATCAAAACATTCAAAACAAATACAAGAGAAACATTCATCTATACATGTTACTGCTCAACAAATAAAATTTCTTATCCCATCTGCATAAACGCACTGCTAATAGCATCCACTTCAACCCAGAAAATCTCACAGATCAAAGCATTGATTTCAACCAGAATATTCAATATCAAAACATTCAAAACAAATACAAGAGACATAATGTAAATATCGAATTCATTTGTTAACGGGGAAAAAATTGCTCACCGCGGCACCGGAAAAGGAGATTAGGGAGCGAGACTGAGTGGTGCTGAAGGAAATCGAGGAGCGGGAGAAGAGAGACGAGGACGACGAGGCCAGGTACGACGGAATCTTAACGCCGGGAGGAGAAGTCAGAGCTAGCGACGCCATATGTAATATATACGTCTCTCCTCCAACACCTGAATTTATTATATAAATACGTCGGATTCTCTGAGTCACTCACGCAGAATCAGATTCTCGTCTTACAGAATTCCGAGAGAGAGAGAGAGAGACGAGAACTGATGGAGAAGGTAATGGTGTGAATTTGTTCTTCTTCTCCGGCAATCTGAGAGTTCGTCGTATGTGGACTCTTCTCTCTTTTTATCAATCTCAGGCGGTGCGGCGAAAGTTTAATTCTCACTTTCTCGACATTGCTAAAATAATATATTAAATAAATATTCATATGAAAAAAACTCAGAAAGCGTATTGTTTCACTATAAACGGTGTCGTTTACTGGATTCCTACTGGTCTCTGCGGGTGGCTTGCCTTTCAGCTTACGTGTCAGGTGGGGCCTTATTCGATAAAGGAGTCAAATGACTCAAATTGTGTTGATTTTTCGTTTCTTACCTTTTTTAGAGATTTCCAAGTGAGTCTTTTTTTCTTTATTTTATATTGTGAATATGTGCTATTACGAAATTTGATCAATCTATTTGACGATTTGATCTGATTAACTTCTTGATTCTGTGTATATCTCATAATATGGAAATTTCTTTTTAAAATTTGTTCAACTTTCTTATACAGACTATAAAAAATGTTGTAAAAGTGATCCGATCAAAAGATTATATTCTGTCTGACAACTTGAAAAAATTGTTCAGTTTTTTATATTACTTTTTCTAAACATGCTACAAAATATCTTTATTTTTTTGTTAGAGAACATGCTTTTTTTTTCCAACAAAAATAAATTAAAGAACATGCTATAAAATATCACTGTGTTTAACTACAAAGAGATGATTATGAAAGAATGTAATCAAATTATTTTGATCCATCAAATGATTACATGTTGATTATATGATCTAATCAAAGGTGTTTTTTTGTAGTACAGCACTATTAGAAGAGAGAAACAAGACTGCGGAAGTTGTAATATGAATATGAAAATTGTCCATTTCTTTGCAAAATAAAAATAAAAAACGTTATTCTATGATTCAACGGCTTCGATTATAACCTCCGGTTGAGTATGCAGAGCAGGCTGTACAAGACTTGTCGACTTCTGAGAAGAATCCAAACACAAATTCTAAAGAATCACATACTTCTCTGATTCTTCACGCCACTTGTTTCAAAGCAATTTCATGCCACTTTAGGACTAAAAGAAACTTCACTAAGCCATCATTAATTATGAACATAAACTTCACAAGAAAGATAAAAAACACTCCCAATTCATATAGTATATATTTGATTTTTCCATAACTTTTCCACAAGGATTAAAAGCAATGTTCAAAAAGTCGTTAGGCGTTAGTCGGGCGGTGGCTTCAAAATTTCCGATTTTTAAAAAATCGGAAATAAAACGTAGAGTAGTCGGGGAGGAATTTTTATTAATTTTTTTAATTTATTAAACATTTTAATATAAAAGATTAAACATAAATATGAAAATTATATATTTCAAAATTAGTTAAACATTTTTCAAGTTTTGGAGGACAAAACTCTTATAATTAGTAACAAAATTTACTATTTGAGTTTATAAATCCCCAAAATCTATTTTTTCCTCATGTAATTGTTATCAATTATAGTCTTATTTTAGCTAAAACAAAATTAAATAGAATGAACATTCCTTAGTTGGCCCCCATTTTTGAAATAATTTGGAATTGGGCCAAAGAAAATTCGGAAACCAAAGATTTGACCCATCTTATTTTAAAAATTTCAACTGATTTTTCTCATTAGTCGGATTTTAGAAAGTCGCCATGTTTTTACCCCGAGTGTTTTGAAAACCGGACCGACCCAGTGGTCGAACCGGGTTCGACCATGAACCGGACATGTGACCGGGTTGGGTCTCCGGTCTGGTTCAAAAACAATTAATACGATCAATTAATTAATTATTTTATTTTATTTATTTTCACTTTTGATATTTTTTTAGATTATATAACCAGATTGAACCATGACCCGGGTGCTTATCCGGTTCGCCTTCCGATCCGGTTTTAAAAACACTGCCCAAATCCGATTTTTTAACCGATTAGTCGGAGAAATCGCCGACTTTTCGAACAGAGATTAAAAGAAAGACCATTCGTTTTTTGGGGTTCTTTTCGGCTATACAAGTAGACTGTGTCACATCATTAATATTGGCCATTGAAACATGGAAAGGTGCATAACTTTAAAAGAACAAGTCAAAAATCAAAAGTGAAGTATGTGATTCTTTTTCTAAATTCATATCGTTACAACTCATGAACGACTTCTTCTAAAACACTACGAGACATCATTGTGTGATTCTTCTCCTAAAAATAACGTTACCACTTACAACAGACTTCTTCTGAAACACTACGAAACAACATAAAGGTTTTGACGAAAGCCTTGTTTTGACACGTCAAATAATCGCCAGATGGAGAATAATTCCAGTCACAGAAGTAAAATTTGGGACCAGAAAGATGACAATTGTTGATTAGAGAAACTGTATAACTCATGAAGCAGTTTAAGGATTTGAACATATGTAACTCTTGGAGCTTAAGAAAAAATGATAGCAAAATACGGCTGCTGAGTTAAGAGTTTAAGCATACTAAAATAACCAATTGTTGTCATTGTCTCAATAAATACTTAATTAGTTGGGAGACTGATGAGATGATGATAGCAATATTTTGCTTTTATAAGCACAATCAATTGGATCAAAGCACAAAGCTGAAATCAGATTCTTGTGTGGAGATAGCAGTGCAGAGAGTGAGAGAAGCAGGAAATGAATCAAGGTAATTAAGCATTGACCATGAACTGAAACAGAGTATTATTAAGTCATTTTCAGGATTAAATGGAAACTATTTTATATTAAAAGATCACATTAGACTTTATCTGCAGACAATGTAAAGGACCACTCAAGAAATTACTGAGCACTGACTACTGACTAACTGCAAGGAACCGACTGCCTCACGACACTAAATACACAGAGAAGATTGTATAGTACTTGCCGGGTTATGAGAAGAGTAAAGAATCTTGTGCTCCTTCGATTCTTCATGCCACTTGTTTCTAAGCACCCTTCGGCCACTTGAGGGATTGTCCTACACCATCATTATGAACCCAAAAAAAACACAATAAATGTTAGCTTTATCTTTTAGATGAGACCATTTCCTTTGCATCGAGTTCTTTTGCTATACAAGTAGATTGGGCCACATCAATGATATTTGTCTTCTTGAAAACCACAACGGAACAACATAAAGACTGCCGAAAGGCATCTTCAAAACCATCAAAACCACAATGAAATGCTTATTATGACACGTCAAAGCGAATGTGGAAACTATTTGCAGCCATATATCTATATTTGGGACGATATTGATTATCTGAATGAGGAAAAAATACTATGCGTTTATGGGTGTGAATATATGTACCTGTCTTGGAGATCACTACAAATGTTCAAATGGGCTCTGGAGATTGATTGTCCTATTAAGGAAACGGAAAAATAACACATAACAAATATGATAATCTCAATCGCTTGCTAGAAACGTGTAACAGAACAAGGAAACCCATTGATGCAAATGAGAGATTTGAGTTTTTACCACAGGGGATATATTAGATTGTCGAAGAGCACGAAGCTGCGTGCTCTCCATGTTTTCAAGTAACTGGGTTACTGTGTTCAGATGAACGCCGCTGTATAAAGAAACGAAACTTGGTTTAAAACACAACAGCTACAAATACGAAACATTAAAGGGAGAAATTTCTTCATATAATCCCCAGTCATTGGTTTTGATTGAAGCTATCTATCAGAAGTTCATAAGTGAATCCATCAAGAGAACAAGATGCATGTTCTTTTGATTAAAACTAAATGCTGTTAAAAAAGGGATGATTCTTGCATGTGAAAAGAGATCAAACCTGTTCAATCCACTTTCTATATGAGCATCCAGAGCTGATATCACTTGAGGAAGCTGCCCCAACGCCTTCAATATTGGAAAAAAACACATAAGAAACAAGTCCTTGTTTATATTATGCTACGCCAAAAATTTCCATACCTGTCCAGTTGCCTTAGTCATAGAAGCTTTCGCCAAAAGATTCTTTGGCAGCTTTGCCAACTGAGCCTGCATATAGCCAATATTCAGTCTAAGCAGCCATTTACTGAAATTTGTGTCTATCTCTGAAAGTGTTCACCAAATTCTATGCTTATATCATCACACCAACATTGTAGTTGAATCAGGCCAAAGACATTTACTGAAATCCCAATCCAACCTCACTAGTGAAGCTAAATTCAACCACTAAGAGATACAATTTCACATGAAGAATGCAAATTTGATCAAAGGTTCGAGAATTTCAGCATTTCCTAAACCAAAATTGTTACGAAAAATAACATAAAACTCATTTCTCCCACAAGCGGAATCACTAAAAGGTTATACAAAATTTGATTCACTCAACCAAAATCCCAATTCATCCAATCGCACGATCCACATCGATACTTTAAGCGCGCGTTAAAAGGTATTTCTAATTCAAGAGTGTACCTGAGAAGGAGAAGATTGACGCATCAGATGGAGAAGGTTAGCAGTAGAATTAACAGCTTGTGAGATCTGATCGGCGACGATTGCTTTCGCCGTTCGATCACCTCCGCCGATTCCTCTCCCCTTTTCCGATGCCGTCGCCATTTCTCTTCCAATTCCGGTTTGGTTCACTTTCTCGTTTTCAAAAAATGGGGAAAATATAAAACAAATCTTCCTCGTTCCCCTCTGCTTTCGATTATTATCACATTGTTCCCAATATTCGTTTTCTATCAATTTGATACCCATATATCAAACCAAAATTGGATTGCGGTTCACAACTCGGTTCATGAAAACCAAAAGCTGTGTAATGACTTTATATTGACAACATTATTGCAGAAAAAACATTTGTAAAATGCTTCTATCATCTCTGGTTTGTATTCAAGTATATAGTATGAAAAAAATGACATTACAACAATTTTCAACATATTCTATTCGTATAACCTATAGTATCAAGAAAAATTACAAAATTGGATCCAACGGGTGAGATATTAGCCAAAAGCCAATTCACATTCTCTCAGGCTCTATGACTCTATCCTACAGAGTAAGTTCCTCTAACGCAATACAGCTTTCTGTTCGGCAACGTCCTCTTGTGATCTTCGAATTGACACTCACCAGAAATCTCAATATGTATCTTAATCTCTTCTTTCTCTTCTTCTTGTTCTTGCTGCTCGTTCTCGGTCTTCACAACTATAGAATGTCCAGTAGAATGCGACCTCCAAAACCGCAGATTCGACGCTTTCATTCGTCTTTCATAGCTCTCGATCTCGTCCGTCTGATCTAAACTGCCAATAGTAGTAGCATTAGGATGATCCTCGTGGACGATGATTGTCAACGTGTCGCCACGAGACAAAGCCTCGTCGTTGTGGCTTTCGGATCCAGCAAGATCGGTTTCAAGAACAGCCGGAGAATCTTCTAGAGCGGTCTGGTCTTCTTCTGCATCAAGCTCGCGTCTGCATACGGGACAAGTCTTGTGGAATTCAAACCAAAGATCAATGCAAATCGTGTGGAAGAAGTGGTTACAAGTGGAAATGAGCCTCATGGTGTCATCATCCATGAAATCTAATAAGCAAATGGAGCATTGATCTATGCCACGGTCTTTGACGGAATAAGGAAACTCAGGGAAGGATTGGATGATCTTGGCGTCGAGGCCGGGGTTTTCAGGTGGGATGGATGGTTGGATTAGGTTACTGGGACGGTTTCGGTTACGGTGGTTGTTAATAGTGGTTAGGACTTTTCTGAAGAAAGATCCACAGAAGAAGAAGGAGAAGAAACTGGTCAAAATGATGAAGAGAAGACCACCGGTCAAAACTATGGTGACCGGCGTGGAGACGAGGGTGTGGACTGGTTTGAAACTGTTCGCAGTGGGAGGGGATATTGACATTTTGAAGACCTGTGGAGTTGAAAAACGGTCGGGTTAAGAAAATAGTGTGACTTGTTTTCATAGATTGCTTGAGGAAGAAGAAAAGGGGTTGTATCTGAGGTTACGTGTGAAAAAAGGTAATCTCAGTGGGGAGGAGAGAAACAAGGAGAAAGGTCAGGTCTGTTGTCGGAAGTTTGAGAGTTTTTTTGAGCGAGTCTTCGGTGAGAAAAGCTAGGTGCCAATCAAATATTTTTTATTTTATTTTACTATTAGAAAAATCATAGAAATTAATAAAATAAATTTCAAAATAAGAATCTTTAAGTTTACGAAATTGATTTTCAAATTTTGGATGCTTTAATAATTAATGTGTTTTTTCTAATCAAGTTGAGGGAAAATACATGGACAAAGTGTCGTTATGGAAATGGGGACCAAAAGGTGTATTTTTAAAAAATTATATAATCGAATGTCACACACTTTTTTTTTTTTTTTTTTTTGTCATAAGATGAATAGTTAACATTTTACAGGTTTCTGCAAAAGTGGAATTTGTATACAAAGTACAAACAAAGAAAGATAAGATTTCAACTTCTTAAGTCTCATAACTTACAACAACAACAACAACAAACAGAGATACAAGCATTACAAAGATACAAACTCTACAAAGAAACTATACCATCACCAGTCACCACCGGAGTTTCAAGTCGGAAAACTAAAAACCCGAACTTAAAAAGAGAAACGAAAACAGATTTGTCATTTTCGCACCAGTTTATCTAAACCAATAAAAAGAAAGAAAGGAGAGATAACTTCATTCAACATCGTCAATCCAATCACCATATATCCGACTGATTTTCGCCGGTCCTTTCCACTTCTGATGAGTTCTGATCCCTGGCTTCTGCGTTACCGCACTAGACGCTCGCTGCAACGCGATTCCGCTACTGTAAACGGCCTCTGCTTGATGAGGAACTCCCGGAGATGGAAGTGTCGTTGTGTCCGACGACTGTCCTCTCGGGCTTGCTCCTACTGTTTGCTTTACCTCCGGGTTGGGCGATACTCCGTCTTTACCTTCTCCTTCTTCTACGAGTCCTCCGCCAAATCTATGCAACTCTGCGGATCAAAAAGACTCAAACTTTAAAGCTCACACGACTTCTGAACATTCCTAAGCTCAGAATAAATGTAAGACAGATTAGCTATCAAATTTTCAAGATTTCAAGCAACTCATAACTCAGCCCTGAGACTAACTAACAATCAACTTGCATCAAGAACTCCTCTGTTTCATTACAAAATCAGAACCAACCAATACATCTCACGCCGAATATAAACAAACGATGCTCTTTCAACAGTCCCACAACGAGCTTAAATGATACAAGTCACACACAAATCAAACCTGGACGCTTCGTGCAGTTTTAATAGTTCTATTGTAGCATTCTGTTTAGTCTCCTATAGCCCTCAAGTTCCATTCTCACTAGTCCATTCATGAAGCACCACTGATTAAAACTTCTACTACTCCTATCTCAACTATATGGCAACCACAGACCACCAACCCCCAAGGAAAAGCAGTCTCATAAAAATACAGAACCCAAAAGAGTGGCAAATAGGCTTGTAACCATAGCTCTGACCTTAGAGCTTCAGCTTCCAATAATCTCTTATAGCATTCTAACATAACCCATTCATCAAACAACACTGGTTTAGAAGTTTAAACAAACATAGGAAAAAGATCACTAATGGAGAGCTTGACTAACCACAAAGAGACCTTGAAATCTATGCTTAAGCAAAAATACTGATTCGGCTCTAAGTTCTAACAAAGAAAAAGCAGGTATCTTTTACCTGCAGCTCCATGAGCAAAATGACACTTAGCACCAAAAGGACAATATCCAGTAATCTCCCATTTATTGCAAATCCTTGTCTTCCAATTTGAAGGCTTTACAATTTGAATTCCATTTCCACTCCCAACACCAACAACACCACCACCACCAAGAACTACCACGTTGCTACTAGAACCACCGCCATTTCCACCACCAGCACCGTAACCACCAGGTCCTAAGCTAATCGCAACGCTTTCTCTATTCCTCGAAGCCTCATCGTGCATAAAGGTACAGCTTTCTCCATAAGGACATCCTTCCTCAGTGTAAAACTTCTTGCAGTGCCTTCCTTTGAAAGATCTCCCACTCTCAGCCGTCGACGACACCAGAGACGGGATCTGAAACTCCTCCCGCGGCTCAGCAGCAACCGCGGGAGTTGCTCCTCCAGTACCGGATCTCTCCTCCTCGTGAGCCGCCACAATCTCCTGCCAATTCGGCGGCGGGCGACGAAGCTCCTCCACCGTGTGAGCGAAGTTGCAATTCGTGATGTACGGGCAAGTCCCCGCACGGAATTTGCAGCAGAGCTTCGTCTTGAAGAACATTTTCCCGATCGCTTTGGTACGGTTGCTCGCGACGGTGGCGGAAGCGGTAGTAGTAGTTGTGGCGGAGGAAGACGACGGAGAGCCTCGCGTTTTCTTGTTCGGAGGACCATTGTCGCCGGGGGAATTATCGGGATTCACGGCCCAGACGCGATTGTAGTCGTCTTCCGTTGCCCAGACGGCGCTGTCGCCGAGATTCGGAAACCAATTCTCCGGCGGAGGATTGTTCGTGGGTATCACGTGAACTACATCTCCGCCGGAATCTCGCCGATGATGATGACTCATAGTGTGAAATCGGAGAAGCCCTAATTTTGTCAAACCAGAAAAATTCTTATTGAATTTCACACAGAAAATCACGGAAAAGCCGAGAAATTTCGTGAATTCCAGAGATGGGTCATCTCGAGAAACATCAAATGCATCGTTTACCGACAAATTTTGAGAAACCCAAGAAAAAAGTATTAAAATGAAAAAAAGCGATAACTGGGGAAATGAATATGCACAGAGATAATCATATAAGAAGAACAAGTAGTATAAACTAGTTCTACGCCACTAAGAAAATTCGTCGTCGAGATTGAAAGATTAGAAGAAGATATTTCGAAAAAAAAAAAAATCAAACAAGAAAATTTTGAGCTTGGAAGTGAGAGAATATAAAGTGGGAAGAAATAAAACGTGTGGACATTGGATAAGATCTTTAATTGGACAATAATTCAACAAAAGCTGAGTAGCAAACAAGTAACTAAATTAGGTAAGTCTGGTGAAAGTAAAATGAGATTAGAGACATTAGATTTGAGATTTGAATTTGAAATCACGAAACTGTATATTTGATCAGACTGTATTAAATGATCACTCAGCACCCATATTCAATGGATATGGCTCACTCATGTGATTTTTACATTTTTTTCCAATTTCATAAAATCGTTGAGTTCCAAACCTCAATTCCTTATATACACTAATGTTGGTTTATTAGAAGACAGATTGAATTGTGGGACGCCTGACTCTAGTAGCTCGCTGGTCTGCGATGGCACATTAATGTGCAACGTGTGACGAGTTCGAAGCTTGAGCAAGGCAGTCAGATAGAGAGCCATTGAGTTCAGAGAGCGCAGCAGCCAGCAGCAGCAGCTCTACCGGTTCAAGAACATTGATCTTGAGAAACATCTGAGATATTTCTAAATATCTTTCTTTTTTTTCCCTAGCGTGAGAAAAAATCTGAGTATTTTCGAACAATTGATTCAAAAAGAACATACATATATTATGCCAACATTTCTTTTCAATACATACTCGTGGTTAATTACTACTTGGGCCTGATTGGTTCTCCCGCTACCACCCGCAAACGCAGCGTTTGCGGTTCGTAGCGGTTCTCAGCGGTTTATAACAATCACGACAACCACTTTGAACCGCTCTGTACCACTCTATATCGCTGGAAATCAAAAGCTCCTTTCCGCAAGCGTTTGCGGTTGCGGGTGGATAATTAAAAAAAAAAAAAAAACACAAACTTATATAAAATCCGAAAATAAATAATAATATTATTAAAAAATAAGATTTGGATAATAAAATCACAATATAAATAAAAAATTAGTACTTTTAGTCAATATTCATTAAAATCATATAATACTTATATATTTATAAGTTCTACAAATCAAAATTCTCTTGATAAATATTCTTTTCATACTAATACATATATATCTAATAAATAAAATTGTAAAATAAATTTAATTTTCACATTAAATATATATTTTGAAAATAAAATCACATTTTTATTTAAATTATAGAAATTAAAAGATAGACGTAAGTATTATACACATATTATTCTTTATAAAAAAATTATTTTTAATTATGTTGAACCATAAATTTAAAATTTTCATTATAATATATTTTTGATATTTTTATAATTATATAATGTGTTTATATTATTAATTTATTGTTTAACCGCTATTGCATCCGCAAATGAACCAGTCATAAGTAACCCGCAAACGCATCCATTTTCAATTGTTATGCCAGTCGTACAAACCGCTTAATAACGCTACTAATCACAACCGCCCGCTTCCGCAAACTCCCGCACCCGCAACCGCAGCGGTTAAACCAGTCAGACCCTTAAAGTAGTTCTTCATCTAGTTACATAAGTTCATATAACTGTCACAAAAATGATATGTATTATGTAAATATTTATTTCCAATATATAAGTTCACATAAATGTCGACGATAAAAAAAGTATAGACGTTGAACATTTTGGCTTTTTATCAGAGGCCAACCAAATCTTTTTCGACCTTATGGATAAATTGTTAATTGTTTGGAGAAATGTCGCCTAGCTTTTGTAGCTCGTCTGGTCAGCGAGACACTCTAAAGTGTTACGCGTGATTGGTTCGAAGCCTCAAGCAAGGCACAAAAGAGAGATATAATGAGAGCTGATGATGATGATGAAGATGTTGAAACTGCATAACATATGAGATATTCTAAAATATCTCTTTTTTAGTTTTTTCTCCAAATTTTAAAAATGAGAAAATGAAGAATATTTGTTGCATAGATGAAAAACGAACGGTTTACCAAAAGATCACTATTTGGATAAATAAGTTTAACGCAGTAGACATGACGCCTAACTCTTGTAGCTTATCTGGTCAGCGAAGGCACATAATTGTGCAACGCGTGATAGGATCGAAGCACGAGTAAAGGCACAAGAGAGAGAGAATGAGAGATGAAACAGAGAAGCAAAGCTTGTTGTATACAAAACCATATGAGATATTCTTAAATATCTTTTTTTTTTCTTTTTTTCCAACATTGTAAAAGCCCCTCTTCTTCACATTTGTAATGTCAGAATAAAGAATTAGACATGAAAACTAATCATTCTAATTTGGTGGTTTACAAATTAGCCAATGATTATTATTGTTTTTTTTTTGATAAAGATGATTTAATCAAAATCAAATCAAATAAAAAAATGATTAAATTTTTAAAACCACCACAGTCCAAAATATACTACAATCATACTTGATGTCCAAGGCCTTTAGATTTCCTGAATTCTTCTGGACGATTTCATTTGGAACGTGATTTGACATAACATCTCTTAATAGTTAATACACAAGTAGTTGTTAAAGGAGATATAGAGTTGAAGTTCACATGTTTTAGAATATAACGACAACACAAAAATTGATACACCATATCTAACATGTTTAAAGATTCTTTCTAAAACATGATGGTAACATAATTGAAACCTGTAATCTAATATAAGATTTTTTGTGTACGTTAAGATGTAATCTAATATATTATAATATAATGTGTACTTATAAAGTCATTATATCATATTTTATATCTAGATTTGGGAGTGTGCATGTGTAAATTATCACATGTTCTTATACTTTTCCAAATAAGAAAAATCAACGAAACGTGTCAAACATTTCCTCTGTTCTTACTAATTCTCCAAGAAACTTTGAATCTGACCGAGTTTAGTCATAATGACTCGTATATATAAACTTCACAATTCATTTTTGTCACATAAACAATCTGATCAAGAAGAAAAACAAAAAACTCTCAACTTTTTAGTATTTCCATTTTCACCTCCAAATCCCATAAATATTACTTTTACACACCAACTTATGTCATCCAGATCGATTTACCGTACTCTTCGACCGGTGCTATCATCTTCGGTACGATACTCCGGTTTAGGTACTGGACCGGGAATAAGGGAACAAGTCATCAGCCACTTGCCAACTGTTCGGTTTTTGAGCTCCGACACGACATCTCCGGCGACTGATAATAACCACCCGGAAACTCCTATCCGGACGGCAGACGGCAAAGTCATATCAACATATTGGGGTATACCTCCGGCTAAGATCACTAAGTCGGACGGTTCAGCTTGGAAGTGGAATTGTTTTCAGCCATGGGATTCATACAAACCGGACGTGTCCATTGATATAACCAAACATCACAAACCGGCCAATTTCACTGACAAATTCGCATATTGGACCGTCCAAACTCTGAAAATACCGGTTCGATTATTTTTCCAGGTATTCTAATCATAACTTTTATAGTTGTTAGATTTTTTTTCAAAAACTGTTCAATAGAACATTTTTAATTTTTGAGGAAAAATAAAAATAGAAGAAAAAAGTGGGAGGGATGAGTTTTTATTGATGTGATTATTTTACGAAGATAATGCATTGGTAAACGTTTTCAAGTGGATTCAAGTCTTAACCATTTGAAAAATCAAATTAGCAATCAACATCTTAGACTACCGCTTAGCTGGCTAAACAGATAAACCTTAGATTGATTGATATCATATAACTAGAGTTTGACCCGCGCCTTGCACGGGTGATATTTTCTCAATTTGATTTTATTAAAAGATGTCTATTTACATACAATTTTAGGAACATAGAGTGTTAGACAATTAAAAAAATGTCAATTTACATTAGACGAAATTTTGAGTGATGCATATTTTTTTAGCCTGGTTTGATTTTTGTCATCGTTTACAGTGTGGTAATCTAACATTTGCTTTAACAACAGTTTCTCCCTTTCCGAACCCACATATATATTAAATTTTAATACATTTAAAATAATTTTATATTTTGATAAATATAAAATGGCATATATATTTTATGTTTTTATCAATTTTAAATAACTAAAATAATTTAACTTATATGATAAGTTATTAGAATTTATTACGTTTAAAATTTTGATCAAACCAAAATATTAAAAATACGATTTAATTATTTAATTCAATTAAAGAATCAAATTAAATCGAATAAAAGAAATTTTAAAGATTTCCAAACATGGTAAATTTTTCTTTCCTATTTGTGATTATGGTTGATCATTATTTGGATCCTATTTTATAATAGGTTTTTGAACTATTATCCCAAAATATAATCATGTGGGACATTTAACATTTTTAGAGATTTGCTTCATTTTTAAAAATTCAAACCATAGCATATGTAGAAAAAAACTAATTTTTTTTTTTAAATATTTTGATGTGATGATATAATTTATTCTTGAAAGTAAAGCTAAACAAAAATGATAGATGAATAAATTAATTTTTAAACAATTAATATAATACAATTGAATAAAACTTTCCATATTTTACTGATTGATTGACTAATAAATAAATTTTCGTCATTACCAAATAAGGAAACTGAAAGAAAATAATTTTCATTAATAATTATTTTTCTGACTAAATTAATCATATATATTTCATTCTCTAACCAAATATGAATGGCATAACATGTAATTAGTCTAGTAATGTTTGTCTTAATTAAAACTAACCTTGAAAGTGAACCTGGTGTTGACACATCAGCATGACATTTCTGTTAATAACACATGAGACAAAGGTTTATTTTATAGTGTTTTCTCTTTTAATATATTAGGGATTTGTTCGTTTAATTTTTCCTAAATTCAATAATTTAACTTTTTGAGTATAGAGAAAGCATATGTGCCATGCAATGTTACTGGAGACGGTCGCAGCGGTACCGGGAATGGTCGGAGGGATGCTTTTGCACTTGAAATCTCTTCGGAGATTCGAACAAAGCGGCGGATGGATCAAAGCATTGCTCGAAGAAGCCGAGAACGAGCGTATGCACCTCATGACCTTCATCGAACTCTCACAACCCAAATGGTATGTATAATGTTTCATGGTTCCTTTCTAATCCTATACCAAATACCACGTATTTTGTTATTTTGTGTATACAATCAAAATATATTGTGTCATTTATTCATTACTAAACCGGATTTTGAAGGTACGAACGAGCGATTGTGTTTACGGTCCAAGGAGTCTTCTTCAACGCATATTTCTTGTCTTATGTGATTTCTCCGAAACTTGCTCATCGCATCACCGGATACTTGGAAGAAGAGGCTGTGAATTCTTACACCGAGTTTCTCGAAGACATTGATGCTGGAAAATTCGAAAACTCGCCAGCACCGGCCATCGCGATCGATTACTGGCGACTGCCTAAAGACGCAACGTTGAGAGACGTGGTCTTTGTCATCCGAGCTGACGAAGCTCACCACCGAGATATTAACCATTATGCTTCGGTAAGAAGTTACATATTTTATTTCTAAAGTGGTATATAAGGGTATAAGAATGTGGATTTCAATAATAAGAACATGGTTAATATGTGCAGGACATACAGTTTCAAGGACACGAACTCAAGGAAGCTCCGGCACCGATTGGATATCACTAAAGAATCATGCGACAAAGCTTTGTATAAATGTATGATACGTGATGTTAAAAAAAATAGATGTGTGAATATATGTGGTTGTATCTCCATATATATATATATATATATAAAACACAATTTGCTCTTTTCTTGATGTGCCACGTCAGTAAAATGACTATCTGAGAAGTTATCATATTAGCATTACTTTTTCAAAAAATAAATTAATACCTATAGTTTATTATATTTATATTATTTAATCATAATAACTATTATTTATTAAATTAATAGATTTAAATAGAATTGGAAAAGTCATTTTGTATAAGAAAATAATTTATATATTAATGTAAACAGTTCTTATTTAATAATTTTAGTTTTCTCAAATTGATTTTAATAGTTTAAAAAATATAATAAATTAATGAGAAAATAAACGGGAACAAAACTGGATGGTAATGAATCAACGGAGCGGAACAAGACGAGAAAAAACAGGATGAGACATAACGAAAAGAAAATGAATGAGAGAAGACAAAATGGGATGAGAATAAATATGATGAGGCAAAACGAGATGGAAAAAAATAAGACAAGTTAGAACTGAAAGAAAATAAATGGGACGAGGCAAAACAGGATGGGAAAGAATGAGACGACGCAGAACGAGACGGGAAGAAACAGGACGAGGCAGAACAGAAAGAAAATACGTTAAATTTTATATCTAATGATATCAATAGTAACAATGTAATATTGTAGTTTTCTGTATAAATTTGTAGTTTTTTGAAAAGAGATTGCTATCTATCTATAGTAAAAAAGGAGATTTGGTTTAATAATCTACTTTTTTTTTTAATAATTTGAAAACTAAACCTTGTTTTTGAAACTTTGAAAACTGATATTTTAAATAAACTAAAAAATAATATTACCTTTTCATAGGGGGAAATGATTTTTTTTTTAAATATATAATTTATGGTATTAGTTTTCAAACATTGGGAAAGAAGTGTTAGTTTTCAAAAATATTTTTAGTTTCTGAAATATTTAATCAAAATTTCCTAGAAAAAAAAATCCCCAAAATATTAATTAGAAGGGAAAATTGGCAAAGTACCCCAAAAAAGGCCTTTCTTGTCCTATTATCCCTTTTTTGACTTTGGCCATTTTTTTTCCATTATTGCCCTTCAATATTGTTTAAACATGATAATGAATATTTTTTTAAGTGAACACAATTTCTAAAAGTCCTAAAAATGATCTAAAGAATGTGTAAAATATTTGAATATTTTTAAACATGTTTTGGATGGTTAAAAAATTCTTTGAAGTTTTGGTTCTACAAAATAAAATATCAAAGCAGAATACGCTTTCTACAAGTTATTCGCAAGTCTAACCGTCGTAGGATATGATATCTACAATTTCTTCATTCATCTTCCGGATTAGACTTCGATATCTACCATATACAATACACTCTACTATTTTGTAGAATTCGCTCCAAAAATATTCTACGGAATACACCATCCGCTACTACTCGTAGATTCCAAATTCTACGGTAAACACTGCTATCTACCAGTCATAGTTTTCGTGTACTACATATTTCATGTTTTTCTGCAAGGCGTAGAACTAGGGATCTTCTAAAAAGAAGACTTCTACAATCCGTAGTATTCGTGTTTTCACAGGATGTTCTACTAAATAGGTTAGTTCTACATTGTGTAGAGTTCATCATCTGCAAAAATCGAGAGAATATTGCAAAAAAATATTTTTCAAATCTTTGTTTCCTTATTTTCATCCAACTATCCGAAAATAAACCTCCATGATCTTCTTCCTCGTCTTCTTCATCCCCTTCCTCCTCTGTAGTCCTCTTTCTCTCTATCCAATATGGTTCAAATCTATGTAGTATGTGGTTCATGGAAAAGGTGTCAAATCAATGGGTGGATATTTGTTGCTGATGAAAGGAAAGGAGGAAGAGTAGTTGGTGTGGAATCTAATACTAAGTTTGACGACCTAAAAGCGATGGTTTTAGAGGATTTCTCTTTCGAGAGCGGAATCGACGTCGAGTTTAGCTATTTGCCACGCGGTTTGATCAACGATGCTATATCTCCCCGAGTTGTGATTTCCAACGATCGGCAAGTGCAAAATTTCGTTGGATACATAAGGAAGCAGGAGTCAAAGCAGTTGTGTTTGACACTTAAGGATCCCAAAGAAAATAGTGGAGTCCACATTGATGGTAATGGTGATCATGGAGGTGTACCTCCAACCGATGGATTATCCCATGTCAAAGATGAGATCAAAAAAGGGAAAATGATAATCAAAGAGATCAATGATGAAGAGGAAGTATTGTCGCAAAAGGAAATCGAGTATGATTATCAATTTCGTGGCGCTTTGATGGAAGCTGTGAAGATAAAGCAAGAATTCAGAAGCAAAAGTCTGTTGAAATCCACTTTCGAAATCCTTGCTATGAAGCACAATTTCGACTACATCGTGCTCAAATCGGACACTAGTTTTTGGACAGCTCGGTGTGTGGTCAAAGAATGCAACTGGCGCGTTCGAGCAGTGAGTCTAAAAGGTACGACCATGTTTGTCATCACCAAGTATGTGGGTGAACACACTTGTGCTCCTTCAGGTAAAGCCAAAATCGTGAGGACAGCTTCAGCGAAGACAATTGGCAATCTCATTATGCAGAAGTATGAAGGTGTCAAAGAAGGACCTAAACCCAATGATATCATTCAGCTGATGCGTATTGAGCACAGATGCAAGATCTCTTACGATCTAGCATGGGAGGCACGTGAGTTTGCTGTCAATTATGTGAGAGGAATACCTGAGGAGAGTTATGCAAAAATACCAAGGTACTTGCACATGCTAAAAGAAGCTAATCCGGGTACCCATACAGCTTTCAAGACGGATCCTGATGGTAGTTTCAGATACATGTTCATCTCTTTTGGTCAGTCTATAAGAGGGTTCTACAAAGCCATGCGACGGGTAATCGTTATTGATGGTACATTCTTGAAGAATAAATACAAAGGAACACTACTAGTTGCTACAGCTTTAGATGGTAACTCGAATTTGTATCCACTAGCATTTGGTGTGGTTGATTCAGAGAATGATCTATCATGGGAATGGTTTTTGAGGCAGCTACATGTTGTTATTGAGGATGATTACGATCTGGCCTTCATCTCAGACAGGAATTTGTCCATTGGCAGACTACTTCCTATAGTTTACCAACGAGCTACTCATGGAATTTGTATTCACCACTTGCTGAACAATGTCATCTCTTATCTACATGGAAAAGGTGTGGCTGCTTTGGTTGCAAAGGCTTCTAAAGCATACAGAATTGCTGATTTTCAGACGATGATGACTGATATCGTTAAGAACAGACCGGATGTGGGGAAGTATCTTGTGAAAGCTGATGTGAGAAAGTGGGCTCGCTGTCTATTTGTTGGATACAGGTATGATGTTAGGACAACTAACCCCGCTGAGTCGTTGAATTCAGCATTGAGATCACCTAGAGAGTTCCCGGTAATCCCTCTACTAGACAGCATTAGAGAAATGTTGACAAGGTGGTTCTTTAAGCGTAGAACATTGAGCTCCAAGCATACCCACCCTCTAACCGTTGCTGTTGAGAAGAAGATTACAAGAAGGACGGAAAAGGGTAAAGCATTCACGGTTCAGCAAGTAGATGCAACTCGATTTGTGGTGGGAGGTGACATCTACGAATGTGTGGTTGATTTGGCGAAGCGAACATGTACATGCGCCAAGTTTGATCTGCAGAAAATTCCATGTAGGCATGCGATCCCAGAAATTTTTGCAATTGGAAAGCAACCACATGAATTCACAGATGAGCTGTGGAAAACTGAGTTATGGAGAGTTGGGTATGAAGAAGCAGTAAATCCAATAGGTGTTCCTGAGGATGCATGGAGTGTCCCCCAAGTTGTTGATGAAGAGATTGTTTCTTGTCCAGAATCACGCAGAGCTGCTGGTAGGAGAAGAAAGAGACGGTTTGAATCGGTTGAGGACAAGATTAGATCGCAGCAAAGGAAGACACACAAGTGTAGTCGATGTGATAATTCAGGCCACAATAGAGCAACATGTGACATGCCAATCTAGTATAACACCATGTTCCATTTGTTTTCTTTGTTTCTGTTGGTTTGATTGTTTGGAGAAAGACTCTGTTTCTGTTATCTTTGTTTATGTTTCTTTCAGTTGTTTTAATTGTTTGGAGAAAGACTCTATTTCTGTTATCTTAGTTCCATTTGGCGTCTTTATACTGCATTCGGTTTTTGGTAATGCTTATGCACTGCGTTTGAACGAAAGAGCAGGAAAATAGACAAAGCAAAACCATTATTTGAAACACTCTATGTCAAGTACACAACCTTAAGAACTGAACACATCAAACAAGAACAATGGAAGATCATGCTTCTACACCTCTTTAACTTAACTTAGCAACTTACTAAACCCAACCATCACCATACATAAAACGATTGCACCAATCACCATCTCCTTTCTCGTATGTGATGATTCAACCAAAGCCTCTTCAATCTTCATTTTCACTTTCTCAAACACAAGCCTCTCAAACTCCATCCTCTCAATGGTAACCGCTTCAAGTTTTTTCTCAAGCCTTGCATTTCTCATCTTCAATCCCTCTATCTCATCTAAGTGAGCCTCATCCACCCACTTGAATGTGTGGTTATCATTCATAAGCTACATCCATCAAAACAACTACTTTTGAAAATCGGCATTACAAAAACAATGAATGAGAGATTGTGATTATTATTGACACTTACTTTATTAGATACAGCATATCCGCAGCGATAGTACCGCCGGTACGGATTGTTGTTCGATTTGGAAATCAATTCCACGATTTTCTCTCCACATGAACAAGTTTTTGGCACTCCATAAACTCTCCCTCTTGGACAACCAACTGATGACCCACTAGAAGCTCCAGAGACGTTACTCATCGCCTAAGATCGGCTGCTAAAACCCAGAAACGAAATAACCTTAGACAATTTGGGATGGCTTGCGAAATCGGATTCTAGGGTTCTTCTATGTCGAAACCAATTCTTATGTTTCAATAGATTTGCCATTTCTCAAAACGACGTCGTTTTGTTTCCTGATTTCATCTGATTATACCAAACCAATTCGAGACACTGGTACGATTTAAGTGAACCGGTGTTAAACCGACGACTTTTTGTTTCGTTATTTCATTTATTTCTTGTAAACTTCCTCTCTAGACACTTACAATGAAATATTTCTTGTAAACTTCGCAAGATACAAGCGTCCATCTCTCAAACAAAAAGTGGAAATACAAAGACAATATCAAACCAAAGACAATAACACAACCAATGTTTCAATGGATTTGCCATTTCTCAAAACAATAAAGTGGAAATACAAAGAGAATATCAAACCAAAGACAATAACACAACCAATGTTTCAATGGAGTTGCCGTTAGTTCTCAAAACAATCAAGGAAATTGTAACAAAAAAACCAACACATAAATACACCAACCGGAGTCTATCCACGCGAGTCCAGGTGTTGGCCTCCTGGAGATGCTTTTTTCTGATTGTCTCAAAGCTAATCTTCCCATGAGTCTTTAACATTGTACTCCAAAAACCTCCATCGTCAACCCAATTGGTTTCGTCTGAATTGCCATCAGCTACGCATTTGAGACCGGTGACAGCATGAAATTCTTGCAAAGAGAACCGCAGTGGCCTTCTTGCGAAGACGAACCAGAGCTCATGCTTCTTTGCGGTGACAAGCTGCCTGGTCATGAAACTATGCACCAGTTTAGCTGAGAAATGCAGCCGGTTTTCGTGGATGGCTATGATTTTAGCAAACAATGGGTCTCGCTTCACTTCTGTGTACTCTGATTTCACGCCGTTTGCCAGATCAGTCAATATCGACATTCTTGCACACTTGTTTATCTTGTCACACTGTGGTTCGGCTCCTTCTGCATGTAGTCTCTTCGGCAACTCAGAGTCCATATCTGCACCCACCAAAATCACCAGAAAATAAATTGTTAGGAAAAGATCGAGAGAAACCAAAGTGCAGTAGAGTTTGACTTTATCATCAACAAATATCGTAAGAGTTAAACAGATATCGTATCTTATCACATACACGAGTTAAACAAGCCAAAGCAGAGGAAAAGAGATGTAAAAAATCAAAAAGGGCAAACTAGATATAAACGATGATGGCAACCAAACAAGAGACAAAGGAAATCACAGCAAATATCAAGAAACAAGAGTCAATGAAACTGCGAAAAAAAACATCTTACAAAACAGAACAATTACATATCATGTCCATCAGTAATAGTGAAAAGAGTAATTTGAAGGAAATCATTAAGAATCACAGGTCAAACAATAACATAACCGAGTGATGAAGACACATAGCCGAAATGAGAGAAGAAATAAACACCAAATTGAAACAACAAGCAGAAAACAGAGAAGCATAAGTATAAGTGTGATAAAAAAACAAAGGCATCCATCACTACTCAATTTTCATATAATACAATCTACGCATTGAACACACTATTACTCTAAGTTATTAAACCAACGAATTCTAGAAGTTCATAACCACAGTATAGCAGAAAACTTTTACCTCTTGCTAGCGGAAGTTAGTGGCTGAGATACCGAATGCACTTCCACACGGATTAAATAAGACAACAGAGGCTGTAAGAAGAGCAAGACGATCATCAGAGAAAAAGTACATAAAAAGACGCAAATCATTGCTTAGTGTTTAGAAAAACAGAGAGCATTAAATCATCACAAAAAGTACACAAATCACTGTAAGCAAAGACACAATTTGAAATGTTCAATTACTCAAATCATACATAAGTACACAAACTACCAGCTAAAAATTGGTAAACAATGCGAGAACAAACAAAAACCAGGAAAGGAGAGAGCATATAAGGTGTTAACGAGAAAAAAATCTACTGCTTTTTGCAAAACCCAAAATCAAATTCTCAAACACTCAAATCTAGCAAACCCTAATCGCATGCTGTCAAAGACCTTGAGTTCGAACCAATTCTACTAATAATCTGTCTAAGAAGTGAATGAACTAACCGGTTTCTAAAGAGGACCAATCACATCACAAACCAGAGCAAAACATTGAAAGACATAAATGACAGATAATGTGATTGTGTACAATCATTGATCAATATCAAAGTGTCTAAAGGTCAATAGCACAGTATGTAAAGGTCAATATCAGAAACTCAAAGAAGACAAGCATTGAGTCTAACAGTTTTTACGATAGCTTTGCAAGGAGAAGACTTCAATTATATGACAACTTAAAGGATCAATAGAGATAAAAGTATATAAACCATCAATTATATGACAACTTAAAGGATTAAAGAAAGTTACTAATTCAGAAAAAAATAACCATCTAAGCAGAAGACATGTACAAAAGTATCTAAACAAGCAACAATTCCAATGTATCATTCCAAACAAAATCGACTCTAGCTTTGAACAAAACATGGAGCAAATGATTCTGAGGAATAAGGTATTAACGAGAAAAAAATCTATTGTCTTTTGCAAACCCCAAAATCAATTTCGCAAACACTAAAATCAAGCAAACCCTAATTGCATGTTGTCAAAGCCACGAGTTCGAACCAATTCTACTAATAATCTGTCAAAGAAGTGAATGAACTAATCGGGGATTCATTAAAAAAAGTGAATGAACTTACCAAGTCGATTTCAAAGTTAATCGGGGATTTTGAGACAAATCGACAGAACTGGTGTCGGCGGTGGGAGAGCGAGCGAAGGAAACGTCTATGGAGAACGGAGCGAGGATGCGCGGCGGCGAAGGCGAGTGACGGCGAATCGGGGATTTTGGGACAAAGCGAGAGAACTGGTATTGGCGGAAGGCGGAGCGAAGGAAACCACTATGGAGAACGGAGCGAGGATGAGCGGCGGAGACCGAGCGAGTGACGGCGGCGAGCGACGGCGAGATTTAGGGTTCGATCGAATTTCTCCGGCGTAGTGAGGGAGAGAAGAGAGGTCGAGTTATTTTGAATGGAGCTTATGTCGATTTTGTTTTATTATTCCCTTTTCTATTTTATTTTTCTGTATGTTTTAATTATTTAATCGAAAAATGTTTTAATTTCTCCGAACACATTACCAATTCAATTTGAAGGTCAAAAATATCCAAATTACTTAAAAAAGTATATTAGGACAACAACAAGATGGAAAAGTGTAGTGGGACAAGAAAGGCCTTTTTTAGGGTAAATTGGCAATTTTCTCTAAATAGAAAGTGGTTTCAAAAAGTTAAATCACATAAATTTTCTATGTTTGACATTTTGACTTAAAGCTCAAATTTGACCCTGAGACTATGTATAATGATTTTTATACTTTTAACACCTTACTTTATGTTTCACATCATCATTTCTCTCTTCCACCTCATTATTAAACACCTTTTTCAACTTTTACTATCTACAATAATTTTGTTTAATAATATACAACATCTTACCTTACATTTTTGTTATATATTTTTATTGGGATTAAAAGAAAAATATAGAAAATATGTATTTTTTTTTCTGTGTCCGAATGAAATGAAACAAATCTCTATTTATAGAGTATAAAAAATGAAAAAATTTGGTATAAAATTTGTTATTTAAAAAAATTAATTTTGATTGAAATAATTGTGATCAAATTTTTAAAACAAGTCTCATAACACGCACTCCTATCTTTCGAATTATAATGCGACATATGTCTTTAGTGGGGATCCAGTTATTTCTTATCTAATATGTTATTAATTTTCAACGGTGATTTTGGCAAGTGATTTTGGCAAGTGATTCAGATACTTTTCAACAGCCTCATTAAAGCAACTTCACCGTTGAATGTTATTATCAACAACCTCATTGTACATGGTCTAAAGTAAAAAAAACCCGTCAAAGCAGAGCTTCTTCCTTTCCGACAAACGAGTTGCCTCCAGAGTTGACCCCACGTCATGAGACGAACACACGGAGGTAGTGGCAAAAGCAGAGGCCGCCGCTACATCCGCCGTGACGTCGAAAATCGTGGGATTGCGAATCCAGTCAACGATCATCTTCAACAATCGGATTCAGAGCATCAGCAACAAGACACGACCACCGCCACCGATCGGTCGTCTTCCGCTTTTCCGTCTACTTCTCAGCCACATCAAAACCTCGATCATCCCACAAAACCTCACCGGAATCCTAGTTCCGGGTCTCGGAGTCGGCGCGGCGGTGAACCAAATTCAAAATCCCGTTCGGTGGAGAAATCGGAGGTGAATTTTCCCGAACAGGATTCTGCGGATTGCTTGGCTGATGAGTTGAGTAGCTCAAAACTGCAGCAGAAATTAAATTCAGTTTCTGTGAATAATAATCACTCAAGTGGAATTTCGAATTCGGAGGAGGAAGAGTTTCATCTCGGAGGTGATCATTCGAATTGTGAGGAATCGGAGGCGAAGAGAGCTGAAAATGAAGCAATCGCTGATGCTGGTGATGATGAGTATGCGTATGAGACTGAGGCAAAGGAAGATATTATGCTGACGATTCTGAAAGATTTGCGATCTACCGTCACTGAGCCAGAGCTAACCGATGAGCAGCTAAAGTTGAATGATCAACTGCAGGAAGATGAGGTTAACCGTTAACGAGAGCTAGAAAGTTTTTAACTTTTTGGTATTTTCAGTAGCATAAAGGACATGTTTTTATAGAATTTGCTATTTAGGCTTGATAAAAAAAGTTAAAAGAGTTTGAATTTTGCCATGCTCTGATATAGTGAAATCCTATTTCCTGTAAAAAAATGAGTTATTTCGAAGATTCTTTTTCGTTCCAAATCTATTTGAAGTTGCTGTTTTTATTGGTCTGATGCTCTGATGGATTTGTCGACCTTTAAATTTACCTGCTTTATACAGACTAATGCATTACTCTTTGTTACCAACTTAGTTGCTCTGTTCACATAGACTTACTGGTTTGTTTGAAACTCTCTCAGCTTCTAGCACTTGGCTACATCTATGGAGGAAACATGTTCATACTTGACCGACATAAAGATATGCGTTACTTTCAGGTCAGTACTTACAGGTTTCATATCGATAATGTGACATAACAAATGTGACCCTTTATCGGTTTTGCAGATTCATGTAAACGTCGAAGCGACTAGTGAACATACTGTCTCAGCGAAGCTAAACTTACAAGCTGATACAAGCAAGGACTCAGAGGATTTCCATTACTCATTCAAGGCTCAACACCTTCCTCCGATTGTGCTGACATGTTTACTACCAACTTCTTATCCGAGCCACTTACCGCCTTACTTCTTAATAAGCGTTCAGTGGATGAACCCTGACATCATCTCGAGTCTCTGCTCCATGCTGGACTCGTTATGGACGGAGCAGCCAGGGCAAGAAGTCTTGTACCAATGGACAGATTGGTTACAGAACTCGTTGCTTTCTCATCTCGGCTTTGATAACGAGATTGTTCTTGGTCCTTATGGCGTTACATCCTCCAGAGATAAACGTGCTGTTTCCGGAAGTCGTTCTCCGGATGTAGATATCCCTTACATTAGGAGCTACGACGACGAGAAACGCCACGAGAGCTTCCTCAAGAGCTTGCACGAGTGCTGTATATGCTTCTCCGAGTCTGCAGGGTTCGACTTTGTGAAGCTACCGTGTCAGCATTTCTTTTGTGTGAAATGTATGAAGACCTACACGGACATACACGTCACTGAAGGCACGGTCAACAAGCTTCAGTGTCCGGATTCGAAATGTAAAGAGATTGTGCCGCCAGGTGTGTTGAAGAGGTTGTTGGGAGATGAAGCGTATGAGCGTTGGGAGAGTTTGATGTTGCAGAAGACGCTTGACTCCATGAGTGACGTCGCCTACTGTCCTAGATGCGAAACACCGTGCATAGAGGACGAGGAGCAGCTTGCTGTTTGCTTCAAATGCTACTACAGTTTCTGTACGCTTTGCAAGGAGAAGAGACACGTTGGTGGGACTTGTATGGACCCGGAAATTAGGCTTCAAATCTTGGAGGTAACGTTACTGTATCAAAACTTTGATCAATGATTAAGAAAAACTTAAAACCGGACGCTTTCTTACATTTAGTTCCATTCAGGATCGTCAAACTAATTCTTGTCTTGGAGAGGAACAAAGGCGAAAAGAGAGAGCGATGATCAATGAGATGATCAGTGTGAGTGTGATAAAGAAAAGCAGTAAGCAATGCCCGTCTTGCAAGATGGCCATCTCGAGAACCGGAGGTTGTAACAAAATGGTCTGCAATAACTGTGAACAGTACTTTTGCTACCGTTGCGGAAAAGCCATCACTGGCTATGAACATTTCGAGTTAGTGATTTTACATTTATTTATATAGATATTTATATTTATATCTTGGAACTAAGATAATGATCTTTTTAAGGGAGGGAGGAACATGTGAGCTTTTCCCACCAGATGCGATCCAAGAATGGAATGAAAGGATGAATGCGAGACACGTCAATCAGATTCAAGCTCAATTGTTTGCACCGCACGGTCAGTTTCCACAGCGCGGTCAGTTATGTCCTAATTGCCGCCAGTTCAACGCAAAGGTAAAAAAAAAAAAAAAAAAAAAACTCACGCTGTTCCATTACCAATGTTGAAACGGAACGAGTTTTTGGTGTTAATGAGATGATTTCTTGTGTTGGTTATTATTATTGTGTAGTTTGGAAACAACAACCACTTGTTTTGCTGGGCATGTCAAGCACATTTCTGTTATCTTTGCAAGAAAGTGGTGAAGCGATGTGCTCAGCATTATGGACCAAAGGGTTGCAAGCAGCACACAGATGGGTAAAGGCATGTTTTGGAAATGATCAAACTCAGATTCTGTTTTCCTTCTCCAGAGGTTTTTCGTTTGTTTTAAGGGGTTTGATTTGTTATTCGGCTTTGGTTTCAGTATTTATTATTATGTGTTCTTGTTGTGTTTTCTCATTTGCTTAAAGTTCAATAAAAAGATTGATGAGTTTGGTTCATTCGTTGAAGATAACCCATCTCTTCTTACGTTTTCCTAGATTCGATTAGTACTTTGACAAAATTAAGATAAATTAAAAACCCAAAACCTTTTGTTGGGCGTACAAAGAAGAACAGGTTCAGGGAGGATTGCTTAAAGCAAGGAGGTTCAGCTCCAAGATTGCCATGGTTTCTTGGTATGTACTTCGTGTATACCTTAATGTTATTTTCTTCTTGATGTGTTACAAATCGAGAGGCTTTTGTCGGCTTCTGTATAAAATGTGGCAACTTGAAGTGAAGAAGCTATAACAGTGTTTGAAGAAGTGGCTTTGTTGAGGCGATATCATAATAGACGATAAATGAAAGTGATCACATAACAATAATGCTATGTGCAACTTCTTGCAGAGAGGCAAGAAAAATCAACGTCTTTGACTAATTGATTTTGACTAACTTTTGTGTCGGCAAAAGGCTCGTGAATGTAGAAGTCAAACAACTATCTTCTTTTTATTGGTATAGCTATTTGATTATATTATTGGTTTCTGTTAACTAGTTAACTAAGGTTTAAACATTAAAGTTTGATTAGTGAGATAAAACCAAAATGTCTCATTCTGCTTTGTCTTTTTCCTTCTCTTTGTCACTGGTTTATTGGCATCACTGATTCACCAGATAAGCTCAAATATTTTCAGGAAGAGAAAACTTCTATCAAGTCTTGTGGAATCAAAGAAAGGTTTTGATTCTGCATTGTTCTTAAGATATTGATTTTTTTAGATTGTTACTCTCTCTCTATGTATTCTTCTTCCTCGTATCGGAATTGGTTATATGACGTCTTTCCTAGCTTCAGCGGGGAAGATATCCGCAAAACCTTCCTCAGCCATCTTCTCAAGGAGCTCGATCGCAAACTGATCAGTGTTTTCAAAGACAGTGAGATCCAGAGAAGCCATTCAATCGCTCCCGAGCTTGTTCAGGCAATTAGGGGTTCCAAGATTGCAGTAGTCGTGGTTTCCAAAAACTACGCCTCTTCAAGCTGGTGCCTTAACGAGTTACTAGAGATTGTGAAATGCAAAGGAGGATTGTGTCAAGTGGTGATTCCTATTTTCTACGGCTTGGATCCTTCTGATGTGAGAAAACAGTCAGGAGACTTTGGAGAATCCTTTGAGAAGACTTGCAAGAACAAAACAGAAGATGAGAAACGGCTGTGGCGGAAAGCTTTGACCGATGTAGCGAATATCTTAGGATATCATTATCTGAACTGGTATGAATTTGTGAATCTTTATATGTTGTTCTATATCTTGATTGCTGGGAATGATCTTTCTTCTTTTTTTGCTAGGGACAATGAAGCAACAATGACTGAAGCAATTGTCAATGATGTTTTGTGTAAACTGAATTTTACTACGTCCCAAGATTTTAAGGACTTTGTTGGGATTGAAGATCATATCGCAGAGATGAGTTTATTGTTGCGACTGGAATCTAACGAAGTGAGAATGGTTGGGATTTGGGGTCCCTCTGGAATTGGCAAGACTACAATTGCTAGGGCTCTGTTTAGTCGAATCTCTCCTCGCTTCCAAGGTAGTATTTATTTAGACAAGGCTTTCATGGCTAAGAATTTAGAGATTTATAGTAAAGCCAATCCGGATGACCACAACATGAAGCTGCATTTGCAAGGTACTTTTCTGTCCGAACTTTTAGACAAAAAGGACAGAAAGGTAGATCATTTAGGTGCAGTTAGAGAAAGGCTAAAGTACATGAAAGTTCTTATCTTTATCGATGATTTAGATGATCGGATGTTGCTAGATGTCTTGGTTGGTCAAACTCATTGGTTTGGATGTGGGAGCAGAATCATTGCGATAACGGATGATAGGCACAAGCTAATAGCACATGGGATTCATCTTATTTACAAGGTTGGTCTCCCATCTGAAAAGCTTGCGCTTGAGATGTTTTGTCAATCTGCTTTTGGGCAAACCTCTCCACCTAAAGGTTTTGAGAAGCTTGCTTCTGAAGTTGCAGTGCGTGCTGGATGTCTACCTTTGGGTCTTAAGGTGATAGGTTCGTATATGCGAGGAAGGAAGCAAGAGGATTGGATTCATATGTTGCCTAGGCTTCAGAGAAGTTTGGATGGAAAAATTGAGAAAGCATTAAGAGTCAGCTACGATGGGTTAGATAGTAAAGAAGATAAAAGCTATATTTCGTCACATTGCATGTCTCTTCAATCTTGAGAAAGTCAAAGACATCAAGTTGCTCTTAGCAGATAGTGACTTGGATGTTAATATTGGGATTAAAAACCTAGTCGATAAGTCCCTCATACATATAAGACTGGAGACGGTTCTGATGCATTGTTTGCTACAAGAAATGGGTAGAGAAATCGTTCGTACACAGTCCAGTGAGCCCGGAGAACGGGAATTCCTAGTGGATTCGAACGATATTTGCGATCTCCTTGAAGATAATATCATCAGTTTTCTTGTGACCCTTTTATAACTCACTATATAGGATACTGCTTTTGTCTCTTTCTTTGGTTTTGTCTCTTTCTTATGGAACTTATGTTTTCACTTTTCAGGGTACTAGAAAGTTTTTTAGGTATCTCATTCGATATAGATGAGATAGATGATTTGTTAGTACATGAGGAAGCCTTTAAAAGGATGAGAAATCTTCGTTTTCTGAAGATTTATACAAAGGCATCGATGTCGGAAATAGAATGCAGATTGCATTTTCTCCAAGGCTTTGACTGCTTTCCTCCTAAACTCAGGCTACTGAGTTGGGTCAGATGTCCATTGTCGTGTATGCCTTCTACATTCTGTCCTAAAAATCTCGTTAAACTCAAAATGCCGGAGAGCAAGCTCGAGAAGCTGTGGGAAGGAGCAGGGGTATGTTTATTACAGTATATACCTTTTAGTATAACTGTAAGTTTGTAATATCATTAGTATCTTCCACTTTTCTCAGTGTGTTTACTTTTTGGTTTTAGTCACTTGCATGTCTCAAGGAAATGGATTTGGAGGGATCTGAAAAATTGAGAGAAATTCCAGATCTTTCAATGGCGACCAATCTTGAGACACTTAATCTCAGGGACTGCTCGAGTTTGGTGGAGATTTATTGTTCCTCTGTACGGAATCTGAATAAAGTGAGGAAATTGGATATGAAAAGATGCACAAAGCTCAAGAATCTTCCTACCGGGATCAACCTTGAATCTCTAAGGTACTTCGATCTCAGTGGATGCTCACGGTTGAGAAGATTTCCTGATATTTCAAGAAACATCTCAAAGCTCCATCTAAACCAAACAGGGATCGTCAAAGTTCCTTGGTGGATTGAGGACTTCACTCGTCTCGAATTCCTATTTATGAAGGATTGCAACAAGTTAAAACATATATCATTAAACATTTCTAAATTGCAACATCTTGAGTTTGCTGATTTTACAGACTGCAGGAGGTTGACTGAAGCTAGTTGGCATTATCATCCCTCAAGAATGATATCTGCGGAGATTGACTCAATTCTTGAATTCGATTTCATGAACTGTTTAAATTTGGATCAAGAAGCTCTTCTTCAACAAAATCCAGTTTTCAAGCTTATGATCTTGCCAGGGGAAAAAGTGCCTCCATATTTCGTTCACCAAACTACCACCGGAAACTCTCTGGCTATTCCTACTTTTCTCTGCGAACCGTGCTTCAGAATTAGGGCTTGTGCCGTGGTTGATGCTGTATCCAAATCCACACTTGATTTCACACATGTAGCTATCCAGGTATATTGTAAGCTTAGAAGCGACATAATCTGGAAGCAATGTGATCATAGCTTCGTGATATATCATAAGGCTAGTCATGTGGTTATATTCAACGCTTGTTTTCCTCTAAACAACAAAGACAGACGATGTTTTCCCTCTTGCTGACGTCGTGGATATCAAGTTCTGTCTCACTAGTGATGACTCTCTGTGCAAAATCAAAGGATGCGGTTTACGGGATTTGATGCCTCTCAGTCATCGGATGTTCTTGAGGAAAATGAAGAATCAAAAAGCTTTGGGCAAAGCTTCTTAGCTTGGTTTTTGTCAAGGTGCTTTTGGTCAGCTTCTTGTAGGTGTCAACCGGGTAAGACTCTCTCTCTCTAGAAAATGAATGACACAAGAAGTAGAACCATTACAACCCCTAATCATCTACTTTCTTTCAGCTCAGGACCCAGGTATCAATATCCATTCTCAAGCAGGAGCATAAATTGGCGATTTAGGAAGCTGCAATTCTGAGGCAGAGTGTTGGGAGTACCTTTTGCCTTCCTTTGTTGGACCACTTAACTAACCACACTCTGGTTATCTTCTGGTTTAGTATTTGCCTCATTCGTAGTTAACAAAACCTTTGTTCTTTCTTGATGTTACTTTCTTTATCATACACACTTAGTTAAGCTCTACCAAGTGTGATTCTATCTATATTCATGGGAAATTTAGCTAACACTTACCTCAAAGAACGCTTCTACATTATTACAAAAACATACCTAACCATATACGCTGTATCGATTGTCGAGCATGCAAGTGGGCAAACACTATGATGATGCTTATCTACAAGCTTCCTGAGACATCTTTTTTTTTCTTTTCCTGAGACATCTTAATGTGTTAATTCCATTACTTCTAAAAATATATTATATCATTGTAATGATTCAAAATTTAAATTACTTTCAGACTTATGGCAAGAAATTTATAAAACATGAATTCGTTTTGTAATTGTATTTTCCTTTTTTCTAGAAATAAATTTGGTTGCCGTGTCAGGCGAGTCACTCTGCCCATAAAGCAGTGTAACGGCCAATGACAAAACGACACGTAGGCAAATCTCCACTTTTTAGAGACAAAAAGGAAATGTCCATTTCCGTAATTTCGCCATTGCTCATGGGTCTCCCGTCGTCTCTGTTTCTCCTTCCTCCATCAATTTCAAAACTCCCTCAGATTTCTCGCTCTCTCTCTCTCTTACTCGCTCGTCTTTCGTCTTTGAGATTCTCTATATAAATTCACGGAGATCAAATTCCAAGCTCTCCCTCACCGGATTAAAACTCGTTGGGTTTATCAGTTGCTGAAACCCTAAGCTTTTCTCAAATCCCATTGTTGACTAGGAAATCAAAATTCGGAATGGATGGGGTAAAAATCGATAATAGAAGCAATAGCGACGTTGGAGGAGGAGAAGGAACAATGGAATCAACGGAGATTAAGCCTCCTCCTCCTCCTCAACCGCAGCCTGTGGCGGTTCTAAGTGCAAACGCGCCGCCTCCGTTCCTGAGCAAGACGTATGACATGGTTGACGATCCAGCTACCGATTCGATTGTCTCGTGGAGTCCTAACAACAACAGCTTTATCGTCTGGGATCCACCGGAGTTCGCAAGAGATCTTCTTCCCAAGAATTTCAAGCATAATAATTTCTCCAGCTTCGTCAGACAGCTTAATACCTATGTAATTCCCTCTTTCCCTTCATAGTTATCTCATTTCCCAAGTAAACAGTAGCATTGTTGTGAACTTAGTTTCATTGCTGAAGTTTCTGCATATATTTGATGCTGATTTACTGAGCAGTGGTGTTTCCAGCTTCTACTGAACAATGCTTTAGCCAATAGAATGGATAGTTAGATTTCTGAGTATGCCAATAGATTGAAGATTGTTTTCTTGTGATTGTTTAGTATAAAACCTCAGGGTTTTGAAATTCCTGTAGATGTGCTGCATTTCATCGTCCATAAGCTAAGCTTTACCAATAAGAGTTTATCAATCGCTTTCTTGTTGGGGAAAATTAGGAATAAATTGTTACCACGGCTAAATCAGGAGCAACAAGGCTAGGCAGTTTTGCAATTGAAGTCATTTCTAGCAGATTTCCACGGAATGCAGATTCCTGGTTTAGTTAATGGTGTAGATGAAATAAAATATTTGTAAGGGCGTTGATGAAGCTTACACGACATACACAGTTTGGGGGTATAAGAATAGCTGAATAAAGTCTCTTTTCTGGTTTAAGCGTTACTGATTGGATTAGTGCTTTCTTTGTCTGTTTTGGCTCTATGTAATCAGGTTTAGTAATAGGTTTAGACAATAATAAGCCTTCCTGAATTTTCTCAGCATTATTATGGAGAAGAAAGAAGAAATTGGAAAAGAGAGCAAGTCTCATGTTGATCATGACCTGAGTGCAAGGTTATTGGACCTTCTTTTATTTTAATGGAGAGCGCACGTCTCTGAAAATCTATTAAGCCAAACGTGATCAGTACTGCCTGGAATAGAAACTAGACCATAAGTAGATATATGGGTGTTCGGTGTTGCAATTTCTGTGCTGTTATTAGGATGTTTACAGTTTTCATCTGGCCAATCAGTTGCGGGGATCATAGATTTGCTCTGTACAGTTGCGTTTAGACTAAATAGTTATCAGCTCATATAGGCTGGATGGAGCTAGTATTGCCTATATAAGCTTTTCTCTATAGAAAGTTGTGGTGAACGGCGCTTATACTGCCTAATATTTAGAGTAGGGATGCTAATAATGATGCAAGATGGTGAAAGATGATGAATTTTTCTGCAGGCAGTTCTCTTTATTAGTTTATTCAATGCATACTCTGACATAAAGATTTTACTGTTATATCATAGAGACCTTTTACTCTCTTAGTTTTCAATGATCTCTATTGGATATTTTGGTTTTTCTTTGGTTTTTCTTTGGTTTGGATGGTAGGTTAGAGCCATCATAAGAACATGTATTTAGCTGTTACATGCTTCATCTGTTGACCATGGCTTCTGAATGAAATTTGCTCTGGAGCATGTGATTCCAACTAATAAGTTACGTCCTGTCTATAGCTGTTTGTATCTGTGAATAGTTTGGCAGCTAGGCTCTGTGTTGAAATTTTAGATTTGCACTTCTTAAGGTTTTACCCTATTTGCCCACTTCTTTCTCTTTTGTTCTGGTGGAATCCATGATCATTCCAATGTTTCCTGCCTTTTCTTGAAACAGGGTTTCCGGAAGGTTGATCCAGATAGATGGGAATTCGCGAACGAAGGTTTCTTAAAAGGTCAGAAGCACTTGCTTAAAACAATAACTAGGAGAAAACCTGCCCAGGGACATGGAAACCAGCCATCTCACCAGCACTCAAACGGTCAAACCTCATCCGTCAGTTCATGCGTAGAAGTTGGCAAATTCGGTCTCGAAGAAGAAGTCGAGAGGCTTAAAAGAGACAAGAACGTCCTCATGCAAGAGCTCGTCAGGCTAAGACAGCAGCAACAATCCACCGATAACCAACTTCAAACGATGGTCCAGCGTCTCCAAGGCATGGAGAATCGGCAGCAACAGTTAATGTCGTTCCTCGCAAAGGCAGTGCAAAGCCCTCATTTTCTATCTCAGTTCTTGCAGCAGCAGAATCAGCAGAACGAGAGCAGTAGGCGAATCAGCGATACCAACAAGAAGCGGAGGTTCAAGCGAGAAGGCATTGTGAGTAATAATAATAATAAGGATTCTTCTTCTGCTGCTTCTTCTCCTGATGGACAGATTGTGAAGTATCAACCTCCGATGCACGAGCAAGCAAAGGCAATGTTTAGACAGCTTATGAAGATGGAACCTTACAAAACCGGCGACGATGGTTTCCTTTTAGACAACGGTACTTCTACAGCTACAGAAGGAGCCGATATGGAGATTTCGTCGAACCAAGTGTCCGGTATAACTCTTCAGGAGATGCCAACAACAGCTTCTGAATCAACTCCTGAAAGCGTTACAGTACCTCCGGCGACTGAAGAAGCAATGCCTTCAGCTGATGATCTATCCGAATTCGCTGATATGCTAATGCTACCGGAGAACATCGCCGAGATGCCTCCGGAGAGCTTCATGGAGCCAAACATGGAAGGCTCTTCTAGTCTTTTTCTAGATTCAGATCTGTTCATCGATGGCTCTTTGCCTTTTGACCTCGACGACATTCCAACGGATCTGGATTTAGACCCTTCGGTTGCTGATTACGCTTCGCTTTTCAAAGACTGTCTAATGTCAAGCCCGGTTCCTGATGATATGGATTTGACAACCAAGGAGGATGAGACGGGGGAGAAACAAAAGGGATGGGACAAAACTGAACATATGGATAATCTTACTCAACAAATGGGTCTTCTCTCGCCTGAAACTGAAACCGTAGATCTTTCAAGGTAATTAAAGATAAGTTTTAGTATTAAACAATCTGAGACACATCAGCTATATTTTGCTTATATGTCTTCGTAATGTTCATTTTTCCTTCAGGCAAAATCCTTGATTTTGGGAGTTTTGGAAGTCTGTAACAGAGCCTACTCTGTTCCTTGAGACCAACATATTCATTTTGTTGCACTGATGATTTTGTTTGTGTCTTCTTCTTCTTTAATATCAAACTTGTATAACATTCTCTGTTTCTTACAACTGTTCATTTACAGTCTCAAGGTTAGAGAATTTTTGTCAAGTTTCAATCTCTTGTGAAACTTTTTTGCCATTTGCTTGAGGCTTGAGCAATACGATTAAACCAAATTATAAGTGTGCCATTTTAAAAAATTGTCTTTGTTTTTATTCAAAAATTGAACCGTTGAAATCAAAATTTATAAACTAAACCGAAAGATGAAGAACAAAATTTGTGAGAGATTACTACTACAATCTGTTTTTCACAAAAGGATGAAGAAGCTCTTCAACAGTGCCTCTCTTCCTCCAATCCGTCTCCAAACATCTGTCAACAAAACCTCCAATCTCCGGCGAACCACTCACCGGAATCTCCACCTTCTCATTACAGCAAATCGCACAAATCAGAGCCGCCCAATCCGGTTTACCTCCAACTTTGGTCAAAGGATACTTTCCAAGATAACACTCAAGAACCACAACTCCTGATGACCACACATCTCCTGCAAATCCAACTTCTCCAAAACCCCATTTCTCTTGATCCAATCGTTCGGGATTCATATACACACACGTCCCATTCGAAACATAGTCTCCTCCAGCTATGATCCTGCTCGCTCCAAAATCCGCGATCTTGACCTCTCCTTTCTCGTTGATAAGGAGATTCGAAGGCTTTATGTCGCCGTGAACTATTCTCATTTCTTGCAGATAACGTAACCCTTGGAGGACTCGGTAAGCGAGAGAGGATATCATTAGCTCGGAGAAAACGTGTCCACCAAGCAACGCGTCGTGGAGAGATCCTTTCTCCATTAGCTCCATAACAAAGCAGAGATCGGAGGAATTAACGAAAACGGCGTAGCATTTTACGATGAAGCTGGATTCTATTCGCTTGAGAATGTCTGCTTCGAGAGTGATGATGTTGAGGTTTGAGCGGAGGACTTTTAACGCGTAGAGCGTTTTGGTTTTCCGGTGACGGGTTTTGTAGACTGTCCCGCCGCTTCCTTGTCCTAAAACGGTGAGTTTCTCGAGATCGTTCAAGGGTTCAACCGGCGATGAGTCAGGACTTGTTGATGATGATGAAAACGACGCCGGAGATGGGTCTCCGGTGATGGTGCGGTTGTAAAGTGGTGGAGGAATAGAGAGTGTGAGTGGTTCTTGGTGACGTCGCTCTCTCACAAGTGGCATCAATTTTTAGTATTCCACATGTGGCTTTCAAGTCCAAGTTTATAAAAAAATTTGTTTGTCTCTTTTGTTAAATACATAATAAGGCCTTGATGATCTCAAGGATGACAAGTGTCACAGTCAGTTTTAACAAACTCAAATATTTGTGGTTTTCCAGGTGGTGGTGGATCACTTGCTTCTAAATTTTTACATGATATAAAAAGGTACAAGTTTTGAGATTTAGTGCGTATGGTTTTTTTTGTTCCGTACATCTCGTCAGAATCTTTGTTTTAGTTGAGAAGATGATGATAAAAATAAGAAAAAGTAACTAGTAACTACGATAAAACAAAATTCAAGAACAATAGAATAAAGGATTGTGGCTATTATATATAGAGACATTCTACCAGATTTTTGCCGATTTTGACGCATGTTATCATGTTACTGGGGTTGGTTATTGTAATTTATCATCTTAGTGGAGTTGGTTGCTGTAATTTAAATCGTGGAAAAAACAGGGAAAACGCCAATTAATTCTTGGACTATTTGCAATTACACGATTTTTACACAATCATATCAACACAAGTTTATGTAAAACTAGGTAAAGTTTATCAATTATAATTCTTTTTTAGGAAAAACGGTCAACAATAATTTCTGTTTAATAAATGTTGGTAGCAATGAACCGATCATAGGTAATGAGTCGCTGTATACAAATCCAAAACTAATATATCAGATCGGAGCTAAGAAACCAAAAAAAAAACATAAGATAAATCTTAAAAGATTGGATAGCTAAAAAATACCTAGAGAATATGTGCTGCAGCTAGGTCTAACTCTATTGTCCCAGCCCTTTTTATATACTATGATACTGAGGGTTTCGGACGCGAAGAATTGTAGTTGGAGTCAGTCATCGTGGCCTCGTGTGCCTAAATTGTAAACGATGGTTCTAAGCCCATCTTAGTAAATATTAATCTTATCTTAGTAAATATTAATCTTTATACTATTATCTGATTTATCTGATGAGACACGTGTCTTTGATTGTAAACCTTTGATTGTTAAATTGACTGTACCGATCTTGAATGCAGCTAGGTATTGATTGATTTATGAATCAAAACGCTTTGTGTAATTTCTTGAATCTAATCACAATCAGTTCATAATTGTTTTCTGGTTCAAATTTGTTCCACAGTGGGATATCTACTCTGCTAGCTTGTTCATTCTTCATACCATCTTCTTCCTTGACATTTTTGGCGCTGCCTGCACGTATCCGAGTGTTGATTCAACAAGTGAGTGGAATCCTTTATTTGCTCTGATTGTACTGTGTGAATAATTAGTTAGTCGTTTGGGCTTTGTGCAGATATTACTTGATGCTGTCTCTGTTTTTAATTCAGTAGCCTCTACATTCCTGAAGAAACAATCTGTAAAGATAGCATTTTGATCATGGATCCTTTGATAGATTTCTTTCTTATTTACACTGTTCAATGATCATGTCAGTAAACTCTGTTTCCTTTATTTGAAACAATACAGGTGTTCCGTGAGTTCTGTCCAAAGGATAAAGAGTGCATCACCTTGTTGGAATGTGTATGGAAGACTGATAATTATGTCTTACTCGAGAGTCGAGACATTGCAGAACAATGATAGTAGTAAACATATAGACGAAAATGTTTCAGAAGATGCTACTACAAAAGGCTCGTTGGTACAGTATCAAACATCTGTTTATATTGGAACCTCTAGTTTGAATGCTGGTTTAATGATGGATCATCTGGGCAGCTGAACAATGCTTGATTTCACCAACGCTTCACATTCTTTCTTCAGAAAGTTACCTAATCAGAAACACATTTGATCAGAATGATTCAGCAGAGTGTGTATTAGTGATATGATGAAACATGAAAACAAACAAAAACCTGCAGATTTCTATCAAGTGTTGTCATCATATCGATTTCATACTTAAATATTCAAGATCCATTTGAGCTAACATTCATTAAATTCAAGAATCAAAATCAGAGAGAATCTTAAGTGAGAAACTAACCTCTTCTAGAGATAAGATGGATTCGGGAACGAGGACCATCGAACATCCAGTTATCTTCTTCCAAGGATTTAACCTCTTTGTCAAGCTCAGCCATCAAATCAGCTTTCAAAACTGCACCATGAAAAGCCAAATATTTGATCATCTTTTTCAAGCTCACACTTAAAAGCTTATCTTCTCATTTCCCTAATCATTTCTGGGTAACTTAGCGAATCAGCTTGATACGTGAAAAAGGAAGATGAATTTCAAGGTGATTTCTATGGTTATACACGCAGATCAGTCAAACTTGAAAGACGCAATCCCAGACTGAGATTTCCAGCAAGCAATTTGACACCTTAACAATGGAGATTTGAACACCAAAATGTGCGATAGATGAGAAATTCGTTTCCGGAATCTTACAGAAAACCCCTAATTTTGCGAGAAATTGGAACAAATGGAGATGTAAGGCTCAAATGTCTGATCACTGACGAATTCGACTCCCGATTCTTAACGAAAACCCCTAATTTAGCGAGGAATTGGAAAACCTATACCAATCTCTAAAAACCTTAAGATGCGAAAGCATGAAAAAGAGTAGGAACTGACCGCGCATGGCTTCGTCCTTTCGCTCCTGCATAGATGGAATATCCGGTGGAAATTGGAAATCGTCTAGACCGGCGGCGGCGCCGCTGCTTCCACCGCCACCAGCTACGGCGGTCGTCGAAACCGTAGAATGTGCAGGAGACGCGCCGTTCATCACTCAATCTCTACTTTAACCTCAAGCGGGAAATGTAAATTTCCTCACTTTATATGTAAAACAATGTTCAGACTTCAGAGAGAAAATGCCAAAATGGTATCGGCGCGACTAATGCAGATATTCTAGTTTGTTAAGTGGTCACTGTTGGACTAATTTAGCACGATCAAGACTCAAAACAGAGCAAGCTTCTACGTTCTGATTAGCAAAAACCGAAATCAATGTTTTGCTACCATTTACTTTTGAGTCTTTCACACAAGAGTTTAGTTTTACAAATGAATGAAAGATGAGTGGATATACAGACACAAAGTATGGCTTTCAACACTCTTTAAGATTTCTTTTATCTCCAAAAACCGACTTCTCTTGAATGTTCAACCGCGATTGTGTGTTTCTGGCGATCTTCAAGCTACGATTACTATGATAACGATGAGGAGAATGATACCAAATATCACCATCAGTAAGCACATCTGCATTATCACCAGCAAAAAAAAGAGAGAAAGGTGAGAAACAAGAAGAATGACAAAGTAAAAGTGAAATATTATTTTCCTTCTCATTTATTTATAATAGTACCAGAGATGAGTTTGATCGTTGTGTCTTGGAGGCCTTCACGAGATGAGACCTCCCCTGAGCTGTTGAGGAATGTGCATTCTCAACATGGCTACCGATATCATCTGCCAGAGATTGATTTCAAGAGGGTTTAGAAATGGAATCAAATCTTTCTTGCTCTTTGCTAATGTTTTTGCTTGAGAGACTTACCGATCATGGCTCCTTGATCGTTGACCAACACCGCAAGATCTTTGAATATCTCGTTTACTTCTCCAATCTGCTGCTGTACTTCCTGTATCCCCTGTTCCCTTTCCTCTATCACCGCTTCGTTGAATGAAATTTCGTTGTCAAGCAACACAACTTCTTGCCTTCAGATGAAAAAACAGAGGTCACAACCATGAACGGATAAGCTAAACCATGAACGTAGAACTTGCTTACCTTCTAGATTCCATGAGGACACGCTGCTCTTGTGATCTTTCATTACCAATGTCTACTTCACTGGTATAGAGAAAAAAAACAAACATCAGTAATAACTTCAAGCCGAGTACAACAAGTAAGAACACAGAAGCTACCAGTCAAGAAAACTACAGGTAAAATAGACAAAAAGTCAACAACTTTGTGTGCTTGAACAAAATCAATCTCAAAGGCTAGAGACTAGAGTTTATGATGATGTAATTGATGATTAAGAACATAGTGACTATTTAACCAACTCTGCTTCTTGTAAGTTATTGTTTTCCTTACCTTGAAGAAACAGTGCTTTTTGGATCGAAAGGAGTGTAAGTAGTTTCTCTTTCAGCTGCAATCCGCTGTGCCTTCTGAAACTCCTTCAACACTGCTTGTAAATCCTTTGCAAGTTTAGCATCTGCAATCTTCTTACTTTGCTGCATCAACACCAAATTCCAAAAGCGAAACCATCAATAGACAATAGTGAATAAATACAAACAAATCTCTCCCATCTTTCAAAAAGAAACCACTTACAGCAACATCGCTACGATGATCGGATTCGCTTGCTTCCTTAAGTTTTGCCGAAGTGTCTTTCACCAGCTGCCCAATATGTAATCTTGTCTTGTGCCTGATATGATTAACGGAGAGAAATTGATAATTAACATAGAAGAAAGCATCAGAAGCAATGCTAAATTACCTTTGTCATTTTGATTAGCTAAAGAGGAGAGAAAAAAAAAAAGAAGAAATCTTTACACATAAAGAAACATGCAACCATTTGGATTGCTTCAAACACATAATCAAGCGAAGATATGAGAGAGACTCCATTACTAAAACTCCTTTTAGCCCTACTGATTGTAATCAAATTGGGGGAAAATACAGGTCTCCTTTCACAAAACCCCTAAATAATCGAGCATGATTTCGCAGGTAAAAATCTAAGGTAATCGCGAGACTCACAGCTTGTCACGAAGCTCCGGCGTATCCTTAGGGGTACCGAGAGTATTAACGAGTCGCTGGAAGGTGGAAACCGCCGTGTTGATCTGAAAGATGCCGGAGGCCACCGCCTGTGTTCCATCCTTGTTGCCGTTGAGAAAATTCCTCCGTGAATTCAACGGCTTTCCGGCCTCTAGATCCTGAAAGCTCATCTCTGGTTTCTTTCGATACCGACAGAGAGAAAAGTTGGGAAAACAACAAAATTCGAGAAAGTGGAGCAAAGTTGAAGGCTAAAGGAAGACGATGGAAGAGAAAGCTAACAGCAATCGATGAGAATCTGCAAACGTTGTTCTCGGGATTACAGAGGGATTTCTGGGTTTTTGTTGGAAGAAAAAGCAAATCAAAATTCGAAATTGCTTCTACGAGAGCCGAGAGGATAGAGAAACGATTTTTGAACAGTTAATTATTATTTTTATTTTTATTTGGCTTCATCCAATTCCAAGTCGTAAAAGACACGTGGAGGCAGTGAAAGAAGCAAGAACACGAGAATTGTTCTACGCTTGCGTTAATCTGGGCCGTTACATTATCTAAACTCATATTGGGCCGTTTTAAGCCATATTCGAAATTCTTCTTTTTAATATTTTTTTTTTACAAGCAAAATTCTAATACGTAGAAAGATTATTTGTCGAAATTAACAAAAACAGAGACTAAAGAAAGTATTTCCACATTCGTAATCAGAAAAAAAATTAGTACTATATTTCCAATTATTTTATTTCTAAAACTGAAAACTGCAAATTAAAAATTTAACAAAAAGAAGAAAAAAAAGTACAAAGCTCAGAAGGCAAGGTGGCACTTGGTTGGCTGAAAGCGAAAGCCTACTGGAGAATTAGAGGAACCCAAAGGTACTTTGAGATGGCAACGTATAATCGGCTTCATCGGCCATGTGACTATATGCAAAAACAAAACCCTAGATTTAATCCGCACCTTCACGTCAATTCCGTAAACATCAAGTTTCTTATCATCTGTAAATTTCCGCATGCCGTGTTCACCAAGCAAAACCAGGTTTTGTCCTTGGAACACAGTTTCGACAACCGCCGTGCTCTTGTGGCCTTGGTAAAACGACGGCGCAGAGACGGACGCTAACCGCTGATCGCTATAGTAAACGGCGGCTTCGAACTTGTCTTAGTGGATTCCCATATGCTTGTTGGAGTTTCGGATGGAGAAATTAAGAGAGAGATTGTAATGGAGGTTGTTGTTGTTGTTGTTTTCGAAGTCGAATCGCGTCAGCTGTGCTTCGTGGACTTGGAATTTCACGGCGTTGGAACGGAGCATGGCCCATACGAGGAACGATGCGAAGCAGATGAAAAGGATTAGAGATATTATGACGTTTATAGCGTATGAAAGGCAGACACAAGGCCCACAACAAGAGGAGCTACAAGCATCGCATAGAAGTTCGACTTCGTCGTCATTGGCCATTTTGTTCGTGAGAATGATGACTGCTCAGAGAAGAAGAGAAGTCGAGAGTCTTGAGATTTGTTAATGAAAGTGTACAAAAGAGGGTTTCTTATCTATAAACGTTTTTGGCCTTTCATTATTTCCTTTTTGTAAAATAATGGAAAAATTCATGGGTAAAAGATTTTGCTTTTCATAGCTATTTTATTTCAAAATTTGCTAATTCGAAAAAGGGGTCTCTAAGAAGTAAAAATAATAAAATGGAAATCTTAAATACAACAAAAACAAGCTCTCATATGAAAAAAAAAACAAAAAAAAACAAAAAAAAAAACGGAAATATTAAATAGTCACGCGTGAGTGTTGAAAAAAAATTTTAAAAGTCACGCGAAGTAATTACTGAATATCACTAAAATCTTAAAATATACTGTATTGATTACACTCATTTCACGAGAAAACTCAAATACAACACTTTTTATTTGAATAATGAATACCGGAAATAGGTTTGGATGTTTGAATTGGTTCGGGTAAATCAGGCCCATTTATTAATGCACTCGTCATAGTAGGCCATCTGGGCCCAAGACACAAAAATCAGTATTGTGTGATTCCGGACGATCTCTATAGCAGTTCGTTTGAGCTTTTTTTCTCTTGAAATCGAGTCATTTCTGTAAGATATAGGCGCTCTATAGTTCGATTTAGGCTCTTAGTTTTTGTTTGATCTTTAGCAATATACCATATCTGATGTGGTTTGATGGAATTAGCAACTAGAGACGAGAATCAAGAAGCAAGTGTATGAAGATTCTCGTGTTTTCATGGTATGGTTTCGTTGAATTTGCCTTTGTTTCCAATACTACCTCAATTTATTGATCATAAACTCTAAAAACAAAACTCACATTAAAAACAAACAATGGAAAAGAATGAACCGGCATCAAACCAAATAAACCAGATACAATTGAAACCCAAAAACCAACTAAAAATCAAAACTTCAAGTAGATACTGAAGAAGAAGGATCACACATCTGACCAACAAACAAAACGGCTCCGCTTCTCTCTTCTCTAATCAAAAAGAGAAACGGATGATCAGCCACAAAGCTCACGTAGTCAATCTTCACAAAAGCACAGCCAACGGAAGTAACAACAGCAGTCGCAGCAGCAGCCTCAGCACCTTCTTCATCAACCTCAACACAAGCTTTATGGTACAAATCCACCACATCAAACCCCAAATTAAACTCCTTGGACGTCTCAAACCCGAATTCGATCTTAAACTTAGGGATCCTGAATTCACCAACAGCAACTCTCTCTCTCGGAACGTAACCATCCAAGAACCGAGGCGTCGATGCCATTCTCTCCACAAGACGATCCAAACCGAATCTCCCATCGGGAAGATAGAAATACATGGAGAAACTGCGGTTCACGTCGCCGCCTTGCCGAAACGGAAGCTTAAGGACCTTGAAACCATCGTAAGCCGCAACGTATTGGCGCTTGTAGTAGCTGCTCATGAACGGCACCGAGATTGAAGCTCCGTTGAAAAGGTGAAAGTCTCTGTTCATCGTCATTGCCTTGTCGAATCTCTCTTCCCAAGCTCCTTTGAAGTACAATGCGTTTCCGTAAACCGATTTGGTGAAGGAATGAACGGATCGAGGAGGAAGAAGGTCTTTGATGAGACCATCCGTGTGCTGCTTAGCCCATGCGTTCACCTCCAGGCGCAATTCCTCAGCCTTTGATTTGAAATCGACTGAAGCGAAGACGGCTTTGAAGAAATTCTCGAAGAGAGGTTTGACGGAAGGATTGATTGGGATAGTTTGCTCGACCCAGACGCCGTTAGCGACTTTGATCGTCGGGCCGCCGAAACTGCTACCGTCGGCGAAGACGGAGGAAGAGATGAGGTTGTAAACGGCGTTAAGCTCTTCGACGGAAGAAGATCTCAGGAAGGAGAGGATCGCTTTTAGGGTTTCTCCTTTACCGTCGGGACCGGAGGCCACCATGGTGAACGCGGCGGTGATTGACGCCGGTGAGAAAACGCTGTTGGAGCGTTTGGCCACGGTGGAGAAGAGTTGTTTCGAAAGGATCACCGCGACTTGGGTTTGATTCTTCATAGCTTTTTGCACACCCATGGCTGAGAGTTTTGACTTGCAGAGAAATCGAGAGAGAGAGGGAGAGAGAGAGATGTTGATTGTGAATTGACCAAAACACGTAGATTAGACAAAAACACGTAGAATACGAAAACTATTTTTTTGTAGATAGTAATGTTTCGCGTAGAACATAAAATCTTCAAGTAGTAGAAGATACTTGATTGTGTAGAATATATTTGGTGTGAATTCTACAAAATGGTAGAGCCTATAAGCTTGGTAGATATCAACTTCTACATCCGGAAGAGGTATGTAAAAGTTGTAGATATTATGTTCTACGGAGGTTAGACCAACGAATATCTTGTAGAAAACGTAGTCTACTTTGTTATTTTAGATTTGTAGAACGAAACTTATAATATTTTTTTAAATATCATAAGCATTTTCAAAAATGTTCAAATATTTTACACAGTGCTGAAATAATTTTTAGGAATTATGGAATTTGTTTTCACTTGAAAAAACATTTTGTATGAGTTTATAAATAAATTGAAGGGCAATCTTGACCAATAATGACCAAAGTCAAAATAGGTGTAAAGGGACAAGAAATCTTTCAATCTAGGGTAAATTGCCAATTCTCCCCTTTTTATTTGAGTAAATGATTAATGAATACCGAAAATAGGTTTGGATGGATAAGTATCGACGATAGATAGAGGTTTCTCTCTCCAAAAGACGATTTGGTGATTTTCTTCTACTGTAACCCTAGTTTGATTTTCCGATCAATTTCCGATGTCGGAGGCTCTGCCTCACCCTCCAATCCCTCGCGATCCGAATCCCGTGAAGATTGTTGAAGTTGAGATGTTCGGTTCTCCAAGTTCTTCAGTTCCCAAAACTGTTTATGGGTCTTCTCCGTCGTTTCCTACTGCCTCAGGATCATTGGGGCATGGATCTGGTTTTAATTGGGCTAAGAATCTTAGCTCCGCCGGAAAAATTCTTGAATCCAAAGCTCTATTTACAATCTCTGATTCAGGGCGTCCCCGAGTCAAAGTGTCGAATGATGTCTTTGAGCGTGGGGCGAAACTCCATAGCGATTATATTGTAGGAATCTTTTATGGAAAACCTCTCTCTTACGGGAAGATTTGGGGAGTTCTCAATTACCTCTGGGAAAGGGACAAGAAAGTATCGATTCATAACCTTACTTCAAACGCCTTCCTCTTTCATATTATGTCGCCTTCGCTTCGGAAAAAGGTCTTGCAGCATGAGCTATGGCGAGTTGGAGACTCCATTTTTTGTTACGGAATAGAGATCGGAGTTCAGCTTCAACCCTCCATCTCTTGATAGAGCTCCGGTTTGGACGATTATTAAAGGTATTCCCTTTGATCTTTTAACTCCTGAAGGTTTGGGAATTGTCTGTCATCCGTTGGGAAAAGCGGTGGATCATAAGCCGTTTCCAAGTATTTCATCTGCTGATGTAAAGGTTGTGGTGGATCTTACAAGACCCTTGCCCCCGGAAATGGAGTTAGAGAGAGATGATGGGCAGATTTTGATTCTCCAAGTAAGCTATCCTTGGTTGCCTCCTATGTGTCCTCTCTGTGGTGAAATAGGTCATAAGAAAGCTTCTTGTCCTCGAGTTTATGGCCCGGAAAATAAACCTCGAGGCTATGAGAATAAATCGGCAAAGTCTTCAAAAGTTGTGTCTTCTCCGCAGCCTCATTTGCGCTCTCAAGACCAGAGGAAAGACAGAGCTCCACAAAGGAAGCTATGCCTCAATGGAAACCGGTTTCTGTGTCCAACCCTTTGGAAGAAAAAAACTCAGAAAGTCCAGAGACATCTGATATGGCTATCACTCTAGTTAACAGTCCCACTTTGGATTTGGTTCCTGCTTTTGTTGAGAAAGATAGAGTCTCTCCTCCTTCAGTTTGTTTGGATTTGGTGGTCACAGATAAATCTTCATCTCCGATACGAAAATTAGCACATAAGAAGCTTCCGGAGTTAACTTCTTCTTCAACTCCAAGGCTATCTAACTCTTTTGACATCCTCAGTGATAATAATTTACCTTTGGAGATTTCGGATTCATGTACTCAGGCAGCTGATTCTCTTGCTCCGTCTACTATTCCGAGGAAAAAGAGGAAGGTTAACTCCTTTTTATCAACTGTTTCGAGTGATGATCCCCCACCTCCTGGGGTGATGCATCACACTCCCTGATTGTCTCTATGTCTAATACATTTTTTTGGAACGTGCGTGGGTTAAATGATACCTCTAAACATCGCCCTCTTAGAAACTGGATGGTCAGAAATCAAGTTTCTTTTGGTGCGCTGCTGGAAACACATGTGGGGAAAGTAAATATAGGCCCCATCTTATCAGCCTTAGGCCATCAATGGTCGTTAATAGCGAATTATGAATTTTCGGAGTTAGGGAGAATTTGGATCATATATAGAGATCCAGTGGAAGTTCGGGTTCTGTATAAAGATCAACAGTCTATCACATGTGAAGTCTCTATGGAGAACGAAGAGTCTTTCATTTATTCAGCAATCTATGTGTCAAACTTGGAAGAGGAGAGGAGACTTCTTTGGACTTCTCTTAGTGATACTTTCGTATCTTTTGGATTGTCGCAGAAAGCTTGGATGGTCAATGGTGACTTTAATGAAATTATTCATCCCTATGAGTCTTCAAATAACAATCTTCATTGTTCAAATTATGGAATGAGGGACTTTAGAGATTGTTTAGCATCTAAGGCTTATTTGATCTCCCCTTTCAAGGTCCTCGATACACTTGGTCTAATCATCGCTCAGAAGCTCCTATAGCCAAGAAACTTGATCGCTGTCTCGTTAATGGATTTTGGCTATTTCGTTACCCGGTTAGTCATTGCTCTTTCGAATCTCCGGATTTCTCTGATCATTCACCGGGCCTCATTCGAATGACTTCTCTTCCGCCCTTATTTGGTTCAAGGCCGTTTAGGTTTTTTAACCTCTTGACAAAGCATCATAGATTTCAAGATCTGGTTCTCAGACGTTGAAATGAGGCAGGTGAGCCAGTGGGAAATCTCAGGGATTTCTGTTTCAAGTTGAAACAGTTGAAAAGACCTCTCAAGACTTTGCTTAAGGAGAATTTTAGTGACATTGAGAGAAGAGTTGCTGAAGCAGGTTCGGTCTTATCATCTCTCCAAATGATTTCTCTGAATGATCCTTCGGAATCCAAACTATTGTTGGAAGCTCAAGCTAAGGAAGTCTGGATTGGTCTTAGAGCTGCTGAGGAAAGCTTTTTCAAACAGAAGTCTCGAATCAAATGGCTTGGAGAAGGAGACCTTAACACCAGATTCATTCATTCGGTGACCACAACCTGTAATGCTCAAAACTCAATCAAGCAACTTCTTCGTTCTGATGGTACGAGGACATCTTCGCTTCAGGAGGTACATGAGTTGGCGGTTGAGTACTTCCGATCTTTTCTCACTACTATTCGAGGTAACTACTGTCCAGACCTGCCTCGCTTTTTAGAGTCCTTGTGTGATGAAAAATGTTCTACGCTTCAACAAGATTTCTTATCCCTTCCATTTAACCGTGAGATGGTTCGGAGATGTCTATTTTCCATGCCTCTCAATAAAACTCCGGGTCCAGATTGATTTCCTATGGAGTTTTTCAAAGCTTCTTGGGATGTTTTAGGTCGGGAGTTAGAAGACTCAGTGCTCAATTTCTTCGAATCCAACTTCATGCTTACGTCTTTGAATTCAACATCTCTGGTTCTAATTCCTAAAAGGCCAGGCGCTGAAGAACTGAAGGATTTCCGTCCAATCGCTTGTCTTAATACGGTCTACAAAGTTATTACCAAGCTTTTGTCGGAGAGATTAAAGATTATTTTGCCGAAGATCATTCTCTCTAATCAGACAGCGTTTGTCAAAGACCGGCTTCTTCTGGAGAATGTACTCTTAGCCTCTGAGCTCATGCATGGGTACCACAGAGAAGGGATCAATAGTAGAATCACTCTGAAAGTGGATATCTCCAAAGCTTTTGATTCAGTAAGGTGGGACTTTCTTCTGAGTATTCTACAGGCTTATGGTCTCCCTTCAAACTTTATCAGATGGATAAAATTCTGTGTTTGCTCCCTTCTTTTTCGGTGAGCATCAATGGAGTTATTTCTGGTTATTTTAAGGGAAAGACTGGTTTAAGACAAGGTGACCCTTTATCACCCATCCTTTTCGTCATGATAATGAATGTTCTTTCCCTTATGTTAAACATGGCGGCGAGGGAAGGATCTTTTGGATATCATCCAGGTTGTGAAGATCTACAATTAACTCATCTGTGTTTTGCTGATGATTTACTTATCTTTCTGAAGGGTTCAGAATGATCTCTAAGAGGAGTCCTTTCGGTTCTATCCTCGTTTGAAAAGATGTCAGGCCTTGGGATGAACTTGCAGAAAACATCTATGTTTTGTCAGGGGCTTGACGCTGCCTCTCTAAACAACATTCAGGCAAGTTTCAATTTGAAGTCATCTTCACTTCCCATACGTTATTTGGGTCTGCCTCTGTCTTCTCGGAAGTTAAGTGTTTCAGATTGTGACTCTTTTATTGCTCTTATCAAGAAGAAATTGGATGCTTGGACTAACAAGCTCTTGAGTCTTGCTGGGCGTCTTACCTTGCTTTCCTCAGTTATCTCTGGTATTATTGGGTTTTGGACAAGTGCCTTTATTTTGCCAAAGAAGGTTCTTAAAAGAATTGAAAGTCTTTCAAGTTCTTTTTTGTGGCATGGGAGAACGGGTTGTGCTTCTAGGGCAAAGGTTGCTTGGAAAACTCTTTCATATCCTAAGTCGGAAGGAGGTCTGGGCTTAAAGGATATTGAAAGTTGGAACAATGCTTGTGGTTTAAAACTTTTATGGATGCTATTCTTCCGGGCCGGTTCAATTTGGGTGGCTTGGATTCGTTCACGTTATCTCTCCTCTACATCCTTTTGGGCTTTAAACGAAAGGAATTCTTCTTTCTCGTGGATGTTCAGAAAGATTTTACACCTCCGTTCAAAGGCAATGCAGTTTTTAACCATCAAAATTGGTCGCGGGGACTCTACTTTCTTCTGGTGGGATCCTTGGACACCGTTTGGTTCACTTCGATCCTTTTTAGGTGATGAAGGAACCTCTCTTTTAGGTATCCCAATTTCTGCTACGGTTTCAGATCTTTGGAACGGCAGAGGATGGACTTTACCTCCAGCAAGAACAGAGCGTCAATTACTACTTCTCTCCCATCTTTCTTCAATTGGCTGCTCTCCCTGTACCGATTGTCCTATTTGGTCTATTGGTGGCTCTCCACAGCGAACCTTCTCTCTTAATGCTGTATGGAATGTAATCCGCCCCACTAAGCCGGAGGTGTCTTGGGCGTCCTTGTTATGGCATAAGGCAGGTTTAGTCCGACATCAGGTGACAACTTGACTTTTCCTCCTTAATAGGAACCCCACCATGGATCGTATGGCTTCTTGGGGTTTCGAGACAGAAGGCACTTGTTTACTCTGTGGAACGGCTTTGGAATCTTGAGATCACTTATTTTTCGAGTGCTCCTTTTCTGCTCCAATTTGGCGGCGTCTTTTGAGTCATCTTAATGTTCACAATGCACCTTTGCAATGGTCCATGTTATTATCTTGGTTTCAGGCCTCATCTTTCGACAATGCAAAGAGGCTAGCTTTACTACAGGGTTGGCAAGGTGCTGTCTATGAATTATGGAAGGAACGTAATCGAAGGATGCATGATGGAGTCACCTTCTCTCCTGGGAAAGTTTTTCATCTCATTCTTAGCTCGCTAATGGATAAGTGTCGGGCTTTGACTCTCCTGGGATCGTCTCATGGAGATTCAATTCTCCAACTTTGGATGTCTACCAGTTTTTTGGGTTGATCTTTGTATTTTCTTCTCTTTCTTTTTGCTTCCTCCTGGTTTGAACGTTCTTTGTAGCGTTTATCTTTATATTATTAATTGAGAAGTACATTCTAATGTTTGGATACAAGAATTAGAGAAACATCTATTTGGATAGAAGAATAAATGGAAACAAAAGTTGTTTGGATATAAGAATAAGAGAAAAATCTATTTGGATAGAAGAATAAATGGAAAAAATTGTTTGGATACAAGAATAATAACTTAAAATAAACCGATGGTTTAGAAAACTTCCGTTTTCCATCTCTTAAAAATCTGCAAAAAAAAAACTTAACATAATCTAACGATAATTCCAAATCAATAGAATATGCTTTTTGGATTTTCGGGTTTTTATAGACAAGTTCGGGTTTGGGTGAAAATCTGAGACATAATTTTATAGAGATATATATAGAGATATAGAAATTGTTCGGGTTTCTTTGAAAATTTCTGTTCGGGTTAGGTTCAATTTTTTTTTTCAGTTTAGGGTTTTCCGGATTTTTTAGATTTCTGGTTTTCGGGTTTAGATATATTAAAAAAATTGAGTATTTTAAAATTTTGATTAGGTATTGGGGTCGGGTTCCGGGTGAAAAAGTTTCCAGATTTTTTTTGTTCAGTCAGGGTTTTCGGGATTTTTTTGATTTCGGATTTTCATGTTTAGACCTATTAAAAAAGTTTGGGTTTTTAAATTTTTTGATTAGGGTTTTTTGTCGGGTTCGGATTTAGGGTTTAAATTTTCTACACAAAACAACAACGTCACACCGCACAAACGTGCGGGTACTCTGCTAGTGTTTATTAATGCAAGAAAACTCTTTTAAAAAAAAAATAATAATAATAGGTTTGGATGTTGAATTGGTTCGGGTAAATCAGGCCCATTTATTTATGCACTCGTCATAGTGGGCCATATAGGCCCAATACTACTTCTTCTCGAACAAGTTAATGGGACGATGAGAACATCACTGATAACGAGCCGGTATAAACTCCAACGGCGGAGATCCGTGACTGAACAAAATGGCGATCATCAGATAAAACGTTTACCGAGGAAGAAAATGGTGTTTTGGGAGATAACATTGGGAACAGCCTACTTCTTAGGGCTGCGGCGGACTTATCGACTAGCCTTGAAGATCCAGCGTCGGATTGTTAGCCCCAAGCATCCGAAAACCCGGCAATTTCTCCATCGGTGAGATTTTTCTCGATAGAGATCGTTTCGATTCTGGTTGCTTCCCGTGTTAGGTTTGATTTCGGTATTGTTTGAAAATGAAATTAGGTCTTTTTAATAAGAAATCGCACAACTCTGTAGTTGAAATCGGTGTTTCGGCTATGCTTCCGAATCGTTTGCTCAAATCGACCATTGATCCTGGGTAATGAATAGACCCAAAATCAGTATTGTGAATCTGGACGATCTAATAGCAGTTCCTTTGAGCTTTTCTCTCTGGAAATCCAGTCATTTCTGTAAAGATATAGGCACTCTATAGTTCGATTTTAGGCTCTTAGTTTTCGTTTGATCTTTCGCAATATAGCATTTCTGATGTGGTTTGATGGAATTAGCAACTAGAGACGAGAATCAAGAAGCAAGTGTATGAGACTCTCGTGTTTGTATGGTATGGTTTCGTTGAATTTGCCTTTGTTTCCAAGAGAATGGTCACGAACGTATAGTTTTCTTGCTACATTAACTCTGATTCTTGGAGAAGTTTATGAGTTCCTTCATTAGGGTAATCAGATATAAACTCTAGTGATTCATGTTAGTATGTTACGGGTCTAGATTTCTTCCCTGGTGCTGAGAGCTTTCATTATTTGGTAATGTATTGACTCATTCTCTTGTCTTTTGCAGGAGGACTCGTAAAATCTTCGATGTGGCAGTTTCAGTGCACAAGAACATACAGCAGAGAGACATAGAAGTCGGCCGGAATCTCGGAAACTGGATTCTCCGCTGGCTCGACCGGTGGAAACCAGCGGCTCAGATCCGTACTCCACCAGAACTACCACGCAGCACCAGCTCCAACAGCGTTGACAAGGCGAAAAGGCTATCGGAATTGTCACGTCCCAAATCGAACACGATGCAGACTCCACAAAACCGTGAATCCGATAGGCACTTGTTCTCCTCGTTGAAACACTTCCGGTACAAGCCATTCCCGACTGTCTCCACGATGATCCAACCGCCGAGACCCAACAATGGAACTACTACTCAGTACAGACACTACAGTGGCAATGCAGCCTCAAGTCTGATTCGGCCGAGCTATGTTAGAGGCGGCGGGTTCGACGGTGTGATCAGGAAGGACATTTTGCAGTGGTTGGTACAGAGATGACGATGTAGCAGCAAAATCCCACTAAAGTTCCCATCTTTTTCGACATAATTGAGCTTTTTTTTAAATTACTTTTTAATCCCACAAACTAAACTGATTGTGCCATTATGGATAATTTCGGAAGCAAGTATGTAGAAATTATGGCAATATATTTTTCTATCTAACGCTTAAATAAAGTTTCCTTTTTCTTTGACAACTATAATAAAGTTACAGATACAGTGAGAGACTAACATTGAGGTAGGAAACTGAGTTGGCTTCAAAAGAAAGTTGGATTTAAGTCATTCGGAGCACTCAGAGCTCGAGCTCTGGTAAAAGAGTTTTCTTCTCTGGAGTTGGATTTCTCTCATCTTGATATTTGGATTAATCTTCATCTTTTCATGCTACTCTAGTGAAGGATTATTTAACATCTAACTTTCTATTTATCCATTTTCATTATGTTTATGTTTTTGCTTTGGTCTTCATCATATTTAGGAACTAGGTTTAAGTGTTTTTTTTTTTTGGTAAAATAGTTTTTAGTTGGACCAAAGGCAAAGATTATGATTATTTAGTTGTTAAATGATGATGATGATTTAGGTTGCATCTTGTTAGATCCTTGATACTAGTTTTTATTAGATATGATCACTCAAATTTTAGTGTAATGACTTAGGTTGCATCTTGTTAGTTCCTATTTATAAATTTTATGTATATGCCAACAATGTAGTGTAAAATTAGAAAATATAAAAAAAAAAAATTGTATACAGTTTATAAAATATATTTTAAAAAAATCAATGTTTTGATATTTTTCTTTTATAAACTTAAACCCAATATATTATTTTTCTTAATCTAGTATCTTTACTTAAAAAAAAACAACAATTATTATAATTCATAATTGCTGAAGCATATACTATTTAATAACATGTTTACGACCTTATAAAAATCTATAAAGAACTTTCTTTTATAAAGTAAATGCAACAACGTAACTTAATAAAGTGTTCATATTTGTAAACGAAGAAAGGCTTATCACTCACTAAAATTCGACATACACTTGATAGAGCATAAACATACATCTTCCACTGTGAAATATCCGCGAGACTGGCAACGGACACCACATTGGTCGCAGGTTGGTCGAGAGTTACCATTGTTGGAAATAAATATCAATCCATCATCATCATCATCATCATCATCTCCTACGTCCATACTCCAACCAAGCTTGATATAGCTGGAATCCCCAAATAAACAATCAATGTGGAGAGTGGTGCAACATTTATCGCAAGTGTAGAACCATTTCTTTGGATCTATTTTTCTCTCACATTTCTCGCACCAGTATGGATCACTAGAATCTTCACCACCAGAAAGAGTGAGGAGATGTTCATCGTGCTTGTAGCGTATCACAACAGGTATAGTGGCACACTTAAAACACATGATGTATTTGCAATCATTACACGTTAAAGTGAAAATACTCTTACCCCTTTCACGGCAAATCCCACAAGTAGATGAGCTATCTCTTCCAGAAAAGAGAAACAAGGGATGTGGATGAACTTTATGTTCAAACGGTTCACTAACCGAAGCGCATCGCACATCCATTCTAAAGATGTGGTCGTTGTCGTCGTCCTTGTCAATGTCTTCGTCATCGTCGTCGTCTTGAAAGATGTTGAAGATGTTGTCGTCGTCGTCAAACATTTCCTTGAAGATGCTGTCGTCATCTTCGCTGTCGTCGTCGTTGTAGGTGCAAGAGCTCTGGAAGCATGCGTAGCTGAAGCCAGTGTACACTCTTGTACAAGCAAGACAACAATTCCTATCGTTTCTTTCAGCTGGTTGTAGCATAAGAGGGTGCTTATGAACCGGATGCTCTTTCTTTTTAGGGAAATTAGCACATGGTGCATGGAGAAAGAAATCGCAATCCAAGATCGTGCAGCTGTAGAAACCATCAAGCTCAACAGGTCTGCAACACGCTTGACATTCCTTGCTTCCGTCATGGGCAAGCCCCTCCGCATCAAGTTTAAGAGGATGCTCGTGACTGAAATGCTTGATTAAATTGTAACCTACTTCTTCGAATGGAGCAAGATCTTCAAGAGGTTCCTCAGGTACGTCTTCTAGATCTATTCCATCCCATATATCTTTGTGGGTCGCACATTTTGAGTGAATAGCGTAGGAGCAGCCCTTGTTGCAAGAGAACATTCCATGCTTTACGTCAACATTTCTACGACAAACCCCACATGACCGCTTTGCAGGTGGTGGTAGATAAGGAATATAAGAGAGACGGTGTGGATGACGTGTAAGCTTTATGACGCGTGGTAGATCGATGCAAGTTTTATGGACAACATAGTTGCATGGTAGACAAAGATAACCCGGATCCTGTTTATGGTCGCCCAACCCACACGCACTACAACGTACCAAGAGTGGTCTTGGAAATAAGGTGAGGGAGTGTTGATGGCTCTTTGGGTTTGTGATGGTAAAAAGAGGATCTTCCTTGATGCAAGAATCATCCAAACTAAAACCACAAACAAGACAGCGGTAATAAAGTACCCCGAGGTCTTTTCCACACCAGTCACATGATTTCAAGGATTCAGGACTTGCAGACTGTAGCTTGTTGTGTGCTTCATTGAACTCATCTTGATTTCGGCATGGCTTGAATTCCATGTCTGCGTATTCAAACGTTAGGTAGAGGAAGTGGTTGAGGTGGTAAGGGTGTCTTATACCCGGCAGAAAGATGTTACAGTCGTCGTGGAACACAAGATCACAAATATCACAACTGTAATGCCAGCCACCATCGACAAACTCTTGAGCATCTGGTCCGCACCAACAACATTCTCGTAGAGGAGGGTTGTCTTGACGGCAAAGACTGTGAGGGTGAACAGGATCAGAGCGAGGACATCTTGGTGGTGCATCCATTTTTTTTCTAAATTTAGAGAAGAAGATGTGTTTTGAGAATACCAAACAACTCTTCTAGTCTACCTATCTTTATAATATGTTTTTGATCCACTATATAATTTTCTTTCCTTTGTTTATATCAATGAAACGTTGTTTAATTAGTCAATGGTCTTTAATTTTTATTTTTAGGGATTTCGATGCATGTGGATACATTAATGAAAAGTTAAGTAATTAGCCAATGGTCTTTAATCTATAATAGTCAGGATCTCAATGCTCCTTCATTTACTATTGAGTCTTTTTTTAGTACTACTTGACTATTGCATTGAGTCTTTTTTTAGTACTTCCTCTGTTTCATTTTATAATGGGTTTTAGGGTTTTACACAAAAATTGATACTAAGTCATTTAATTTTTAAAGCTTTCAAAACAAAGTATGTCTTATCATTAATTCAAATACAATTCAACTAATGAAAAAGCATTATGCATCATTAAAAGAGTAAAAAAGCAACAAACATATATTTAATTTTGCTTAAAAACCTCAAAAAACCTTATAATATGAAATAAATAAAAAAATTTAAAACTCCTTATATTGTGAAACAGAGGGAATACATGACTATTGGACAAAATGTTTTTTAAACAGCTCGATTAAAACAGAATAAAAAATAGGGTAGACAATGTGGTGGGTTTGTCTATGATTATACCACTTTCCATATTTTTTTATCAGTTATAAATTTAACTGGTTAATAAAAGAGCAAAATAATAGATGATACCATTTTACTATAGCGTATCAAATTACGTGAGGATCCGCCCGCTTTGCAATTGCGTAGCATGTATTTGTTTTGTTTTCTCTTAAAGATGTCATTCATGACTTCGTTTACAATATGGAACTACGGATCAAGAATTTCGAAGTGAGGATCTTGTATAGTAACACAATGAGGTTTGCCTTGTTCTTTCCAAATACATAATTTAAAATGTTGAATAAGAAATTATGATTTAAGTATTTTGAATCTAAATAGATATTTTTGTAGCTTAGTGAAAACTAATCATAGAGACTAAAAATATTAAAGGGGCCAATTATGGAAGAAATATCAACCCCATAAATCATCAAATGCAGCAGAATTAATAGCCTTAGCGAACTCCTGGAAATTAATCCGGCCGTCTCCGTCGCTATCCGCCTCCTTAATCATCCCCGTCAATTCCGCCACCGTCAAAGCGTGGCCAAGCTTGGCCATGGAATGAGCCAATTCCGCCGCAGTGATAAACCCGTTACCGTCCGTATCGAATATCCTAAACAAACGAAGAAGCTGCTCGTCCGTGTAAGGAGTCTTGGTTGTCTTCACCGGAGAAAGAAGCTCAGGGGAGACTAAAGCCACGAACTCCGGGAACTCGACAAGCCCGTTGCTTTTAGTGTCCGCCTTGTCGATTAGCGTCTCGAATTGGTCTGGACTCGGTTTGAGACCGATTGCTCGGAGAAGTGACCCGAGCTCGAGCTGGGTTAAGCTTCCGTCTTTGTTCCGATCAAATGACCGGAAAACCTCCCGGAGCTCATTGATTTGCTCTTCTTCTAACTTCTTGGAGACTTTGTGACTCATAATTCCTTGCTTGATCTACACGTTAACCTTATGTTTAACTTTGTGAGAACGCTAAGGGAAATTTATTTGCGTTTTGTAGTAGATGCAGTTATCAAATAATTACTATCTAACAAAAGAAAAAAAAACAAATTGATCATGTGAGAAATAAATTTTGCGACATTAGATAAGATTCAACCCCAAAGGCAAAGGGCTTGTTCTTTGGTTCCTCCATTTTTGGTGGGTCTTCCTTTTTACTAGGGCTCAAAACTTAAACGTGTTTTAAACCAAAACAAAACATAAATGAAATGTGGTTTAATGGGTCTAACACCTTACTAGTAATTAGCAGAAGAACTAATAAAGGTGTTGGGTGTTAGACCCATTTTGATCAACAAAGTGTTCAATATATATTTTTATTACCTTTTGATAATGGGTCTACATTGACGAGTTCACTATACAAATTGAAGAATCATGGTTCGAGTCTTCACATTATTTACATTTCTAATCAACCAATGTAATTGCTTTAGATAGCAAAGATACATGACATTTTAACTGACCATACGAATTTCTTTATGTGATAACAATAGAAAGTCTTACTTACAAGCCCCGGCCGGAAAACAAAACCGAGGATTTAATGTATTGATCTTTGACTAGGTGTACGAGTTTAGTAACTTGTGTGGTCAGAAGATGTGATGTATTATTGAAATATTTCTTTTTTATAGTAAACTTGTCTTGGTCTGCCAAATATTTTTAAATAAATATATATATATATATATATATATATATATAGGAAATGGATCCAATGTAATTAAGGGATGAGTTAGTAAAAAAGTCATGGGATTTTTATGTCCTTTGGCAACATGATGGACACGAGAACACTATGTTTTAGCAATCGGATTTTGTGGATATATAAACGTATGGACTTTACCAGAGTATATATACATAAAAATGAATAGATAATCGTTTCTAGATGTTTATTTTATTGTTCGTCAAAACATCACACAGTATTTTCACTAAGATATCTTAAAGAATATTAGAGACCTTCCGAATATATTAACCAAAAACATATTTTCTTTACATATGGGCAAAGAATATATAAAGATGAGAGAACCGACACAATAAAAAAAGGAACCAAAAATTTCAAGAAATGTTAATGGTTCTTGTCAATATGCATATATATATTTTTTTTAAACTGATTCATTTTTGTTATATTAGCTTTATATGAGTGGAGTGATTAGTCTTTGAACAGATTTCGTATGACATTTAAATAAATAAATAAAAACCTGTCTTTGCTCAAAGTCACTGGAAAGATTCATTTTGTTTTCCCTTTTCGTTTAAATTTTTATTTTGCTAAAAGCATCATTTATATTAGAGTTAACAATGCATTGTCCACTTTTACATTCGAGTTAACTAGACTTATTTCAAGGTTAAGTTGGACGGTCGAAACAACCGTCAGAAGCATGAAGGAATGCGAGTTTACATGTATCCTCTTTGTCTTTGTTATAAAATTGTAGTAATACTTTTACCACCGAGAAAAATTGAATCTAAGAGTTAAGGTTCCCATTTTCACAAATGCAAAGTAATCACTAGACCACGAGCCTCTTGGCAAAATCCACATATTACACAAAACATTTGAAATTGTTTAAGAAAAATTATCTCATTTCGAGGATGTGCAAACCATGAAATAAGATTTTACAACACTGGAGATTCGACATTCATACTAGTAAATTAGAAAATGGTGATTACTTAGACAAATGATTTTAAAATAAAGCATGCATTAACCTTTAAACCGATATGTGTTCATGGGATTGTCCTTTCAACGTGATCAGTTTGGTCTAGTACGTATCAGTGATTTGGGTGCATGTGTTGGATATATTGTCCTTTCATATCGTGATCAATTTGCTAGTATCAATGATTAGTGTGCTTGCGACTTGCGAGTTAGTTTGTAGTTCGTCTTCTGTATCTTAGCTAAGATATATTTTCATGTATTAAAAACACTCTCATCATCACGAATTTTCTCTTTTAAATAAGCCGGTAATGCCATCAGTATTTGGGAGAGAATAAATTCAATCTTCCACTAAATTTTTACTTTTGGCACATTAATAATATTTTTCATCATATAATTTAGACTTTCGTGTCGATTATATCCTAATTTTTCTATATGAGGAATAATGATCATAGAATAATATCTTTTAACCACCAATAAAGTATATATGCATATGTTTTTTTGGGTCTTCAATAAACATATATGAGTTTGACACGTATAAAAATTATAATTTGTAAGATCGTAGTACTTTTTATTGCTAATTTGAATAATGATATGTGTTAATGTAATAATATAAAGGTTTACAAATAGAAACTTAACCACAGTACCCATCTAGGTCGTGGTAAATGTTCATTTCCTAGTAGATGAGGTTTTCACTTTGTGCTCACCGGCTATTTCCATGCACCTAAATTTTTTTACCCAACATATTCAACATCTAAATGCAAAATTCTGCCCCAAATAATATTATAATAATATATCAATATATGTTTTTTAAAGCTATTTGTTTAAAAAAAAAATCTTTATATTTTTCCATATGGTTCTTCCAAATCAACAATAATTCCAAATAGATGAATATTATTTTGTCTTAAATAAATGATTACAAATATAAAAATTGATATACTGACAAACTTATATACTTTGAGTGTGATTGTTTACTGAACTACTTGATATATTCGTGATTAAGAGTGGAATTTTTGATGATGATCAGTAGCAGCAAAAAGTTGTCAGTTTTTTTTTGTTAAAGTTGTCAGTTTTGGTTACTTGATTGTCAGATTATTAAGGGTAGATTTTGCAAAGTAAACGTTTAATCACAAATCATTTGTGTTAAATTATTATGAGAAAAGATTTCATGTGAAACAAAAGTTAAGTTACTAAACAGTTATGCGGGAAAAAGAGAGGTTTGTGTATCGTGATGTAGACAGATTAACCTAATCAAAGAATAACGTTTGAAAATTGTATTCTTATTTACTTAAAATATTATTTAAAGGATACCAAACTCAAAATGCACATATATAATTGTGTACTTTAGAATTGTTGAAAAATAATATTCCACCTGAAAAGAGCCACCATTCAATGGGAACAAAATCTTTTTGTTGAATGTACTATAAAGGTTGAAATTCAAAGAACATTACTAGAATGTTTGTTTTGTGAGGCATGATCACACAAAAGAATGAAATCTGTTATTTTATTTTATTTTATTTTGAATAAGACGTTACCTAACAATAATCTATCATTCCTTTTTGAAATTTTTTTTTTGTTACAAATATATTAACGTACATATGTGTCTTAGTGAATGAAGTTGTAGTCGTTTGTTACTATAGATATAAGTTGTAACTTTTACTCCTTTCCAAAAAAACAATTACTGTTTCAAAATTCTATAATTGTGGTTTTAGAAGAAAAATAATTGTTGAAATATGAAAACTCCGAATTTTAGTAAAACCCAGTAATAGTCTTTAAAATATATAGTATTAACGTATTTTCTTCAAAAGAGATAAAAATAAAAGTTTATATAACTGTTACTACCAAATATTCATGTACCAATCATACTTTTTATCACTAACTACGATAGTCTATACCCTATTGGTTGATAACTCAAATTTTCAAAGATGTACATGGCTTAAATCTTGGTGTATAGTAAATATTCATGTAGTTAGAACTTAGAAGTTAGAACATTCAATTCTTTATTTAAATAATGAGAACTTGTGGAACATTCAATAGGGTCTAGTGCGTCTATAGATATACTATGAATTAATAGAAGAAGATAACTAATCTATAGAACTTTGTTTCTCAATATTCAATCTAATCAAACCTATCGATTGGAATAATTTGAATTATATTGATTTGATATGAACAGTAGAGACTTGAAATTACAAAAAAAAAACGGAAAAAAAAAGAAATGCTTACATATAAATATATTCTGATACTTGAAAATATCAAAATCTGAATGGTTGGTAGTAGTAGTAGTGGTACTTATATAAATCATGCTCTAATTTTTATTTGAACAGTATTTGCTTTTATCACAATCCACCAAAGTTTTAATAAGTATAAGCGAATTAACGAAACTGTGAATTTAATATTCTACGTTTACTTAAATAGTTAAAATGATGGGTATTATACTTAGAATTTTAGTTTTTAAATAGTTAAACTAATGTTTGATTCTCTATTTTTTCAATTTTGCAACTGAAACAAAATGGTTTTCAGCCACTAGTTACCAACAAAATATTTATGCACTTGAAACACAAATTAGAGTACTCATTTATATGGTATTGAAACCAGCAAATGAACCCGATTGAATGCATTCTGGTCCATAAAATGTGAAACTAATCCGAAAATCTACAATGATATTTCTCTTTGTTTTCTTGTCCACATTTTCATTTAATAGTTCTATAAGTATATTTAGGAAGTCTTTAGATTTTATTATCAAGTTACAAGGTTAATAAAAAAAAATCAACTATATAAATTTTATGTTTTTGTATAGTATCCTTACATTCATAGTTTTCGTATTTATATTCACTAACTTTACATATTTATATAAGTTATTATATATTTTCTCATAGTTTTTACATACACATAGAGAATAAATAAAAATAAACGTTATATTCTCGAAGCATGTATGTTTTTTTATTAGACCGTTGTTCTAATTGCCGTGAAGGTGCTTGCATTGACCATTCAATAGCTAAATCCGTACCTAACTACCTATACTACATAATGTACATACGTGATTTCTCAATGTATATATATTTGTATACGTATACACACATAGCATAAAGTTTATTATTTTTATAAGAATACGATGCTCCGTAATGGTTGCTGCAACCATTAATGTTTCATAATTTTAAAAGTGACGGAGGTTCTGCCACATTTAATGTTGTGAAAGTTGGACATTCTATTTAACTCCTTTTTTCCTACTTGATTAACTTTATAATGATGTAAATACAAACATGTTAACCAAATGATAGTGGACGAGTGGTTTTGCCTTTTAGAGGATTATTTTCTATATCTGTTTATTTTTTTGGCTAATAGTAGGAATACTAGTAAACATCTCAAACAATAAGATATCATCCAAATTTTATGGCATTTGGATATTGGTCTGGATTCTACTTATATAAAAAGACGTGTGTTCGCTTTACCTTTTTAATAACATAACAAACCTATTTATGAGAAAATAGAAAATGAATTGTATCCAAAACATGGTTTTGGGATGTAACAACATGAAACGTGTTCGATATTAATTACACCGGGTTTTTGGGTTTGTTGGGAACCCTACGAGAAATAAAGAATCTAATACTAATAGATTAATAATTTGCCATTAATGGAGAACTTATAATTAGTATAGTAGTTGTAAATCACATTTTATATGATAAAATCAAAATCAAATACAGAAACATCTTTGTGAATATCAAGAATAATAAGATCAAATGTCGTTTTCTTATGGAGATTTCTATTCCCTATGGAGGTATCTTGCCGATCTCAAGGCCCAAGTCATCCGCACTACCCAGTACCAACCATTATGTCAAGATTAATATTATATGGTTTAAACAGAATACGTTCGTTGTTTTTAACCTCGCGTAATTAATTTGCAGGTATCCTTCAAATCATTTGTCGGCAAGATTTCCGAGTCAATCAAAATATTGAAGCATTGAAACTTTTCTTTTTCATTCTACTTCCTTTCATTTGATATTCTTTTTCTTAGTTTTCTATGGATTTTATATAGGTAAATATTTCTAAGCGAGGCTTTTGGTTGGGTATGGGCTTTTTAGAGAGAAAAAAACTTCTATTTACCATACGAAAAAGCACCACGACGTTAGATCACTGGAAAAAGGAAATTACAACTTAATACCCCAACTTGATTGACTAACGTTGGAAGGTAAGTGTATATAGGTGAATTAACCTATATCGATCCTTTATATATTTTTGAATATATAATTTTAATCTAAAAAAGGAGTAAAACAAAAGGTTAAGAGGTTGTAACTTTATAGTTCACTGTTCATATTGGTCATCAATCATACACCATCGATCATTAGTGTGATATTCATTATAGCAGTTGCCTAGGTGGAGTCACAGGGTCGACGTTGGATTGATATATTCATATGAACATCACTCTAATAAAACTGATTATTTAAAATTATGTAGAAAACGTTCTTAATCATTAAGGTATAATTTACAAACGAAAAGGAAAAAAACATAGGGAGAAGAGAAAAGTGATAATCATGTGAAAGAGAGTCATACAAGCTAAAATAAGCAAACTTTGTTTTATTCCTCTTATTTTCCTTTTTCTCCCTCTCTCTTTTTATCTTTTTCTTTGTTCTTCCTTTCTTTTGTAATTTCAACTTTATTATTTAATTTTGTGCTTCTTTTTGGAATGAATTTAGGGTTTATGAAAAGTAGAAATCTACCTTGGGTTTCAGTTAAAAGCAAAGCATAGAGAGCGTGTGGAATGTTAAAGATGACCATTCCAAAGTTTTCACCTTTCTATTCTTCTTCATGTGATGAATATTATATAGTTAGTTTATGTCTAGAAAAAGACATTCGGAGGAATTTTTCATACGAAAATCACTTTATTCCAAAATAAACTCCAACAAATTGAACATTTTATATTTTTTTAGAATTACGTAGGTCATCGTTGTCAGTAACCAAATTTTTTATTCCCTTTCGACAAATTTATTGCAACTCGTATTAAGTCATGAACTTATGATATAACCGAATTGTTAAATTCACAACCTCAATTTAATCAATCTATAAGTCATAGAACCAATATATTTTCAAAAATTTCATATATTCGAATTTATTGGTTTTAGAGATATAAAAAGCAAGAAAGGTTGAAAAGAGAAAATAAAAGGTGGAATGTGAATTAAGAAAAGAACAATAAAAATGATTTAAAAATTAAAACACAAATAAAGGATTTACTTTTCTACTCCAAAGATAACAAAAGAGTGCAAAGAAAGAAAGAAAAAAGAAAGCCTAATTTACCATTTACCACTTTTGATTATTTATTTTCGTTCTCTTTTTTCTCTTTCCAATTTCTTTATCTCTTTACTTTCTTCATCTTTCTTAACCTAAGTTCCTCTAGCCCCCCATGTCCACACAAACACTTTCTCTCTCCTCTCTCTCACACACACTCAAGTGTCATTTTCTCACATATACTTCACACAAAAGAAACAACCATTCACTACATACTACCTTGTCATTGATTTTTCTCTCTCTATATCTCAAAAATCTTTGCAAAATCAGCTTAACCGCAAACAATAGAAAACAACATTCTCAACAAAACCCAGAAATCTCTTCCTCAAATCCTCAATACCCTTTCTTTTTTTCTCCCTACCCACAATAAAAAAAATTAGCTTTCACTTTCTTTGTCCAAATTCAAGAAAACAAGAACTAGGGTTCATTTCTGGAAACCGACTGAAGAATATCTGTTCTTCTTTTTGCTAAAAGCTTAAGAATCTCTTCTCTTCTTGAGAAGAATACAAAGAAGACGAAGAAACTGAAAGCTCTCTTTCATGGAGCTTTTTCCTGCTCAGCCCGATTTATCCTTACAAATTAGTCCACCAAACAGCAAACCATCATCAACGTGGCAGAGAAGAAGATCAACAACAGATCAAGAAGGTCATGAGGAGCTCGATTTAGGGTTTTGGAGAAGAGCTCTTGATTCAAGAACGTCTTCTCTCGTCTCTAATTCCAGCTCAAAGTCAACCAATAATCATCATCATCCACTCGAAGACCTCTCGCTCTCTCACAGCTCTCATCATCAACATCAACATCAACAGCAACATCATCATCCTCACCTTCTCCCGAATTGCAACGGCTCTAACATCTTGACCTCTTTCCAATTTCAGACACAACAACAGCAACAATTACAAGGTTTTCTTGCTCATGACCTCAATACTCACTTAAGACCAATAAGAGGAATCCCACTTTACCAAAACCCTTCTCCACATCATCACCACCACCACAACCGTCCGCCGCCTTGTTTCCCTTTCGATCCGTCGTCTCTAATTCCCTCTTCTTCGCCGGCTGCTACCGGAATCAACAACAATAGCTTTGGTACTAATAGCGTTAGCAACTCCGGTTTAATTACAAACCCTAATTACCACAATCATCAACAACAACATCATCATCAGACTCTGAACAGAGCGAGATTCATGCCGAGATTCCCAGCTAAACGAAGCATGAGAGCTCCTCGGATGCGATGGACCACCACTCTCCATGCCCGTTTCGTTCACGCTGTCGAATTGCTCGGTGGTCATGAAAGTATGTTCCTTTTAGCTTAAAGCTTATCTCTTTTTCCATTTCTTGATTACCCTTTTTCAAATTCTTTAATGGCTTCTTGTTTTTTTTTTTCTCTCTTGAATCAATCGTTAATTAGGAGCAACACCCAAATCAGTTCTTGAGCTCATGGATGTCAAAGATCTCACCTTGGCTCATGTTAAGTCCCATTTGCAGGTAAAATTTCTTTCATTAAGAATATAATTTCTCTGATGATTGTTTGTTAAGTGTATAAATTCATCTTTAGCGTGGAGGGAAAATAAATTAAAATCAGTATATAATTAGTTAATAATATAATCTTCTCGGGTATCGATGCATTTGACTCGGTGACTTCCTTAAATCAGAGTTTCACTCGAGTCAGAACAGATCGAATCTTGTTTTCTTCTGATCCTTCCTTTTTTATTCTTATCTTAATTTAAATCAGATTTTTCCCCATCAATAATGCAACCCTTCTTGGATGAGTTAAGACAAAATACAAATGTATATAAACATTCCACACGAATTTTTCTTTTGTTCTCGAATATCTTTTTTTTATCTTATTTTCTGCTAGATCTGATGGTCCTCATAGATGATAGACAGACTTCTTTTTTGCAAGTTTCAATTTTCTTTCGTCTTGGAAGAATAAACTTGTCCTGTTACAAGTAAACCAAAAATTACTCAATATTACTATTACTGACACACAAAGAATAGAAAGTTAGAGAGAGAAATGGAGAGATTGAGAAATTACGTAAGTCATTGTACTAATTAAATAAAGCAAAAAAATCATCTCCTAAAATTAAGAAAAACATTAGTACTTTTGGTTTCTTATCATCCATTTTTTCTTGGGTTATACACCAAAATCAAGACCTTTTTTCTCCATAATCATGTGGTTACCTTTAAAAATTATTCGATTCAACTATTAATGGGTGATATTTCCTTTAAATGTTTATATAGATACTATTACTCTATTTCTATAATATACCTAAGATCTTAGGACAGTCTAATTAGGGATAATTACGCAATTAAATGTATATTCCCCTATGAAAAATAGCTCTTGTGATAAAAAAAAAATTAAAAAAAAAAAAACAAAAAGGGGTAGTACAAAAAACACCATCATTTCTCAATGATGAAATGGTTTTGGTCTTACACACAGTCACAGTGTGAGAGAGAGAGGAGAGAGAGAGATTGGTCTATTTAACTTGACCATGGTTCCACTTCTCTATATGTTTAATGGGCTTTGTTTTAACCATGGTTAGACACATAAATTCATGCATGGGTACATGAAAATCGCAAACTTCATTAATAATGTCAATTAATGCTTCTGTGGCTGAACAGTTCTATATTTTTTTCCTCATTTTTTATCTTCCATTGTGTCTGTACATATGTGTGTGTGTGTATATATGTTTTATATTTTGAAAATTTGTTAGTACTATTCAACTGTGTCGGAAGACAACAGTACATTGGTCTCCTTTCTTTGGTCTCTTCTTCCTTTGTCATAGAATTCGATACATGCATGATGCATCTATATATATACGGAGATTCAGACGAAATATAATTTGAGAGTTTGCTTTTTGACTTAATCGAAATCATAATATAGTACATGCGTTTTTTTAATTATATTTTTGATGTATTTTTGTTTTCTTATTGATAATATCAGATGTACAGAACAGTGAAGACAACCGACAAAGCAGCAGCTTCGTCAGGTTAGTATTAGTCAAATACTAATTCAGTCAGATTCTTTTATGGTGAAATTATTGGATCTAGAGAATTTAATAATTAAAATGTGATTTGGATAGAAACCCTAATTAATTGTCTTTTTCTTTCTAAATTTGATTCAGGACAATCTGATGTCTATGAAAATGGATCTTCAGGAGATAATAACTCAGACGATTGGATGTTCGATATGAATCGGAAATCTGGAGATAGCGATGAATTGACAAATCCTCTAGAAAAATCAAACGGTCTATGGACAAATTCTTCCGGGTACGTATAAATTCATCGTTTCTATTATTATTATTTTTTGTTTTTGCTATATAATGCAGAATCGCTTAAGCACGTGCATGCTTCTATATATTAAGACCTGAAAAAGAGGGTTAGCGTAAGTCTATTGAATAAGCTAAAACAATATAGAATTTACCAAGAATAAAGTTGGAATAACTTAGAACGCATAACGCATATTGATGTATAAAGAAACATAATTGAATGATGCTAAGAATAATGGAGAATAATTGGGTTAGATTTATATTTCTGCTTCGTATTTCTGTTTTGTCTCTTTCTCAGCCACAAACCAATGGATCGGAGTTGAGACAAAACAAATGATGGGTTAATCATCATGTTCTGTTCTCTCTCTCTCCCATCTCAATTTAACAACTGTGAGAGAAAGTTAAAGATAATTGGCATTGGCATAAAAAACAAAGTTATATACACACACGTACAAGAACACACGCATAAATATACGATTTGCATGGGTGGTGTATATTTGCAATTGCCTTTCCTTGTTGTGGGAGTACTTAGCAAAATAATGTAATTTTTTTCTTTTGACCAATGGCTTAGCAAAATAATGTTAGTGGGTCGGAAAAAACTTAACACCATATCTGTATTCTAGAGTAATTCATTTCATAATCAAAAAGTAAAACGTGTATGCATATAATTATAATATATTTATTAAATCTAGCGCGTTTATTTTGCTAGATAAAACACTAAGCGATATAAGAACTTTAGATTACCATTTTCAGTTAGAGTATGATATATTTTCCTCGAATTATTTCGAGATATTTAGGAAAATTAAAGTTCTTTTGTAATGGTTAAACACATGAACAAATGGGCAAACACGTGGGTTGGAGGAAAAGTTTGATTTCTCAACTTTATTCTAAAATAAAGTAAAAGAAAAAAAGATTACATATAACATACTTCCATATTTTGCATACTACAGCCATACCAGTCGACAGAGATAAAAACAACTTTGTTACTACCAAAAGAAAATTGCTTTGTTTTCTTTCGTCTTGTAATTTCTTATCTTCCTTTTCACTTTCTTCCTAGCTCTTTTTGTTAAATGTCTTTGCTGATTTTATTTTTATGAAAAGGGAATATCATATACATCCCTCTCATATAACAAAGCTTTTGTTGGCTTTTGCAGAGAGGCACGTTTGCATGGGAAGCTAATCGATAATGTTGCAGAAATTATGCTACCTTCTGAGGTACGATACATCTCTTTCTGCAAATATAAACTATGTATACGCGAATATGTGTACGTATATATTGTACTAATATCAATTTTATTTATATGCATTGTCGATTTCTTTTCATTGCTAAGTCACCCGAAAACCTCAAAAGAGGTGCCACAAAAAGGGCTTTTTCCATTAAAGCTTGCTTTAGGAATTTTCAAAAGCAAAGGGCATTTTCGTTATTTAGTCATTTATTAGGAAAAAATATAGAAACCTAACCTCATTGACATTGACCATGATGAGTTTTTTTTGTTTTGACCTTTGACACGCACATATTGTGACTTGTGAAAGCTTAAGCCTTGAGGTGCGGTTATCTAAGCTTTTGCTTATAGGCCAGCATGGGCAAAAGCAAAATCATAGTAGCTTCCGTTGAACAATGGGAATATATTTATTTACATGTGTCAGTATGTCAAACACTAGTAGACATTAGAAGTAAGCTAAGCTTAGATCTTAGAACTAATATTTTCTTAATTATGAATGATACAATAATCTTAAATCAAGTTATGTGTCGAAATCAGTTTTAATTAGTGTTGGCATGAATTTCTGTACTTTTAATTATCAAGGCTTAAATAATGATATACTTTTCTTTGTTGCTAAAACATCATATGTACTTTTCTGTCTCCATTTGTCAATAGCTAAGTTAATGTTCATGATCATATATCATACACACACAATCACATGCTAATCCATCATACACATATATGAAAAATAAAAAACACTTACACTGCATAGAATTTTGGTAATCGTGCTAAATGCTTAATTGTTTTTGTTTTGGGTGTTATTTAAACAGAAGGAAATAGATGGAAAGTGTTCAAGTTATGAGAGGATATCATCAGAGGAAATGAGCTCATCAAGCATCTCTGGAACAAGCCCCTTTAAGCCTAACCTTGAGTTTACTTTGGGTCGATCTCACTAAATCTACTGTTGTAGCTAGATAGTAATTAACTAGTATTAATTAACTTCTATTTTGGTTAATGACTAGTTTCGATATCCATATCAATTTAATAAGTTTTTTAAAGCTTAAAATCTCAATGTCCTCTCCGATGGTTGAAAAACACTGTTCTTTTTCCTTCTCTATTGAGAAGAGCTAGTGAAAGTATCGAGTACTAGAGGCACAATAAATGTTTCTTTTGTTTGAACTATTTTCTTTTTCTCTTTCGAACTTTATTTATATTTAACAATCCGATGTTAAAGGCATGTAAAATATATATAAAGGAAATTTTATAGAAAAATGAAAAACATAAAAGAGAAAAAGCAGAAAAAAAAAGAAAAGAGAAGGAAAGGTTTAAAAGAAAGACAAAAGAGGACATGAACGAAAGAAAGCAAATAAGCTAAAGGAGAATTGGTAAAGTTCTTTAAAAAATCATTTATACAATTTTATACTAATAAAAGTTAATTTTATTTTGTTAATTATTGTTAAGAAAAAGATGGATGTGATTATTAATCATATATGATTGCCCTTAAGATTTTAGAGTGGCTATAATCTATATAAAGCATATGAACTGTCTGTCACCATAAACTTTTGGAAAAGATAATTAACTTATACAATAAAGCAAAGAATGTCTCTTTATTCTCGTAATAAAGAAAACAGTATCTCGTTTGTTTTTACTTTTTAGGTTCCATGTATTAATTTTGGGAATATTTTTCTTGAAATACCTCTGTATATACATAAGACGATGTATCACTAAAGTTCATTGAATATATCATAGGAAAAAAGTTAAAGACATTAAAGAGAAAAATAGAATAATTTTTATGTGTAAGGTAGATTCCCACCAAAGAATATTTAGTTCATTGCTTTCACTTAGGTGTTTGATGTTTCCGTACTCGTCAACACTCTATTTTCAGTACTTTTGTCCACGGACAGTCAAAACGATTACATAGTTAAGCATTTATATAGAGATAAAATGGATTGCCAAATTAATTGTGTGGTCGGTTTGAATTGGCGGTAGATTGACGTTTGGATTCAACATGTTTATAATTTCAGTAAAGTTTACGATGTGCAAATAGTAAATTATAAATCTGTAACTTAGATATGTTTTTTTAAAATGATGATATCTATTTTTTCTAACTGGCCGGTAGTATATTTTGATTAAATATAGAATAATATAATTTTTTTTCGACTGGACTATGAAAGTTTTTAATTTTCTGTAATTGTTTTTGTGAGAAAGATTTGTAATAGATTAGATAAAACTTTTTGTAAATATGCTAGAGAGTTGTTACTGCTTAGGGGTAAGAGAAAATCGTTACTACTTCGTACCTACAAATTATAATGAAAGAAAATCCTAACAATTATTTTTGCATATGCAATTTTTTTTAGTAATGAAATAACAGCCTATCATTATATCTATAGATTTTTTTTAACGCAATTCTTTCTCTCAAAATTTCACCATAAGCACTCTTAGAATACACGAACACGTAATTTACAAGTTTCTCTTGATTACCATCGAGTAACCAAAAGTAAGCCTCATCAGGATTTTTAATGAAGAACAATATATATAGAGGTAACTAATCCCAAGCCCCTCTCTATGTTTATCGCAAAAACCATAAAACAATCAACAACAAAAATACAAAACCAGAAATTCAAACATGTGATGATGCTTTGTTTATGTCTTCCCCTTTTAACATACTATGTTTCTTCAGTTGGGCTAATGTGTTTGATTTTGAGTTTAATCACTGTATTGTCAACTTCTTGAGCTTCTTCCGACACAAAACCCAACACATTCGAGCTTCTTCAAGCTCGATTGATGATTTTTGAGGAAGCTCAAGCAACCTTCAAACTGATTTCCAAATAAGGATTTGTTTCTGATGTATATATGCTCCTTAGAGATTTAAAAGTTATTTTTGAAAATGATATCCTTGATGAAATGTGCAACCTTATATTGATATGCTTTTGTACATTAATATCTGTTGTTATTAGATAAGTATATTTGTACTTTGTGAATCACAATAACCTCAACAACTTTCTGATTATACCCAAGTTTCAACAACTACTCTTAAGCCACATTGGTTCGTTTATACCGCCTCTCTGAGAGCTAACTTGTTGGTTGTCAGAGCCATAATATGGTAGAGATCTTAATTTCCAGCTAATATTTCACCCAAGAGTAAAATAAAACCAGATGTAACTGACATTCATTTGTCTATATTTGTAGTATAATCTAAATCACAAAATCCATTACCTTAAAATGAGTATTCATTGTGAAAAGTGATCCAGATTGACTACACCCTTTCAATATGTTACCAATCATTTGACTTCTAACTAATGTTTATCTTTGTATTTCCTACCAAACTGCTCACAGCCCTATGAAACATATAGTAAGTATGACATTTCGCTAACCATGACATATATTAAGAATCCTAAGGCACTTACAAAAGGAACCTTCCATGTAAGAGCTTTCAAATCTCCTGCTCTGCTATGCTTTCGAGTTTTAGTTGTGAACCAGTTGACATTTGAGCTAATATTAGACTATAGTACCAAGAATTAAGTTCATGGTTCAACAATTTATTTCGTGAGAGAGCTTAAACCCCTTGTTGACTCTAATTCATGATAATGTTCATATATACATTACTTACATTTTTAGTTGCTTAATTAGATCCTTTATTTCCAACTCAGTGTTTAAACTTTTATTAAGTCTATCGATCTCTCTTATATTATGAATGTACTAACGTATCATCGACATACATCACCAACTACAACATACCTTTTTAGCTGAATCCCTCGTGTAGACACAGACACGGATCATATTGGCTTCTATGAAACAATCTATCTCTTATAAATGTGTCAAGTTTATGGTTCCACTGCTAACTGATATTTATTTCCAAACCATAAAATGAACATAAACATGGGTTTTTTTTTTTCAATTCTCCGTTCAAATAATTCAAGATGTCTCGTTGAGGCATTGCCTTCTAAATTGCCATGGACAATGCCTTCTATTTGCCCTCTCCACTTGGTTAGTTTGCAACTCTGGCCGTGAATAGTTAGTTACGTTCTGATACATAACCAATATCAAAAACATATGGTGGAAGCCCTCCAAGTATCAGTAACAAAAATAAATATCAAAATCATTCAAATTACTTTTTGGTCTAAAATCATCATCCAAATTCTTGAAGAAAAATCTAAGTAATCTGGTGGTGTTCATTGTATGGGTAGTCGCATTTGACAATTGAAACACGGCCTTATGTCACTATCATGTCACGTGCAAAGTGAAACATCCCAAAAATTGAAATAATAATATATTGATATTATATAATTTAAGTTTTGAGAGCAAAACAGAATATGAAAGGCATGCAAAAGGTAGTAATCATTCACCAATAATTGCAACATACACCCACCCACTCATCTAGACTATTAAATGTTCGCAAACAAAATGACTAACGAAAGCTTAACTAAATAGATGTAATTGTCAACACAAGTTTGATTAGTTTTTTTTTCATGTATATATATAAGTTCTTGAACATATATATATATATATATATATATATATATAAGATCAAAATTGTAGATGTTAGTGATGATAAATGAGACTATAATATATAAAAGTTTAATGACATAAGGAGGAATGGCACAAGTTTAGTAGATCCACAGGAATCAGGAGGAGAATTATGGGAAAAAGAGAACAATTGGTCTTACTCTCTCTCTCTCTTAGCTAAAAGCCTTTCATCTGTCCTTTCTGCTTAGGCTACCCCAATATTTATTGACTTTTCACTTAAATTATGAATACTTTCAAACATACTCCAAAAGTTTAAAATCTTATTTAGCAATCCAGTGACTAAAATTGTTGCCTAAAAATAAAGTAGTTTCCCTGTGATAGGTAGGGATAAACTAAGTAACCAAAATTACGTAATCACGTAAATGTAAGTAGTTTTTACATGCGGTAGATATATACTCATGTATTTCTTGGCTCAGTTCATGCATTAAACAAAGAAATAAAATATTTTGTATAATATTTTATTTTAATTATTTTTTGCTCGCTTCTGTCACTCTCTATCTTTCTCTCTGCGTTTGAGGCAAAGACTGAAACACTGCTCGATTATTTACTGTCGTACGAACAGAGAAGAGCACGAAGTTCACAGAATGTCAAAAGTATATATTATTAAACCATCATTACATTATCATTTCAACTTTGGAACAATCGTACACACTCTCTCATCTACGTGTCGTGATCGTAACGGTTAGTTTGTTGGGTCTCTGCTGTTCTGCCAGCCGTCTGATCTGATATTGCCAAATGTTGCAAAGATGTTATACTGATCAACAAGAAAGTGACCAGTAAAGTTGACGCTCCTTGTTTTCACCTTCATCAAGAGCTAGAAATCTCTTTCTACTCCCTTTTTTATTTTGTTTTAATATATATAGCCTGTAATTCCAAAAAAGTTATAACCTTACAAAACGAGAAAGTTCCTTTTGGTAAAAGTTGAGCATTTTTAAGAAATGCAGAATTTGCGCAAAATCATAGGTAAATAGTTGAAGTGCTTGAAGCAGTACATTTTTAGCAAATACTTTTTAATAGAAACAACAAACAATTATCATCAAATATTTTACTAGAATCTAATGGTAGGGTGAATTAGCTATTTTGACAAATCTCTTTATATCGAAACAAGTTTTTCCTTTACAGTAAACATTGAACATTCATAAATCTATTGATAAAACAAAGATAACGAGCATTTTCAAAACTTATTTTTTGAAAAGCATTTTCAAAACGTCATTTAAGGCTTTCAAAGATGTTAAGACTTGCATCTACAAAAAAATTCTTGGTCAACAACGGTATAATCTGAAACATTATACGGCAGAAGAACATAGTAAATATGAAATTAAATGTAAAAAGACAAAAGAATTTAACAAGGAAATGTAAAACAAAAAGTGGATGAGCGAAGGAGGAGACTATTTCATAAAAATTTGCAGTGTTAATTGAGTAGCTCGAGGAGCTTTTGCATGGGGAGAAGCTGTGGTACGGGTCCCATCAACGTTAACTCAAACGTCAATGCGAGAGCTAGAGGATGATGATGCATGAATGTATGGGTACAACAAACATTGGAGAATAATAAATAAAAACATAGCTAATTCAATAGTAATGTCAATCAATTTTCTAATAGTATTTGTCATAGAGACATTGTTTTTTTTTGGTCATAGAGACATTGTTTAATTAATGCGATGAAATTTATAAATATTTCTGTAGAATTCAGATCAACAAACAAACAAGTGAAATAAAAAAAGAATAATGCAGAAAGTGGAGAAGACATATACTATAATAACAAAAATAATTGTTCTCTTACAGGACAACGGATAATAAGGCGAAATTCTCGCGGGAACCAACGCCTCCTTATTTCTATCCCTTCCGTAATTAATAAACAGACAAAAGACATACGTACAAACATAAATACTCTGTTTTTTTTTTTATGCTGTGATACAAACATAAATACTCAAATACATACATACACATATACACATAACATATTCTCTTACTTATATATCTCTCGGATTTTCATCTCTACAGCCAAACTTTATATACAGAAAAGAAAGAAATAACTAGTCAATCTAGTACATTTTTATTCAGCCAATTGAAGCATTATGTACGACTCAGAATCAACCACGATGCCAAAATTAAAGTATGATGTTTTACGGAACGTTTAGTCAAGAGTTTATGAGTCCTTTGATTATGGTACTTCGATTTTTGAAATGAATATGATTTTCAAGCTAATTATTCATCCTAGATTCCTAGTAATTCACTTTGTGAATGGACAAAATATATATAACCACGCCATCATATTTAACTACAAAAGTTATTAACAAAATTTATTCAAATTAGATACCGAGTTAAGATCATACTATAAATCAACTCTCTTAACATCATCATATTGTCTTTTGTAGAATTAAATTTGAGTATGACGATGTTCAAAAACCTTATGTTCCCATTATCATCATCATATAAAAGTCAAGTACCATCTTGGTTAGGAATGTTTCAGTTTCACACTCGGAAACATAAACGTAGAAATTGTAGTCCGTATTTTGGGGGTTAAGAAGTAACAAAACGAAAATAATGCTACCAAAAATATGAATATTGGAAAAAAAGTCAAAAGGGCTAAAAAGAAAAGGAGGTGTTGGGAAATGTCAGACGGTGGCGAAAGAAGTGACGTGTCAAGAGGAAGGAGGTGGGACCTAAAGGGATATGGTCAAAAAAACGAATGACTGTCACGAGTAGCAAGTAGGGGACCAATCAACGACAAAACTTCCCCAAATCGCTTTGTAATCTATTGATCCCCTCTTTCACAGTCCTGTCACTGTATCGCGTTCTCCGTTTCCTCATCCTTTTCTTCTAAATCCTTCAGGAAACAAAAATTCCTACAACAGTCGCAAGAATTGTCAATTCAACTAGAGAAGACGGAAAAAAAAAGGATTGTTTAACTTTCAGTTTATTTTCTCATTTGGTTTTTGAAAATAGATCTGATGGAATGTGATCTTAAAGCCTCCAAAAGGCTACATTAACGTAAGAATACATCCCATGATTTACAAGCCATAGTCAGGCCCAGGCCCATATTCAATCTCAGGACCATAACATCTAAGCCGACGGGGTTGAATTGAAAAACTGAGGCCGGAGCTTTTACTTAGGGTATATTGCCTGCTTTGTGGTATAATATAGTTTGAACTACATATTTAGGCTTTGTTGGAGTACCGACAAGTGAAATTGTTGTGTTTTTGCTATGATGTCAAGAGAAACACAATCATCAGAAGAATGGAAGCGTTAAGGATAATATAATTTACATCTACCTAGACCATGCAGAGGACTTGAAGCAAGTCTTCTAACTAGGACTTTTATGACTTGAGACTTTGTTTGGTTGTAGTTTGTCAATCACTTTCTCATCACATGGACGATCTTAGCTCATTGAAATGACTCTTTTCTGTGATGGTGTTCATCTTTCTAGATATTTTTCCATTCCATTGTTTACACACTTATACAGAGCGTAATAAGTTGTTCGAAATTGTGCTTTACCTTCATTATTTGGCCTAGGCTTCGCTTGGGCCACAAGTTTGCAGAGCATAGGCATCGAATGTTAAAGGTAGATGATGTCGAGTCCTACAAAACCAACTCGAGGGTAAATATCTCAATCTCATACACGTACATATAATAACACGCTTAAAGAGTACAATGGGCAATAATATTAATGAAGAGAAGTTAAGGATAGACTCAACGACCAAATTTTCGTCAAGATACAACGACTTCCACAACAATGTTTTTGCAACTAAAGAAAAATATAAAGACCCAACAACATCACTGTCTAAAGTAAACCATACAATATGTATAAAGTACGATTTTTTTCACACGACAGAATAGTCGGCACATTAGACTTTCCCCACCGGACTTGACCCCAAAAACCAAAAGTCTAAAAATTAGAAAAAAGAAAAAGAGAGTCAAAAGGAGAACCACCAAAGGCGGGTAGATAAAAAGCAGCTTTCCTTTTGATATTCGTCATCATCTCATCCCACTTTACTTACAAACCACCTCCACCTTCCTCATCGTCTCTCATCTTGCTTCCAGGATTCTCCTTCTTCAACTTTGGCTGAATTCAAAAAAAAAAGAAACCAAAAGTGTCCATAAATATTTGCTTATCAACTTGTGATTTACACTTCTATAAACAAGTCTCGAGTACTACTACTACACTTGCCTGGTTTTGAAGAGCTGTTATGGTGGACCTAAGGAGATCATCTCCTACAATGACACGCAGCTTGCTCACAAACTCTGCTCGGTTCATCTTCTTTTCCTGCACAACAGATTTCTTACAATTTCAGCTCTCATGCCTATTTTCAAAACGTGATATAGCAAAACTCTCTCAAATCTGTTCCCACCCTCAGTTGTTGGTAGTCAGCATTGATCAAGGACATGTCTTTCTCTGCAATCTTCTGTGAGATTGCTGCAAACAAAGTAGGGAAAGGCATCCATGGAGATTTGGGTCTTGTAGTGCTAGAGCCTACACTGTTTGCGCTCCCTGAGCCTCCTGTTCCCTGTTTTTTTCCAAACACACAAACCAAAAAAAGTCTTGTTGTTCAATCCCTTCAATACAAGATCATACAAAGGAGAAACTAAAAAAGCAAAACTCACGTTTGACTCCAACTGTGGAGGAGGAAGATCCTTGGGTCCTTCCAAAGTGACACCCGAGTTATCATTCTTAGCGACCAAATTACCTGCACAAACCAGTGTATGTCATCGACTTCTTATACTGCACAAAACCGAGTTTGATGGATAGAAATACCAAATAAGCCGTGAGTATCTCCATCCGACCCCCGGATGATGAAATCAGAGACACGTGTCTCTTCAAACCAAACGTGTTACAACACCGGAGGTCGTTAGGTTTTATCACACACGGGTCCTTTTTTTTCTTTTCTTAAATTTATCAGTTGAGACCTGAGCTTCAGCCACAGATCTCTAAGCTGTCTCCCTTTCAATGCGTCATCAGTAGATTTGAATTGAAATAACATTATAAGGGAGGAATGATATGGAAACAATCTAATCACCTTCAGCATTGGGGAGAGCAGCCAGCTTGAACCTAACAACAAATTCCGGGAATATGTGGGTGTTCATATTGATGTTCCACACAATGTAATTCTTCGGATTCTCTACATCATCAACACCGTTGTCATACTCTTCTCCACCAGAGAAAAACTGCGCTTTATCACCACGCAGAAGCTCCATATTCCCCATTATCACACGGCACAAGACCATGTAACGCACTCCGTTTTCGTCAACATCACAATATCTAGCACTGGAAATAAGCTCATGATTGGTTAGGACTTGAGACACTGAGTAATTATTAGAGATAGGAGCTCATATATGAACTTACCTGAAGTAAGGGCAGTCTGCAGCAGTTAGATGAATCCCAACACCATAGATGGACTTTCTAATAAATGCCCCACCAACTCCAAGTCCCTGCATCATGACACCAGATAAAACCTCCCTCTTTGCGGGAAGCCATGCGTATCTAACGTTTGCATCCCCACGATGCTTCTTGGTGATCTCAACCTGCTGCTGGAAAAGCGCTAGACGAGCTTCAGCAATCTCACTGGAAAAGCGGCCAACATCAAGCACCGCTACTTGCCCCAGAGAAGCTGTCCCCGAAGCAAACATTTTTTTCACTGCATCTTTATCAAGTCCAGCAGATCCAGCAGGCTTGAGACCAGAGACTGGCACGGCGTCAGTCTCATCCCATTTCGAAGCAGCAGCTTCAAGCTTGCGGCTACAGCTATCCTCTTCTGGAACGTCACCAGACTCGTCACTGCACTCCTCCAAATTCAACCTCGGTGACTCCCCAGCATTAACATCAATCTCAAGGCGCAGCTTGATGTCATGTGGGGCATACTGTTTAGGATCTTCCACACAGTTATGATGGCAGCAGTTGTTCCTTTCGTCACTCTCGTAAATCTCAGGGAAAAAGCATTTGCCCCCAACGTCAATCCATGCAAGCGGGGTCTTTGCCCCTGTTTCCAAGTCCAGCCTGTGCATGTGCAAGAAATCCAAAACAAAAAGACGACCGCACCACTCGTACTCAATCGCGGCTCTCTTTTCTTCCAACTCATTTCGGATGGCACAGTTAACACGGTCAGGCAAATCATTCCATTCACCATTCTCATAGATCATCACACGCTTCGGAACTCCAGTCTTCTTGAAGTAAGAGTAGTATCTGACCAGCGACTTCCCAGAGCGACTCTCGTAAGCACCAAGCTTGTTTTCACCTTCCACCTTCCTTCTCTTGTCAGGAACTTGGGACAGCGCGTTCGGCGGAGGCACGTGCTGCTGCTTTGAGCACGAGACTCCAGTAACATATGCAGCGTAGCTTGCTGCACGTTTCCTCTTCTTGCCAAATCCATCTTCACACCTACTATCCAACACCTTGACGATCTTGGCTTCCATCTCTATCTATTAACAATGCTAAACCTATAACCTTGAAAGAAAAAGTCAACTGTTTAACCTCTAAACTCCCTAGCAGTCCTAAAGATAGTGTATTGCCGGCAGCATTAGAAAACACTGCACAAAGAAATAGAAACAAATTAGATATTATTAAACAAATGAATTAAGAGAACAGAGTCCAACAAAAAACTTCTCACGCAATCAGTAAACAAAGGAAAAAAAAAGCACAAAAACACATTTGCTACAATCTCCATCAAAAAGGTAACATCAATGAACAGTCTTTCATGTTCTCTTTCCAAAAAAAAAAGAGAAAAATATTCATTTAGAAAAAAGGACGCGTATTTTGTTGTGTAAATAGTACACAGATCCTTTACAAAAATCAAAAAGATTTGAAGAAACCAAAGAAGTTAATAGTCATCAGAGAAATGGACATCAGAGCCAACAAGAAAAATCATCTAACACTAAAGATAACAATATTTCTATGCAAACAGAGAATCAAATTAATCAAAACATGAAAAAACTGCAAACTCAATCACAAACACAGAGAAAATGAAACATTAAACCCAAAAGCGAGCTTGAAACTCACCCAACTGTAACAGTTAGAGTCTGATAGATAGATACATGGGTGTTCATCTTCTCCGTCATAGAAAATAAACACAATCAGAGAAGAAATGCCACCGTCTTATTCGGTTTTATATAGCCGTCGGCAAGAAAGTTCCTGCAATACAAAATGAATCAAAATTTAGCTTTCAACAATCAGTCAAGTCAAATTAAATTTGATAAAACAAAAAACCTCAAAGGTAATTCAAATCTCTGTGGCTTCACAGAATTCATAAATCCAAACAAGTCAATCCCAGGTTCATAGACTTTATTCGTCAACAAATCAACGAAAAAAACGCAGATCGTACACGAATTATCCATCAATTCAACAAAAACAACTCAAAACGCCTCGGAACCATACGAATCTAAGCCGATCTACCAGAAACAACTTTGAAACAAAAAAAAACCATCGAGAATCCGAGATGAAATCCGGGAATAAAATAATTCTAAAAGACAAAGGAATCTCATGCTATGAATCAATAAGAAAAAAACAAAAATCAACCTGATAATATTTTCAGATCGATCGCTGAGGCAAGGGTCTTCTGCAAAAGCTAAAGGAAGAAATCACGGAGGGAGGTAAGACGATTGGGAGAAGATAGATGGATGCTTATAGAGAAGAAAACCCTAAGCCGGCGATGACGAAGAAGGAACTGTGTATCGAAAGAGAAGACTCATTATATATCTTCGGCGATATTGAGGAAGAGAAGAAAAAAAAAATAGCTAAGTCGGCGGTTCCTGAGTTTTCCTCTGTGTAACCAAAAATTTGCTTGGACGAAAAGCAAATCACTTGGGTTAGGTTAAAGTGACTTGCGGTTAAGTCAAAGTCGAAATCTTATTGGTTGGTGATATATTGATGAGGCGGTCAATACACGGAGATGGAAGATATGGTCGAATAATAAAATGGAATAATATCATGAGGGATAACCAAAAAAAGCCATGAGGAGAAATATTAAAATTCAACTCACGGGGACACAATTATAAAATGTGAGACTCTTGAGTCTTTGATTAGATTGCTGACTACGAATCGATGGGTAAAGGGGACATTGGAATGGAGGATAACCATAGTATTTTATTGCACAGAGATCTACATAGTTTTCAATGAATTATCTAGGAATAAAGGTTAAGGATTCGCACAAAACAAAAAAGTTTAAGGAGATGATCCTTGTAGTAGTTTTGAAATATTTTAGAAGTTGTTGAATAGTAAGGTGTAGTTTTGTTTTTTGAAAGAGGTAGTTGTTCGAAAATGATTTCCCGCGTTTAACGGTTGAAAATATAATTTAAACGTAAATAATTAGAAAGTTTTATTTTATCGACCGTTACTTGTATTTTGGCGCGTTTTCTTGTTTGTAACGGCTGAAAATATAATATAAACATAAATAGTAAAACTTGTTTTATTAACGGTTATTTATGTTTTGGCGCGTTCTTTCTCCTATCTATAACGGTCAAAACTTCATCGTTATAAAGCTATAAAAGGAAAAATAATTTATCGTGTTGAAACTATATACAACAAGATTGCTCTAATCGTTCCGTAAAAAAGAAAGAACCAAACTCCGAAACCCTTACATATAAATGCTTAAGGTAGCATTTGGGTGAAAATAATCTTGAAGCTACTATGGACCTCCCATGGCTAAGGAAAACTAAAGCCTACCATCTCGTGTATTACTAGTAGAGATAATCTCGAACTATGGAACAACCATTGGTTTGTCCACTTTAAAATCACACTTGGTTAAAATTGCATTCAGTGAAAGCATGATAACTCATTCAAGGGCTTAAGAATATATTCCACTACTACTGCATAATTGAAAACTATGATACCATATGAAATGGGAGATCGCTTAAGCTTTACAAAGAAGAAATATTTTAGAAATTGTTGAATAGTAAGGTGTGATTTTTTTTGTTGAAAGAAGTAGTTGTTTGAAAAGGATTTCCCGCATTTAACGGTTGAAAATATAATATAAACGTAAATAATAAATTTTTATTTTATTGACCGTTATTTGTATTTTGGCGCGTTTTTTTCTATAACGGCTGAAATTATAATATAAACACAAATAATAAAATTATTTTCTCAAAGATTTTTATATTTTGGCGCGTTTTTCTCTTATCTATAACGGTCTAATTTTTTTCTACAAAAAAAAATAACGGTCTAAATTTTATCATTATAAAACCAGAAATGGAAAAAGAATTTATCATGTTGAAACTAAAGACAACGAGAAACAGAACAATGAAAAAGGAAAGCACCAAACTCGGAAACACTGATATACAAATGCTTAAAGTAGCATTTCAGTGAAAATAATCTTGAAGCTAGGATGGACCTCTCATGGCTAAAGAAAACTAAAACCTTTCGTCGCGTGTAATACTAACAGAGATAATCTCGACCTATAGAACAACAATTGGTTTGTCCACTTTAAAATCACACTTGGTAAAAGTAGTGAAAGCTTGATAACTCAGCCAAAACCATGGTTTATGAATATATATTCCACTACTACTGCGTAATTGAAAACTATGATACCATATGAAATGTGCAGACCGCTTAAGCTATACAAAGACCATAATATGCATCAAAACTCTGCATTTAGCCAATTCGAAAGCAAGTGAAAATATATTTCGCGTGAAACTATACCCTACACTATGATCTCTCACTATCCATACTCCACCATTATGTAGTATTTTCTCCAATTGGCATTGATATACTTACGTATGCTAGACAAAAGTGGATACAATCGATTGTCTAGAGCACCAAGACATGTAAATGTTCATTTTAAACTACAACTTCTTCCAATGCTTTTAGCGTATTTAATACATCTTGTTTCCAACATACAAGGTAGCATTCCAGTTCTCCTATATCTTCCCAAGAAACCCAAATGATGGCCTGTCTTATGAAGTATATGTAGTTATTGGCTGGTGTTCCATTAGATCCAAAATATGAATAATAAACCTCTAATGATGTTGTGAAGCCATTGCAAACAGCTGAACTGAGCCAAATAAATAATTTGCTAAGCCTTATATCAGTTTACTGTTTACATTATACGACACAACATACCAATACTACACAGCATACCTTTCACATGACCGAAAAGTAAGATCATCTCTATGGTGAGATACTTTTAGAGCTATATATAACAAATATAATACTACAGAAATAGTTTTAATTAATTTAATTAAATAGTTTATTCTAAAATAAAAGAAAAGTTTAAACCAATAAGAAATTGACTAATCTTATATGGTCTCTCAACTTGTTTGTCTAAATTCTAAAATGAGATAACCAATTCTTTCTCTCTTCTTTTTATAATTCTTATTAACTGTTTGAAGGCAAAACAGTAATATATACTTAATTTTCGTATTGGTAAAAAAAAAAATCTCAATAATATATGTACTAAATTCATTATTTTTATATTAAACTTTTAGGCAATGGTTTAAATAGGCTTGCACGATAACTTAAAAAAAAACATTAATACATTTGGCAGTAAATAATCCATTGATTTACTTCCAAATATATTAATGTTTCAATTTTTTTTTAAATATTGTTTGATCAAGCCCATTTGTCGAATGGTTTGGTCAAAGGTTTATTAAAATGAAATGAACTGAAATAAGTTTTATAATTCATTAGATTTTAAAAAGTTATGTTATTTTAAGAGTCCATTTAAGTTATTCTAAAATCTCTACAATATCTCATGGATTTTGTTTTTAATAATTTACTCATAGAAATCCATTGGAATTCATTTCAAATGACTCAATATACAAATGATTTTAAAAGTCATTTAGTTTTGAATAACAGTTGATTTTAAATCTGGATTTGAAATCTTCATTGAATAACACTGGATTTGAGACTCTATTATTATAAATAAGATATCGAATAACATTTTAAAACCAGATTTGAAATCTTGATTGAATAAAACTGAGTTCTAATTCAATTTCAGTTCATTTCAAATACAACATCCAATAACACCCCCTAATACTTCTGCAGTTAGAATTTAAGAGAATGTGATTTATTACCATTTAAGTAGATTATCGAAGACATAATTGTAAGAAGAGGATTATCGGTCGTGGTAAGACAAAATTGTTGGTTGTAAAATCTTCATTGTAACATTTTTAATAATTTATAATAATAAAATAAATTAAGCGAAAAAAATATCTTAGAATCTATAGCGCCAATTTGTCCCAATTTTCAAGAGCACATAGCCCAATATATTAATGAATCGGCCCTTATCACATGTACCAAAATGTAAACTAAGCTCACAGTTATGTTTGTTCCTCTTAATAAAGAATATCATGCCCTGAAGTTTTACGAGTGGGCGTCCTCAAAGTATATACGTTTACAAATGATTCTTATTACATTACATATTTGACAGAGACGGAGAGGAAACGAAGAAGCTATTTTAGTATCTAAAGGCTTTCATTTTCGCAGCTGCTTCTTTGTGGTTTACAAATGATTCTTAATTTCTTACTGAGGTGGTTTATATGGCTCTGGTGGGATCGTTTCCTTTTAATTCGATCCTATCTGGAGTTCTCTCTTGTGTCGGGACAGCAGTTCTTGCTGGTAAGTTTAGCATGTTTTTACAAGGAACAAATACTTTACTCATTGACAACTTGTAAACCAATCAATCTTCTTCTTTATGCTGTGTTTCTTCTAGTTTGCCTTTGTTTATTTATTTATTTAATTCAATTGTTTATTTATTCAAATCCCATCTCATAATGGTATTTAAATTTTTTTATTTTTAACTAATAAGATCTCACAAATCACTCAAAACAGTTTGTGATATATTTTGTTGATGAAATCTTAATTTTCCAATAAGGTGGAATTTTAAATAATTTATATAAATCATTAATCCAATAACCTTGGATTTTGAATGATTTTTATAAATATGAGATACAATAAAAGGAGATTTTGGAAAGAAAAATAAATCCTCTCAAATCATAATTAAATAAGCTCCTTAATATTTATGTATATAGCTAGTTTATTGTTGGTTCGTTTCAAGCCTTCATTTCTACCTCCTTCCCCAAGAAATCAGAGAAAACCATTTTATACATTGAAAAAACGAAAAATGATGATCACAAATCTTCCAATGGATTTGATGGAGGATATTTTGTCTAGGGTTCCTTTAAAATCTACGAGAGCAGTGCGGTTAACTTGCACAAAGTGGAATACTTTATCGAAAAGCCAGATCTTTACAAAGATGCACTTGGTAAAGCATTCGCTCCACAAAGGAAGATGATGATCTGAGTCTCGGATGATCGTGATGAGCAAAGGAAATCTTTATTTAATGAGCGTCTTCGTCAACAACGGAGTTGATTTATCTGCAGAGCATATAGGTAACCTTAACTTGCCTTGACGAACAAGTCAAGATATCTCGTGTCTTACTGCGAAGGGTTATTGTTATGCATCCTGGAAGACGATGCTACTAGGGTGGTTTGGAATCCATATTTGGGACAAACAAGGTGGATCCAACTCAGAGATCCTCACGTCCTATGCGGCTCGCGGAACTGCGTAACAGTTCATTTACGCATCCGGCACGTCTTATCAATACTGGGGACGGTTCAGTTACGGTATCGGATACGAAGATAAGAGATGTGGTCGTAACTACAAAATATTGAGGTTTATAGATTCTCCTTATTTGAAGAAGGGAACAAGTTTTTTGGTATGAAGTATATGATTTCGAGATCTGGTTTATGGACGACTCTTGATGTCGTTGATCCATACTGGCGTATAACATCTGGCTGTGGGGTTTCTGTCAAAGGAAACAGTTACTGGTGTGCTACAGAAAGGGACGCACAGGATAATGATTGGTTGGGGCGAACAAGGACCACATAATATGTTTTGATTATACAAGTGAGAGATTTGGGCCACTTCTGCCTCTGCCGTATTGGTTCGGAGTGACCGCGACTTTATCTTGTCTTAGAGAAGAGAAGCTCGTGGCTCATTTCGACCAACCTTTCCATATGGGTTATCGATTTGGATCACGACTATGCTGAGGCCGAGAAGGTGTCGTGGAGCAAGTTCACCTTGTCGTCATATGATGAGTATTCAATCCTTGATGACATTCACATTCGGCTTTCATTTGGGGGTTTCTACGAAGAGAAGAAAGTCCCCATGTTTTCTGGTCAAAGGTTGAATTGCCATTTACTTAACCTACATTGGAGGGGACGGATACGGCGTGATTATATAGAACGTGAGCTACCCGCATTCGAGGATAGGGTTTGGCGAGAATGCGTGTGCTTTTACGTTCCAAGTTTAGTGCAAATCAAGCAACCTAAAGGAGGCCAAAGTGGGAAAAAACAAAGTGATGTAGAAAAGCTTCGCTATGATGAAATGATGTCGAGACTTTCCTACTTTGAAAGGAGGTGCAAAAGGCTTGACCTCGAGTTAGCTAAGAAGAAGGCGTCCACTTGTAAAAAACTCATATCCACTATAACCAGAAAAAGCTCGGTCCAGCTCATTTTTGTCCACCAATAGTTTTGCCTCTTTAGCTTCTTCTGATGATGAGGTTTGAGGAACTATCTCTTTAACGGTTTAACCGATTGAATTCTTGACACAAGAGAATCCTCGGGGAAAGGTCGGTTAAACCGTCGGAGAAAAGCAGAAGATGCGGTCGTGGCTAGTAAGAATAATATTTTCAGTCAATTCCATTCAAAATAATTTTCAAATTTCGATATGATACTCATCAGTTACTCTAAAGGAAGAAAATCCATGAAAATGACCAACAATTACTTCCAAATATATTCATGTTTTTTCAAATTTATATAGTTTATCTTACTACATGGATTTGTGTACGATAAATTATGAATCGGCCTGATCTCATGTACCAAAATGTAAACTAAGCTCACAGTTATTAACAGGTTTATCCAGTAGCCTTGTAAATTACATACTTGAAACTTTGTCCTAAAAGAAGATATTAATTTAACACAGAATCTCTCATGTCCTGAAGTTTTACGATTGCCCGTCCTCAAAGTAAATATATACGTTTACAAATGATTATTATTACATTGCACACTTGACACAGACGATGAGGACAAAAGGGAAGCTGTTTAGTATCTAAATTCTCTCATTTTCGCAGCTGCTTCTTTGATCTGCTCAATAGTGAAAATGCCAAAGAAGTCGTCATCTTTCACGGCGTTAATCACAGAGAGTGCTAAATCATCGACGTTAACCGGTGGAGCCAAGAAGAGATCAGACGCAGGGAGAGACCTCAACGGTCTAATGAAACTCTTAGCAGCATCATATATCTTGTCTAGTGGCTCTCCGACCAGATCAAGCGGGATCTCGAATCCGTTCACTTTTCGTTTTCCGTATATGAAACCAGGTCTCAGCACAACTCCTTCAAGATCAACAAAAACAAAAAAAAACGAAAAGAAAATCATAATAACATCTTGCAAGATCATAATTCAAAGGTGACTTGGATCTATTTCTTACCGGAGTTGGGATATTTGGAAAGAAGCTCTGCCTCTGCGCTACGTTTTCCGGTGAAATATCCGCTGGAGAGGATAAATGGTGGAAGATTGTAGTCGTGAACCGTGATCAAGACGAACTTAAGAACTCCTACAAACGATCAAAGATTCAAAAATGAAAAAAACACACAGTGATGCATGCAAGTATAGTGACTCGAGTTTTTTTAGGTGTAGAGAGGCTTAACCGAAATCTTTAGCAGCATTCACAGCGGTAACGTTGGCTTCACCGTTGATTCTTTTCATCTGTTCTTCGTTTCCAAAACCACCAATTGTCGAAACTACGGCTGTAGCACCGAGAAGCACTTCATCCCAATTCAAATAAAAAACATCACCTGCAAGAATCACACAAAGACGACACATCACGAACCACGCTAGTGTATGGTTTTGTGAATCTATGATATATCAAGAAACAGAAAGTGGTTACCAGTAACCCATGTAACTTGATCCAACCATGGATCTTGGAAGTTAGGACGACCAGACCTAAAGAATCAATCCAAGAAACTAGTGAAAAACCAATCCAAAAAGGCGAGAGTGGTCAAGATTTCGATGCAAAGCACTGTGTTTATACTTTGTATATATACCTGCTGACACTAACAACCTCAATTCCGTTGTTGATTGCTGCTTTGCAGATAGCTGAGCCAACGAAACCGTTGCCTCCAAGAACTACAACCTAACTAAGAGGAAAAGAAATGCCTTTTAATGGAGACATGAAATCGTATAAACAGATAAGTAAAAAAGGCTCGCTGCTCTTTCGATTTCATACCCTTTCGGATTTGATATCAGCTACAATGTCAATTGGAGCTCCAGCAGCATAAGTGCACTTAACACAAGACTTGAACAATCTGTAAACAAACAACAGGTAAAAGCTTCATTCCACAGTATAAATGAAGTTTAACTTCTCATTAGCACAGTCTTGAAGAGCTCTCAGGAGTGAAATTTGATCGATTTTCAACTAAGAAAACTATCAATTTCTTATCTTTCAACTTCAAGGATTCAGAGAGATTAGCTGGTTTTCTCAATTGCGTACGGAATTAAACTTGATCTTAAATTCGATGAACAAAGAGAATCTATAGGATTATAGAGAGACAAAGAGAGGGGAGAGAGAATGACCGGGGAGATAAGGAGCGAGGACGAAATGAAGCGCTGGAAAAAGCAGGTGAGCGAGGTGAAATGGCGGAGAAACTAAGAAACGAAGTCATTTTTCCGGTCTCTTAATCAACAATTCCGACGGTTATTTTGAATTTATTAACGGAAATGTATCGGAGAGAAACTAGTGTCCGAGAATCGCCGGAGAAGACGGCAAAGGGAGAAAAATGTGAGTAGTGCCGACGCGGCGGAATTGAAGCGAGAAAAATGATTCTTTTTTACTTTATTTATTTTAAAAAAAAATAATTGGTTTCAACGTTGCCGTTTGTTATATTCACTTAGGCCCAAACAATCTTTAGATCGGCCCGATTGTCCAAAACGACGTCGTAGAGAGTAGTTTCGTAAGATCGACAAGTCTTCAACACTCGTGAAGACGAAGAAGAAGAAGGCAGTGTGAGGAGCAAAATAGGATTTGTGTTTATTTGATCTCCGAAAATGGTGAAATCGACAAGTAAGGATGCTCAGGATCTATTTCACTCTCTTCGTTCCGCTTATTCCGCTACCCCGACTAATCTGAAGGTTCGCCATTGTTGTTTTCTCGTATTAACCTTCATTTCGTTTAACTTTTTTTCTGGATCAGTTGTTGATCTCGAATCCTGTTGAAATTGAATGTCCTTCTTGGTGTTTTTGGAACTTTTTTTTGCAGATCATCGACTTGTACGTCGTTTTCGCTGTCTTCACCGCTCTGATTCAGGTACTCTAATCTGCTGGAATTATGGCTTCTAGATCTGCGATTCTCGATTCATTTTGTACTGAAACTTTGGTTGAAACTGTGTTTACTTATCTCGAACCGTTGATCGGATATTGTAGAATAGGTGAAATGATCTAGATCTAAAATCTGCCTACGAAGCTATAACTTCAAATTGCTCTAAAATTTCATTAGCATTGTTATAAAAATGGAAGATCAGTCTTTTGCGTCGCTCTAACTTGATTGAAATGGTAACTTGAATGAAAGGAAATGATCAGTCTTGGCTTATTTCAGTAGCAGATTTTTTGACATTTCTCTTGCTGATGAGTAGCAATTTAAAAGTTTTCATCTGGTTCACTGGTAGTATAATGGCGAAAAAGACTAAGCACCTAGCCACTGAGTGTTAATCTGTAGAGCATTTTTCTTGCTTTCTTAATGAATATAGGTGGTTTATATGGCTCTGGTGGGATCGTTTCCTTTTAACTCATTCCTATCTGGAGTTCTCTCTTGTGTCGGGACAGCAGTTCTTGCAGGTAAGTTTTGCATGTTTTTACAACGAACAAATACTTATTTTATTGACAACTTATAAACCAATCAATCTTCTTCTTTATGCTGTGTTTCTAGTTTGCCTCCGGATTCAAGTGAACAAAGAAAACAAGGAATTCAAGGTAATTTATTATGCCGTTTCAGTTCTCTTCAACAATTAAACTCACTGTTTTTGTTATCACAATGGCACTCTTTTATCTCCTCTCCTCTTTTTCCCCCATGTTATTTGATTAGTTTATATATCCATCCACACTTCCATCTAAACCGCAGAGACAGTGCAAGCAACTATAGTGATAAGGTGTTGTTAGTGTAATGCAAGACGATTGTAACTGTCCTATGAGGATTTGTATGGTAATGTTGCTATGTTTGAGAGCTCACAAACAGAGTTGTTAGCTATGAGATAAGAGCTTCTAAGGAATTAGGCTGAAACTGTTTAGACTTTCTGGATTTTTCGTAATCATGTGTATCTAGGGTATGTACATTGATCTAAATCAAAGAATTATACAACCTTCTTATCACATAACCACCTTGTGTAGATGTTGAGAAAAAACTTAACAACATTACATTAGTTTCACTTCCCCAATAGGTTTTTCCATAGCCAAAACACTATCAATATCGTCACTACATTACCATTAGACAAATGCAATGTAATTTATAATAACCAGAACTAATCATCTCTTCCTTTGAACACTGCAGGATTTGGCACCAGAGCGAGCATTTGCTGATTTTGTCCTCTGCAACCTGGTCCTCCACTTGGTGATCATCAATTTCCTCGGATAGGTTTCACTCCTATTTCACAGGTTGCTTTTATGTTATCATGTACTGGAGTTTTTTTAGGTGTTACTTGGAACCAAAACTGTAGCTTGAGATATTTATGTTTTTGTTATCAAAGAATCAAACTTTTAGACTATCTCAATCAATAACACTGTTTCATGCAGTAATGTGGCCCCCTTGGTTCGAATAGGTTCGTTCGCTTGGCCTATATTTGAACCGATCATAATCTGACACGTGTCAAAATCCCAATCTTCAAGTTGGTGTGAGTTCTGTGCCGCTTAGGCCACAACACACTGACGACAGTTTTAATAAGAGTAGGGGAATCTAAGAATAATAATTGAAGCTTATCTTCTCGTTGAGTAAACATCACAAGGGAATATGAAAATATGAAAAACTGTACATCTAATTTTTACAGTTGACTTTGACCACCAAAATATTTGTCAACTATCGCACAGTTTAGAATTTAGTATTGCCAAATGAATTTTATTTAGATAGCATAACGTGTACGGTGTGGTATGTAGTGTGTACACACAAATCCGACTTCTCAAAACAAAAATAGAAAAAAAATTATATAATTACTGACGCAACCAAGGGGAAAAGGAGATGTACAAACTACAAACTTTCTTTACAATTCCCACAATTTATTGCTCTAGCATGAATCGTTACGTGATTTTTTTTATTGTTGACGTAACATGATTTATATATTTAGATACGAATATGCGACACACAATATTTCAAGGAGAAAAGCAAATACTCTCTCTGTCCCATATTATAAGCAGTTTATCAAAATGTATCTGCAAAAAAATGGATATATCCCACAATTTATTGCATCCAGATACATCCACTTTTTTGCAGATACATTTTGGCAAACTGCTTATAATATGGGATAGAGGGAGTATAAAGTAAAAATTAAGATATGAGGTTTTCATACGTCATCTTGATTCTTGACCAATATCCAAATTTATTAATTTAGAATTGTTAGGTTACTTGTAGGATTAGGATGCATCATAATTCATACACTTATAAATATAAGCTCTTCAGATAGATAAATCTCATTCCATTTCCACAAACAAAAAGGCCAAATAAAATTACTGCCGCGACTTCGACCCAAAAAAAAAATTAATACGGCTTCAACTGAAAAAAAAAAAAGATAAAAACGTGGAAAAAAATGGAGGAGAGGACTCGTGGGATAAATAAAAAGGAAGAAGCGATCTCCTTCACACACACACGCTCTCTGCTTCGTCCAATCACCAACACGCTTTAATGACTCTCATGTCCCTCACATTTTCCTCCTCCGCCGCAACCGTTGCCGTTGCTTCTGTAACCGTAACTTCCTCCGCTAGGGTTCCGGTCAATCCTCTCGTTTCTCCGAGTGTCCGCGGCTTCGTATCCTTCCGACTAACCTCTAAGAAGCTTCCTCTCCGTTCGCGCGGCGGTGGTGCATCGTCCTCGAGTGTGAGAGCGATGTCTGAGCTCGTTCAGGATAAGGAATCTGTCGTCGCCGCGAGCACTTCTTTCAATGAAGGCGGAGAGAGTAATAAGACGCCCAATGAGCTCAACCATTCCCGTACCTTCTTGGATGCGCGAAGTGAAGAAGGTTAGTCTTCTTCCTGAGGAATTTGAATTGACTTCTTAGTTTCGCTTGCGGTAGAAATTCGGAGACGGAATCGAAAGCTATGGAGGTTTGTACATTTAGGTGATTGTTCGATTCCTTTTGCTCATAATATCCGAAACCTTATCACAATTTGCACTACATTACAGAAGAAGCGAAATTGAATTTATTTGGATAAGACTATTGAATTGAGCTCTTCTTTGATATGTATTTATCAATTCTTTACGGTTCTTCGTTTGCTCTTTCTTTCTTGAATTTTGCTTCTGATCTTGCTGTTTTTATGCCATAGCTGCATATCTTTTCAATTTCTTTCATCTTCTCAACAGAGACTGATCTCAGAAATACCACAGTGAGCTATTGAGTATGCAATCCAAGCATTTCTTTATAATTAGCCAAAAGAAATGTTTTCGACATTGTTCACATTGACCTGTTTATGTTTTCGAGGAGTCTCTCTTGCAATGGATAATGTGTAACAATGCCTTTGTTAACTTTTTGTTTATCTTCATATCCATTTTCAGATCTTATATCTGGTATCAGGAAGGAAACTGAAGCTGGAAGGTTGCCTCCGAATGTTGGATCAGGGATGGAAGAATTATATTGGAACTACAAAAAAGCAGTAAATGAATAATACTCAAAACGAATCCTTTTATCACTTGTTAGTTTGTGCGATTGGTGCTATGCTTTGCCATTAGTTTTGATAGAAGAACATCACCTCACTGAAGTGGCATTGATGCTTTAGGTATTAAGTAGTGGAGCTTCCAGGGCAGATGAGACTGTTATATCAAACATGTCTGTTGCTTTCGATCGTATGCTTCTTGGTGTGGAGGTACTTCTTTTGTGCCCCTATATCAATCTCTTGAAATGATTTTCTATAACGAGAAATCATTTGACTTCTCTGTTACTTGAGAGCTTCCTTGCTCTGCCTAAAATCCTGCTGTGAATTTTTCAGGATCCTTATACTTTTAGTCCATATCATAAAGCAATCAGAGAACCATTCGACTACTACTTGTTTGTCCATACATACATCCGTCCTCTAATTGATTTCAAGTAAGCTGCTCATAGTTACCTTTTTTGATCTATCATTGAAATGCATACAAGTAGAAAGCAATATCATTTAGATTGTTTGATTGGTATCAATGGGGATCTTCTAATTTTCTTGCCAACAAGTGTTGTTTTATCTACTAACACCCCTTTAAATCTATTGTGCAGAAATTCTTACGTTGGAAATGCTTCTATTTTCTCTGAAGTGGAAGACAAGCTTCGGCAGGTCCTCTTTCTTGTGAACTGACTAGATCTATAATGCATTTTCCGTCGATTCAGGACTTAAAAACTTGGCTGTTTAACTTTCAGGGACACAATGTCGTGTTGATATCAAACCATCAAAGTGAAGCTGACCCGGCGGTCATTTCCCTATTGCTTGAGGCACAATCTCCTTACATTGGAGAGAACATTGTGAGCCTTGGAGCCTTGTTCTGAGCTCTTCTATGTGCTACTGTATCTACTCTCTATACTTATCCGTTTCTTGGGCTGCAGAAATGTGTGGCTGGTGATCGAGTCATAACTGATCCTCTTTGTAAGCCGTTTAGTATGGGAAGGTATCACAACATTTCTTTTGACTATGGTATGCTACTTGATGGCTGAAGTGTAATGTAAGCATCCATGTATGACTTCCTTGATTTCTCCTGGTTTCAGGAATCTCATATGTGTTTACTCGAAAAAGCACATGAACGATGATCCTGAGCTTGTAGATATGAAAAGAAAAGCAAACACACGAAGCTTAAAAGAGATGGCTACAATGCTAAGGTCTGGCTCCCAACTTATATGGATTGCGCCAAGCGGTGGAAGAGATCGCCCTAATCCTTCTACCGGAGAATGGTTTCCTGTAAGTTAGCTAATGGATTGCAAGGATCGTATTATCTGGTAAATTTGCATTGATACTGATTCTAATAATGTTCAGGCACCCTTTGATGCCTCTTCGGTGGACAACATGAGAAGACTGGTTGAACATTCTGGTGCTCCTGGACATATCTATCCAATGTCATTGCTTTGCTATGACATCATGCCCCCCCCACCCCAAGTACTACTACTAGCTCTCTCTCTCTTCTCAGTTTTGGGCTTTCTCAGGTTAACTTTCCTCTCATCACCTCAATGTGCATATCCAGGTTGAGAAAGAAATTGGAGAGAAAAGATTAGTTGGGTATCACGGTACTGGACTATCAATCGCACCTGAAATCAGCTTCTCAGATGTCACAGCAGACTGCAAGAACCCTAACGAGGTCATTGTCTTACTCTGCAAACCAATTTCTTTAGTTTCAAGATCGAGTTCATTGTCTTTCTTCTCACCATGGTGGATAATTTCTGTTTTTCAATGACAGGCGAAAGAAGCGTACAGCCAAGCCATGTACAAATCGGTCAACGAACAATACAAGACTCTAAACTCTGCGATCAACCACAGAAAAGGAATAGAAGCCTCAACTTCAACAATCTCCTTGTCACAACCCTGGAATTAGTCTCTCATTTTATGGTAAACTCTTTCGAAACCCTTATAAATCTTTCGTCTCAAAAGTTAGCAACTATACAACAACATAAGGGAGAAAGAAAAAAACATTCTTCTTGTATCTGCAGGGTACTACACAATCAATGGAAATACTCAAAAATGGAGATAAGATTCACACGTTGTCGTAGGGAGTTTTTTTTTTCGTTACATTCAAAAAGGAAAAGAAAAAATGATCCAAAGCCTCCCTGGAAGAAAGAAACAGCAATGTAAGTCGTTGGTTTCTAACGTAGGAACAAAAGTTGGTTTGTGTACATATGAATAGTGAGAGACATACTCTTGCTAGGCTCTTTAGATCACATATGCTTTCATATGTAATATTCTTTTACTTTTTTTTGCTTCTTATACAGAGCCGAATAATTCACAGTACTCATTCTATATGATTTTTATTCCAATCAAAAAATTCATATAGATATCTGGGCTTTGGTTTGTGTGTGATCGGCTAGATAAAAAATATGATTCCGCAAATTTTCCAACTCGATTACACAATAAAACGAAAAAGTGGTTTTTTGTTTAACTATAATTATTCCACCATTTTAGAAAAAGACTTGTTTTTCTTGTGATTTTGCCATTACATCAAATAAAAACGATCCATTATCAATGTATGTAACTTGTTTTACGAAAATATAAGTTTTTTTGTCAATAGTTTCCATAAATACATGGAACAATTTTGTTGTGATCTTTTAACTTTAAGACCGCGTAGAGAGTGTGTGTACTATGTGTTGCTTGGCAAGTTGACAGAGTGGAATGTCTGGTCTGGTCTGTTTGGATCTTATGTCACAATACTCTCAAAGCTTCTGTCTCTGTATCACGTGTCTCTTCTCTGTTTTCTTCTTCCACTATCTCCCCTCACTTTCTGATTTTCAGAAATAAACACTCGAGCTTAAAGTAGTGAGGTCTACAGGAAAATATTATTTTATTTTCCCATTGATTACATTGTGAGAGTGGCCGGCGATATTACTAGTGAAGAAGATTCAAATTTGGATTCTATTCACTTCAGTAATTACGGATTTATAATCGAAAGCGACAACACCACTCAAACTATCATCTGTTTTAGTCAACAATTAACACTTACTTTACTCTTAATTTTAGTCAATGAAATTAATTATGTTCCTAGCGAATAAAAAAGATTTTGGTTTACAACTTTTTCTCATCATTATAATCATTCCGATTTTTTGGTATACGACTAATTTTTGTTTGCTTAGTTTAATTTGCAAATGATATAGATGTTTTTTTATTTTGTGACACCACAAAGTGATAGAAACGTAGAACCAATGGAAAAAAATATATGTAGAATAAAAGAATCGTGTGATCAGTGAATAATACCAACTATCAAATCTGTCTCTTCTTTTCCTAATTTATCTGCATATAGATGCCAAAGTCTATGATCTGCAATCGTACCTTATTCTTCTTTATCGATCCACTTTTATTTATTTGGATAAATTTTTCTCCAATATCTCCCCTCGGTATTTTTACCCCAAAACTTTAAAAATGCTTATCATACGACTTATAAATTTTATATTAACTAACCAATACTGTATTTTTAACTAGGGAAAGTATATCATTTCTAGTGAAATGTGGGAAAAAAAAAAGAACAGATAGATATAAGTTGTGATTCTTTATACATAGATGATAGATATAAGAACAAAGAATCAGTTATCCACTATACCTAGAAACAATATTCTTTATCAATTACAAAGTTACCAGTTACGAGCTTTTGCGGATGAATTAACCATTTTATGATATAAGACTCGTTCCACTATTCTCCATTATCATTCTCCGGAGCAATAATCTTCTGATAGTATGTGAAAAGTTACTGTGGTTTTCACTTTTCACGTTCGATATCCACAAATCGCTATCACGAGTACAATCACCTCAAACAAAAGTGTTTCTTTTCTTTTGTGAGAAAAAAGTTAATTTTTTTATTCTTAAAAAAATGCACAATTTCACTAGGTGACAAAAACTAAAACTGTTTGTGACTTGAATAACTTATCTTTAAAAAAAAAAACTATTTACTGTCATAGGTATTTACGTTTGATAACTAGGTCTAAGTTTGTTTGGAAACACTAATCTTTTGTTTTTATGCATTAAGATTGTAGTATTAATGTACTATGGTCTATGGTTAATGACTTAATGTTGTTTTTATTCGTTCGTCTTTTGCGATAAACCATAGTTACCACTGGCATGTAGAAAATCTGGGTGCACCGTGCACGAGTCCCAGCGAAGAGCATGCACCCATATTAATTTCATATTTAATTTTTGTACACTTTTGTTCGTTCCTTGATTTAATGCGATTTTCATCGCACGTGGCTCTCGAATCGTTTCACATTCTTAGACTTTGTTTAAATCATTTTATAGTCTTTTGTCAGTTAATTTTGGAGTATTTGTTTACTCGTTTACTGATCGGTTATGTTAAGGTGCATGCATGGTTATTCGCAGTTTTTTCTTGAAAAATAAACAAAAATATCGATGTTGGAACGTTGTAAGGAGAAGAGTGACGTTTAAGCCTTCCCAGACAAACGAGTATATTATTGAATATTGACCATATTTGGTTTTATTTTTAAGAAACCTTAGTTAGAAGAATCTATAGTGAGACATGAAAATTAGGAAATTACATTAAACATCCCCGTTTTCATAGTGAGACATAAAACTACATTAAACACCCCGTTTTCATAGTAATTTTTTTAATATAATCAACTATTTCACCATTGGGTTTCTCCCTTGTACCACACAAATTGAAAAAGATAACTATATGAATTTATGCAATCTCTGAGTAATTAGGAAAACAATATGGTCTAGGGGAAAGAGGTCCATTATTTTTACTAATCGTGTTACCTTTATAAGTATTTTATTTTATTTTTGCTAAGAATTTGAGTATGAGTAAGATTTTGAATGCCTAATACATACTCCAAATATATGTCCTTCCGATTTTGGGCGATTACTGTTTTGGCTAACTAAAAAAAAAAAATGTTCACACTTGGTCTAGGGGAAAGCTTTACTTTTTGGTAATATACTGATTACTTTCGTGTGATTTCGGTGCATTATTAACGTAATCAAAAGATGTCCAAAAGTTTAGGGCTGTCACAATCCTAGCCAGCGTTTTGAAATTTTGTAGAGACTGTTGTAAACACAATTATGATACATGCTCTAATCAGTATATAAAGCATGATTTGATCAAATTAATAGTATGGTAATTAAGTGGCAAAATGTTTCTTAATTAGTCATATTATATGTCCACTTAATTTGCGTAGGATTAGTAATTGTGCCTTCCACCATCACTTATCTTTTTTAATCCATGAATTCCATAATAATTATATATTATTATTATTTTAACTTTCTGGTTAATTTAAACATTTAGCTGCTAATTGTAACTTTTCGTCTTTCCAACATTAAGAGCAAGACAACCAGTCTAACATTTTACATTTGACACCATATTCACAAACTCTATTGAATACTCCTAAAGATTGAGCTCATTATCCATTGGTTTAGTTTCCTTTTTTTTCTTCTAGTTGTTACTCTAGTATACGCTAATCACAGCAATACTCCATAGTAGTATACTATTCTCTTCAATTTCATTGTCATGTGTGTTTGCAACTCGAAAAACATGTTAAAGACAACAAAAAACTGAATGACCCAAAGCCAACAAAAAAACAAAGTTTGAAACATTTTGTACATATAGGCTCTGATTGGTATAAATTAAACATAGTGTTACAAAGTATTACAAATTGTACCATCATATAGGTAACCAATCAAGAAGATATTACATTATATGTACCATCAAATGGTACTACTAATATTTGTACCACTATATTTCGTATCACTTAAATTTATACTATCATTTTTCGTAATATTTATTTTTTTTGTAATACACTACTATTCATTAAGTTACCAATCGGAACTGACCTTTAGTATTTAATTAAGTGAATCAGAATACGGGAAGAGCAGGAGTGGAAAAACAAGGAGAGGACCACAAAGAACAGATTTGTACAAAATCTAAAATAGTAAGCAAACTGATAAGCTTGTGGTGGTGGGGTCCAACTACGGACCCAAGTCATAGAGATCTCTTTCTTCTCCCTTTGCCCAAAGTCAAACGACATCTCAACACTCCAAATTGAAAAACCTGTTTCTTCTTTCATAATATACGCGCCACACATACCCCGTTAATTCCACGCGCCTGCCTTGCCGTAGCTTTGTGATGTACAAACTACAAACTCCTACAAAATTATTTTATTTTCTGTTGAACAACAACACTCCAAATTTTGTTTATTCTTTAAAATTATCATGCTGCCACAAATATGTATTATTATTATTAAATCAGTATTACCTGCATTTCAAAAATAGTACCATAACTAATCGTATTCGACGCGCATGATAAAAACAAGAAATGCCATGCGCCAAGTTTTCTAAATTCCTTAAGAAAGGATAACAATCTAAAAGTACAAGAACTCATCCACCCGAATTCATTTCCTTTTCTGTTTATTACATGAACGAAACACAGTGATGCACGAGCTTATCATTTTAATCAAACTAGCTTTTAAACATACCATTATTCACAACGAATGTAATTTGATCTAAAAGTGCATTTTGGTTCACACGTTTTCATTTGAATTTGACATTTTCCATACTTTTGCTCTATGGCTCGTACATTTTCCATACTTTTGCTCTATGCCCTCCGGCGACGTGCCTTGCTCTATGGAGTATAAAATATTTCAGTCTTTGAGGAGAGTTAGTCAACTGAAACTATTTAGTGTTTTTGGCTTTCAACAAACCATATACTATATACTTTCAAAGACTGGTAACATTCGTTTGCGTGGATTTTGTATTCGTAGTTATTATAATGAGAATACAAAAAAAAAACATGCAATTATTGCATGTGTCTGGACGATAGGTGAACAATGAAAGGTCCCTTTACATGCTTCTCATCAAATAACATTAAGAGACATTAATAAATGTGGGTCTTTCAGGCTGTGCTTATATTATCAAACTAGAAAATCTGAAAATACTACACAACAATATTAGTGTTGCTTAGTTAACCTTATCTATAAATTCGAATTTATAAAAGAATTTGTCGATTATACATTTATACTCGTTAACCTTTACTAGTGTAGAGATTGTTAGTCCGATTGATGATATAAAGCGGTAAACGATACTGAAATAGTCAAAATAGGTCTTTAACAACAGAAAAGAGAGAATTAATAGTTTATACTTTATATAGGTAAAAAGTAGCGGTAAAATATTTTTACACGAAATCGCTAGTTTTTACTGTGCTTGTGATTGCAAGAGTAGGTTACCAATCAAACATCAAACCCAAGACTTCTATAACTGAATTTAGTTTAAACTAAACTAAAAGATGGTATATGTCGTCACATGACACACGTGTATGGTATTTTATCATAATTTGTGGAAACAAAAAGTTATACGAAAAAAATATTCAGTATGTTATATTTTGTTGAGGTTGAATTCTTCGAACCCACTAGACGTTTGAATCAAAGGCAATGAACAACGTTTGTGTGCGTGCGTCTGTTGTTTGGTAAAAGGTGGGATGGATTTCCTCTTCCTTTAGAGTCTGATCCCTAATTCCCTTTTAGAGTACTTGGTTAAAGATTTATCAGTCAAAATATTCGGATGATAAGACCGGATCGACTTAGTTGCAAAGCAATAGGCGATATAGTGTTTCGGAAGATACAACGTGACACCAATAGTTATAGCATCTAGCTTTTGTGATGATCACATATGTAAAAAAGCATATATGACATGGTCGAACGTCTATAAAAGTGCTGCATGTGAGAAGCGAGTGATGACCGAGTGGATGTTCAGAACCTAGTAGAAGCGATACATATCCTCGACGACGGCCAAAACGGTGAGATCCACCGTCTTTTGCGTATTCTATAAAATTGGTGGCTTGTCACCACCGTTTAGTTTGTAACATCTCAACAATTGCTAGCACATTTTCGATAAAGTTACCACCATTGGCACAAATATATAGACTAAAAAACATGATGACCTTTAACATAATTTTGGAAATAATCTTCCTGATTGCAATAAAAGCAATGAAAATACCAAAGTAAATTCTCATTCTAACATACATTGTACACATTTTTGTGGTTGCCTGATGTTAGTTTTGTCATTCGCCTTATAAAAATCACCAACGCGAAAATGCAAAGTTGTCGAATTACTTGAAGGGTTTTTTCTAAATCTTATCACAAGAATATTGACAGTTTATGAATGAAAATTATGATAACTAAAAAGCAAACATATGTATTTGAATTGAGACGTTGATGCGTTTGTTCTATGGTATTGGTAGTCATGGACCTCATGGTGTATCTTGTTGTGTCTGGTGGTTGACACTATTAGAAAACAGATTTGTACTGTGCATAGCATACTAAAATTTAAATAAAGTTCCGCGAATAGTTGTGTTAGCTAAGCAAAATATTTTCTTGCATATAAATTATTTTTGCAATTTTAATTTCATTTTTATTTTCCGATCTCAACAATCTTGTTTTAAAAAACCGTTTCTTTTGAGATGGCAAGGGAATATCAGCTAGTTTGAACTTAAACGTGTATAGTTCATAATTTGATATGTTAACATTTAACGTTGGATATTTATACTGTTTATTTGCTTATTCTCTTTATATATACGTACTTTCGTTCTACCGAGCATTTTTTATTCCTTTTCTACTGAGGCCATTCGAACTCTAATAATAGCATGACATGAATAGTCTATTTTACAGTATGGAAACATAAAGCTGTCAGCTAAGCTAAGACATGAAAGAAGTTCAGTTTTCTTTCTTTTTTTTTTGATTATATTTATCAATAATTACATAGGAAAAGAGCTAAGTTTTTTATGTGTAAGAAACTAAAACTTACAAAAATAGTTTAACAAAAAATACACGTAAGAAAAGAAGTTAAAGAGTGTTACTAAAAAAAGATTAAAAAAACATTGGAAAAAAAAAGTGAGCCTAAGAAGAAGCCGACAAAGCAATGAAGTGAACTCCACTGTCACGTTTTGCTTCGTATATAAAATTAAAAATCCATAAATCTTTACAAATAATGTGAAGAAATTATTTGTAAAAAAAAAAAATGTGAAGAAATTAATCTTTACAAGAAACAAATAATGTGAAGAAATTAATGAAGAGTAAAAAATAAAAATAGAGAAGAAACAGTAAGACAGAGCACTAACCAATTACCTAGGAAACGCACGTTCACTCTCACACGCTTACACACACACACACAACTCTCTTCTCTCTTCCTTCTTCTTCCTCTCTCTCTCTCTCTCTCTCTCTCTCTCTCTCTCATACTCAGAGCCTTCCTCTCTCTCTCTACTCTCTTTACTTCTCTATACTCTGTTAATCTTCCTCTTGTACTTTTTATCATTTTCCTTTCCATATATTTATTTATATAATTTCTATCTCTCTGTTCTTCTCTCCACTCTCTGTGTTCTCTTCTCTCTCCTCCTCTCTTCCTCTCTCTAGCGGCGGACTGATGCGCACAGCTTTGGATTCTCCGCCGTGATTAGATGGGGTGCATGTTCTCTCACCTCGCCGCCAAGTTCGCCTTTTTCCCACCTTCTCCTCCCACCTACCACCTCACTAAAACACCCGACGGCAAACTCTCCGCCGTCTCCTCTTCCTCTGCTTCCTCCTCCTCCTCAACTTTTCCCGCCGCCGGAGACCCATCACTCGACGTGAGGGTGGTGAAGACAAGACGCGGCAACAAAGTCGCAGCGTTTTACCTGAGAAACCCAAACGCGAGACTCACACTTCTCTATTCTCATGGAAATGCCGCAGATTTGGGACAACTCTTTGATCTCTTCGTTCAACTCAAAGTCAATCTCCGAGTCAATCTCATGGGGTCTCTTTCTCTCTCCCTCTCTCAGATGTTTACTCTTCATACGTCGTCGTTTCTTGTTTAGCAAATATCTTACTTCTAGTGGTTTACTCGAAAAACATTTAAGTTTTCTTGGTAACGTTAACATATTAAATGCAGAGGACTGTAAAGAGTTTATTAATCTATAATTAAGTTCAGCATATTTTTTCTCCAAATTTTTGTTCTTTTTCTTTTTGATTTTAATACAATTTGTTAGAAAATTCGTCTTTCTTGGTTAAATTTCACATTTTTTTTCTCCTTCAATATGTTTTTTTTTTGTTGTCTTTACATTTCTTGAGAAAGCTCACGCTTTTGGGAAATGGGTTCTTGTCTCGTTGCCCAAAAAGCTCAAGATTTGGTGATGTTTCCGACAAATTTTCTCTTTTCCATTTTTTTTGTTGTAATTAACCTTTTACGTTTTTTTTCTTGTTTATTCACGTTTTAATCTGCTGAATTCGACCTTTTGTTTACCCCAAAATTCAATTCAAAATATCCTCACCTACCACCATCAATTTTGTATTTACTCTTTTATAACGTTATTGGATTCAAATACGAACATGGGTAGGTGATATGATAATGTGAAGTGTATGTTAACTTTCATTGTAATAATCAATATAGGCCAATTTATGACGCTCTATTTATAGTTTTATGGCTAAGAGTTTTGATTTTATTTTTGCGATTTTTGTTTTAAATTTCAGGTACGATTATTCAGGGTACGGAGCTTCTACTGGTAAGGTGTGTGAATGCATCTCCTTTACTAATATGTTCCATAGATTTAAAGCTCAATAACATAATTTTCATCCAAAAAGGTATCCTCAGAAATCTTCCTAGGTTTTTGGAATGATCTCTATCAATCTCATAGAGCCTAGGAGGAATGTTCTTGAATTTTTCGATTGATCACCGGTTAAGAATTCTCAATTGTGGTTTGTAATCTGTGGTTTGCAGCCGAGTGAGTACGATACATATGCGGATATAGAGGCGGTTTACGAGTGTTTGCAGACCGAATACGGTGTTGGTCAAGAGGATTTGATCTTGTATGGTCAATCCGTTGGCAGTGGACCGACGCTACACCTCGCCTCTAAGCTTCCTCGGCTTAGAGGTGTGGTTCTTCATAGTGGCATTCTCTCTGGTCTTCGTGTTCTTTGTCATGTCAAGTTCAAGTTTTGTTGTGACATTTACTCGGTAAAAGATCCCTTTCGCTTACCACCCTTTTTGGTTATGCTGGTTTATAGGCTTCGAATTCCCGGTTTAAGAAGTGCAAATGTCTAAACCGCGCAATTGTAGCTATAGCTAATTTCATGCATCTGAAAGTTTAGGTAGCCTATGGAAGTGGTTCAGAAGTAGCTAATTTGAAGTTAAACGGTTTAGAAGTGGCTATGGCAAATTTGGAAGTTAACCGGTTTAGAAGTGGCTGTGGCTAATTTGGAAGCTAACCGGTTTTGGAGTGGCTATGGCTAATTTGGAAGCTAGCTTGTCTTAGGGTTTTAACACGCTCCTTGTACTGGTTCTTGTTGTTTGAATCGCAGAACGTAAACAAGATCAAGAAGGTGAAATCTCCGGTTCTTGTGATACACGTAAGCAAAAACTCTGTTTCTTGATCATTTATTCTTGGAAGAAACTTCACTGATTTTTTATTATCAATCGTTATGCAGGGAACAGAGGATGATGTTGTGAATTGGTTACACGGGAACAGGCTATGGAAATTGGCTAAAGAACCGTACGAACCGCTTTGGATTAAAGGCGGTGGACATTGCAACCTCGAGATCTATCCGGATTACATTAGACATCTCTACCGGTTTATACAAGATATGGAGAATACAACCACTAAGTCTCGTCTCAAGAAGATTTGGCTAGAGATCCGTCGGCGAGATGAGTCAAAAGGATGTTGTAGTTTTGGACTTTGCAGGCCAAAATGCCCTCGGTGTCCCAAACCTAGCTGCGACTGCGATTGCAGTGGTTGTTGCAAGTGTTCGTGTCCGTCTTTGAAGGGATGTTTCTCTTGCTGCAAGAAACCGAGCTGTGTTAGTTGTTGTTGTTGCATTCCGAAGTTGAAATGCTGCAGCTGCTTTGGGAAACCTAAATGTCCGAAGTGCTCTTGTTGGAAATGTCTAAAATGTCCCGAGTCTGAGTGTCGGAGTTGTTGCTGTGCCGGTTGTTTTAGCTGGCTGTGTTGTTGCGGCGAAGGGAGGAGGAAGGAGGGGGAGAGGAATGGGAGGAACACGGTGGTGAAGAGTGATGGGTAATATTTGTATTTTCGATTATTTTTTGTATAGATTTTGTCGAAAGTATTCGGTTAAAAGTTAAAACATTTAGGAGATTCATGGGAAGAGACTTGAGATTTGAGGTGAAAAAGTTAAATTATCATGGTGAAAAAATATAAGCCTGGCTAATACATTAGTGTTGTTATTTTGAAATACGATTGTAGCCGACTAATAAACCTACTTAATTAAATGTTATGATAAAACAAAAAAACAAATTGTAGCCGACTTGAATCTCACGCAACCTAAGTTTCCTTTTTTTTTCTTGTTCCTCTCTCACTGCAATTTCCTTTTTTCGTTTCTCAGATACAATGGTCACAATCTATTTGAATCGACTTGAACATCAACTTCTACACAATTTTCATTCTTCTTCTATGTCGCTACAACAATCTCCATTTTTTTTCAGTGTCTCTCTCTCTGCTTGCAATTTTCTCCTCAAGTTGTATCACAGTGCGAATTTGAAGAAACAGTAGAAGCAATCGAGTCTATTACGCGCTAAAGATGCAATCAGACGGAGAGTTCATTAAGTTTCTAGGCGAAGGAGGTTTCGGTTCCGTTAATCTCGTCAAGTACACCAACAACGACGGCTCCTCCTTTCACGCCGCCGTGAAAAGCTCTTACGCCTATAACTACGACCATCTCAACAGAGAATTTCAGATTCTCTCCGAACTCAGAGGCTATCCGAGAATCGTTCGTTGCTTCGGAGACTCCTTGGAACAAGGTTACAACCCTAGAAGACGCAAAGTCTACAATTTACTTCTCGAGTACGCATCAGAAGGTAGTTTAAGCTCTTTCATGGATAACTACATAGACAGGAAACTACCGGAGTCTATGATCAGAGACTTCACGGTTATGATTCTCCAAGGTTTGGTGATAATTCACAGTCACGGTTACGTTCACTGTGATCTCAAATCACACAACATTCTCGTCTTCCCGTCGAGAGGTTCTTGTTCTTGTTCGTACGAGTTAAAGATTGCAGATTTTGGACACGCTTTGGAAGTCGGAGACGTTCCCGATTTCTGGGAGGTCGATTTTCCGTTTCTTGGAACGCCTTCGTATATGTCGCCCGAGTCTCTCCGTGACGGCGTCGCGAGGAAGAGCTTAGATATCTGGTCGTTAGGCTGTTTGGTGTTGGAGATGTTTACGGGTGAGGCTCCATGGAATGGGTTTAAAACGAATGACCTAGTGAATCGTCTGCTTGATGGCAAGGCTCCAGAGATTCCAGAGTCTGTGCCTTGCGATGCAAGAGAGTTTATTGAGATGTGTTTCGCAAGAAACCCTAGAGAGAGAGGTGACGTTTATAAGTTGTTGTCTCATAGGTTTCTGGATCGAGCACAGGAGAGGACAGAGAAGATTTTTCCCGTCGCTGTCTCTGAAGAGGAGAAGATAACTTCCGTCGCCGTCGCTGAAGATACAGGAGATTGGTTGCTGTTGGATTTCAATTTAGTTTCTGTTCAATAATTTGTTGGATTCTATTATCTCTGTTTTTACTTACGAGTTATTACGACATTCAAATTTTAAGTACTTAAGTATTTTTTATGTTAAAAAATTTAAAGATTCTTTGTTGGATATTTACATTAACGTCTTCTTGCTTACTTTTGTTGTTTACATTTGACTTAGGAGTTTCGGATTTCAAATAATCAAGAAATAGAACATTACAACGCACTAGTATCTAATATCTATAACTTAGGCATTTCAGATTTAGAAGTCTTTGTAGTAAAACAGTAAGAAATCGGATACATCATTCCAATTATCAAATTTGTGAAATTAATCGTTTCAAATTCCACGAAAATCACAGGAGTAGATGAATCACTCTTGCTCTATTATGTTTCCTTGGCAATTTCAGGATAATGACATCTTTTATTATGCATTTTTGTAACCCTTTTATTTTAATTTTTGCGGACATTGTTTAACCTTAAGATTAGTTAAATATTAAATGCAAAATCAGCTAGAGAGGAGCATGTTAATTACACAGTTTCTTGGACTATAATGTAGTAACCTCTGTTTTTTTTTTCCGGCATAGTAATCTCTGTTGTATATATCTTTATAAAAAAAAACCTCTGTTGTATTTGAAAGTTGTACAATTCTTCTGTGAAAATAATAATTAATAATTAAATAAATTTACTACAACGGCTACATTAGTATATACAAGGGTTACAATTTACATTTAGATTTTTTGTTGGATATTTACATTTACATCTTTTTGCTTACTTTGTTGTTTACATTTAACTTTGGAGTTTCGGATATTAAATAATCAAGAAATAGAACATGATACAACACACTAGTATCCAATATCTATAACTTAGCCATTTCAGATTTAGAAGTCTCTATAGTAATCCAAAATTATATAAGCATATAGAAATCGTGACTCTCGACCAAAACAGTAAGAAATCGGATACATCATTCCAATTATCAAATTTGTGAAATGCATTGTCTCCAATTCCACGAAAATCAGAGGAAAATGAGTAGTGCTCACTCTTGCTCTGTTATAGGGTTCTTGATGTTTCCTTCTATTTCAGGATAATGTCATATTGCCATCTTATATTATGCATTTTTTACCCTTTTATTCTAACTGTTTCGGACGTTACTTTTACCGTCTTATCCCAAAATCAGCTAGAGAGCAGATGTTAATTACATAGTTTCTTGGTTTATGAATGTAGTAACCTCAAATTGTTTCGTTTCTCTCTGATTTGAAAATATGTGCCAAAGCCAATAATGGATTCTTCTTTTTCTTCTTCTTCAACAATGAAGAACACCAAACTGTCTGTGCGAAGCTATCGAGAAGGGAACTCATGAAGAAGCTGTTGAGAAGGGAACTCACGAAGCTGTCGATGTCGAGAAGGGAACTGAAGAAATCCATGGCAAATCTGCATAAATAAATTACATCTATCAATAAATCTGAAGGAAACTCAGTTTGATGATGTTTGCTTCCTACAATTAATTAGGGTTTCTGACATTGACTTGGTCAACAACTTTCTTTTTATCTTTCTAATTGCTATTCCTAGGTTCGTTGATTGAGTTATCAAGTCTCTTAATTTTGTAATTTGTGTGTTAAACACCGAAAGAAAATGTTAAGTCTCTCACTCTTGCAGTCTTGCTTCTCTGTTTCCTCCATATTTCTCTGTTTGGATATCTATGGTGTTTAATGAGTAAAGATAAGTAAACACTTGAATCTGGACTTGCTCTAATTTGCAAAAGATGATTAACTATTACGTATTAGCTAGAACAAACTAAACTTGAATTATACAAGTTGGATCTCATAGATATTCAGCAGTCTTGGGTCTTAAATTCTTCAAATCCTTCATGCTCTTCACTTGGTAGGTGTGCTTAAAAATTAAAATTAATGCTTCTTCACTGTCTCTCAGCTGAACACAATGTTTGAGTCCAACAAAACAAATTAATTAAGCTCAAGAGAGACTGTAATTTTACAAGGAACGGACCAATCACTAACGTGTTTTGTAGTAGCTTCAGTTTCACTAAAGGATTTGTTACTCACTTTCAAGACTAGTGACATTTGTTAAATAATCAATATATAGCAAAACTCACTTTTGTAGGGATAAAAAGATTTAATCTAACGGTCATACCTTTATGCGGTCAAGATTAAAAAGAAACAAAATTTGCCGAAAAAGATATAAAAATTAAGGATATCATATAAGTACTTTTGTTATGATTTCGATTAAAATCTTTTGTTACTCACTTGATTTAGATACTCAACAGTCCTCAGTTGACGTAATGACATTGGCAGTGTAGGAAAAAGAACAAAATTGCATCAGAAAGTAAGCAATTTTTTATGCTTACAAGGAAAATAAATAAATAAATACATTTGATAAAGTGAGGGCTCTTCCAAATATATGTATGACGGTTTAGGTTTTCTGAGTCTTCCAAACTCATTCCGTAATATAATTAAGTTCTAAAGCCCACCATTGGCCCAGCTTCATTTAGGGTTCCACTTTGTATAAGTTAATAGCTTAAGATCTTCAATTCTTATTTAAGCCTTTCCCAAAAAACAAAAATCAGAGAAATCCCCTCTTTACAACCTCAAAAAGAAAAAAGAAAAACAAAAAAGATGATCACCGATCTTCCAAACGATTTGATGGAGGATATTTTGTCTAGGGTTCCTTTAAAATATACGAGCAGTGCGATTAACTTGCACAAAGTGGAACACTCTATGGAATAGCCAGATCTTTGCAAAGATGCACTTTGATAAAGCATTCGATCCAGCAAAGGAAGATGAATCTGAGTCTCGGATGATCGTGATGATGGAAAAAATCTTTATTTACTGAGCGTCTTCGTCAACGTCAACGTCTACGACGTTATTGATTTTTCTGCAGAGAAAAAGGTAAACTAACTTGCCTTGACGAACAAGTCAAGATATCTAATGTTTTTCACTGCGAAGGGTTATTGTTATGCATCCTGGAAGACGATGATACTAGGGTTGTGGTTTGGAATCCATATTTGGGACAAACAAGGTGGATCCAACTCAGATATTCACACGTCGTCCCTCCTCAGTCACAACACGTTATAACATGTTCCGTTACGGTATCGGATACGAAGATAAGGGATCTGGTCGTAACTACAAAATCTTGAGGTTTATAGATGTATTATTATATAAGAAGAGTACGAGTTTTTATGGTATGAAATATATGATTTTGAGTCTGGTTTATGGACGACTCTTGATGTCACTGGTCCACACTGGCGTATAAATACGTCTCACTATGGCGTTTCTGTCAAGGGAAACACTTACTGGTGTGCTACAGAAAGGAACTTACAAGGATGGGGATGGGAAGATAAGCGCGTAACCACATAATCTGTTTTGATTATACAAGAATGAGATTTGGGCCGCTTCTGCCTCTGCCGCGTGAATATGACCAGTGACTCTTATCTTGTTGTGTTAGAGAAGAGAAGCTCGCGGCTTTATGTAACTCCACAAGAATGATATTATTGGTTTGAGATATGGATTTTAACTATGCTTGAGGCCGGAAAGGTATCGTGGAGCAAGTTCTTCACATTTAATGATTCACTCCCTCATGACATTTGGTTTTCATCATTCCGGGGTTTCTATATTGACCATGTGAAGAAAGTCGTCATGTTTTCTGGTACAAGGTCGAATCACCACACAGTTTGCATCATCAATGAAGAAGGTGAATACGCAGGGGAAGTGGCTCTCGAAGCACGGACCGACAAAAGGTATCGGCGAAAAAGTGTGTGCTGTTATGTACCAAGTTTAGTGCAATGTAAGGAACCTCAAATAGGCCAAAGGCAGAAACAAAGTGATTTAGAAAACTTTCGATATGATGAAATGATGTCGAGACTTACCCTCTTTAGATGGAGGTGTGAAACGCTCGATCCCAACTACTTAATGTACAGTTTATCGCTGTGAATAAGATTTGTCACATAACCCACCAGCTGTAAAGAGAGAAAAGACCTTTTTTTTAAGATCATGAAGAAGCCAAAAGAATATGGAGCTAAATAGCTAAGCTCTCTACGTACGTTCCTATGATTATGTTGCTTGATGACAAGATTATCAGTTAAAGAGCTTGTCAGTACGCAACCGTATTTTGATACTTATATGATCATAAGAGAACTATATATGTTTAGATCGTTAGAAGCAAACAATCTCCAGAATGGTGTTAAAATATGTATGACATTGAAATCCGAGCATTTCCATCATCGAAAGTCCAAACTCATCATCGTTACAAACAAGCAAACAAAAGAACAAAACAAAGCAATTGGAAATTAACCCGACTAAATTTTAAAGCCCACTATTGGCCCAGCTTTGTTTAGGGTTTCTGTGTCTTCAATTCTTATGTAAATGCTCTAATCGTTGATTCGTTTCATCTCTACCTTCTTCCCAAGAAATCAGAGAAAACCCATTTTTTTACATCTTGAAAAACTCGAATAATGATGATCACCAATCTTCCAATGGATTTGATGGAGGATATTTTGTCTAGGGTTCCTTTAAAATCTATGAGAGCAGTGCGATTAACTTGCACAAAGTGGAACGCTCTATGGATAATGGAAAAGCCAAATCTATACAGAGATGCACATTGGTAAAGCATTCGCTCCAGCAAAGGAAGATGATGATTCTAAGTCTCACATGATCGTGACGACGGAAGAAAATGTTTATTTAATGAGTGTCCTGGTCAACAATAATGTTGATTTATCTGCCGAGGACAAAGGTAAACCAACTTGCCTTGAGGAACAAGTCAAGATACTAATGTCTATCACTGCGAAGGGTTATTGTTATGCATCTTGAAAGACGATGATACTAAGGTTGTGGTTTGGAATCCGTATACGGGACAAACAATGTGGATCGAACTCAGATATCCTCACGTCTTATCCTGTTCGAAACAGTTCAGTTGCGGTTCGGAAGGGTTCCGTTACGGTATCGGATACGAAGATAAGGGATCTGGTCGTAGCTTCAAAATATTGAGGTTTATAGATGTATTATTATATAAAGAAGAGTACGAGTTTATGGACGACTCTTGATGTCACTGATCCACACTGGCGTATAACATATGGCGATGGAGTTTCTCTCAAAGGAATCAGTTACTGGTGTGCTAGAAAAAGGGACGAATATGATTATGGTTGGGGCGAACACGACCACATAATCTGTTTTGACTATACAAGAGAGAGATTTGGGCCACTTCTGCCTCTGCCGTATAGAGACCGTGTGAGAATCTTGTCTAGTGTTAGAGAAGAGAAGCTTGCGGTTGAGTTCAACTATGCATATCCGCATGGGTATTCGATATGGATGACGACTATGATTGAGGCCGAAAAGGTGTCGTGGAGCAACTTCTATAAAGAGGACTATGGTGAGTATGAAGAAGATGATGATGATGATGATGATGATGGTGAATATTCAGTCCCTTATTACATTCGTGTTCGGATTTCATTTGGGGGTTTCTATATTGACCAACGGGAGAAAATGGCCATTCTTTCTTGCCGAGGCTCGAAATGTCGCATAGTTGGGGAAGTGGATCTCAAAGAACATCGGCGAAAATGTGTGTGCTGTTATGTTCCAAGTTTAGTGCAAATCAAGCAACCTAAGGAAGCCAAAGGGAGAGAAAACAAAGTGATGTAGAAAAGCTTCGTTATGATGAAATGATGTCGAGACTTTCCTACTTTGAAAGGAGGTGCGAAAGGCTTGACCTCCAGTTAGCTAAGAAAGAGGCGTCCACTTGTAAACAAATCTCATATCCAAGATATGTTCAACCAGAACAAGCTCGGTCCAGCTCATTTTTATCCACCAATAGTTTTGCCTCTTTAGCTTCTTCGGAACAAGCGGAAGATTCTGGTTGATTCTTGTTTAAATAATTTCGTTTCTAGCATAGCCTATCAGGTTGTTAACAGATAAATACATTGACGGGTGAAACACTATGGTGAAAGTTGCTCAAGTGATTTCCAATGTATTGACAATTTATTCAGCTACATGTTACAAAAAGTCATATTTTCTTTTAGGTCAATTTCCATTTCAAAATGTTTAAGAAAGATTCTTTTAGTCCTCAATGTTTCTTGGTGGAAAGAAAAAATTTAAACTAAAATCTCTTATTGCAAATGTTTAAAACTGAAAAAAAAAAAAGAATCCAATAGACTAAAATCTACTTAATTAAATGTTGGGAGTGTAGATTCATAATTGTGATAAACAAAAAAAACAAATTGTAGCCGACTTGACCCACACGCAACCAAAGTTTCCCTTTTTTCTTGTTCCTCTCTCACTGCAATTTCATTTTTTTTCGTTTCTAAAATTCAACTGTCACAATCTGGCTTTCAATCTTGACAGCTTGGGTCTCTCTTCTTTCCGGCTATCTTTTCGATGCCATAGAGGTAAATGATTATATGTATTCCATTCTTATGAAGATCTTATCGTGTAACTGTATAATTTAACATGACCTGTTTATTCATTTCCACATGACCTGTTTTCTGCGAGTTTACGACTTTGGCTTATGGTTTTGTATTTTTGTTTTGAATATATAATAGGGTGCTCAAGTCTCATGGAAGATACCAATGTCATTAATCTGTGTCATCTTGCTCCCTATAGTTGGGAATGCGGCTGAGCATGCAGGTGCCATTATGTTCGCCATGAAAGACAAGCTGGTACGCAGACAAGTCTCTTGCAGTCTGATGTCTTTGGTTTTTCTTCTTTATGTATCAGTCTTTTTATATTATCCTCTACATGTTCTTTCTTTGGGAGTGCCTACTGGATACCAATGTCATTAATCTGTGTCATCTTGCTCCCTATAGTTGGGAATGCGGCTGAGCATGCAGGTGCCATTATGTTCGCCATGAAAGACAAGCTGGTACGCAGACAAGTCTCTTGCAGTCTGATGTCTTTGGTTTTTCTTCTTTATGTATCAGTCTTTTTATATTATCCTCTACATGTTCTTTCTTTGGGAGTGCCTACTGGATCCTCGATTCAGATTTCTATGTTTGCAGTCTGTAAAATTGGATCTAGTACTGAACATTCACTGACAGTTTCCAGTTTTGCCTTGTACGAATTTAGGTTCCTTTCTATATGGTGATCGGATGGATGATATGGGTGAACGGATGGACCTAAATTTCCAGTTATTTGAGAATGTTACACTGTTCATAACTGTTATAGTTGTAGCTTTCTTTCTCCAGGTGGGTCCATAATCTTGAAGCTAAAAAATGAAACCACTCTTGATTGTTTTTATATGTTTTGTTGTTATGTAGGAAGGGACATCGAGTTACTTCAGAGGATTGATGCTGATTCTTTGTTATTTAGTACTAGCTGCCAGTTTCTTTGTACACGAAGATCCTCATGAAGGTTAGTTTGATCAATTTGCTGTTTCTTCCATCTACAAGCAGACCATTTGCGTCTGAAACGCCTGTGAATGGTTTCTGTGTTCTTGTTTCTTGACAGATGATAATATGCAAGACGAAAAAAACACGGTATGGTGTGCGTGTGTTTGTGTTTGTGTCGGAAAACTAAAGCATGTTTTACAGTCGAAAATGTTAAGCCGAGAGGTCTATATTCTCTAGTCGAAAATTAATCAAACCAAACCGAACCATAAAAACTACCACCTCTCAATGCTTCAAGGAATGAGATTACAAGTCAGCTCTTTTCCTTTTGCCTCCAGCTGCTCGATTTGAACCAAACTCGGAGAATAATGAAGAATATCTGCCCGAAATCCATCCTGTCTCGCTGGTCCCAAATCCAACTTGTGTGGCTTCATTGTCCTCCCCAACAATGTATATCATGTCTCTGCCCTTGGCCGCGATTCAAAGTCAAGCCAATTCAGAGCAAGCATGACGACTTTCTTCTCGTCGTCGAGCAAGAACCTCACTCGTCAAAAAGTTGAAGACCAGGGCTCACGTCAAATGCTAAGACCTTGCTCCACGACACCACTTGGGTGGTCTCTCAATCTTATTTGTCACCCATATCTCAGTCTTGGATGTACGTTCGGCTGTAACAAGACCGAAAGTTTCTCGTCTTTAACAACGGAAAGACCTGCCACTTGAAAACGGTTACGCTGATAGGGAAGAGGCACAGGCACACATTTCTCTGTTGAGAAATCAAATCTGACCAAGGACACGATGGATTGCGGCTTTGTTTTGTCTTCAGCGAACCCGTACATACTTCCCTTCAAAGACACGTTGATACTACAGTATCCAAGACGCCAGCCAGGATCCATGATATCATCAACAACCCTCCACGAATCAGAGCCGAACTCGTACATTTCAAAATCATTGCACCAATGGATAAAAGCTCAACACTTTGTACCTCTTATTGTTGCCTTGTTTGTAGTATCCCAGAGCAAAAAGGCGGTCTGTCCCGGAACGATAGCTGGGTTGGAACCACCTGTCTCACCAGTAAATGGGTTCCAAACCACGAATCTAGATTCGTCGGCGGAGGTGCATAACAAGAGGCCGTCACAGTGAAACACTTTGGCTACATCGAAGACTCTGCCTACATCCAATTGAGCAGCAGGACACTTGGGAAGCGGATCGAATAGGCTAACCTCAGTTTTGCCTCTAAAGATGGAACCTTTCCGTCCAGATCGACGATTGCCGAACTAATCCTGAAGCCCCTCCTCAACAAGACAACCAAACTGCTTTGCGGCTTCGTCACTGTGCTTTCCAGCGAATCTCCCGTCACCGTTAAACATACGGTTCCATAGTTTACAAGTAGATCCCAATCCTCTCAGATGCGTAGCCGGAACACGAGTCACTATTGTTGGGTCTTGACATAGTCTGAAGTTGAATAAGTCAAGCTAGTTTTTAGGAGTCGAATAAGTTCAAATCTGTTAGAGTTTGTTTCCGTTTTAATCTCCTTAGTTTTCTGCTTTTTGTTGTAGTGAACGTTGTAAGGCTTCTATAAAAGCCATCCATCTCTTTTGATTCAATAACACCGAAACATTCAGACTTCTTTGCATACTCTGTTTTCCTTTATCTGGTATCAGAGCAAAATACATTGTGAGTGTGAGTGTTTGAGAAGCAAAATATATTGTGAGTGTGAGTGTTTGAGAGGAAAAACACTGCAGAGAAAATGGCAGATGCCGGAAGCTTTACAACACCTGCTGTTCCAAAATTCGATGGAGATTACGACCACTGGAGTTTGATCATGGAGAATCTTCTCCGTTCCAAGGAGTACTGGTGCATCATTCAACCAGGCTTCGAAGATCTGAGAAGCATCGAAACTCCTACCCCTGCACAACAAAGGGCACTTGATGAGGCTAAGCTCAAAGATCTCAAAGCCAAGAACTACCTGTTCCAGTCAATCGACAAAACCACGTTGAAGACTATCACTCAGAAGGAGACAGCTAAACAGCTTTGGGAATCTATGAAAATCAAGCATCAAGGAAGTGCAAGGGTGAAGCGTGCACAATTGCAAAGGCTACGAAAGACTTTCGAAACCTTGGAGATGAAGAGTGGAGAAGGAGTGGCGAGCTACTTTGCAAGAGTCATGGAGATAACCAACGATATGAGAAACTGTGGAGAAGCCATTGATGATGTGAAGATCGTTGAGAAGATTCTCCGCAGTCTCACCGAAAATTTCAACTTCGTGGTTTGCTCTATTGAAGAGTCCAAAGACATTGATGACCTCACGGTGGATGAGCTGCAGGCGTCATTGCAGATCCATGAAAGCAAGGTGATTGAGAAAAGAAGTGAAGAGCAGGTTCTGCAAGTAGAGAACGAGCCAAGGAATGGCCGTGGGAGAGGAAGGTGGACCCGAGGAGGAAGCAGTTTCAGAGGACGAGGGAGAGGCAGATCGTTCGTTAACCGATCAGCCATCAACTGCTTTCGATGTGGAAAACAGGGTCACTACCAGTTCGAGTGCACCAGTCTGGAGAAAGGAGTCAACTACGTTGAGTTCGATGAGGAGGAAGAGTTACTCCTAATGGCGCACACGGACATAAGCAAGGCTGAGGGAAAAGGTATCTGGTTTCTCGACTCAGGATGCTCAAACCATATGACTGGAGAAAAATCATGGTTCATTGAGCTAGATGAAGGGTTCAAGCATTCTGTTAGGTTGGGAAACGGATCGAGGCTCCCAGTTGAAGGGAAGGGAAAAGTCAGATTTGAGGTTGAAGGGATATTACAAGTAGTAAGCGATGTCTACTATGTTCCAAATCTGACCAACAATCTGTTGAGCGTCGGACAGCTGCAGGAGAAGCAGTTAACGATCTTAATCAAGGGCGGAAGATGTAAGATCTATCACCAGCAGAAAGGCTTGATTCTGGAGACACAAATGACCATAAACCGCATGTTTTTGGTCTATGCAATGAAGAGACCAATCTCAGGGAGCTGTTTCAAGTTAGAAGAAGAGGATTTGGAGAACCTTTGGCATAGGAGGTTTGGACATCTAAACAATAAGTCCATACAGCTTATGCAGAGGAAGCAAATGGTGAAGGGGCTGCCAAACCTAAAAGATGAAGTCAAGGTGTGCACAGTCTGCAACATAGGGAAGCAGCAGCGAGGCAAGTTTCCAAAGAAGAGCAAGTGGAGAGCAAGCGAGAAACTGGAGCTCATTCACGCAGATCTATGTGGACCAATCACTCCAATTTCTCAGAGTGGTAAGAGATACTTGCTCGTTCTCGTTGATGACTTCTGTCGTAAGACTTGGATTTATTTTCTGGTGGATAAATCTGAAGCATTTGAGACTTTCAAAAGTTTCAAAAACTCTGTCGAGAAGGAAGCGAAGACTGTCATCCGAGGGCTGAGGACAGACAGGGGAGGAGAATTCACTTCCGACAAGTTCAACAAGTTCTGCAGAGATCACGGCATCAAACGACAACTTACCGCAGCGTATACTCCACAACAAAACGGAGTCGCGGAGAGGAGAAACCGCACGATCATGAACATGGTTCGTTGTCTATTATCGGAGAAGGAGATGCCGAGGTTCTTGTGGCCAGACGCAGCTCGGTGGACTGCTTACGTACTGAATCGGAGCTTCACCAAAGCAGTCACCGGTATGGTACCTGAAGAGAGATGGTCTGGATTCAAGCCGAGAGTTGATTATTTCAGAGTTTTTGGCTCAGTGGCTCATGTTCACGTTCCGGAGCAGAGACGGATAAAGCTTGATGATCGCAGCCAAAAATGCATCTTGCTTGGAGTTAGTGAAGAATCCAAAGCCTATCGGTTGTACGATCCATCGACGAAGAAAATAGTCGTAAGCAGAGATGTCTTTTTCGAAGAAGATGCTAAGTGGGAGTGGAACACAAGCACGGCAGAGCAAAACACTCTTTCTTGGGGAGACGATGGAGCCCTTGATGGAGAAGAGACTGACGAAGAGGATAATGGTGAGGAAGAAGCTGAGGAAGCCACAGAAATCGAAAATGCAGAGGTAGATTCTGGCGCTGAAGAGGAAACTACAGAAGCTGTTGTGGGAACAGAACCTGCAAATGAAGCACAGCCGAGAAGGGAGAGGAGACAGCCTAGTTGGATGCAGGATTTTGTGATTGGAGAAGAAGAAACTGGGATCAACTTTGCACTTTACATATGCAATGATGATCCACTTCACTTCTTTGAAGCTGCGAAAGAAGAAAAATGGAGAGAAGCTATGAAGTTGGAGATTCAGTCCATCGAACGAAACAATACGTGGGAGCTTGTACACTTACCACCTCATGCAAAGAAAATTGGTGTTAAGTGGGTATACAAGACAAAGCTAAACGAAGAAGGCAAGGTGGAAAAGTGTAAAGCTCGACTTGTTGCAAAGGGCTACTCGCAGACGGCTGGAGTTGACTATACTGAAGTATTCGCACCAGTTGCTAGATGGGATACAATCAGAAGTCTCTTGGCAGTAGCTGCACAACAAGGATGGTATGTTTATCAACTTGATGTTAAGAGTGCTTTTCTATATGGTGAATTGAAGGAGGAGGTCTATGTAGATCAGCCTGAAGGGTTTCTTAAAGTAGGGGAGGAAGACAAGGTCTATCGTTTGAAGAAGGCTCTTTATGGGCTTAAGCAGGCACCTAGAGCCTGGTTTAGCAGAATTGAGAGTTACTTTAAGAAGGAGGGGTTTGAGAAAAGCAGCTACGATCACACTCTGTTTTTCAAGAAAACAGAAAAGAAGATTTTGGTGGTGAGTCTCTATGTTGATGACTTGATCTTTACTGGAAATGATGAGTCTATGTGTGCAGAGTTCAAGTCTTCAATGCAGAGAGAATTCGAAATGACAGACATGGGGAAAATGAAGTTCTTTCTTGGAGTGGAGGTTCATCAAAGCAGTGATGGAATTCACATATCTCAGAAGAAGTATGCGAAGGAGGTCTTGGAGAGGTTCGATATGTGGAATTGCAACTCTGTCAAAAATCCAATCGTTCCAGGCACCATTGTTTCAAGAGAAGGAAGCAGAGGAGCTAATGCAACACTCTACAAACAGCTTGTCGGATGCCTAATGTATCTTACGGTGACAAGGCCTGATCTGATGTTTGTAGTGTGTTTGATCGCACGTTTCATGGCTGACCCCAAAGAAGAGCACATGATGATTGCCAAGAGAGTTCTGAGGTATTTGAAAGGTACGATGGGTTTTGGAGTCTTTTATGGAAAATCACCAAAGCTGAATCTGTTGGGATACACGGATAGTGACTACGCTCGCGATATGGATGATAGAAAGAGCACGTCCGGGTACGTCTTCCTGCTGAATGGTGCTGCAATCTGTTGGAGCTCACGGAAGCAAGACATCGTTACTTTGTCTTCCACCGAGGCTGAGTATGTCGCAGCAACATCCTCGGCATGTCACTGTGTTTGGCTGAAGGGAATATTGCAGGAGATAGGTGTTTTGGGGGATGAGTGTATTGACATCATGTGTGACAATAGTTCTACGATCAAGTTGTCGAAGAATCCAGTCATGCATCGGAGAACGAAACACATTGATGTCAGGTATCATTATTTGCGCAATTTGTCTAATGAAGAAGTCATGAAGCTTGTTTTCTGTGGAACCAATGAGCAAGTTGCAGACATTCTGACCAAGCCTATCAAGTTGGATCAGTTTGAGAAGCTTAGAGGTTTACTTGGAGTTCGGCGTTTGGAGGATTAAACTGAAGCTTGAAAGCATATCAGTTTAAGGGGAGGAATTTGTTGGGTCTTGACATAGTCTGAAGTTGAATAAGTCAAGCTAGTTTTTAGGAGTCGAATAAGTTCAAATCTGTTAGAGTTTGTTTCCGTTTTAATCTCCTTAGTTTTCTGCTTTTTGTTGTAGTGAACGTTGTAAGGCTTCTATAAAAGCCATCCATCTCTTTTGATTCAATAACACCGAAACATTCAGACTTCTTTGCATACTCTGTTTTCCTTTATCACTATCTCCTCCTCTACCAAATCCCTTGGAAGATCTCTCAACATCTCCATGATCTCTGAACAGAGAGCGGCGGATCTGAAATCGAATCTATAGCTTGTACTTTTCAGTTTTGTCCTTAACCTGTCCTCTTCACCTATTTAATAGGCTGGTTTCGAACTTTTTCCTTATCCAATATGTTAATACATAAAATTAATTTAAAAACCATTATTAGAAATGGAAAAATAACAAAATTATTGCTGTTTGATATTTAGATTTCCAATAGTCAATAAAATAAGAGATGAAAAAAAAAATTTAGAATATCAAAATTCAGAATAATATAATTGTACAGTTTATATATGACTTAAAAGTACTTGTAAACAGAAATATGAAAATAAGAGAGTTTCACAGAGTTTTATTCAATCAGATTTATGCAGCAATCCTTAAACCGAGCAGTCTATATTCTCTAGTAAAAAAAACCGGACTTCAGCGAAAACTAATTAAACCGAGCCGAACCACATAAAAACATTCAAGACAGAGTGTAGTGTACCTCTCAAAAAGTAGTGATTCCAAGTAACCAAACCAGGAACATCTTGAGCCAAACCGAATTGCATCGCCACTCTATTAGGATAGTAATCTCCAACAAAGCCATCACCAGCAAGCTGAGAAGCTGTCACAAACCGAGCAAAACTAGCCAACTCATCATCACTGCTGTCATCCACATAGCTTCTTCAACATAGTACCGAAGCGGGTTCTAATTCTTCAAAGGTTTAGTGTAAGGACGCCAACCGAAATCCTCAGCATCAAAACTGAATCTCAGATTCGATCTTTGTTGTAGACTGTCCCACTGAGCTATTATTCTTGGTTCGCCTTTGGGTATCTCTCTATCGTTTGGTCTCGTGTTCTTGAACCTCTCCCATGTCCACACTTGGACTAACTTAAACAGAGACTTGAGAGTAACTTTCTTATCACATTTTTTGAGATGGAGGCTTCCTTGGAAAGTCGTTTACGTTTACTCCAAGAAAAGCTTCGTTTTCTTTGCCCTAATGATCATCAAACAGAGCCATGTGCGGCGGCTTCACCATCTCCTTCACTAATTGTCGATAATCATCATCGACAGAAGACTGAAGAGCCATCAGCGAATCATCTGGAACAAGATAAGAGGCAGAGCCATGCTGTTTACTCAGGCTTCCCAATCCCAACTGATTTATCCAAGTCTTCGTCTCCGTTGATGAATCATCCTCCCAACTGTTCAATCCTTCTCTATAACCATGATAACGCTACTTTTACCCAATTGCCTTCCTCCTTTCACCAACCGGCGGCGATATCGCATGATTCCGCACGGTTCGGTAACATTGAACTTCCTCCTCTGATGCAGACACAAAGCCAGTTTGATCAGAAGGCTTCGTGGAATCAGGGTTTTGGTTACTCTGATTTATTACTTGAGGGACAAGGATTTGAGGGCATGTGAAGCTGCAGTAACATTAACAATCAACTTCCTCCGATGATGCAGACACAAAATCCACTTGTCCAGTTTGGGAATGCTTCGTGGAATCAGACGACATCTTTTGGTGATCCAATGATGTTCCCTTCCCACAATTAACTGGGGTTTGCTGCTCCAAGTTCTGGACATTGACTTAGTCAACACCTTTTTTTTTATCTTTCTATTTGGTATCGCTAGTAAATGTTATATCTCTCACTTTTGTAGTCTTGCTTCTCTGTTTTCACCATATTTCTCTGTTTTGATATCTATGGTGTTGAATGAGTAAAGATAAGTAAACACTTGAATCTGGACTTGCTCTAATTTTGCAAAATATGATTTAATTATTACGTATTAGCTAGAACAAACTAAACTTGAATTATACGAGTTGGATCTCATAGATATTCAGTGGGTCTTAAATTCCTCAAATCCTACATGCTCTTCACTTGGTGAGCTTAAAATTAATGCTTATCCACTGTCTCTCAGCCGAACACAATGTTTGAGTCCAACAAAACAAATGGTCTTAAAATGCTATGCAACTAAAAAAAAAAAAAAATTAATTAAGCTCAAGAGAGACTGTAATTTTACAAGGAATGGACCAATCACTAACCTGTTTTGTAGTAGCTTCAGTTTGACTAAAGGATTTGTTACTAACTTTCAAGACTAGTGAAATTTGGTAAATAATTTAAATAATTTCGTTTCTAGCATAGCCTATCAGGTTGTTAACAGATAATACATTGACGGGTGAAACACTATGGTGAAGGTTGCTCAAGTGATTTCCAATGTATTGGCAATTTATTCAGCTACATGTTACAAAAAGTCATATTTTCTTTTAGGTCAATTTCCGGAAAAATTTCAAACTATTTAAGAAAGATTCTTTTTGAATAATTTCAGTGATCGGAATTTTCTGATGTTTATCACAGAGCATGATTACAGAGTTATATACAGCCAAGAGAATATTGAGTTGCCGTAACAGAGGCAATCACAATTGAATGTACAATATGAACTTAAGGTAACTAGATAAATCAATTACGTGCAGCCCAATGTTTGTGAGATACCGAATCATGTGAATGTATCTCAATACCTCCCCTCAAGCTGGAGCATGGAGATCAAGAATGCCCAGCTTGATCCGAAAAGCTTCAAATGCATGTCGACCAAGAGGTTTGGTAAAGATGTCAGCAATTGCTTATGGGTGGAGACATGATGTGTAACGATCTCTCCGGCCTGAATCTGCTCCCGTACAACATAACAATCCACTTCAATTTGTTTTGTCCTTTTATGAAAAACAGGATTGGTGCTGATATATATAGCTGATTGACTGTCACAATACATTCCCATGGGTGTTGTGTGAGGAACACCCAACGATCTCAACACACTTTTAATCCAAACAAAGCCCACTTGTCCAGTTTGATCAGAATGCTTCGTCAAATCATGGTTTTGGTTACTCGGATTTATTACTTGAGGGACAAAGAATCGTCACGGTATTTCGTTGGAGTTAAGAGATTATGGAAGGGGGAGGAATCATTTTGACTTGGATCCATTTGGATAACTCTTCACATTGGGGCCTCTCTAGAAACCGTTTGATCTTGGCCACTGTAAATTAGGCACAACAACACAAGCTCACACTCCACCTGCTATATTTTCGTACAAACCTGTTACAGATTTAAAAACTTGGGGTGAAATTTGCTAAATATTTTAATTAATTTGGTTTCTTACATTATAAGCCTATTAGTCAATTAGGGAGTACCAGATCATTGTGAAGATTGCAAAGTGATTTCATTTTATTTAGATATATGTTACAACGAGTGTCTATATCCTTTCGATTTGCATTTTAAACTGTTTAAGATCCCTTTAGTCCTTGTAATTTTTCTGATTAACTGCTCGGAACTCCAACAAAGCCCCAAGCTGAGAAATGCAAATGATACACTCTTAATAACTTTCAAATATCAATAGTAGAACATCCTACTAAACCATATAATCGATTTGATTAGAATTTCAACGCAACAACAATTTGCAGAGAGTAAAACATTGGTTAGAATCTGGACTCCAAAAGTGTGGGATAGATTTAGTAGCTGACAGCGGAGAGTAAAACCGCAACACCTGTGGATCTATCCCAACGGTTGTCTGGCCGCTTACTGACTTACCAGCAATTTATGTCTGCATCCTCGAAAACGGCCATGCCATCAGAACGAGGCATGTCCTTTAAATACAAGGTGCAACAACATACTACCAACCAAAAACAAAACTCAATACCAAATAGAGAAAAAACAACACAATTTGTAGGATAGATTTAGTAGCTGAAAGCAGAGCAAAATCCGCTTCACCTGTGGATCTATCCCAACGGTTGTCTGGCCGCTTGCTGATTTAACAGCTATTTGTTTATGCACTCTTGTTCACAGACTATGTCACTCAATTTTGACATAGCCTTTCATTACATAAGTGCAATTTTATCAATCTCAACCAAAACCCCACAACGCATAACATAAAACTCAGAAAACTTTAATCAGAGTCAAAAACGCATCTATACTTAGAATACTGTCACCAAAATGATAAAATCTAACTGGACAAAGCCCAGACACAAAACGGAGATTCAAAAGCAATAGAAACAGGAGAACTTGGAATAATTCAAATCTGATTTGTCGGAAGCTCCGACGCTAATGCGGCGCCGGAGATTGACATAGTACCAAGAGCGAACGAATTAGGTTATGAGAGACTGGATTCGGTTCCGTTAAATAAAGCAACGAGGATGATCACTCTATTGGGCTGAACCAGAACAAGTAAAGCCCATTGTTTTAAATTACCAAATCGGGTTTAGATAAACCGGGTCATTGCACGGCGGCTACGTATGTAATTAAGAAAATTAGGGTTTGAGAGTTGAGGAGACGCCGGGTGGGAGTTGATTCTTATTGGGCCAATCTCATGAAGCCCATAGTCGGTTCGGGTTAAGCCGGGTCAATTGAGTCAAGTCGGGTTGCATTTAACAGAAAATTGAATTGGGGAGAAAAAAAACTTCGCTCTGTTTTCGCGGCAATGGCAACTCTGTGAAAGATGTTTCTTTCTTCTTCATCGCCTTTACAGTTACGCAAGAGTTTATCATTGTTCGTGAAGCTGAACAGTCTGACATCTCGTGGGTTTTCGTCCGACTCTACTAAAGCCCTAGCCTCCGGATTCTCTAGAGCAATCAAAGAAGGCAACTTTAACCTGTTAGATTCTGAGAAGTGTGCAAATTCGCAACGAAACGAGACGAATTGGGTCCTTCTTTCGCTTCAGTCAGATCCATATTCCGCGCTAAAGTATTTCCGATGGGCAGAGATGTCTGGACGAGATCCTTCTTTCTTTACCATTGCTCAAGTTTTGATCCGCCATGGGATGTTCGGTGATGCAGATAAGGTGTTTGATGAAATGATTTTAAATCGTGGAAAGGATTTTCACGTTCTGGGTGCGATTCGGGATAGGTCAATGGAGTTTCATTTGAGCCACGGTGTTGTTGTTTACGGGTTTTTGATGGAATGTTGTTGTAGAAACGGCATGGTTGAGGAGGCTATGGAGATATTCGTGTATAGTAGTACTCAATTGGGTGTAGTTATAGCGGAGGACTCTGTATATAGGATGCTAAATTCTTTGATTGATGCTGATCGTATTGACTTAATAGCTGATCATTTTGATAAACTATGTAGACGAATAGTTCCTTCTGGTGTGAGTGCTTATGGATTAGTGTTGGATGCTCTTTTCCGCAGAGGAGAGGTCACAAAGGCTTTAGATTTTCACCGAGTAGTGGTTGAGAGAGGTTTTCATGTTGATATAGTTTCTTGCAATAAGATTTTGAAAGGTCTTTCTTTTGATCAGATAGAGGTAGCTTCTCGGATGCTAAGTTTGATGTTGGACTGTGGTCCAGCACCAAATGTGGTGACTTTTAATACGTTGATTAATGGGTTCTGCAAAAGAGGAGAAATGGATAGAGCGTTTGAGCTGTCCAAGGTAATGGAAGATAAGGGAATAGCGCCGGACTTGATCGCTTACAGCACTCTGATTGATGGATATTTCAAAGCAGGGATGTTAGAAATAGGTCATAAACTCTTCTCGCAGGCGTTACAGAGAGGTGTGAAGTTGGACGTGGTTGTTTTCAGCTCAACGATTGATGTGTATGTGAAATCTGGGGATGTAGCAACAGCGTGTGATGTGTATAAGAGAATGCTGTGTCAAGGGATTTCTCCTAATGTGGTTACTTACACCATTCTCATTAAAGGTTTGTGCGAGGATGGTAGAATTCACGAGGCTTTTGGTATATATGGTCAGATCTTGAAACGTGGTTTGGAGCCGTCCGTTGTGACTTATACCAGTCTCATTGATGGTTTTTGCAAGTGTGGGAACTTGAGATCCGGGTTTGCTTTGTATGAGGATATGATAAAGATTGGTCATTCACCTGACGTTGTCATTTTTGGTGTGCTTGTTGATGGCCTTTGTAAGCAAGGATTGATCCTCCATGCGTTGAGGTTCTCTGTTAAGACTCTAAGCCACTCGGTCAGGGCCAATGTTGTGGTTTTTAACTCCTTAATTGATGGCTGGTGTAGGTTAAACCGTTTGGACGAGGCGTTGAATGTTTATAGATTGATGGAGATATGTGGTGTAAGACCTGATGTAGCCACATTCACAACGCTTATGAGGGGAAGTGTGGAGCGAGACAGATTAGATGAAGCCTTGTTTCTGTTTTTCCGGATGTTCAAAATAGGTTTGGAGCCTGATGCTGTAGCGTACTGTACCCTAATGGATGCATTCTGCAAACATATGAAGCCAACAATAGGGCTCCAGCTATTCGAGCTTATGCGGAGGAACAAAATCTCTGCGGATATCGTTGTATGTAATGTCGTCGTTAATCTGCTTTTCAAAGGTCACCGCGTGGAGGAAGCTTCTAAGTTCTTCAAGAATCTTCTCAAAGGAAGGCTGGAGCCTGATATTGTGACATATAACACAATGATATGTGGTTACTGCTCTTGTCAAAGGTTAGATGAAGCAACGAGGATCTTCGAGATGCTTAAACTTACCACTTTTGGACCCAATTCCGTTACTTTGACTATACTCATCCATGCGCTCTGTAAAAACAATGACGTGGATGATGCTATAAGGATGTTCTCCGAGATGGTGGCAAAGGGTCCTAAGGCAAATGTTGTCACGTACGGTTGTCTAATGGATTGGTTTGCGAAATCCGTCGACATGGAAAGTTCTTTCAAGCTTTTCGAGGATATGCAAGAGAAAGGGATTTCTCCAAGCATGATAAGTTATAGCATTGTAATCGACGGTCTTTGCAAACGAGGAAGAGTGGATGAAGCAACTGATATCTTCAATCAAGCCATAAATGCAAAGCTATTGCCTGATGTTGTTGCCTATGCAATTCTTATCCGTGGTTGCTGCAAAGTTGGGAGACTCGTTGAAGCGGCATTGTTGTATGAAGAGATGTTGAGAAACGGAGTTAAACCTGATGATTTGCTGCGACGAGCACTTTCGGAATATAAACTACCGAAATGGTTGATGAGCAATGGGGTCTGGGTACACGACGACAATACATTGCCGGATTAGTGTGCGAGTGTGCTTCATTTCAACTCTATATTCTAGGTAAAATAGTTGCAAGAAATCGAAGCTGTTAAAAGTCATTTTCTCCTTCTGACAAAAAATTAGAAATTTTGTATAATGATTTGATGGATGACACTGCCATGGTTTTATGTAAATAAACAAAATTCTAATTCCAAATGTTGGAATACTGAATATTACTCAACTCATATATTTCTATTATGACTATGATTTTACTAAATTTATGAACTATTACGAAACAAGAAGTAGGTGTACATAAAGAACATTTGAAACCAATATCTACAAACTATAAACTCTTTTTATCACTGTACACAACTACACTTACATTACATCTCACAAATTACTATTTTACAGGAGTATCATTTTTAAATATGTTTTTCTCGTACAAAGAAATATTTTTAAATACAAAAAGAAACAAAAATTGCAGAACGCGGTAAGAATCTTGAATTTTTTTGTTGTATCTCTTTTGAAGCAGAATAATTCACTCTTTGAGTTTTCAATCTGGTTTACATTATCTGCAAATGACAAAAACAAACTCTTTTGTTTGTATCTCTTTTGAAGCAGAATAATTCACTGAGAACAGAATAATTGACTCTTGAATTTGGACCCCTCTTTTAAATAAAAAACATGTAACTGCCTCGCTAATTCGCTATCCAGTGAACAGTCCAAGACCATTTCCTCATCTTCACAAATTGGCAGAAATCGAAGTCTCCGATGCTCTGAAATTCCATTTCCTGGAGAAGCGTGCGCTTACAGAGATGCCAAACTCCACGACGGAGGTCTCCGTCTCCGTTCCGCTGCTTTCCTCACTCCGTCCGGCTACCAACTCATCCTCTCAAGTCGCCATCGTCGGTTCCAACGTCTGTCCAATCGAAAGCCTCGATTACGAGTACGCAAACTCTCTCCTACCGTTTTGCTCCCTTTCTTCTCAATTTTGTTCTTATTTTTGTTACTCGAATTAGGATCGCGGAGAATGATTTCTTCAAGCAAGACTGGAGAGCTCGTAGTAAGGTACAGATTTTCCAATACGTATTCATGAAGTGGATGCTATGCTTTTTCATCGGCATTATTGTTAGTCTCATCGGATTCACCAACAATCTCGCCGTCGAGAACCTCGCCGGCGTTAAGTTCGTCATTACTTCTAACATGATGCTGGCAGGAAGGTGATTCACCATTTCCCCCAATTTTCTCAGCTCTTTTGCGCCTTTTAATGGATTGCTTCAAAATTGTTTCACAGGTTTACTATGGGCTTTCTCGTTTTCACTGTTACCAACTTGGTTCTCACTCTTTTTGCGTCGGCGATCACTGCTTTTGTTGCGCCTGCTGCGGCTGGCTCCGGTATACCGGAAGTTAAGGCCTATTTGAACGGTGTAGATGCACCGGAGATATTCTCATTTCGCACTTTGCTCGTTAAGGTAAGGATCTTTTGCAGCTAGTGGAGAGCGATGGAACTTGAATTTTGATCTCTGTTTGCTTGAAATACAGATTGTTGGGAACATATCGGCGGTGTCAGGGTCTCTTCTCATAGGAAAAGCAGGGCCAATGGTGCACACAGGTGCTTGTGTTGCATCCATACTTGGTCAAGGCGGCTCAAAAAGATATGGACTGACTTGGAGATGGCTTCGATATTTCAATAATGATAGAGACCGGAGAGACCTTGTAACTTGTGGCTCAGCTGCTGGTATCGCTGCCTCGTTCCGTGCTCCGGTCGGTGGTGTTCTGTTCGCGCTTGAGGAGATGTCATCTTGGTATAGTTCAAGTTTAGCTCTTTGGTGCGTTCTGGTCACTATATGTATGTTGATTAAAAAATGGCGGCTTTATGGTTGTAGGTGGAGGAGTGCACTTTTATGGAGAATCTTCTTTTCAACGGCTGTTGTGGCGATTGTTCTCAGGGCTCTAATCGATGTGTGTTTGAGTGGGAAGTGCGGGTTATTTGGTAAAGGAGGGTTGATAATGTTTGATGTATACTCAGAGGATTCGTCATATCATTTGGGGGATGTGCTTTCTGTTCTTCTCCTTGGAGTTGTCGGTGGTATTTTGGGAAGCTTTTACAACTTTCTCCTTGAGAAGGTTCTGCGAGCTTACAACTTCATATATGAGTAAGCTATCTTTTTAAAGGCACAAGTATGTAAATAGATTCAAGATCTCAACATTGTTTTTTTCTGTCCAGGAAAGGGGTTGCTTGGAAAATCGTCCTCGCTTGTGCAATATCAATTTTCACGTCGTGTCTTCTTTTTGGATTACCGTTTCTTGCGCCATGCCAACCTTGCCCTGTCGGTGCCTTGGAGCAGTGCCCTACGATTGGCCGGTCTGGCAACTTCAAGAAATACCAATGCCCTCCTGGTCACTACAATGATCTAGCTAGCCTCATTTTCAACACAAACGATGACGCTATCAAAAACCTCTTCAGCAAAAACACTGACTTCGAGTTCCATTATTTGTCGGTTCTCGTGTTTTTCGTCACCTGCTTCTTCCTCAGTATCCTTAGCTATGGGATTGTTGCTCCGGCAGGGCTCTTTGTACCTGTTATCGTGACAGGAGCGTCGTACGGACGGTTTGTTGGGATGCTGCTTGGTTCAAACTCAAATCTTAACCACGGTCTGTTTGCTGTGCTCGGTGCTGCATCTTTTCTTGGAGGATCAATGAGGATGACAGTTTCTTTATGTGTTATTCTCCTTGAGCTGACTAATAATCTGCTTCTGCTTCCTATGATGATGCTGGTCCTTCTGATTTCGAAAACAGTTGCTGATGCTTTCAATGCCAACATCTATAACCTCATCATGAAGATAAAAGGGTTTCCCTACCTTTTCAACCATGTAGAGCCTTACATGAGGCAGCTTACGGTTGGTGATGTAGTCACAGGCCCGCTTCAAGTCTTCAACGGCATTGAGAAAGTCGAGACTATTGTACACGTTCTCAAATCCACCAATCATAATGGCTTCCCTGTGGTTGATGGGCCGCCGCACGCCGCAGCTCCTGTTCTGCACGGTCTAATCCTCCGGGCTCATATTCTGACTTTGTTGAAGAAACGAGTGTTCTTGTCCAGTCCAGTGGCTTTTGACTCCAAAGCTCTTGCCCTATTCAAGGCGGATGAGTTTGCTAAGAAGGGTTCTGGGAGGGGTGATCGAATAGAAGATGTGGAATTAAGCGAGGAAGAGTTGAATATGTATTTGGATTTACATCCGTTCTCTAATGCTTCGCCTTACACTGTTTTGGAGACGATGTCGCTTGCAAAAGCACTTGTCCTCTTCCGTGAGGTTGGCTTAAGGCACTTACTGGTCACACCAAAAACCTCCGATGTAAGTCATCTTGGTTTCTCTCCTTTTCCCTTGTTGTTAATAAGCATCTTATTAGTTTCTGATAGGTGCTAGAATGTGAGATGCTTGATAGATATATATTGATGAATGAAAACAAAGAGCAGATTCCTAAGTCTTTTGAATTTTGATCGTTGGTTTGTTTGTTTGGGAGCTCTTGGTTTCTTTGTTCATCAGTTAAAGAGAAAGGAAACTGTTATAGAACATGCAATTATCTACTTTGCTTGTATTCGTGACTAAAGAGAGTGCATGTAATTGCAGAGACCACCATTGGTAGGCATATTGACACGGCATGACTTCATGCCGGAACATATATTAGGGCTGCGTCCTTCACTGTCTCGGAGCAGGTGGAAAAGGCTTCGGATTCGGCTGCCTTTCCTCGCGTATATTGATTAAACTGCTTGCAAAGTCTCAGGTATGATACCTGCACGCAGCCATGTGGTTGGATCATTCTTTCACCTTTTACTAAAGAACTAAATGAGTTTTGTATTTCGCATGTGCCACTAAAGCACAAAGCGAAGTATTTGTATTGTTAAAAAAGTCTACCACAAAATATATGTGAGCATAAGTAGAATAATAGTTTTAGATGATGTATATTTACATGGTTTCATCTTATCAAGCAGGACCACGATGGAGAGGCAGACCCACCCAAGTCCTAAACATTTCTTGGATTCAATTGCTGAATTTGTCATGTTTCCCTTTGGAAATAACGTTATCGTCATTGTGACCATTGGATAACTCTCGGTCACGACTTTTGTTATCTTCTCAAACACTTGACCATTGTGTTGTCAAATATACACACTGCGAAATCGTTATTCTCCGCAAGGGTGTCGTGTGAACTCTCCGCCGCATCTATAAAGACCAGAGTTTGTGTATCTTCTTCTTCGTAGGACCTTCTCTTGTTTGTAAGAAGTTACAACCATGATTGGACTGTAATTAAAGAGGTTCTCTTGGTATTGGAAAAGCTTAGGGTAACAAAGTTGGCATGGTATTACCCTTTTCCCAGGGAAAAGTAATTAGGACGAAGAAGCATCATCTTTCATCCGTAACAAATACAGTTAAAGAGACCTTTGGAAAGTCAATCAAAAAGATCATTGGTCAAAGAAGTATGTGTTTCTTTTAAGTGTGTGAATGGAGAATACAGTATACAGTTTGAAGTTGTAAATATAAACACAACTATTCCAACAAGAAACAAAACTATTTGTCACTGAAATATGTCCGCGTCAAACTTTTTGGGGCTTATTTTTATTAAATCATGTGGAAATGTTGCATGTTTGTACTGTATATGCTGCTACAAGATTTTTTTTTTCTTTCTCCAACGTAATTGTTTTGATATCTAAGTTCGGATTAACTTCCCATGATTTCAACAAAGTCACATCACGGTCCACTAAAAGTCTAAAACCGAGTACTTATACTATTTAAGATCATCACTATTATTGCAAATACTTGTAACTGTTTTCACGCAAGATAATGAATATGTGAGGTGAAGATATCTCTAAGAGAGAGAGAAAGCATAAAGTTTTGTTTTCGAATTCCAAAGCAAAGAATAAAGGCAGATGCATTCTTCTGTCGGTGAGCTTTTATTCCTCATTTGAAATTAAATATTTAATTCTGTTTCTTATTGATCAATTAGGTAATTCATTTGCCTTTTTTCTTTGCAAGCCTCGAAATTTAAAAATTGAATCACCACTGGTTGAAGGCTACAAATTCCATCGTTCATGAAAGCGCGTATGGTCGATAAAAAGTCTCAGATTTTTTTCTTTGGGCTACGTGCTAACAATAACAATAATTGATTGCTCGGAATTACACATCCCATGTACGTCTTTTAAAAAAGAAACTTTACAGAGTTAGATACCGACCTTTTTTCCATTTCATAATCATTAAAAGTATAAATTATAATATCATCACACTCCAGTATATACCACAATCTTCTCTTAGTCCAACGTTAAATTCAAGTGTTTTAATGAGTAAAAATTAAGAGTTGTAAACAATAATTTCCTGTTTAATGAGTACTCCTATATTAAGGTTGGTAAACCATGATAATTAAATTTTAGATAATTAATGTATTTGATGTCTTTTGTATAGTTATCAACACTACAACATCTATCAACATCACTTATTCACTTGTCTCACTTAAGTGCTAATTATGAATTATTGCTTATTACTCAATGTAAGTAAAGTTGACATATTTAAAATTTTACATTTCTCTGATATCAATCAAAGTTAAAAGGAAGGAATTAATTTACAATTACAGGGATGGGGTCTGATCCAAGGAAATATACCAGTGATACAAAATATGTATATGGTAAGTCTAGATATGTACAATATCAACATCTTCATAAAATCTTGATATTTTCCTCACAATAATTATACGCTTTAAACCTTTGAATAAAGATGGTGTAGGAAGGGACAAAACATGTGTGATGCTTAATTACATGAAACTTTTGTTACTTTTTGGACCGTTTCGCATTGTTTTCATTCGGAGTCTAGTTAATGTATGTGGAATTTTGCAATGCACTTCCAAAAAAAAATTCTAAATATATATTGCATTTCTGAGTATTTTGGTTCTTTTTCTAAAACCTATTCTTAGGCAAAAATCAAGCGGAAAAGAGAAGTGAAAAACAGAAAAAGAAGAAGTGAAAGAGATTTAACAATTTGTCTAAATTATAAGAAAGGGAAAATCATTTACCTCTGGAATAAAAAATAGAAAAAAGAAATACTAAATAAACAAAATTAGAAAAATACACAGTACTCGTGAGAGAGATGGAGGTGACAAGGACGACGAAGGAAAGCGAATGAACCAAAACCAACCAGTGAAGAAGAGACTTTTTTTATAAGAACCTTTTTCCATCCATCAGTTAGGTTCACTTCTTGTCCGAAAATACAGACTTTGAGAGTGAGTTACAGAGATTTGCGGAGATTTTTCTCCCTCCATCTTAGGACTCTCTCTCTTCTTATCCCCAATCTACTCTATCTCCACATTTTCCCAGATATTTCAACTCCTATACTCCTCCGAAGAGAAAAACAAAGACTTTGTAAGTAAGTATATTCGAATTCGCAGTTTTTTGTTTGTTCAACTATTTATAATTCTGTTCATATTCCTCTGTTTCTTTTCCTGCGTGTCAGATCCATTTCTATATCAGTCGTGAGCTGTAATAATAGTTCAAGCGAGACTTGTTTTTGTTGATGGGCTCTAAAAATCCCTTCAAAGATCTGATCTTTCGATGAATTTTCTTCAGAACCATTTTTCCCCCAAATCTTCTCAAATTGAATTTTATTTTTGCTGTAAAGTTTCGATCTTTTATGTAAAATCCGTAGTAGGTGAATCCTCAACTGTAGAAGTTGATACTTTTTTTAGCGTCAAAACAAATTAGTAGTTGCGTCTGATGTCTTCCAAATTCAACTTTTTTGACCTAGTGGGATGCTTTAGCTCTGGGGACCCATATATCATGTCATGAGAAAATGTGAAAATACGACTGAAGTTGTTGCACTGTTTTTGAAAAGTGTCTATTTTCAGATCTCATCGACCCATTTCTTCTAAATCTAAATCTCGTTCATAGTATCACTCAAAGTTCCATACTTCACTGCTGATCTAGTGACAATGAGAACCCTTTTGTTTAGTTGATTTGCTGAGTGTTTTGCAACTTTACTTGATCTGATTCTGTGGCTTGGTTTCACTGAATCTACTACAGGTGAGGTTCGGTTACATCTTTTTGGTGTAAATAGAATCATGAAGAACGGGAAGCAATCTTCGCAACCCGAGAAGGGTTCTTCAAGGATCTTGTCCTTATCAGTTCTGTTTATCGCATTGTGTGGCTTCTCCTTCTATCTCGGTGGTATATTTTGCTCTGAGAGAAACAAGATCGAAGCCAAAGATGTCACAGTTACCACTACAAAGGCAATAGCTTCCCCAAAGGCACCCACAGTCTCTCCTATTCAGATCAAATCAGTTTCTTTCCCTGAATGTGGTTCAGGGTTCCAAGATTACACTCCCTGCACCGATCCAAAGGTTAGCAAAAGTGTAAAACCACTCTCACTTTGTGTATTTTTCCGATTCTTGCTGTATAAAAAAACTGAACTCTTGTTGTGTGTGTTTCAGAGGTGGAAGAAGTATGGAGTCCATCGCCTAAGTTTCTTGGAGCGTCACTGTCCTCCGGTTTACGAAAAGACCGAGTGTTTGATTCCACCGCCAGACGGTTACAAACCGCCTATAAGATGGCCAAAGAGCAAAGACCAGTGCTGGTACAAGAACGTGCCTTATGACTGGATCAACAAGGAGAAATCAAACCAGCATTGGCTCAAGAAAGAAGGTGACAAGTTCCATTTCCCCGGCGGTGGTACCATGTTCCCACGTGGAGTCAGTCACTACGTTGATCAGATGCAAGATCTCATCCCCGGAATGAAAGACGGAACCGTCAGGACTGCCATTGATACTGGCTGTGGGGTTAGTTAGTCTCTCTTCGAACTTTTCGAACTCTCTTGAATCGGTTTATAATCTTCCAGTGATTTATTTGTGTAGGTAGCGAGCTGGGGAGGCGATCTTTTGGACCGTGGGATTCTGACACTCTCTCTTGCCCCAAGAGATAACCATGAAGCTCAGGTTCAGTTCGCTCTCGAACGTGGCATTCCTGCGATTCTCGGTGTTATCTCCACTCAACGCCTCCCTTTCCCTTCCAACGCTTTTGATATGGCTCATTGCTCAAGATGCCTTATTCCCTGGACAGAATTCGGTAACCATCTCTCTCTTCTTGATTTGGTTTCAAGAATTGAGTTCTTGTGATTAGTGTATCACTTCTTGTTTTGTTTTCAAGAATCTTTGAGTTCTTGTGACATTTGGATCTCTGTGATCTTGCAGGTGGGATCTATTTGCTTGAGATTCACCGTATAGTCCGGCCGGGAGGTTTCTGGGTGCTCTCGGGACCACCGGTGAACTATAACAGACGGTGGAGAGGATGGAACACAACCATGGAAGAGCAGAAATCAGACTACAACAAGCTTCAGTCGCTTCTAACCTCCATGTGTTTCAAGAAGTACGCTCAAAAGGAAGACATAGCCGTGTGGCAGAAGCTCTCAGACAAGTCTTGCTACGACAAGATCGCAGAGAACATGGAAGCTTACCCTCCGAAATGCGACGACAGCATAGAGCCTGACTCCGCTTGGTACACTCCACTCCGTCCCTGCGTGGTTGCTCCGACGCCCAAGGTCAAAAAGTCGGGTCTCGGGTCGATCCCGAAATGGCCCGAGAGGCTTAACGTTGCGCCAGCGAGGATCACTGACGTCCACGGAGGGAGCGCGAACGGTTTGAAACACGATGATGGGAAGTGGAAGAACAGAGTGAAGCATTACAAGAAAGTTTTGACAGCTCTTGGGACGGATAAGATTAGGAATGTTATGGATATGAACACTGTTTACGGAGGCTTCGCTGCTGCTCTCGTCAAGGACCCTGTTTGGGTTATGAATGTTGTTTCTTCCTACGGCGCGAACTCTCTTCCTGTTGTCTTTGATCGCGGTCTCGTCGGAGTTTACCATGACTGGTAAAAGAAGAACCTTTTTTTCCAAAAAAGACTCTGTTTTTAGTATTTTGTGTGTGTGTGAGATGTTAACGTGAGAGTGTAATTGCATTTGCAGGTGTGAAGCTTTCTCGACGTATCCAAGAACATACGATCTTCTTCACCTGGACAGTCTTTTTACCTTGGAGAGCCAAAGGTATGGTTCTTTTGAAGAACAGAGGATTTTTGAAGTTTTGGTTTTTGGGGATTGATTGGTGTTTGTTTAATGTGGATTTATAGGTGTGAGATGAAGTATGTGTTGCTGGAGATGGATCGGATCTTGAGACCCGGTGGATATGTGATAATCCGAGAATCGAGTTATTTCATGGACGCGATCACAACGTTGGCGAAAGGGATGAGGTGGAGTTGCCGGAGAGAGGAGACTGAGTATGCCGTTGAAAGTGAGAAGATTCTGGTTTGCCAGAAAAAGCTCTGGTTTTCGTCTAACCAAACTTCTTGATGCGGCACCTGTACCAAAGTTAAACCGGAGATAAACCGAAGATGATATGTTACTAATCATAGTGTTTATCATGTCTTGTGATGTAACTCTTGGAGGAGTTTACAGAGACAAAAGGATCTGCTCCTTTGAATCCACAAAGATATAGCTATAAACAGTTTCTGCTTCTTCTTCTTCTATATTGAGTTATGTTTAATTTCTAGGGTATTTCCCGGTATAGATTCATATTATATTTTTTTAATTATATTTAAATATATGGCCAACATTACTTTACTTTTACTATAAAAACATCTAAGATTAGTAGTGTCTTGTCAAATTAATGGTGGAAGACTGCAATATCAGCTTGAAATCCATGCATTGGATTGCTTGGAAAGCAAATTTGTTAAAAGAGAAAACTATTTTATTAAAGTTAAAAGTTAAAATAGTAAATGCATTATCACTTATCAGACTAATTATGGGAGGCAAAGAGAAATGTCTCAGTGGAGATTATACAGTTGTAGTAGGGGACATATGTAGCCCAAAAATGTCGTCACGATTCACAAATTTAGACGACCAAGCAAACGATGAACACATACAGAGAGAAATCCGGACAAAAGATGGAAGATTGGAGACCGTATGTTGTTGTTCAAAAAGATAAAGGAAACCGTATGTTTTGTCAAACCGCCTTTCCTGGGCCAAACAATTTCTTTCTGATTAGGCCATAAGGCCCATGTTAAGCTCCCAATATCGGAATTACAAAAACATTCATATCAGTTGCTGAATCAATATTGCTTCGATTCCAGTTTCACCACAGCTTAGTTTTTTTTTTCCCCTTCGTCTCCAGGGGATTGTGGGATCCGAAACCTTAGTAGATCTCCCCCGTTAATTAGAAATTCTGATCTATCTCCGGCGTCGAATTCCCGATTAGGTAGGTACCTTCGACTGTTTTCTTTTCGTTATCATCCTATCTCGTTCTAGGTTTTGCTTCGGTTTTAGCCTCTTGAATTTATACATTAGGGATTTAGTGAGATTTATGACTAAGAATTTTGTTGCCAGCTCGTTTTCTTGCCAGATATATGATAATCTAGGGTTTTCACTTTTCATTGATGCTTATTCTGATGTAGCAACTCAATCTTTTTGACAAGTTTAACTCTTGTGCAGGTTTAAAAATATGGATTCCGAGCAATCTGGTCAGAATACAGAGCTTTATCCTCCTCCTTCCTCCGAAACAGCTTCCCTCGCTTCTGATCACCCAAATCCGCAGATTTCTGCTCCTGAAGCTTTAAACGGTGCTTCTCCCCCTGTGACCGATACCAACGGTTCGTTAGCAAAGCCTGAATTCCTTCGCCCTCTGTTATCGGAGAACGGAGTTAGCAAGACTTTGAGTGGCAACGATAAGGACCAATCCGGTGGTGAGGAGGAGACCACAAGCCGGAGGAAGCGCCGTAGCCGGTGGGATCCTCCTCCTTCCGAGTCGACTAATAACACCAGCGCGGACGGTGGTGATTCCGGTACTGGGACCAGGAAGCGTAAGTCGAGATGGGCGGATGATGAGCCGAAACCGGTGATCCAGTTGCCTGATTTCATGAAGGATTTCACGGGAGGTATCGAGTTCGATCCCGAGATTCAGGCGTTGAATAGTAGGTTGCTTGAGATTAGTAGGATGTTGCAGTCTGGTGTGGCATTGGATGATAGACCCGAGGGACAGAGGTCTCCTTCACCGGAACCTGTCTATGATAACATGGGAATTAGGATAAATACTAGGGAGTACAGAGCTAGAGAGAGGCTGAATCGAGAAAGACAAGAGATCATTTCTCAGATTATCAAGAAGAATCCGGCTTTTAAACCTCCGGCGGATTATAGACCTCCCAAGTTACAGAAGAAGCTGTTCATTCCGATGAAGGATTTTCCAGGCTACAACTTCATTGGTCTTATAATCGGTCCCAGGGGTAATACTCAGAAGAGAATGGAGAGGGAGACAGGTGCTAAGATTGTGATTCGAGGTAAAGGGTCTGTTAAAGAAGGTAGGCTCCAGCAGAAGAAGGATTTGAAGTATGATCCTTCAGAGAATGAGGACTTGCATGTTTTAGTTGAGGCTGACACTCAGGAAGCGCTTGAAGCTGCTGCTGGTATGGTTGAGAAGCTACTGCAACCTGTTGATGAGGTGCTGAACGAACACAAGAGGCAACAGCTCAGGGAACTTGCCACCTTGAATGGAACGATAAGGGATGAAGAGTTCTGTAGGCTGTGTGGTGAGCCAGGGCATAGACAGTATGCATGCCCTTCTCGTACAAATACCTTTAAGAGTGATGTTCTGTGCAAGATTTGTGGTGATGGTGGACACCCTACGATTGATTGTCCTGTGAAGGGTACCACTGGGAAGAAAATGGATGATGAGTATCAGAACTTCTTGGCAGAATTAGGAGGAACGGTCCCTGAGTCTTCTCTCAAGCAGGGTAGTACTACTTTGGCTCTTGGTCCGGGAAGTTCGGAAAGTAATCCTCCATGGTCTAACAATGCAGGGAATGGGGCTAGTGCGCATCCTGGTTTGGGGTCAACTCTGATCAAACCCTCCAAAGAATATGACGAAACAAATCTGTACATTGGGTTCTTACCTCCGATGCTTGAAGACGATGGTTTGATTAATCTCTTTTCACCCTTTGGTGAGATTGTGATGGCAAAGGTGATCAAGGACCGTATGTCTGGCATGAGCAGAGGATATGGTTTTGTCAAGTACGCTGATGTCCAGATGGCCAATACTGCTATACAGGCAATGAATGGTCATCGTTTAGATGGTAAAACACTCGCTGTCAGGATCGCAGGTAAACAGCCACCGCCTCCTGGACCCCCAGCACCTCAACCACCGAGTCAAGCTTATCCTCCTTCAAACCAGCCGCCTGGTGCCTATCCTCCTCAACAGTATCCCCCTGGTGGGCAAATGCCAAATCCTCCCTATTCAACCGCTCCGGTTCCTTGGGGTCCTCCTCCTGTTCCTTCCTATTCTCCATATGCTCCTCCTCCTCCTCCACCTCCTGGTTCTTATCAACATATGCCTCCTTATGGAATGCACTACCCACCACCACCTCCTCCTCCTGTGACACAAGCTCCTCCACCTGGCACTGCTTCTAGTGAAAGCTTTCCACCAGGCGTACAAGCAGACAATGGTGCTCCTGCCTCATCTTTGCCACCAAATGTCTATGGACAGCCTCCGTATATGGGTTATCAGTCTTATTACAATGCTGTTCCACCTCCACCACCTCCAGTACCGGTCTCGTCTGCTGATCACTCACAGGGTCTAGGTAATCCACCATGGGCACCTAATCCTCCCATGCCACCTTCTGTTGGATATTCGCAGAGCATGGGGAACGTACCATGGGCTCCCAAGCCTCCGGCACAGCCACCTGCAGAGAATCCGTCCCCTGTTGGAGATTCTGAGTATGACAAGTTCATGAATGAGATGAAGTAGCCATGGGTGTTCTGAGGAGAAACTCCTTAGTTGGAGAGGTAAGATTTCTTCGTTTGATGTTTTTGTTTGTTCTCCCTCAAGGTTTTGAAACTAAATTTTTTAAATTGAATCATATGGCTTTAGCATGTGATAAAACTTTTCTTCCTCAAAGTTTTCCTTCGTTTTAGAAATATTTCTTCACAACATCATTTTCAAAAATTGCAGTTGCAGGATGAACCAAGTTCAGCATGTTGCTTAAATATTCTGACTTTGACATCATTTCTCTATTCTTAGTTTTTCACATGTTAACTAATTGATGTACATCATTAATCTGGTCACTTGTTTTGTTTGTGAGCAATACCAACAGCTAAAGGAACATCGATTCTGAAATACAGAATTCGGGAGTTGGATGTTCGAATATTATCAGTCTACCTTGTGCTTTTTTTTGTTTTTCTAATCTTTTTGCTTTTTGTTTATCAATTAACTCCTAACGTGTTTTCTGGGATGCAACTTGTTTTCAGTGTTTCCACTTGACAAGATGTAAACCGCTACTTGCATAGATTCCAATAGCTTGTCTGTGTTATTGTATATGGATCACTAACACGAATCTTTGTTTTGTTGCTATTGTTAATCTTTTTCAGGTGTGATGTTTGTTGGAGGTCATGTTGATTTCTTACATCTTTGGGACTCACAAATCTTAACCCTTGCTATGCTGTTGTGAAATATGCAGAGAATCAGGCGTGGAAGCTACCAATCCATACAGTTGCGTATCAGAAAGGGCGATAAAGATATTTATATTTATGTTTACTGATAAAAGTTGCTCTGCTCTTTTGTAGGACTATATATGTCTCGGGGTTCATGTTTTCATTTCATAATACACTAATATTATTTACCCGTGACCAGTGTGTTATCTCTGTCTTCAGCTCTCATTTATCTCACAATTGCTTCTGTACTTCTTTTTAGTTTTTGCTACTTGAAACTTTGGTGGTATTGTAGTACGAAATACATGTATTAATCCTTCCTTTGTGATGCAAGATATGGCCCTCTTTGCTCTTTTGTTTTGTCTCCTCACTTGTTTTGCATAGGAAATTTATTTAATCAGTTTTTCAGGAAGGCAGCAGGGTGTGTATACTATAAGTCTATCTCTAATACATTAAAGTAGTTGCCTGGGGTCTCTCAAGGCATCCACGTCAGCTTCTCCTACAGCCTTCCCATGTTGCCACGTCAGCAACGTTAAAAAAAATACCAGCAAAAAGATAAACCAAAACGGGCCTCCATGATTTTTACTGAGCCCATCTCTTGGCCCACGTACTCAATCTCTTGAGTCGATTCATCTTCTCGCCGTATCTTCTTCTTCTTCTTCGTTTCTTATCGGTTACTGCTATTCGATGTCGGTTCCCTCTTCCGAATTTAAGGCACCTTCAAGCGAAACCCTCCCTCATGGATCCTATAAAACCCACAAACTTCTCATGCAGGAGATTCATCTTAGCTTTGCCGCTCATCTTCCCATTAAAGCAGATCCGAAATTTTTCTGATGGCCTCTACAACTCCTTCTTCCTCTGTCAAACCGATGATTTTCCAGGTTTTTGACAAGATTGGAGGGCAGTTTTGCAACGAGGAGGTGTTTGTTCGTCTTCTCCATTTCTGGGAAGCCAAGGGAACGTCCTTATGGGTGTGGAAGTCTTTCTCGACTCTGAGGTAATCCGTGTACACCCACTTTTTCCGGGTTTTTCATGAATACCCGTTTTTGCTTTTTTCCTGAGTAGCTATGAGATGATTCTCTGCCGTGTGTGTTTGCTAATTCTATGCTATCCACTTTCGCTTAATTGTTTCGTATGATATAGATTTCTCGCTTCCTATCACAACTGCGAATAGGCTTCTCTGCGACACAGATTTTTAGTTTCTGACTGATGTTTAATGATAATTTGCTGCTATGAAATTGTTTGCCGAGGAGCTATGAGCACACACATTTACGGCTCAGGCCTACGACTACATGCCTAAAGGCTCTCTGGACCACCACATTTACGGTAACAATCAATCTTGACTGATTCTGTTTTTGAGTTTCTTTAGAAAACCAAATTTTGAGTGTTTGTTGCTCTTGCTTGTGTAGCACACACAAAGCTGGATCCGGGTCTACCACAAGAATATCCGGTTTTGAATTGGGAAACGAGGATGAGCATTGCAATGGGTGTAGCTGAAGCTCTGAACTATCTACACGGGACGCTGAGAGTGATTCACAGAGACGTCAAGGTTGCAAACGTTTTACTTGACGACAATTTCGTTCCCAGACAGATTTTGGATTGGCGAGTAAGATGGTTACAGACAGAGTTGGCGGTGAGAAGCAGAGAGAGATCAGTCCGATCAAGGGAACACCGGGATGCGTCGCACCGGAAACAGAGGAGTCGGTTAGGTTTCGTCAAAGTCCGATGTCTACAGCTATGGAATCTTTCTGCTTACGCTTTTCACTAAAATGAAGGCTTTTTACTTTCTTTTTCTTGGTTTTTCAGAAACATATTATATGCTTGGATTTTTAACGAATGATATTGCAACTGTTTCTACGATTTGAGACTAGATCAGGAAGTGAGATTTTGTGACAATGCCATCTGTAAATAGTTGTTAATCAACGTTTGAGATGAAAGTAATTTTTAGCATTTTGGGTATGTAATTTTTGTTCCATTTAATTTGACCCAAAAATTGATGAAAGTTTTAACCTTTGGCTGATCTTAAGTTTTTATGTTTTGAAAATGTAGTTCATAATATTTTCATATTTATAAAAAGCAATCCCCTGAATACTATGAACATGTTAAAAACAAAAGAGATGATTAATTTAGTAAAACCAGTTTTAGCATTTTACGATCATTTTGTCCATTTTTTAAAAAAAATATGAAAGTTGAATTTTTGTTTTTACGTTTATAGATGTTTTGAAAGTACTAATGGAGGAGCACCCGGAGCTAGCAATGACAACAGTAGACTTATCAAACACAACGGCTCTACACACGGCCGCGTCTCAAAGACACATGGAGGTCGTAGAGTATCTAATAGAAGCTGCAGGGAGTAGTCTAGCGGCGATAGCAAAGAGCAACGGTAAAACGGCACTGCACTCAGCCGCTAGGAACTGTCACATGGAAGTGGTAAAGGTGATTTTGGCGGTTGAGCCAGACACGGCAATGAGGATTGATAAAAAGGGTCAGACTCCACTTCACATGGCCGTGAAAGGACAAAGCCTTGATGTGGTGAGCTCATGAAAGGACATCGTTCGTCGTTGAATATTGTTGATTCTAAAGGCAACATTGCGTTACATATTGCCACTAGGAAAGGTCGTACTAACGTACGTAAATCAAAAACAGAAACATACTTTCAATAAAATCCACATTTAAAAGAAACAAACTTCTTATATAATTTTTTCAAATTCATGCAAACCCCATAAAACATAATTTCTCAGAAACGTAAACTTTTCTTGATGCCACGTAAACTTTTCTTATAGCGGAGAAAACCGGACATCCAGAGCTCGCCACGGTTCTCAAAACATGTGGTGTTCCATCTGCTAAAGCTTCAATAACCCACCGCGGCCAAACGCGGCACGTGAGCTGAAACAAACGGTTAATGTGGTATAATAACAAGAATTATGATGTGTTCAAGCCAAAAGTGGTAATGTATCATTACAAGTTTAGGATATATGGTTCAACTTCAATGAACATGAATAATTTATGAGTTTAAAACAAGATACACTTTTTAGTGAAAGAAATTAAATAACTATTTATATTAGATAGTAACAATTTTAATCATGATCTCATCTTTTTAACAAATTTCTAAAAAAATTATCCGGGCGTAGCCCGGGATATTCCCTAGTAAGTATAAACTAATATCCACCTTTGACTCAATCTTATATGTGATATAGTAATATCTCTCAAGCTTCCATGTGGCACGGGTGACTTGTAGCTAGTGCTCCAGATTAAGTTTAAGGGCATAAGTGTGTAGGCATGGGTTATATTTCTAAGGTTACAGAGTCAGCATTACAGTTTGGAGGATGTTGGTATTGTTGATCTGCTTTGACCATTTCTGAGCATTACTTTATCATGTCTTAATTAAGGCATTGTTTTTTGTATAATATCTGGAACCTTGTTATCTCTATAGCATATTTAAAAGATTAAAAGCAACTACTTCTCGCTAAAAATTGAAAAAGGTGTGATAATGCAAAGTTTAGTAAATGATGGAACGATTTCTTTTGGAAAATTTGGAAGAGATGAATTCGGATTACATAAAACGAGTTATTAAAGATGTATTTCGACGTATCACTAAAATTAACAAATAACAGTGAACATTAGTTTATTTCATTTATTATCAGACAGATTATCCAATTATACAATACAAAGTTCCACGATGAACAAAGTAGTGGAACAAATGTACAAGAGTTTCGAGATTATTGCAAATTACATTTAGAAGGTCACTTTGTGCGGTTTTGCTTCTCCTGGATTCCAGATTGAGAGAAGCGTTTCCTAAGAACTTCAAGAACATCTTCAAACTTCGCATCCCTTTTAGACAAAAGCACCATTGAATGGTATAACAAATCAGCCATCTCCGAAGGTGTTCTTGAAGCTTCCTCGTTATCTTCCAGCGTTCTGCATAACTCATCCGCTTCTTCTCTGAAACACAATAACCAGAAACAGCTTCATAAGAATCTAGCTCGTTGAATCAGTAAACCTATAACTGCAAAAAATCGACATAAAAATTACCTGATCTTTGAGCAAAGAAGAGTGTCATCTGTCAATAACCTTCGAGTCCATGACGGTTTGCCTTCTTGAGGAACCGTTGATTCCTCTTTCCGCTTGGAAATAACTGATTCTAGAGAGTATAATGTTGTTAATGCTAACTTGTTTCCTGCAGCCTGTGAAACAGTAGAAAGTTGTTGATGTTCATTAGAATTCAATTCAATTTCTTGTCATAGGAAAAGGTATAACAAATAACTCAAAAGATAGACCTCATCATCGTTTAATTGATCGAAAACAGAAGTGTAGTAGCAAGTCTCAGCCCCAGTGTGACAAGTAGGACCATCAGGTGTCCCGAGGTAGATTATCTGCGAAATGACAAAACCAAAGAACATGAATCAACACTTTTACTGAGAGGCAAGTCAGATTCTAATATAAATGGTGCAAGCAAACATACCGAATCGCGGTCGCAGTCAATATAAACATCGAGGATATTGATGAAGTTATTGGACGTCTCTCCCTTAGTCCACAAGGTTGATCTTGATCTACTGAAGAACGTAGCTTTACGAGATGAGATGGTAGTGGATAAGGCCTCCCTGTTAATAAAGCCTTGCATCAATATTGCTCCTGTGTCAACGTTTTGAGCTATTGCCACAGCTAACCCTTTGTCATCCCATTTTATCCGGTCCAACAAGCTATCTACCTAACCAAATAAAGAAATCAGAAAGCATGTTAAATACAACAGCAGCATAAATTCAAAGATCACAATTGCAACACTAATTGCATAAGCCAACTCTAATTGTATAAAGAGTAAATGCATCATGGAAGGCAAAGAGAAATGTCTCAAGTGGAGATTATAGAGTTGTGGAGGACAGATGTAGCCCATGTCATCACATATTTAGACGACCAAGCAAACGATGAACACCTACAGAGAGACATCCAGACCAAAAGATGGAAACCACCAAAAAGTCTTTCCTTCTCTCTATTTTATTTCCCAGAGATGTAACAGTCCAAACACACTTGTCAAAGGGTAGGAACCTGACCATCTCCGGCCACTTCTCAGGTTTACCAACAAATAGCAACAACACAAGACCAATCAAATCTAACATGGAGAGACAGAGACAAACATGTTCCTTCAAAAGGATACAAAATGTGATGAACAGATGTAGCCCAAGTCGTCATGTAACGTAGACAACCAAGCAAACGATGAGCATCTTGAAAGAGATATCCAGACTTAGAAATGGAAACCATCAAAATGCCTTTCTTCTCTCTCTTTTCTTTACCAGAGATGTAACAGTCCAAACCCACTTGTCAAAGAGTAGGAACCTGACCATCTCTGGCAAAATTAGATAATAACAACAACACAACACTAATTGTAATAACAAATTGTTCTCACAACATATATATACTCACTACTCTCTAGACTAAGCTTAAGTTAATTCAGAAAGTATACTTTTTGGATACCAACATGCTTCAGTACATATATAGCTTAGTGCAGTAATCAAATCAGGCAAAGCAGAAAATGTAGAATGTGATCAATAAAACATATTACCAATCAAATGTGATGAACAGATGGAGCTCAAGACATCACCAAAATTCAGATGACCAAGCAAACGATGAGCATCTAAAAAAGAGAAATCCAGACCCTAAAGATGAAAACCATCAACAAAGCCTTTCCTTCTCTCGAATTTCTTTACCCGACATGTAACAGTAACTACTCACATATCAAAGAGTAGGCACCTGACAATGTCTGGTTCGCAATTTCAAGATTTTGCTAACTACAGTATAAGATTATGATAGAGAAAGAGAGATTTTAACTCGTTTACCTCAGCCTGAAGGGCAATGTTCTTATCGATTGACGCGAATACAACATTGGATCTGCTTCTTAGCTTGGTATCTCTTATGCAATAGGCTTTGGGGATGAAGCAGATGCTTCTCCCCTGTAAAGACTGTGCTAATGCATTGTACGATAACGCCATTAGAGAATGCTTTGACGATTCTAAGAGGGGACGAAAGTGGCGGCTGATTTAAAAGGAGTGATGGAAGAGCAAAACCCTAATTGAGCTGAATCATACTCCATTACAGTGACAGTGGAAGGCTTTTTAAAGACGAACCAAACAATTTCGTTCTAATTGGGCCTTAAGGCCCATGTTTAGCTCCTAATATCGGAATTTCAAAAACATCCCTACCAATTGCTTTAATTTCAATTCCGCCATAACTTGTTTTTTTTTTCCCTTCGTCTCCACTCTCCAGGGGATTGTGGAATAGAAATCTCCCCGAGTTGGGATTCTGATCTATCTCCGGTCATCTCCGGCGTCAATTTCCCGATCAGGTATGTACCTTCGACGATTCTATTTATGTATCATCCCATCTATTTGTAGGTTTTGGAATCGATTATGAGTTGATGCTACGGTTTTAGCTTCTCGGATTCGTAGATGGAGGATTTAATGACGATTATAGACTAAGCACTTTTTGTTGTTCTTGATTCAGTCTCTTTTTTTATCTTCCGGCCAGATATTATGATAATCCGATGCTTATTCCGATGTAGCAACTCAATGTTCGATTCCAGTTTGGATTGATGACCTAGTTTCTGCTCGGTACTTGATTTGGCTTTGAAAGCTATCTAGAATTCGTTTTACTGATTCCATTGTAAAATTTTCAATTTCTGCTTGAGCCTCTGGTTTCACACCTAAGTATACTAGATATGTCGTGTATAACTGGATTTCCACGTTTGTTTATTGGTGTTTAGGGTTCAACAGCTCGAAGATGGCTGCTTCAAGAACAGGAGTCCAATCTATGAAAGATTACTTGAAGAAGTATGAAAGTAGTGATGTTATAGATAAGAAAAAGAAGAAGAAGAAGAAGCCATCCAAACCTGAACCAAGAGGTGTTTTAGTTGTGGACGAAGATCCAGTTTGGCAAAAGCAGGTTGATCCTGAAGAGGAAGAAAATGAAGATGATTCAGCAGGTAATGTTTACTGTACTTGTTGTATCTGTGATATTTAAGCTTTTATGATCTATAAAACTTGACATTGACAGATTTTCTTCTTTTTTTTTCTGAAGAGGAAAGGCCTGTGGTTAATGAGGACATTGAAGTCAAGAGAATGAGGAGGTTGGAGGAAGGTAGGGCAAGACGTGCTCAAAATGCCATTGCTGAGGATGGGAGTGGGTGGGTGACGTTTTCTCCAAAGCGTGATGACGCAAGATCTAATATTTCTCCTCCGCGTAGACAAAGGACACGTAACGACTCGCCATCTCCTGAGCCTGGTCCTGGACGCTCGGTTTCGGATAGAGCTGAAACAGATATGTCACCACCACGTCGGAGGAAACGTCATCATACGCCTTCACCTGAACCTAGCAGAAACCATGCCAAGCCTGTTGCTTTGGATTCTGATTTGTCACCACCTCGGAAAAGAAAGTCCAGGAATGATTCACCTTCACCAGAACCTAAAGATAAAGTCCCCAGAAATCGGAGTGGAGATCTATCTCCTCCTCGGAGGAAGAGACATGTTACTCCTCCATCTCCTGAATCAAGCAGAAAGCGTTCAGATTCTGTTGAGTCTGATAATGATTTATCCCCGCCTCGCAGGAAAAAGGATTTACATGCCTCAGATGTGAAAAAGAAGAGCAATGATCTTTCTCCTCCACGCAGAAGACGATATCATTCTCCATCACCTGAACCGAGTAGACGGCCTTCAAAATCTTTTGGCTCGAACTCTGATTTATCTCCACCCCGCAGGAATACGAGTGTGAAGGGCTCTCGAGACTCAGATCTTTCACCACAAAGAAAAACCGTGGATCCTCGAAGATCTTCTGAAAATGCGTCCAGGAGTTCCAATTTTGATATCTCTCCCCCTAGGAGACCACGCAGAGAGTCTCCACCTCCTCAAACAAGCAAGGAGCAACGAAGGACTGGATTAATTAGTGGCAAAGACATTGGAAGCGAATTTCGAAAGAAAAAGGAGGATGAACAACTGAGGTAATAATTAGGAAGCATATTAATCCTTATAATACTGTTTTACAGCGTTTTAGTTATAGGCATCAGGGTTTGTTTTCAGTAGAGACCAATCTCTTCGCTATTGATAGTCCAAGATTCTGACCTGCGCCACTTAAGCTGCAATCGTTTTGACAAGTTGTACTCTTATGCAGGTTTAAAAATATGGACTCCGAGCTAACTGGTCAGAATGCAGAAGCAGTGTTCCGTGACAAGATGACAGGTGATGACTATAGGTCCTTTGTCATTATAAGTTGTTGCACCGAGAATAACTAATCACAAGACTCACTCCCATATTCTTATTTATTGATATTTGCAGGGAAGCGTATATCAAAGGAGGAATATCTTAAATCAAAGGAAAAGAAAAAGGAAAAGCCAAAGGTACTGTTTGCTGGTTGACTATATGCTTCCCAGAATATGAAATTGTGGATCCGAGTTTTGAGACAAAGGCATTTACTTACCAATATAGTTGACTAATTATCGTAGGAGATAAAACTGGAATGGGGCCAAGGTTTAGCTCAGAAGCGTGAAGCTGAAGCTAAACTAGAGGAACTTGAGCTTGAGAAGGACAAGCCATTTGCTCGGAGCAGGTACTATACATTACAATTCTTCTTCATGAGCTTTGAGGTTGAGCATTTATCTGCTTGGTTTTTTAATCTTTTTTTCGTTTCAGGGATGATCCAGAGCTTGATAAAATGATGAAGGAAAGGGTTAGATGGGGAGATCCAATGGCTCATTTGGTCAAGGTATAGAAAAACACTTGTGCTTAGTGCTTACTACAATAGAAACCCATCAATCAGATTAAAGAACACTATCCTAACGTACTGCTATATTTTTTGTTGTATCGCAGAAAAAGCAGCACGAGACATCTCTCGTGGATCTTGGAGATGACGAGAGGATGAAAGAATCTGGGTTTGTTATACCACAGAGTATCCCCAAGCACAGCTGGTTAACAAGAGGATTAGAAGCTGCATCTAATCGGTATGGAATCAAACCGGGAAGACATTGGGATGGAGTTGATCGCAGTACCGGTAAGTCTTTCTGATACATGTGTTTTGCCTTAGTCGCGTACAAATAATCCATTAGAGGCTTGGTTCAGGATGTCTGATCTGTTTTGTTTTTTGGGATGATTGGTTCAGGATTTGAAAAGCAAATGTTTAAGAAGTCAAATGAGAAGCAAGCAACGGAAAGGGAAGCGTACCTTTGGTCTGTTGCTGAAATGTGATCATAATCTTGTTAAACGGAGGAAGTATGGGTTTGTGTTTGTTGTACCGGTTTGATATTGTTAGATAACCGAGTAATTTAGAGAAATCATGTTTCTGGTTTGAAATGTTTGATAACCGTACAGTATGTCCCGCGTATGGTCTGTTTGGTCTGATGCAACCGAGCACAGATATCGAGAAACCAGTCCAAAAACCGAATGTTAATTCGGAAATTTCAGTTTCAATCTCTGATTATCTAAACGAAACGTAAATTGAATACTATCTGAATTTCTTTGATACATCTTTACAAAAGCTCAAGTAAATCAAACATGGTGGAGAACCGCAATTTTGTTATTTGTGTGACGCATGTAAACATAAAAGTAGATTCGGGTCCCAGTGACTTTAAGTCTATCTTATAAAGACAAACATAACAAACTGATGAAACAGTAGACCTGTTCTTCATTGCTTCTTAAAGCTGTAGAAACGAAAAAGAGTAAAATTTAATACTAGGGCATGGCGTGGTGTTAATTCGCCAAGCATGGGCATGGGCATGGTGAATAAATTGTGTGTCACTGTCACATATGCGAACTAATTTTTGCCGACGTCTCTATTAAAACCAGACGCATTTTGTCAAATATGGTAGACAAACAAACAAGAAACGTTCCGTAAATAAAAATGTAGCTGTTGTGAGACAAGTACGCGTGGGTTTTGGTTCTTGCTTCTATCATTTTCCGCGAGTTCTGTTACTACAAGGCAAACACGCACCGATTGCAAAACCACTTGTGAAAACCTAACTATAGAGTATCCGTCTGGAACGTTTCTCTGAGCTGTGTTCCCGATGCAAGATTTCTCATAATCTGTGATGAGAGAGAGAGAGAGAGAGAGAGCAGAAGGGCGTTTCTTTATCCGTACGGCGAATTGCAAGAAGTTCTAGCATTTATCCGTACGGTGAATTGCAAGTTCTCATGGATATCAAGCGTGTCTGCCACAGCAACACAGGAGGTGTAGATGAAGGTAGAGCAGGATATTTCTTCTTCTCCGGCAAACAAGACCTTGAAAACCTCCGGAACGTTACAAGGTTTCCGGTGATACTTGACTGGAACATGAAAGAAACTTGCCACACAAGCTATTGTGGAGAGAACACTTATACTTCTCATAAGAGAACAGGGTATTCCTGAAAATGTCTAAAAGGGTTTGAAGGGGAATCCTTACTTTCATCATGGCTGCTAAGGTATACTCTCCTACTCTCCTATGGTCTCTCTTCTAGGGGTATATTGAATTGTTACTTACTAATTGCTCTGTTTTTTTTTTTCCTTTTTCTTACAAGACATCGATGAGTGCAAAATGAGTAATTCTTGTGGGAAGCATGAAACGTGTAACATGTTGACTTGAGCCTGTGGCCGATTAAAGCACAAGGCCTTTTCCCCTGAAACCAGCTCCATAAGAACAACACCAAAGCTCGCTTTTCTCGCTCAGTGTGCTTGTATGCAGGTAGTACTTACGTACAAGTACACTGAGCGAGAAAAGCGACGTGTACAGCTTTGGTGTTGTTCTCATGGAACTAGTTTCAGGGGAAAAGGCCTTGTGCTTTAATCGGGCCACAGGCTCAACGTGTTACACGTTTCATTGTTGTTACTTGTGTAACGTAAAAGAAGATTCGGGTACTTTATATGGGCCTTGGATCATCTCTCGTTGTTGTGTAATGCAAAATTTTAAACTAAAGATAGATTCGGGAAATTTGTATGGGCCAAGCTCTTTGAGAGGTTTTGTGTTATTCTGTTGCAAATCTTGGAGGAGAACAAATGTTCTGAAGATGCAATTTTATATTAAGTACTTTGGTTAGTGGTGGCAAATATTCAACACCTCCCAGTTTTTTGGTTTTTCCAAGGGAGCACGCTCAAATGTGTACGGACGCTGCTAAATTCTAAGACGTGGGTGTATAATTGTGTTTGCTTGGAAATATATTTACTTTGTTTCTTCTTGATAATAATTGTGTTTCTCTGCCGTCAAGATAAACAAATAAAATAAGTATGTTTTCTCGACAGTAAATGTAAACAAAAGAAAAAAATCCAAGAGGGCAAAACAAATTAAAGGAAAAGATTAAGGAAACCTGGGAAATAGGGAAAGGACTTTGGGATTGGAATTTCTTCTTTGGAAGCGGGAAGAGAATCACCTGATGATGCCTTTACCTTTTCTAACTTACAACTATATTTTTCATTAATAATTTTTTTGAACTTTAGTACTTTTCTTATACATAATTATAGGACCAGAAGTGATTATAAGTTTTTCAAAAAGTTATCTATTTTTTTACTTGATCGATTCATAATTTAAATTTATATGTATGAATATAGGAGAAAATACGAAGGGGAGACATTGTAAGAAATTATATAAGAACTACATATGTTTGGGTAAATTTCTATATATAATACTTGTTCTCACTCAATTTTCTGCAGTGAAGAATTTCAAAAATTGAAAATCAAACTCAAACCATATCACCGCAGTTCAAATTAAACATTGTTTTAACTGAAACGAAAAGGGGAGACATAAGGAAAGTACGTAGCCCATGATTTGAAACTGATCTTTTCCTCTTTATCATATTTTCAGACTGGTTAAAATTATACAATTATACAAATAACCATGAATTAAGAAACTATATAGTATAAAGATCATTCTCTTAGAGACTTATTAACATTCTATTGCTTATGGCGAAATACTACGACTGTGAGACTTGATGGACGACTATTCAATTTCAATTTTTCGAGTACTATCATCTAGCTTACGAGGGGATATACATTCGGAGGACTATTCAATATGATCACGATATATCACCTCATGCCGTTGCTACATACCGTAAATATTTTATCAACTGATTTTATCGATCTTGAACGTTAAAATCTCTGGAAGCTATCACCATGGTGTTCATAACGACTTTGACCATTTTCTCGTGCTCCAAGTTTATTTACTCTCTAGTGATCGCGTCTCTAATATGTTTAGGAGCACATGCAATATGAGAGAATCTAATTTGTTGCATCTAAAAAAAAATGTAATTTGTAGAATTTAAATATTTTGCTGATATTTTAGAAAATGATAGTTAAGAAATTTGTTTATTAGTTTACATGATCATTTCGATTTTTAAATATGGTCTTAATAACAAAGATGGAATTTGATCAAACAGTGCAGTTAAAAGATGTCTAAAAAAGAACACAAAAATCAAAATGAAAGCCATAAAGTTGAAGAACATGTTTGTAAAGAAAAGTTATTAGTTAAACAAATCCAAAAGACAAATTCTAGTGTAAGACAAGATGGGAAGCGTTTTGGGACATTGACTATACTTTTCTTGCATATTAACTATAAATCTCAATTATAATGAAAGTTTAAACCATATGCAGTTTAACAAAAAATAACAAAAAACATATACATTTGTTCTTTTTACACCATCAATGTAGTATTTTAAGTTTTTTTTACTTGTCCTTTTAGCTCTAAGATCCTTTAATCTCTTGTACGTAAACCTAAGATAAATTTATTATGTTTATACATACATTTGAAAGAAAGAAAAAATTAGCTCTGGGTGTTATCAAAGTTTTAGCTATTTTTAGATAACAATATCTTAATTAAAATAAGTAGGTATTTATAATTTTCTACTGCTAGTTGTGATAAACATTTCTTACATTTTCAATCTTTTAATACTATATGGAATTGGTTTTTTTTTGTTTTTTTTTTCTCAGTTATTCACATATCTCTTGGATCTTTTTTTGGAGTTTTGCTGTCCCTCTGTTCGAAGCATTCTTTGCTTAAAGACAGGTTATTAGCCCCAGGAATAAAGCTAAGTTCCCACCCCCAACGTTTTGGGTTAAAGAGTTACAATTTGTATTTTTTTGTCTGATTTAATTTCTTTTTAAGAAAGTTTAGCATCGTCGAACATGTTGCACACCATCTAAAGGCTTTATCTCACTGGGTGTTCAAACAGAAACCAAGTTCAATAGTATACATAGAACTGGAGTAAATTGAAAATAAATATTGCATTTTGTCATTTAGTACATTGTTATTAGTTACTTCTTGGTTCTTACTCATATGCTATTTCATATATTTTTGTTTTCGAACAAAAAGTTATAAATTTATAAATATCTAACTTAATATATATAGTTTGAAATATTATAGAGAGAAATATATAATATACATATCACATATGTAGGCATAATAATATATTTTTGAGAGAGAAGGTAAGTGTAATCCCTATTACTTAACCACGAATTAACGTTACGGTATCATCAGCCTATGTAACTTTGGAGAAAGATCTTCTAATGCCTACCTATATTTACTAATTTTATAACTAAAAGTTTGTGTTTTAGTTTGCCATCTTTATCGGAAGAAAAAAATTCAATGAACAACATGACTAAGTAAAGTCAAGCTCGCTCATCATATTTTCTTATATAGTTTTAAACGAGGCTAACCCATAAGAGCAAATGTTTCACAAGAACTATATATTCCACGTCACGCTACATATGTAACTCCATTGTGATTAGAGCTGTCAAAGTGGACATCGGCCCATGGGCGAGTCCATGTCCATGTAAATATGGACGGACATGGACGAGTCCATTTTCCATATGGATATAGCTGGGCATGTCCAATTTAGCCTATGGACAAATGTGGACGGACACGTGTGGACATGGGCTGTCCAATGGACAAAAAAATTTAGGTCAAATCGATTTTGAGAAAATTATTTTTCATAATCCGCGCAGAAAAAAAAATCGATTTTCAAAAAAAAAAAAGTATGATCAAAAATTTGAATTTTTTTTGTCCATGGACAGCCCACGGACAGTCCAGTTTAGATGGGCTATAATGGACATGGGCTGATATGGGCATGGTCTTAAATGGACATGGACAATCTTTTGTCCACAAAACAGATGGACAAAATTGGACGGGCCAAAATTGACGTGAACACCCATATATTGACAGCTCTAATTGTGATTGATATCAGCACCTTACCTTTTTTTGTATAAAGTTGATTTTTTAATCTTATTTTAGAGGCTCAACCTAATTGAACTTTCTTCACTCTGTAATTTACTATTCGATATGTTACTTGTAATGTTTAGTGAAACTCATACTCAAATCTTTTGTCAAAAAACTTAAACTCAATCTCCGTCTATGCACTTTGCATCTTCAGATGACCAATAACTACCAACATCACTGGTTTCTTTTTTGGTTTACATTTCATCATTAGCCCCACCAAAATTATAAGAATGCTCGTCTTAAAACTCATTTGAAATTTCAGTTAATTTTTAATTATCACATGTATGAGTGAACATATACAAGAAATATTCGTTTTTCTCCCCATAAAAATTCACATATCGTATGGCATTCTTAATTACACATTGGGATGAAAAAGTACATGAAAATGTTTTGTTCCATATACATAACCAACAATAGTCAATTCTGCAAGCTTTTTGTATAGCAATCTAACGCTATAAATTGGGTTTAAGGATTCAAAAAAATTGGTCGGAGCATTTACAATTTACTATAAAGAAACATACATGACAAGCAAACATATCACATGTGTAAACAAATAGCCTAGCTGTTTATATCCAATACTTTAATTCTCTATATCTACCATTCCAACATTAATCCATGATGTAGACACTTAATCTAAGCACTTCAACATACACTTTTACTTTAACATGTATCTTCATAAGCTTAATTTTATTTAAATAATCAAATCTACATACAAAAGATTAATTCCATATAAGAAAAAGACTCGTGTTATGAACCAAGTTCATATCCTCAAATATTTTATGTAGTTCATCGATTGTATTCTCAGTCGATACTTCTTTACTCATTTATTAGTATCAAAATATGTAAAAAATTGGCACACATGATCTCAGTCTGCATGATCAATCTAAAACAAGACAAAACGATGATACATACTTGTATTTTCTTAAGTATATATCATTATATATCATTAAAATAATAAATGAAATTAAAAGAGACGAACCCACAACAAAGCGAATCGTGATGCGACCGTTCCCTTGGCCTGTCAAATGTATCGTGACCAAAACCCGACCCGGTTTCAGCTGTCTCTAACCAATGAAAATATGCCACGTAGCCTACTTACATCACACGTAAGCCATCCCCGTCACCGTGTTAGACAACATGGGCCCTCGCTGCCGTCTCTTAACGAGACCAAATTTCATCGGCACACCAAAGGCTTCTCCGTTAGCTCACGGTGTTCTTTTTTTTCACAATCTAACGCTTAACGCCGTTAGAAGTTTCTCTTTCCTCCACGTATAAATACCCAGAGAAGCTCTCGTCTCCTTTTCTTTCTCTTCGTCGTAATCTCTAGTCAGACAAAAAAAACACAAAACGGAGCTTCCGTAACAGTTCTCGGGTCACCCGATAATCCGAATTCTCGGCCCGGTTATTTTTTTGTTCCTTTTTGAATTAGTTTCGTCTGTTCTCATTTCCTTTCTCTGGGAAGAAAATCGTCTGCTCGGAAGATTTCTGGGGATTTTTGTTTTGATCTTCGAGGAGATTTTCGCTTGCTTCGTCAGTGGAGACTTTTTTTGTGTTTTCAGAATCAGGTCAGTACGAGTTGTTTCTTTTTAGATTTTTCTCGGGAAAATAGAGCCTAGAAATTCGTTGCGATTCAGAGAGAAACAGGGATTAGTCACTGAGTTTCCGATCGATCTTTTCAAACTATTTTTTCCTGGAAAAAAAGATTCAGAGATTTTTGTTGCCTTTACTTGCTGCATTTTCCTCCGCTGTCACTTGATTGATATGATTTTGACAGATTCGATTCGTCATTTCTCTCTCCTTTCTTTCTGATTAATCGCTAATAAGTTTCCAAAATTTCACCAGTTTTCGATTTTATAATCCCGCTTTCTAAGCATCCAGATTTTCTCACTTAAACCCAATCAGATTTTCTACAGCTTTCCCGGAAAATTTCTGTTTTCTTCATTTTAATTTTTTTTTTATTTAATTTCAAAAGTTTCCCGGTATTTATTGTTCCTACAACTTTACTTTTGGTTTTACTTGGAAGAAAGAATACACGCCGAATTTTTCTCGCCATTAAAAGCTATTCATCATCAATGGTTTCGTCCTTTTGTGTGTTTTTCATTTTATTTTGTTATGCCACATTTATTACGATTACTCTCTGTAACACTATACTATGCTATTAATCTCTGCAGCCATTGATGGTCTATATATAAGCGTAGTCACAGAACAAACCCCACTCGTGCCGGCGACGAAAATAGACCAAACCTGAATGAGGAAATAAAGCAGAGCTACCAAATCTCATTATCAAAATTCGCAGATATCGAAGGTGAGTAAAACACACAAACCCATCATCTTCCATTCAAATCAAATTCAATGCCTGAGTCTAGAAATCATTTTTTTTGGATATTTAATGGATAAATAAATAAAAAACAGGAATAATGTGGCTTTTGTAACAGTTTTTGCCTTTGCTTTAGATATCAAAACCAGAGTTTTGTTTTGTTTCTACTCGAAATCTTCGTAATTCGTGATTCCTGCTATTAATTTTTTTATTTATTTATTTACTTTTGTATTGAAGACATTCATATCCGTAGCTTTCGTCTCTCGACACGCTTTAGATTGGTCCATCATCACTACAAAACCCTAAATTCGGAAACCAAACTCCTTTTCTTTTTACAAACACGTGACTGTGAAGATTCCATTTCCTTGTTAAACATTGAATATTTCCTTTTCTAGTGACTCGAATAGTTTTCGTATTTTATATTGTTTCCGTCTTGAATGGTGTTAAACACGGGGGGCGAATCGGAACATATAATTTGATATCTTTTGTCGATTTAGTATTGTTTTCTTTTGTCTCAAATAATTCGTATTTATAAAATGTCAGAAATTTCGGCCACTGCAACAAATAATTATTCTCCCAACTTTTGATCTGGTTTGGTTGAGGGATGGGCACAAAAGCATTTCTTCAGACCAATTTTATTCCCCACAAAAACATTTATTTCATTATTCATATATACTACTCTTTAAAGTAGAATAAAGAAGCATTTGTCTCTGTTAAAATAAGATTATTACTTGTAAATAATCTGTTTCTGCCATTTCAGGTATTAGGATCACAATTTTAAAATATATTTGTTGTTTCTTTCACTGGGGTCCTATCCTCTGATCCCCAAGTTCTCTTTCTTTTTTTTCTGATTCTAATAAAAAAAAGAAAAGTGTAAAACTTGTAGTTTTAAATATCTTTCAACACTTTTGTCTCTATCAAGATCACTCCCACTAATTGTGAACCTCCGTAACTTTACTAACTTATACAAAAATTAAAATCTCCGAGGTAACATAACACTAACATCCGACCATGGTGAAATGTATTTTAGGATTCTATTATGCTGTGTGTCATTTTAAAATAAAGGGGTTTAGTGTTTTAAAAACTTATAATTGGTTTCTTTATGAGTTTAACTAAACCAAATCAACTTTATAAAGTTTCTCTCTCTCTTTTTTTTTTTCGAGTAGTTGCTTTCTGACTAGAGCTATACGTCACACCTTTGTCCTTTTGTGTTGTTTTGCGTTAGAGAAAACGACAATTGGGATCCAAATTCCCTTTCCTATGTTCTAACTTCTAACTAATGTTTACAATTGTCTGTTACTATTGTTGGACATTTTCATCGTTTCCTATTTTTCTTTTTCTTTAAAATAAAAAAAAAACTTTAGATCTTATAAAATTAAATGTGTACCCTCTGATTACATAAGCTCTCTACCGTGTTTTATGTCCGATTGTGAATCCCTTTACAGATTAGCTCTACTTTAAAGTTTTTAATTACTTTTTGTTTGATTGTTTTATAGGTTTATTCGTTGAGGTTTGGTTGTGATGATGTTGTTTCAGTAGACTCTGTTTTTTTTTTTCGATTTCATAGGGCTGAAAAGGCAGAGAAACACAAAAGAGGGCAAAGATGTTTACTTGCATAGCTTGTACGAAAGCAGACGGAGGTGAGGAAGTCGAAAATGGCGCGCGTGGAGGCGCCACTCCCAATACTAAAGAAGCCGTCAAAAGCCTAACCACACAGGTCTCTCTATCACTCTCTCTCTCTCTGAATCTCTTCTTTCTTTGTTGATTCTTACTGCTTTTTTTTGTTTTCACTTTATTTTGTTGCTTTTCTCTAATTGCCTTGCTAGTGAAACAAACAAAGACACAGACCCCAATTAACGTATCTTACAGAAGATAAGAAAAAAAAAAGCAATCTTTACTAGTATAAGAAAACGTACGGTCCATAGATTTGAATGATATTCGTTTCTTTATCTTTGAGATATTTTTTTTTTTGTTTCTTTTCCAAATTATTGTTATCAAATAGCAAAGGATAACAGTTGAGTTCACTGAATCACTGGTATTATTGGTCACTGTTTGTTTAGACTGGAGATGAAACTTCACTTCCTTGGAATCTTTCACCAATCTCTCATTAATAGGTTTTGTCAGTTTTTGTTTCCTCTCTATGTGACTAGACATGAAAAGTCAAATAACTACTGACTAAATTTTTTTTATGAATTATGTTTCCAGTTGAATTTACTAAGATGTCTGGTTAAAAGCTAATGGGGTCATGCCTTGATGAATATTGCTAGTGAAGACTGATCTAGTTATACTTTTCTCAAATAAGCTTTAAAGTGGATTCTTACCTAGACAGGGGAAAAAGACTTTGGGTTTGAGGGTGGGGGCAACTATTTAGTAATTCAAAATAACAAAAACAAAAGAAAGAGTTGGCCGTTATGATTGTGTTCTGCAGTCTGATGAGAAGACAAGATGAAGTAATATTTTTTAATATATGATGTTATAGATCTCATAGCTTTATTAATGTTCTTTTATGAATGATCATAGTAGACCTCCTTTTTACTTCATTGGTCTACATCTAATGTTTTTGGTAATGACTAAATGCCTGAAACTTACATATAATGTTAGTGGAATGTTGTATCCAATATTAAATGCCTTTTTGTTGGGTATCTATGTTATGCAGATTAAAGATATGGCAATGAAATTCTCTGGTGCTTACAAACAATGCAAGCCATGCACTGGTTCCTCTAGCAGCCCCATGAAGAAAGGACATAGATCGTTCCCAGATTTCGACAATGCTTCTGAAGGTGTTCCATACCCTTACATGGGTGGAAGCGCTGGTTCCACTCCTGCTTGGGACTTCACAAACTCCTCTCACAATCCAGCGAATCGGTCAGAAACAAGATTCACTTCAATCTATGGCAACGACCGGGAATCTATCTCTGCTCAGTCTTGTGATGTGGTGTTGGATGAGGAAGGTCCAAAAGAGTGGATGGCTCAAGTAGAGCCTGGTGTCCATATCACATTCGCTTCGCTTCCTAGTGGAGGAAATGATCTGAAACGTATCCGCTTTAGGTAATTGAAGATCATTAAGTGGTGACTAGAACAGAACCTTTATGACATTCAAAGCTGAAACTAACCATGACTTGTGTCTTGTTTTAAAAGCCGTGAGATGTTCGACAAGTGGCAAGCTCAACGGTGGTGGGGTGAGAACTACGACAAGATCGTTGAGCTTTACAATGTACAGAAATTTAACCGCCAAGCTCTTCAGACGCCGGCAAGATCCGAGGACCAGGTAAACCTCACAACTCACTCTTTCAACATTGTCTTACACCAAGGCACAAGAACCTTTTTGTGAATCTTTGTCTTGTTTATGTCTCAGTCACAGAGAGATTCAACTTACTCGAAGATGGAATCAGCGAGGGAAAGCAAAGACTGGACACCAAGACACAACTTCAGACCTCAAGGAGTTAATGTCCCGCATCACTTCTATGGAGGCTCTAGCAACTATGGACATCATGGAGGACCTCCAATGGATGCAGCACGAACCACAACATCTTCCAGAGATGAACCACCGTCCATGAGCAATGCTAGTGAAATGCAGGCTGAGTGGATCGAAGAGGACGAGCCTGGCGTCTACATTACCATCAGACAATTAGCAGATGGGACTAGAGAGCTACGTCGGGTTAGATTCAGGTTAGTGCTTTAAACCCTTTGTGTACTCTGGTTTCCGGTTTAGGATATCTGTTACCTTAAACAAATGATTATTAGACATTCTGAATCTCGAAACCATACCGTACTTAACCGGAGTTTTTGGTTTAATCAACAGCCGGGAACGATTTGGGGAAGTGCACGCAAAGACGTGGTGGGAGCAGAACAGAGAGAGAATACAAACACAATACCTCTAGAAAAAGAGAGATATATGAGTCTCTTTACCAAATCTTTAATTAAATTAATCTCCTCCACGAACAACACATCTAATCTATACACATTTTGCTTATCTTGTTTTTCTTCTTAGCGTAATATCTTATACATAAATCAAGTCTTTTGAATCAAACATTCATAAACCAAAAAAGGGGGTTTTGAATCATCATTGGTGAATAAGCTGATTAGATACAACCGTCCTCAACGGTTCATGTTTTTACAGGTGTGAAATGTTGGATGAAGTAAATATATAGAAGGATTTGAAAAGAACAATAAAAGCAACATTTGTCTTCATGGCATATAATGTTGGATATTTTCTATTTTCTCATAGTAAGTTGTTTGGACAACTAAGAAAAAGTAAAGCACAGCTAAGTTTTATAAAACTTATTCGATTTATATATTTTAAGAGAAACAATAAACAACTGGAAAACAATAGCTAAAAATGGATATCATTAGTTGTACTATATAAACCACCTAGCTACCCAAACATTCTCATCATTCATCTTGTTCACAACTCTAAATACAAAAAGAGAGAACTTTGATCATTTAGCATTTGTGGTAAACAAACAAACATACGACATATGGCGACTCAAATATCGAAGAAAACATGCAGCTTATTTTTTATTGCAACTATATTCATGATAGTATTTTCAGCACAAATTTCTCGTTCAATCAATGTAGAAATGTGTGTCAAACATTGCGTCCCAAATCAGTGTATGAAAATGGTAACAAAACCTGATCTAACCATTTGTGAAGAAGCTTGCACAAAGTTTTGCTACAAACAACTAACCGGTCATGCAGAATGGGTCATAACTCCAAAGGACGGTAATGTCGGTATAGTAAACGACATCTTATGCAAATTGATGCCTGATCAATGCTAAGTATTTTTATTTTTAAATTATGAATACTCACTCACATTTGTTTTTCTACATAACTAATATAAAATTATGATGCATCTTTTTGTATCATTATTATATTAGTAGGCATATTATGTACATCGTTTGTTCGTCTTATGAAATAAATATATGTTCTTATTTTAAAATTTATATCAACAAAACACTAGCCTAAAAATTTATTAGTTAGGTATTGACGTAATTTGCTTGAAAATATAAAATATAAATATCCTTAAAGATGGATATCCACTTTTTAAGATATAATTTTATAAAGATATATAAATATAATTCTGTATATAATCTGTATAACAAATATATTAATATGCAAGATCAATAAGATATTTTGGTTCAATAGATTATATTGCTTACCAATTTCATACGCTTTCCATAACAAGTCTTACTTCCATTTGGTTTATGTTTGCTTCAAATCCATTAACTTACGTTGCGTTTCTCCAAAATAAATACTTGCCTTGCTCGTAAAAGCTTTTGGATTTGAATATTATATAAAAACTTGACCTAATACTCAAAAGAGTTTGGGTTAGCATCGCCGAAACATTTTAAATGAACATAAATTATACTGTAAATTATACAAGAAATGTATCAAAAAGTTCAATTACAAAATAAAAACGAAACCGACGCATAATATCCTATGTATATTTCGGTTTCAAGTTTTACACCGAAAAACAAAAAAAGTTCATATTTGTGGTTAGATATATGCTTCAAGTGCATAAAAAGTATGTATGAGTATAAAGTAAATAACACATAGAGTTTTTTTTATCGATGTTCAGTTTTCCTACATCCCAAATACCTAATCCATAACAAACCCAATAGAACAAAGTTGCTATTACAATTGCTTATAGTATCGTGCACTACAATTAATGTCTACCATTCTTTTCTAGATAGATACACGATGAAGATAGGTATCAAGCCAGCATGCTTGACTACCACCCGTCAGCACCAGAGCAACACCGTCCTTGCAACGGCTGCGATCTCCATAGACAATTACCACGAAACATATCTAAAAAATTTCATGGTGGAACCACGCCAAATAGCTAAAATAATAAAGTGGACATTAGGAAATATCTTCAATAATTTCCCCTTTTCCTTTTCCCTTTATATCATCCATAATCTCCACATGATAAATGCAACTTCTCAAAGACACATCAAGTGTGCATCAATAAAACATACCAACATCATCTTGAATCCTATCATCATGTGCTTATGTATCAAGATCATCATGTCTTTCTATGCTCGTGCATCATGTATTGTAATTGTTTCAGAGTCGTATCAATACTGTCTTTGAATCTCCATCGCATGGATGATATAACTTGTTCACACATCTTGTTCACACAACTTCTAAAACGAGTCAACAATGCACTAACATATAAGCTAATAACTTCCATACATAAACTAAAAATTACAATAATTTTAAAAACATCAACCGGCACGTAGCTCTGGTAAATATAGGAATTTAAAGTAATTACAATTATTTTACTAACTATTTGGTAGCGAATCCTTCAAACTCTTTTAATAAAAATGTTGGATATTTTCTATTTTCTCATAGCAATAAATTGTTTGGACAACTAAGAAAAAGTAAAGCACAGCTAAGTTAAAACTTATTTGGTTTATATATTTCAAGAGAGAAAAACAATAAACCGATAAAAACAAACGCTAAAAATGGAGATCATTAATTGTACTATATAAATCACCTACCTAACCCAACATTTCTCATCAAATCGTTCTGTTCACAACTCTAAACACAAAAAAGAGAAAACTTTGATCATTTAGAATTTGTGGTAAACAAACAAACATACGACATATGGCGACTCAAACATTGAAGAAATCATGCAGCATCTTTATTATTTCAGCTATATTTATGATGGTATTTTCAGCACAAATTTCTCATTCAGGCAATGTAGAAATGTGTGTCAAACATTGCGTCGCGAATCAGTGCATGAAAATGGTGAAAAATTCTGATCCAGCCATTTGTAAAGAAGCTTGCACAAAGTTTTGCAATAAACAACAAACCGGTCATGCAGAATGGGTCATAACTCCAAAGAATGGTGATGGCGGTATGATAAACTACTTTTAATGCAAATGGAAGTCTGACCAGTGCAAATAATTTTATTTTCAAACTATGAATACTAAAAAAAAAATTCTTTCTACATAACTAATATAAAACTATGATGTATCTTTTTGTATCATATTATAATTTTCGCATATTATGTACATGTTTATTCTTCTCATGAAATATATATAGTTTTTGTTTTCCATTTTAAATAAGTGGTCCATATTAGGTTTGTCTATTGTAACTTAAATTTTCCATGCTTCCTTTTTCGGCCTGTTCTTTTCAAAGTCGATGCGACTGAGAATGCAACATATCAAAACGATATGACATCACTGAGGAACATTGCAAAACGATAGCAGCAGATTTTTATTTTTGTTTATGGTAAAACAAGTTCATTAGTATTAAAACAAGTTTACAAAGTCTAAACAGAAATATTCTTTGAGTATATCTGTATATGACATCTATTTCTGCGGGTGCAAATGGATGCACTTCTAGAGGAACACAATTTGGTGGAATTGGCAATACAACTAAATAGATTATTTTTCTTATATGGTGTTGTAGAAGTACACATTTTTCAATCTAGTTTGGTTATTTAGGTTTTATTTTATTATAAATTCTTTTTTAAATTTAGACTAGTAATCAATTTTCATTTTTAAAAGGTTAAAATGTTTTATAAATAAGAGGCACTTGCTCTCTCCGTGACTCCTTGTGTTTTTGAATTAGTTTAACATAAAATAACCATGCTTCTTTACTTTTTAAGGGTTAATTTGGGTTTTATATATTTTTTGAGATGTTTTAGTCATTAAAAAGGTGTAGTTCCACAAAAGTATGAATATAACCTATTTAGCTAATTTTCCAATAAACATACAAGACATGTATCAAATAATTCAATTACAAAAATGAAAACGAAACCGACGCATAATATTCTATGTAAATTTTTGTTTTTAAGATTTACTTTGAAAAAAAAAAGTCTAAAATTTAATAATCTCCATAAACTTAAAATTACAATAATTAAAAAACATAACCCCACACATAGCTCCTTTTCATAATAAGTATCGTTTAAGATTTCTTACACATATTAAAAAACATCTAAATTTTTCTACAATACCCCTATTAATATATTATATAATTTAATTATTTTGTTAATTAAATAGATGGATTAGGTTAAACTGGAAATTTATATACAGTTATACAATAAAAACAAAAAATGACACTTATTTTTAAACAAAAATTTAACTATAAAATGAAACTCATTATGAAACGTAGGGAGTTATAAAGTTTCTGACAGAGTAAATGTTGGATATTTTCTATTTTTTCATAGCAATAAGTTGTTTGGACAACTAAGAAAAAGTAAAGCACAACTAAGTTATAACTTATTTGGTTTATAAATATTTCAAGACAGAGTAACAATAAAGCGACAAAAAACAACTACTAAAAATGGATGGCATTATTTGTACTATATAAGTCATCTAGCTAACCCAACATTTCTCATCAAATCGTTTTGTTCACAATTCTAAACAGAATAAAAGAGAACTTTAATCATTTTGCATTTGTGGTAAATAAAACAAACATACCACAAATGGCTACTCAAACATTGAAGAAAACATGCAACTTATGTTTCATCTATATTGATGATAGTATTTTCAGCACAAATTTCTCATTCAACCAAGGAAGAAATGTGTGTTAAACATTGCGTTGCGAATCAGTGCATGAAAATGGTCAAAAATCTTGATCCAGCCATTTGTGAAAAGCTGACAAAGTTTTCCACAAGCAACAAACCGGTCATGTAGAATGGCACTGCTCCAAAGAATGTGATGCCGGATATAAACTACCTCATATCAAATGGAAGCCTATCAGGCAAATATTTTTCCAAATTTGAAACTGTATTGGCAAGTGTGATGCTTGGACTGAAATTTTATTCAATTGTTTTGGCAGGTCAGAAAATACGAACCGTTCATAGTAGTGGAGACAAACGGTGACAAGCTTTCTGGCTCTTCAGGTTTCAACAATGTCGCTGGGTGAGAATTGAGGCCATTTCTTTCTTTTTTGTTTGTTTATAAGTTCTTGTGTGATCCTTGTAATTAATGTTAACAAATGTCACCTGTGAAGCTACATATTTGGGAAAAACTCAACGATGGAGAAAATACCAATGACAACTCCAGTGTTTACCCAAGCAACAGATCCTCAACTCTCTTCCGTATCAGTACAAATTTTCATTCCATCAGGAAAAGATCTCAATAGGTAAAAAGCTTAACATCATCAATAGTTTAGTCGACGTTAGGTAATGTGACTTACTGAGTAAATTTCCTTGTCCCTCTAAGCTTACCAATGCCAAATGAAGAAAAGATAAACTTGAAGAAGTTGGAAGGCGGTTTTGCCGCGGCAGTGAAATTCAGTGGGAAACCAACAGAGGATATTGTCAGGGAAAAAGAGAATGAACTGAGGAACAGTTTGAGTAAAGATGGACTTAGAGCTAAGACGGGTTGTATGCTTGCTCGTTACAATGATCCAGGACGAACATGGAACTTCATAATGGTAATGATTCTTAGCTCTATAAATATTTGATGTCTATAATTAGAAACCATATGTTACTATTAGTTGTGTTAATTGTGATTGCCTTTCATTTTGCAGAGGAACGAAGTTATCATATGGCTTGAGGAATTCAGTCTGGACTAGCTTTCTCATTGGCTAAATGTTATCATAAGACTATACTTTGGGAAAGACATATGTACAAGTTTTGTGTACTTTTTAATGTATGCAGTAATTACAAGATCATCACATTCCAACGATAGAAATGTTGTATATAGACTCAAACCTACAAACTCTTGTTTTTATATGAGATGTAGTATATGAGGAATTTACCTTTTAACTCTTCTTGTTTAAACTGAATGGAGCCAAATAGAATAAGGATAAACTTGACACTGAGCATTGTGTCTATAACAATGTTTGGCATATCACAAGTGCCAAGGGCAGCTGTAGAATTACTTTGTGGAGTTCAACATGAGGAAGAGAGTTGGACTGCAAAGTTACGACGCGCAGGGAGAAGTGCAAAGTTACAACGCCCAGGGAGAAGTGGTTGATGATGTGGAGTAGCATGGGGGCCTCTCTTCAGAACTATGTGCACTACATGCTAGTAAAAGTTGCTCTTTATTTGTGCACAATCAAGATTTTAAACATACCACAAATGGCTACTCAAACATTGAAGAAAACATGCAACTTATTTATTGTTTCATCTATATTGATGATAGTATTTTCAGCACAAATTTCTCATTCAACCAAGGAAGAAATGTGTGTTAAACATTGCGTTGCGAATCAGTGCATGAAAATGGTCAAAAATCTTGATCCAGCCATTTGTGAAGAAGCTTGCACAAAGTTTTGCCACAAGCAACAAACCGGTCATGTAGAATGGGTCACTGCTCCAAAGAATGGTGATGCCGGAATGATAAACTACCTCATATGCAAATGGAAGCCTGATCAGTGCAAATAATTTTATTTCCAAATTATGAATACTAAAAAAAAATCTTTCTACATAACTAATGTAAAACTATGATGCATCTTTTTATATCATATTCTACTTATTTATTCTTCTCATGAAATATATATATATTCATTTTAAATAAATGGTCTATATTAATAAAACTTGATACGGGGTCACCAAGAAGTGCTGTAAAAGCGCAAAATCCTGAGGCTCGGGTGCACACCAGTCTAAGTTCTTTAGTTAGGTGTAGACGCAATAATTATAAATTCCCTGAAAAAACAAAATAATTTTAAATGCTAATCCGCTTTTTAAGATATACTCATATAAAGGTATATACTGTATATTAATATGTACATTACATTACCATTATTACCAAAATATATGATATCCACTTTGAGGCCATCCTTGCCTCTTCTTCCGTTGGAGTTCTCTCTTTGTCTCTGGTTTTTTTGTTCTTAAACACTGAGATTCATGTCATTTTTTTTTGTTTGAATCTGGTAAAGTTTCACCGGTCTCTCAAGAATCTCCTCTACCAGATCTTGTGCGACTCTCATACTCGATGGTAAAGGAACTTTATTTTTTTCTAGAAATTTTAGTTTGGTACTTTGGGCTTGAGGGAAAAGGAGAGAGGCATGCATACTTATTTATACCATTTTTTTTTGTTGACAGCAATTGTATGTCGATATAAGGTAACATACTGAATATGGAGAGTATTTTTAATTTCTTACTCTGAAATGACATGCTTATCTTGTTTTCAGTAGTTTCCTTTCAAAGATTTTCTTGTTAATAGTTGACTTTCCTTTAAAAAAATTAAGACCTCTCAGAGATGAAAATTCTATCTTAGGCAAATATAAAAGTAATTATACCAAAAAAGAGATTTTCATTGAATTAGTAACCTATGTAAAATTTACTTTTGTTAGTCAACAAATCTTGTCTTACGTTTCTCTCGTGACTGTATATACAGTAGCTAAGATATATGTAAGGAAAGATTATAAATATTGATTAATTTACAATAATTCAAAAAGATTAATACATCCATTCCTATTCCTAGTAGAAACTCTATAAATTAATAATGTTAGGCCATAATATTTTATTAATTTAACGAGTTATTAATTAATTTATCGAAAAATTATTTAGAACAAAAACTTAGTTTGGGACCGGAAAACTATATTTATAGAGAAGTTATTGATTATCGAGTATTAATTTAAAGAGTTTATCTGTCAATTTAATCTTGGTAAAATTCTCGATTTTCTTGCAAATGTCTACTCTTCTTTCGGCTTTGTATTCGACCTTTGTTTATAATAAAATTTCACAAAAACATAGAGAAAACCCCAGGGCAAACAAATATATACATATAATATCATAAATAACCTTGATTGTATTTTTAAACAAAAAATACTATTGACAAAAAGACCTTAATTTTTTTTTTTGGGAGGGGTACTGAATATGGAGAATATAAGGACCAAAACTCATCTGTTCAGATCTACCAATATGTAACTAGTTATAGGGTTTTCTCAAATAACAGTTTTTTTTTTTTTTTACGGTAAAACAAGTTCATTAGTATTAAATCAAGTTTACAAAGTCGAAACAGAATATACTTTGAGTATATCTGTATATGACATATACTTCTGCTTATTGAACATAATAGACTCACAACTCAATATGTTTCTTTGTTCTTTTGGCTATATATGTTTAAATTTTTTGTGCTTTACTTTTTACTTTTTCGCCCTTTTTAGATAACTTGTAGATACTAGTGCCAACGTTTTCTGTTTCTAGATATACAAAAGATTCTCAAAAGTGAATTTTGTTTTAGTGTTCCTATATCAAATTTAGTTGACATTTATTGGTTACCAAGTACTAACGGAGTTTTACATGCTCTACACGTTTTCATAATCAAAGAACCACAATCCCATGTCATATTTTTTTGTGACAAAATAAAGAAGTCAACTATGAAACTAAATATTCTTTAGTGGACATTATTTCTCATAATTTAGTGTTTAAAATTATAAAATCTAGTTTTTATGCTAAGAATAATTGATCAACATGTCTATAGAACATAAAAGGTCAACTTTATATTTGCCTATAAACGCACACAAAGTAGAGTTGACCATTTGGGTTTTCAGATGAGCAAACCGTAAACATTTTTGGAGAAAGGGTCACTATAGTCGCACCAATGACCGAGATCTCTGATATTAATGCTCAGACTCAAACCGCCGACTCCGACATCGAAGACGGTGGATACGGTGGTGATTCCAGGTCATCCGATTTACCCCGTCCTCTTTTATCTGTATCTTTCGTTCAGAAGGTAATGATTATTGTGACATGTTAATGATTAGTCGGATTCAAGATTTTATATTTCGTTTCGTATTACATGCATGTTCATTCATGACTTTGGTTTGATTTTTGGCTTTCAAATTTTCCAAATTATGAAGTACTATATTCAGATGGGGTTGACATCTATTTCGATTTTTGGTCTGATACAATACTTTTGTTTCTACTTTCTATCAAAAAAATATTAAGGTACAAGAGAGATTAATATTTTGCTTCTTTTCCGTAATGGGATTTTGTAGATTAAGATACGAAACAGTTCCTTAAATATTGTGATCCATAATCTTATAGATATAACTAAAAATCTTATTGTTTTATTCTCTAGTTGATTGGCGAGTTCGTGGGCACATTCACTATGATATTTGCCGGTTGCTCGGCCATTGTTGTAAATGAGACGTACGGTAAACCGGTGACACTTCCTGGTATAGCTTTGGTATGGGGACTAACCGTAACGGTTATGATCTACTCAATTGGTCATGTCTCCGGTGCACATTTCAACCCTGCTGTTTCTATTGCCTTTGCCTCTTCTAGAAAGTTTCCTTTTAAACAGGTAATCCAAAAACATATAACCTTGCTTTCCGTTTTGCAAATTTTTTTTTTTTTGTCATTTCTCATAAATGTTGTACTACTACTAACCATAGTCATAAAGTATTTGTGGAGTCGTGTGCAATGTGGTTGTAATAATCGATATATTATTAGGTCCCGGGCTATATAGCCGTTCAAGTTCTCGCATCAACTTTAGCGGCCGCAGCTATACGACTGGTGTTCCATCTGAACGACAACGTTTGTAGCTTCAAAGGCGATGTTTATGTGGGAACATTTCCATCAAACTCCAACACAACATCATTCATAATGGAGTTCATTGCTACTTTCAATCTAATGTTCGTTATATCTGCTGTTGCTACTGATAAACGAGCCACCGGATCATTCGCAGGCGTAGCTATTGGTGCGACTGTAGTACTCGACATCCTCTTCTCCGGGTAATTTTATCTAAGTCCATTAGAACATACTCCCTCTGTTTCATAATATAGGGGGTTTAAGGTTTTTGCACACAAATTAAGAAATCATTAATTTTTTGTACTTTTTAAAATAAAATATATTTTATCATTAATTTCAAAACATTTCAACTAATGAATAACAACTCTGCAGAATATAAATAATCTAAAGTAATATAAACACATTTAATTCTACACTAAAACTCTAAAACTCCTTATATTTTGAAACAAAACTAAAACTCTAAAACCCCTTGTATTTTGAAACAGAGGGAGTATTTAACAAAAATTTATGAAGATTGTTTAGTCTAAATGTTTTGTTTTCATAATTTGGATTAGACCAATTTCGGGAGCATCAATGAATCCAGCAAGAAGTTTAGGACCTGCTTTTGTATGGGGATGTTACAAAGATTTATGGTTATACATAATTTCACCGGTGCTAGGAGCATTATCAGGTGCATGGACTTATGATATGTTAAGATCAACAAATAAATCATATGGTGAGATTATTCGTCCAAATTGCAATAAAGCTTCTCCGAAAGATCGCCAAGAAGCATCTCAAGACGAGATTTGTGTTCTTCGAGTGGTTGATCCGCTTAACCAAAAATATTTCATATGTTCATCGCCTACTGATATCAACGAAAAATGTAATGTCACATGTAAGTTGGCATAAAAGATCGATATGTACTATTCCATAGAATTTAAATTATTTGTTTTATAATTTTAAAAACTCGTTGAGAAACAAATTTAGTTTCGAAATTTACAAATAACTAGCATAGGTCTTTTATAATTTAACACTTTTTTGACTTATTAAAAGTTGAATGGAAAAATATTGTTTGACAGACAACATATAAGGGGGGAAAAAGATTTTATCCAAACAAATTCAGTAATTCACGAGTCAAACTTATTTGACTTAAAAATGTCTGTTAATACTTTTTGTAGTAAGTTCCTATCTTACCCTCCTCGCTTTTTCGGTAAACCCATAAATATCCTCAACTACCCTCACTTCCTTGCTTTCTTCAACCCTGCGCTAGAGTCCAAACCCGATCTACCACTCCTGATCCCGCCGGTCATTTTACTTCCGCCGATTTCAAATTCTCCGATCATATCCGTCGATTCAGAATCGCAGGCAGAGATTTTTGGTAAGTGTCTTGTTGTTTAATATTCTGCCGAAAAATTGTTACGAACGCAATCTAGCGAGTTTTTTGAGGTCGCTCCATTTCTAGGTATTCTCAACCGGTACGACCTCCATTTCTAGCGAGTTTTTGAGGTCGTATTTATAAAGTATATACGTTGCGATTTAACTTTATTTTCGCTTTCGATTCAAGGGAAATGCAATTTGTTTGATCGTAGGTGATTCTGGGCTGATCAGCGATCGTTTTTGTCACTCTCTGGAAATGGCTGTGTAAGTGCTTCTTCCCCCTATTTTTTCCGGATATTATGCTCACTTTTATTAGAAATCTCAGACTCTCTGCCATTTCCAGTTTATCTGATGAATCTGCGAAATGACATTTATCTTTCGAAACATTTCTTCTGATTTGAATTGGTTTTTTCGGGATAGTTGTATCGATTTCACTTTGGTTGAAAACTGAATTGTGAGATTTCATTCTTCATTTTAAGAGAGAGAATGTTTATGTGTTTTGAAAATGCTTTGATGCAGTGTTGCTTCTGCTCCCGGGAAGGTTTTGATGACTGGAGGCTATCTCATACTGGAGAGGCCAAACACAGGCCTTGTGTTGAGTACAAATGCACGTTTCTACGCGATTGTGAAGCCGATCAATGAAGAAGTCAAGCCTGATAGTTGGGCATGGGTATGTACTTCCTCCAGAAGCATATGCATCTTCGTCTCATTTATGTGTTATTGGGAAGTAAATATTGTTGGGTGATTCTGTAGTTTGAGACGGATGATATAGAATTCTTGGTTTGTTTGTTCTTATTTTCCAGCAATGGACAGATGTCAAATTGACATCGCCGCAGCTCTCCAGAGAAAGCATGTATAAACTGTCACTTAAACAGTTGACACTTCAGAGTGTGTCTGCAAGGCAAGATCCCAAAGACTTTTTTCAGATGCGCTGCATCTTTCTTCTTATTTCAATATCATAAGTTATACTGTAGAGACTTCATTTGTCGAGTATAGGCGATAGAGAGCTTACACTTATCTTTTTTCTGAAAATTTAAATCTTCAGTGATTCAAGAAACCCCTTTGTAGAGCATGCTATACAGTATGCCATAGCTGCTGCACATTTGGCAAGCGACAAGGACAAAGAAGCATTGCACAAACTCTTCTTGCAAGGCAATCTTCAAGTCTCTACTTTTTCATCATTTTTTATTTCTGAAGTGGAGATTGGAAGTGTAACTCTATTTCTCTAAATCGGTTTTGAAGGTCTTGATATCACAATCTTAGGCTCCAATGACTTTTACTCATATCGGAATCAGGTGTTCTATCTTTTTCTTTGCTGAAACACCGTCTAAATTACACATGCAGTAGATGCTTGTGCAAAATGTTGATAATCTTGTTTATTCTGATAGATAGAATCACTTGGGCTTCCATTGACACCAGAATCTCTGGGTACCCTTGCACCTTTTGCATCAATCACATTCAACGCAGAGGAGTCAAATGGTGGTACCTGTAAGCCTGAAGTAGCAAAAACTGGCTTAGGTTCTTCTGCAGCAATGACAACCGCTGTGGTTGCAGCTCTGTTGCATTATCTTGGAGTGGTTGACCTATCCGATCCATGTAAAGAAGGAAAGTTTGGTTGTTCTGATCTAGATGTTATCCATATGATAGCACAGACATCTCACTGCCTTGCACAAGGGAAGGTCGGAAGTGGCTTTGATGTCAGCTGTGCGGTCTATGGAAGTCAGCGTTATGTTCGCTTCTCTCCAGAAGTCTTGTCACTTTCTCAGGTTTATAATGACAAATTCGTTGTATGTAAATTTTCTACTAACGATGGGAATATACTGACTACCAAGTTTTGCAGGTTGCAGTAACGGGTCTGCCATTACATGAAGTTATTGGTGGAATTTTGAAGGGAAAATGGGACCATGAGAGAACCGAGTTCTCTCTACCGCCACTGATGAATCTTGTAAGGAAACAATCAGAGCTAAAGTCTTACCTGAAAATAACCTGTTTTGAACCTCACAAACTTCTTATTTCCTTGACTTCTGTGAAACCTTGTTTAATAAAAAAGATGTTGTCTTATATAGTTCCTTGGAGAACCTGGAACTGGTGGATCCTCCACACCATCAATGGTAGGTGCTGTAAAGAAGTGGCAAATGTCTGATCTAGAGAAGGCACGAGAAACTTGGCAAAAGTTGTCAGATGCAAATTTGGAACTGGAATCTAAGCTGAACGGTCTGAGCAAATTAGCCAAAGATCACTGGGATGTTTATCTTGGAATAATCAAGTCTTGTAGTGTGCTTACTTCTGAAAAGGTATTGTTCCATTTGCTGAGTGTTGTTATTATAAGAGATTGTACATCAAGGAGCACTTCGGTTCATTTGCCTCTTTCATCTGATGTTTAGTGGGTTCTACATGCCACTGAACCAATCAACGAAGTCATTATTAGAGAACTCTTAGGGGCAAGAGAAGCTATGGTGAGGATCAGAGTTCTTATGCGGCAGATGGGTGAGGCTGCTAGTGTTCCGGTAAGTTGTTTAAAAAAAAAAAAACTCTGCTCTGATTCTTGCTTCATATCTCGACTGACCATTTGTGCATGAGAACTTTGTGCTGATGCATACGAGGGTTCTCCAAAATCACGCATTTGAAAATAAATTGACTTGTATTGCATCTTCACTGACCTTGCGTGACCCTGGAATTGCAGATAGAGCCTGAAACCCAAACTCAACTTCTGGATTCTACAATGAATGCTGAAGGGGTTCTACTTGCTGGTGTTCCTGGGGCTGGTGGGTTTGATGCCATATTTGCAATCACATTAGGGGATTCCGGCAGCAAACTGACCCAGGCATGGAGTGCACACAATGTTTTGGCCTTGTTGGTGAGAGAAGATCCACACGGCGTTTGCCTTGAGAGTGGTGACCCACGCACCACAGGTATTACGTCAGGCGTTTCGTCAGTTCATCTTGAGTAAGCAACATTGTTTGGCAGTGCCCGATTAATTAGGTGCATCACCAAGTTCGGTTGAGTATACTGTTTTGCATATAGACTTGGGTGCTAAATTTCTTCACCGTGCATTTTTGCACCCATTGTAAGTCTTTTGACTCTTTGAAAAACTTGCGGGAAAAAATAAAATAAGGTTGAATAAGAAATGTTCTCATTTGTGTTTGTTTTGAACTCACTGCTTCCATTATTGGTATCTGCATGCTTGAAAGAGTCCGGAACAGGAATTTAACATTAGGGAGATCGAAGGATCCAAAATCTACTTACCAATAATCTTTACAAGAACAAGTTCCACCTTTAAACAGGTGAAACCTGTTCCTATCTCTTACAACAATCTCTCTTTCGTAGATCATAGAGATTTTCTTTGTATATGTGTGACAGTCACTACACATCCTCAGGTTTCTAGCTATTCTAATGATAGACCCTGGAGGTGTATACAGTAGTGCAAAGGCAAGAGCCACCTTTTGGCTGTGTCCTTTTAGCCTCTCTCTTTTCTCTTCTTCATCTACGTTTACCAATATCTGTGTCACGTCTGGTGAATATCCTTCGAATTTTAGCTGCCATTCCATCTGGTGTAGCATCTTGTAGATTTCTTTGCGTTGTGGGTGAAATCGATCTTGTGAAACAAACCTGTGGGTTTTACCTTTTACCTCGACCATGCTGAAACCCGGGGTTTGCTTTAAACCCTTGTTAGCCATTTCCGTTCGGGCTTTGGCTACATCTTCCCACATTTGAGCTTGTGCATACATGTTAGAGATCACCAAATAGTCACCTGGGTTTTGTGAGCTTAGCTTAAGCAGTTCTCGAGCTGCGATCTTGCCTAATTCAACGTTACCATGAACTCTGCATGAGCTTAATAAGCTTCTCCAGACAACATCGTTTTGCTTAATTGGCATGCTTTCGATAGTTTCCAACGCTTCCTCGAGCAATCCAGCTCTTCCCAGAAGATCCACAAGGCAGCCATAATGCTCAGCCGTTGGCTCCACCTTACCTTCCTTTAGCATCTCCTCAAAGACTCGACGTCCTTCTATCACAAGACCAGATTGGCTACATGCATTGAGAACACTGACATACACAACATGATCTGATTCCAAACCTTCTTCAATCATCTCAGAGAACATCCTCAAAGCTGCTTCTCCTTCTCCGTGCAAGGCGAGTCCTGAGATCATCGCACTGTAAGTCAGATTATTCCTTGTTTCCATCTTCTTGAAAATCTCCAACGCCTTCTCTAAGCACCCGCATTTAGCGTACATATCTACAAGTGAAGTTTGGACTGCTATATTGAGTTTGCTTATGTTTCTCAGCAGGAAGCCATGAATGCTCATCCCCAGATTAAGTGCACCGGTGTTGGCACAAGCTGAGAGAGCACTAACCATTCCACTTTCTTCAGCCTTGAAATTCGTTTCTCTGCACATTTCACGGAATAGGTTCAAGCATTCGCTCCACATTCCAACTCTAGCACAAGATGAGACCATTGAGCTCCACGACGCAGCTGTTTTAGACTCCACCTTCTCAAACACAGCAGAAGAAAGTGCCATCTCTCCACATCTTCCATACATACTAATCAAACTGTTCTGAACAAACACATCAGCTTCAAGGCCAAGCTTAAACACGTGCCCATGAATCTGCTTCCCTTCTCGAATCGATTTCAAACGAGTGCAAGCCTTGAGAAGACACGGGTACGTGAAATTATCCGGATCAATCCCTTTCTCTACCATCTCTATGTAAAGACGCAATGCTTCCTCGAAACTCGTTTCGTTCACATACCCTCTGATCATTGTGTTGTAATCAAAGGTGCAAGGATCATCGATTACTCTGAAAATCGACGCTGCGTAATGCATACTGGTGTCCCATCCCGAGTGAGCGCAGGTTGAGAGAACGCTGCTCGCTGAGAACGGAGATGAGCAGAACAAACTGAGCTTGATGAATCTGGCGTGTACTTGCTTGAACTCTTCTATGTTCTTGCATCTCTTCAAGAGGTATAAACATTCTTGCTCTGTTGCTCTGAAGTTGTTGAATTCTGGGTTATGAATTACATCGTCTCTAGAAGCCAATAGAGACTGTAGAACTGGTGCTTTAATCATCGCTTCCTCGTAACCATTAAGAAACTAGAGATTCGATGTCCGAAAATGAAAATGTTCTTGGAACTTAGAATCTTTCTCTGATCATCGGAGAAAGATTTTAGTTTTTTCTCTTTTAGGGACGGTTTCGAATCTCATCCCGGGAGATTTTCCTGGAAAATTATGAGCCACAAGTCAAAATTTTAGAGTTATGATAAGTTGTGATGAGTGAGAGAGAGAGTGGGGGTGCTTTGGATTTTCTCTCCATGTCATGTCAGTTGTTGGGACCCACCTTCGATTTCATTTCACTATGGCTCAATTCGGTTTGGTTCTTCTAAACCAAACTAACCGAAACTTGAACTGTATCAGCAGCCTGAGCCATGGCTTTTTTTTTTAACCAAAAAAGGTTTTTTTTTGACAAATGAATCCTCTGTCACAAAACGGTAGAAATGAAATAGTTCAACAACCTTCTAAACAAAATCAAGTTACCTAAAAAAAAAGGAATTTTGTTAAAGAGTTACAAAATACAAGCAAAACTGTTAATTCATATATCACAATCATGCAAATGTTTATAAAGGGTCCTTTTTTTCAATATAATAGTTAAAGTAAAACATTTATGGGTCGGCCATCATTTTTTACTGATACAAATTTGACTATGATAAACACGTAATTAGTAGCGACACATTCTTTGTTTCTGTCAACATTTGAACTCCACTAAAAAAAGCGAATCAAATCTGCATCTATAACACTCGTCAGAAATTTTTAGACATCGCTTACAAGACCTCATTCTGGTTCAGAAGGGTGTACTGTAAAGACTAAAGAGGAGAACAAAATATGAACGAGAATAAAGATTCTTAAGAGGAGAATAATACGGCCAAATACGTCACAACACAAATAATGTCATTCCTCACATGTTCACTCAATCACTCCTATGATTTGATTTTCAAATATTTTTAAAAGTCGACGTTTTTGACAACAGTTATGCGCATATTAGCTTACACAGTTCTTGTATTTGAATGTTAATTAATTCTCAACGGTTTTCCAGAAAACCTTAGTCCTCAAGTGGAAATTATTTAACTGAGAGTTATTTAAAAGATTAATGACATTTAAACGTTGACAAGAAAATAAGTACATGATCTTTACGCTTCAAGCGTGTGTGTGAGTGTGACAGTGTTGTGTTTTGACGGATACATGACACGCACGCGCGTATATACGCGTGGGAATAAAATGTGTCTTAAGAACCAAATTATTACATTGGTCGTGAATATGCGAACCACTCGCAGGAAAGCAGGCGTGTAAAGCCCACGCGCGCTCAGAACCCGTCTCCATCGTCACGAACTATGTAAGACTCGTGGGTCCTTTTTTCCGATTCATCTATCTCTATAGATTTCACCGTCTCTCTGGCGTTTCTTTCTCCAGATTTTCTCGGCTTTTCTCGATTTTCTCACATAACTTACAGGAACCAAAACAGATTTCTACTTGTTCTTCTGCTTCTTCTTCCGAGTTCGTCTTATCAGATTCAGCTTTGCCTTTCGTATCTGTCTATCACTCTCTCTCTACCCTTTTTTTCCCACACTTTATTTCTCGATAGAAAAGGTAAGATTTTTCCTTTTTTTTCATCTGCTTTTTCAAAAGATTTATTTTGTTCTGTTAGCTTTAATTGGTGGCTTGTTCTTCTTTCAGACAACTCGTTTTTGTTTCTTTCTCTGTTAAATTTCAATTGACTCTGTTATTTTCACGAGTTTGCTTAATCTATCAACATTCATGAATCTAAAATCGGCTGCATGTCTTTTAAGAGCAAACACGATTCTGTAGTGGATTCGGAATACTTCCCCCATTTAGGTATTTGTTCTCTTTTTCTTCTCTTAGGCTGCTGAATTTTATTCAAGTGGGTTTGGTTAGATGTTGAATTTTATTTCTTTGCCGGACAATTGAATTGACCATGAATTTTTCAAATCGCAATTAAAAAACATTTCCTTTTTAGGTTTCAATGTCTCATGGAAACGTCCATTTCTGCCGGCTATTTGACTTTGATTCTAGATATGATGAAAGCCAAATTTGATTACAATATCCTAATCAAACTCTTCTTGCTTCTATCGTCTTTGTGTCTGAACCAGAAACCTTGTTCTGTCTGAAACCAGAGGCAGAAGAAATAGCTGGATTTGACATGTTGATCTGATTTGGTTAATCTTGTAAAGCTCTTCTGAATTTTCGTTTTGTGAAAACAATGGAGAAAGATGAAGGAGAAAGCTGGAAAGAAATGGTGAGAAAGATGCTTCCTCCGGGAGCTCCATTACCGGAAAATCCATCGGAGTTCGATTACTCCATAGCCATAGAGTACACCGGTCCTCCTCCTGTCCACGAGATCCCAAGAGTTTCACCAGTCGATGTTGCTAATCCTCGGATCCCATTGCCGGTCTCTCGTATAGCCAGAGGAGTCACAAGCTCCTCAGGTCAGAGCCCGAGAGGTTCTCCGGCTAGCTCCGAGTCTGTAGTCTCTGTCTTGCACAACAACCCTGAATCATCCTCTGGCTCAGCCTCTGTATCACCAGTCTCTGCTCACAGACAACAAAACGGGACTCAGATTCGGATACCGGTTGTGAAATTCAAACCTGTTGATGATGATGATAATGAAAGTAAAGACGCTGCAGAGGAGGAGAGGAACAATGTGGAGATGGATACAGAGAAGGAGAGGAAAGTCCAAGAGTGCACCGCGAGGACGCAGAGACAGAGGAACAAGAAGAGCAAGAAGAAGAAGAAGAGAGAGTGTTATAGATGTGGAAAAGCGAAATGGGAGATTAAGGAGACTTGTATAGTGTGTGATGAGAAGTACTGTGGAAACTGCGTGCTTAGAGCGATGGGTTCGATGCCGGAAGGAAGAAAGTGCGTGAGCTGCATCGGTCAAGCGATCGACGAATCGAAAAGGTCTAAACTTGGGAAGCATTCGAGAGTCTTGTCACGGCTGCTTAGTCCTTTAGAAGTTAAGCAGATAATGAAGGCGGAGAAAGAGTGTGCCGCTAACCAGCTGAGACCCGAGCAGCTGATCGTGAACGGATACCCGTTGAAGCCCGAGGAAATGGCGGAGCTGCTCGGCTGTCCTTTACCGCTGGAGAAGTTGAAACCGGGGAGGTATTGGTACGACAAAGAGTCCGGTCTATGGGGAAAGGTAATAGTATATTATATGTTATGGTTTTGGTGTTTTTTTTGTTCAGGTTGTGGACTAATGTTGTTGTGAAACAGGAAGGAGAGAAACCTGACAGAGTCATAACCTCGAATTTGAATTTCACCGGGAAGCTTTGTCCGCACGCGAGCAATGGGAACACGGAGGTTTATATTAATGGCCGTGAGATCACAAAGCTTGAATTAAGGATATTGAAGGTATAGTCTGTTTTCTTGTTTTGTGTCACAAGAAGAAAAAGAAACCTTACTTGTGTGTGTATTGTGTCATTATCTCAGCTAGCGAATGTACAGTGTCCACGAGATACTCATTTTTGGGTGTATGAAGATGGGCGTTATGAGGAAGAAGGACAAAACAATATCCGAGGAAACATTTGGGAGAAGGTAATACAGTATAAGATAACTCTTTATGACTTTATCAGACTGTGTTTTTAAGAAACCTCACTGAGTGATTCCGTTTTGGCTTTAAAAAACAGGCGTCTACGAGGTTCATGTGTGCGCTGTTTTCGTTACCTGTTCCTCACGGACAACCTCGCGGAGTGGTGCAACCACCGAGCAATTATGTAACCGTTCCGAATTATCTAGAGCATAAGAAGGCTCAGAAGCTTTTACTTCTTGGTATCGAAGGGTCTGGAACTAGTACTATCTTCAAACAGGTAATGTGAGAAAAAAATCTGCAGATTCAGTGGTTTACTTATCGAGATTAATTTCTTGTTTGGCTAAAAAAAACAGGCAAAGTTTTTGTATGGGAACAAGTTTTCGGCGGAAGAGCTTCAGGATATTAAGCTGATGGTACAGAGTAATATGTATAGATATCTCAGTATCTTACTCGATGGAAGAGAACGGTTTGAAGAGGAAGCTTTATCGCATACATTAGGCTTAAACGCCGTTGAAGGTGATTCAGGAGGTACCAATTTTTGCCATTAGAATACGATTAAACTTTCTTGATTCCTTGAAATGTTCTTTGCATTAGCTGAGTTTCTTGATTTCTTGAAATATTCTTGCAGTAACTGAGTTTCTTGGTTTCTTGAAATGTTCTTGCAGTAACGAGCTTCTTGATTTCTTGAAATGTTCTTGCACTCACTGAATTTCTTGATTACTTGAAATGTTCTTGCAGTAACTGAGTTTCTTGGTTTCTTGAAATGTTCTTGTAGTAACTGAGTTTCTTGGTTTCTTGAAATGTTCTTGCAGTAACTGAGTTTCTTAAATTCTTAAAATGTTCTTGCAGTAGCTTCTTGATTTCTTGAAATGTTATTGCAGTAGCTTCTTGATTTCTTGAAATGTTATTGCAGTAGCTTCTTGATTTCTTGAAATGTTCTTGCAGTAACTGAGTTTCTTAAATTCTTAAAATGTTCTTGCAGTAGCTTCTTGATTTCTTGAAATGTTGTTGCAGTAGCTTCTTGATTTCTTGAACTGTTCTTGCATTAACTGAGTTTCTTGATTTCTTGAAATGTTCTTGCAGTAACCGAGTTTCTTGATTTCTTGAAATGTTCTTGCAGACGAGGAAGCAAACGACGACGAAGGAGCAATCACAACGCCGCAGTGCGTCTACACCTTGAACCCGAGGTTGAAGCATTTCTCGGACTGGCTTCTAGACATCATAGCAACCGGAGATCTAGACGCGTTTTTCCCTGCCGCAACGCGAGAGTACGCTCCATTAGTTGAAGAAGTCTGGAAAGATCCGGCGATACAAGCCACATACAGACGTAAAGACGAGCTGCATTTCCTTCCCGACGTCGCAGAATACTTCTTGAGCCGGGTATGAAACAGAACTCGAGGTATTTACAGTTCTTGCTCTCATCGTTTTCAAATGTTTAACTTGTGCTTCACTTGCAGGCCATGGAGGTGTCTAGCAACGAGTACGAGCCTTCAGAGAGAGATATTGTATTCGCAGAAGGCGTTACACAAGGAAATGGATTAGCTTTCATGGAGTTCTCTCTCAACGAACAGAGTCCAATGTCTGAAACCTACCCTGAAAACCCCGACGCCTCATCGCCTCCTCAGCCGAAGTACGAGCTGATCCGTGTGAACGCAAAGGGGATGAATGATAGCTGCAAATGGGTGGAAATGTTTGAAGACGTGAGAGCAGTCATCTTCTGCATCAGCTTAAGCGACTACGATCAGATCAGCATCACACCGGAGAGCAACGGGACAGTTAGTTTCCAGAACAAGATGATCCAGAGCAAGGCGCTTTTCGAGTCGATGGTTAAGCATCCGTGTTTCGGAGAGACTCCTTTCATCTTGATCCTGAACAAGTACGATCTTTTCGAGGAGAAGCTGAACCGTGCGCCGCTGACTTCTTGCGACTGGTTCGGGGACTTCTGTCCAGTGAGGACGAGCAACAATGTGCAGTCTCTGGCTTACCAGGCTTACTTCTACGTGGCCATGAAGTTCAAGCTTCTTTACGCGTCTTTGACTGGTCAGAAATTGTTTGTGTGGCAAGCTAGGGCTAGGGAGCGAGGGAATGTGGATGAAGGGTTTAAGTATGTGAGAGAGGTTTTGAAGTGGGATGAAGAGAAGGAGGATAATTATTTGAACGGTGGTGAAGATTCGTTTTATAGTACGGATATGAGTTCGTCGCCGTATAGACCGGAGGAGTGAAAGATTCTTCTCCCGGAGGAAACTCTTTGATTGACTGATGATGATTTGTTGTTTTAATTTTTTTTGTCTTTTTAACGAAAGTTTATGTGTAATCGTTTTTGTTAAATTTGGTTATTGGTTTTGTAGAATTCTTTATTTGAATGAATAAGGTTTTGTAATTATAAATGTGGAAGATTTAAATAATAATTCGTATTTCAGATGGAATTTATTTAGTAGTTTATGATATTTTGTTGATGTATCCATCACACTATTCAGATTCAAGTCTACATTTTCAAAAACATTAGTTCTTTATCTAAAGTTTCTTTCAAATGCTTTCTTTTGTCTGAACAAAACACAAAAAAAATGGTGTATATTTTGAATTAATATTTGAATGAACCATTAGTAGAATACCTAACTATGATTACAATTAGGTAAACTGGTTCGGAATATTATCAAACTAATAACAATTCTGGTGTATTAGATTGAATCACATAATAAAGAAAACTACAACTGATCTGAGTTAGTTATTTGGCCAAAGTTGTTTTTTTTTAAAACAATTCTTTTAAGATGAAAGATAGACTATCAGTGAATTGGTGTGATCTTTTTGGACAAAGAATGATTTTGTGGATAATTTATATTTGAATATTAGCAAGATAAGAAGAAGGCAGGTTTGGTGAACTTAACCAACACTATCATGTGAGTCATGAGAGTAACTTCAATTCAAAGCAAAGGTTTTTAATTCCCTTCTTATCTTTTCTTTTTTGGCATTCTATTTATTGTCATCATTTCAACTCTCTTCAAAAACCATATTGCCAATTTAAGAAAAAAGAGTAAAATGGGTCACTTGAAGATCCCATCTACTACAACAACTCTTCTTCTTGTTCTCTTGATCTTTCACCTTCTTCTGGTTTCTGCAGATCGTACAAGAACTCAAGTCAATTTTGCAATGGACCATGCAGCCACAAGAGGAAATCAAGCTGTTGGACTGCATCCAAGACCAATGATCAACCACGGAAGCTATCGTGGGCCAAAGAAACATCTAGTGAATCCCACAGTGGCAGATGTTTACACAGTTCCTGAATCTTCAGTTTGAATGGAAGATTTGATTAGACATGATCAAGTTTGTTACAAGCAATAGAAGAAAGCATAAAGTTTCTATGTATTTTCTTCATGTCGAAGTAAAAAAACCCAAAGTGGATACTTTGAGTTCCAAAAGTGCTTTTCTTTCTTACCATTTAAAGCTGATTCAGTGAAACTTACTCGAGTAGAACTCAATGTATAACAATCCTCCAAAAAGATAAAGCCTAAAGGCTAAATCAATCCCCAAAAACTACAACTCGGAAGTAACTGAATGAGAGTGAAAAAAGGAAAGATTTTTCATTGTAGAAGAATATTGGTTGAGAGACATATAGAGCATAAGCTTACGTGCCTATATATTATATAACATACACTATGATTTGGTTTTGTTCTTGCACACAAAAGCGTAAACATAATAAACAGAGAGATTCAAGAAGTGGGGTTTGAAGAAGAAGCTTGTATCACTGTGATGATATCTCATAAAACTACTGAAGGTTAAGGAGCTTTGTTCATCCATTCTTAGATGTTACAGCCTGCATTGCATTGCATTCTTCTAGTAGATTTAGCAAGTTGTGTTCAGGTGCACTGAGCGATGGCAATATTGAACGGTTTACCGGGCTCGGGCGAGGCGGTTTAGCTACAGATCCATCAGATTCAGCAGCAGCCTCATCTTTCGCAATCTGTGAATCACCTTTCTTCCTCATAGACGCTGATACTCTCTCCTTCCAGATTCTCCCATCCTGCATTATCCCAAAACAATCACTAAAAGAATACAAATTCAATACTTAAGAGCTACACTTAGGTGAACAAGGAACCATGTTGGTTACATTTAGAATGGATGGTTCAGGCAATGGACATTGAATCGGTTGATCATTGTCCAAAGGCTCGACCGGATGTTCCACCGGTTTAAATTCGGTTGCAACTTCAATCCCATGAGTAGCGGTTGTTACAGTTGGGGTAGTTGCATCAGTAACATCAGAATTTGGAGCTAATACTTCTTTATCATCCTGATTCAAAGAGAGAGAGAGACCGTTTTCAGACAAAACCCAATTCATAGAGTTGAAAAAGGCCAAAGCTTTAAGGCATAATCATTAATCTGCAAGGAAGTAACACAAAAAAACGCAGCCTTTGGTCGAATCTGTGATTGTAACTAAAACGATTTCAAACATATCATGAACAGTATTGGAGAATCTAATACGGGAATTTCAAAATCTGAGCTAAAGGCGAGATTTTTCCACCTTTTTGGACCAAGCAAAGATCTAAACATGTTCCATAGATTGAACTTGAAGAGCAGAAGATCAATATGAATCGATCCAAACAAAGAAAATCGAAAGCTAGAGGATCAAAAAGCAAAGAGAGCTTACGATTGCACTCTGTGTTCGTCGATGGGTGCTTCTACCAACAGAAAATCTGGAAAAAATACCAACCATTGTTTGATTGAATCTGAAATGTTCAAAGGACCTCTTAAAGATAGAAATCCTCTTTGATCTTGACTTTTGAGATTCTCAGAGAAAGAAACAACTAATAATCTCAAGCAGAGGAAGAAGAAGAAGAAGGAGGAGGAAAAGGGGATTTGATTTATCTGCAACCACTTAAAAAGAAGGAAGGTTTGCTTTATATCTCCCGAAGAAGAACGTAGTGAATGGGATGATAAATGCCTTCTCTTTTAAGGCTTTTGCTTAAGCTTATTCTGCTTTTGATTTGCTTAAGCTGATTCTTACTTATGCCATCACTCTGTTTCGTTTACTTTTGCTATTTTTTTTTTTGTCTTTCAGCTTTTCTTGGATTTGGGAAATCTAATTGTCATTATTCCCCCTACTTATAAGATTTTTAGTGATGAAATTGAAATGTAATAAAACTAGTAGTGGGGAGTTATTTAAACAATTTTTGAGTACAGATAATTTTGTTATTCATGTCACTGTCCTCATTGAAAGAACATAAATAGTTTGCTTTGAAAATTAAGAGAAAAAAACAAAATTTTATATGGTTGTTAGATAGACACCCAATATCTAATTGTTAATAAGATATTTGTAAATTGGGTTGCTATTTTTTTACTAGTCAACTAGTCTCTAGACTATTGTGTTGTTTTCACAAAATGGATATTAATCAAGAATGTAACTCTCATCTCTTCCAAACTTACAAACTCTAATACATTCATAATCCTTTTAATATAAAAAAACAGTTTACAAGGTGGAAAAATCTCAAATATCGTTTAAATATTTAACGAAATTTTATTTAGATCCAAAAAAGATACTGAATATATGAATATCAAAGGTTGGCAATGTTGTTGATGTATATGTCTTTTATAAAAGTTTAAAGAATCTTTTAAACCTAAATAATGAACAAAACACACAAAAAAACAATTAAAACCCGGTCAAACCTAACCAAACAAATGATTATTATAATTGTTTTCTGTAAGATCAGAGTGAATTGGATAATGGATTTGAGATTTTGAGTCATACGTAGTTCCATAACTTGCATTCCATTTGGCGTTCAGGAACTTGGTCATATTTAGGTCTACTTTGATAGAATAAGAGTTTATTGAGAAACTGGTAATAAAACAGGAGTTTAGACCTTTTCAGGTCATAATTATAAATTTCAGACGAAATCGCAATTTCAGAAAATAACTTCCCATTGCCTTTAAACCCTAAAAAACCTAAATCATACAACTGACTCTCGTTCGGCCGTTTCAACACCACACAAACAAAAAATGGCTGGAAAAAAGCAAGAGCTTCCCGTCTCCGGCGAACCCTCAGCCGCCGTCGAGAGTCCGATGACAGAGACGATTAAGAAGAAGAAGAAGAGCAAGAAGAACAAACAATCAGAGGAAGATCAGAAGGTAGAAGTGCCTCAGGAGGTCACGAATGGCGAGGAGTTGAGTAAGAAAGAGAAGAAGAAGAAACGTAAGAGAGAGGAGAAAGAGATGGAGAAGGAGAAGAAGAAGAAGGAGGAGGACAAGGCAGTCCCGGAAAAGAAACCGGAGCCTGAGGATTCGAGTGTGAGCAACGGAGGTGGAGAGGAAAGTGAGCAGAAGGTTGTTGTGACTGGAAAAGATGTGGAGGAAGCAAAGTACGCAGCTTTAACATCGTTTGCTCAATCGAAACTGCCGGAGAATGTTCTTAGCTGCTGCAAGACATTCCAGAAACCATCTCCGATTCAGTCACATTCGTGGCCGTTTTTGTTGGACGGTCGTGATCTTATCGGGATTGCGAAAACTGGGTCAGGTTAGTTAATTGTTCTTGTGTAGTAGTTTGCATGAAAGTTTCGAAATTGGTTTTAAAAATCGAAACTTTGATTCGATTGGTATTAAAAAATCGAAACTTTTGGGTGTTTAGGTAAGACATTGGCGTTTGGGATTCCTGCGATTATGCACATGTTGAAGAAGAATAAGAATAAAGGAACAAAGAATCCGACTTGTCTTGTTCTTTCTCCGACACGAGAGTTGGCTGTTCAGGTAGATAAATAGATACCAAGTTTTTCTTCATGTTCTTGTTGCAATGTGGAAGGGAACATATTCTTAGTTTTGTGTTTTTGTTTGGTGGTGATTCGGCAGATTTCTGATGTTTTGAGTGAAGCTGGAGAGCCGTGTGGTTTGAAATCGATTTGTGTGTATGGTGGAAGCTCTAAAAGACCTCAAATTAATGCAATTCGATCTGGAGTTGTAAGTCTTTTCTTATTATGTTCTGTTTTTATCAAAACTCTGTCTTGTGTTCGCTGATCAATCAAATGACGGTTTTGTTTTAACTTGTCATTTAGGATATTGTGATTGGTACACCAGGTCGTTTGAGAGACCTGATTGAGTCTAATGAGCTTCGTCTCTCAGATGTTTCTTTTGTGGTAAGCAACAGAGACATCTTTTAATCATGTTAGTTAACTTAGCCTCTGAAGATGATTGAAAATGCATTGTTATTGCATGTATTTGCTGCTATAATGAATGAAATTTCTGAGTGATTAGAAAAGTAACAGAAGTTTCTACATGTCAGGTATTGGATGAAGCGGATCGTATGCTTGATATGGGTTTTGAGGAACCAGTCCGGTTTATATTGAGCAAGACCAATAAAGGCAAGTGGCAGTATCACATTTCACCTAGTATTCTCACCTGATGAGGAAACAACTCATGGATCTTGTTAAATCCCTGTGCCAAATTTTAATAAAAAAACATTTCTGTTTATGTATTACAGTTCGTCAAATGGTCATGTTCAGTGCAACTTGGCCTATTGATGTTCACAAATTGGCCCAGGAGTTCATGGATCCAAACCCAGTCAAGGTATGTTTTCCTCTTCAATTCATCTTTTTTCACCTTCAAGTTGTTTCATTTTCTCAAAGATCATTCAAATTTCTTTTCAGGTAGTCATAGGTTCTGTAGACTTAGCTGCTAACCACGACGTTATGCAAATCATCGAGGTATGTTCTCTCTCTGATAATTCCCTAAGCAAGTAGTGTTTTTTCCTATAGTCACATGCTTAACAAGCATATCTTTGGCTGCAGGTAATTGACGACCGTGCCCGAGATCAGCGCCTCATTGCTCTACTAGAAAAGTACCATAAATCTCAAAAGTAAATCTCCCACTTAATTATCCAACCTCTTACCAGATTTTTCCTTTTCTCACCATACTAATACCAAGGCGTTTTGGTGTTTTCAGGAACAGGGTTTTGGTGTTTGCCTTGTACAAGGTTGAAGCTGACCGTCTTGAGCGATTTCTTCAGCAAAGGTTTGATCTTTATTCCCTGAATCACCTCAACAAAAGAAAAAAAAAAAATCAATGATCATCTTTGATTGAGTTTGCTCATGAACCGCATCGATTCTAATATTTAACATAATGATTTAGAGGCTGGAAAGCTGTGTCTATACACGGAAACAAAGCACAGAGCGAACGTACTAGGTCTCTAGCATTGTTCAAAGAAGGATCTTGCCCGTTACTCGTACGTCTTCTTACTTAGTACGGCTAACAATAACACCTTGGCTGGTTCTGAAACAGAGGATTGACGCTGTTTATGAATTGTTAGGTGGCTACTGATGTAGCAGCAAGAGGGCTCGATATCCCTGACGTGGAAGTTGTGATAAACTACAGTTTCCCATTAACAACAGAGGACTATGTACACAGAATTGGAAGGACGGGAAGAGCCGGTAAGAAGGGTGTTGCACACACGTTCTTCACGCAACAGAACAAGGTATAATTTGTAGTTTAAATTTGAAAACAATATCTCAAGAGATTCTTTCTTTACTGAGATGATATATTCAAATATACTCTCTGTGTCTCTTTAAGGGTCTTGCCGGAGAACTTGTGAATGTTCTCAGGGAAGCAGGACAAGTTGTGCCAGCTGATCTTTTGAAGTTTGGCACTCATGTAAAGAAAAAGGTTTGATTTTCTAAAATCTCATTCTTGATTTCTCCACACAAACTGTTTCTTCTTCATGTGGAGTGATTGATTGTTTGGTTGAAAATTTTGCAGGAGTCAAAACTGTACGGAGCTCATTTCAAAGAAATAGCAGCTGATGCTCCAAAGGCTACGAAGATCACATTTGCTAATTCTGACGACGAAGACTAGTTTTGTGTGTTTTTGATTATTTCAATTATTATTATTTTTAATATAGTTACTTGTTGAACACTTGAAAACACCTGCCTTTGATTTTCGTCTTGTGTCTCGGCTAAGGCCCGAATAACATATAAATTTTGTTTCAGCAATTTGATTGATATACAGTGCGTATATGTTGTATGCTTTTGTTACATCCTTTACTACATTTGCCTGAAAATATAATCAAACAACTCTATCCGCTGATTCAAGAAGCAAGTAGCATGGCTTCAGCCAATGCAACTGAAGCTTAGACAACACTTTTCTTCTATACGAAAACAATGTGTGCAAACACTTTTACAAATAATGTAATTATGCAAAATGTAGTGTTTGTTTTCTTAACCAAAAGGATTGGAGTCAGACAAGATGTAATTTGACTGTCATCGAGTAAAAAGACTCATGGAAGCTTCCTAGAACCATCTCCTGATTTCAACACCCGCCCAAATTTAGCAGGGACTTAAATGTAGTTTTCAACTTAATTTTGGACCTTTGCAATGAACCAATTAAGATCACATTTCAGAAATTGTTGAGATCAAGCAAATATTGTACATGTGGCAGCTCTCTCTCTCTCTCACAAACTGTCAATAGTTGATGTAGTTAGGAGACTACAAATTTGTGTAGCTGGGAAAAGAGGTGAAGAGGTATTTTAGATTACTAGGTGTTTGACCCGCGCATGCGCGGATCTGTTCTAATGAAAAATTAAACTGTTATATATATATATATTTTTTACAAACGCTTCACATTTGTGAGTGGGAATGCCACTAAATTTAAAGAATATATTTTCTTTAGTTTGATTCTCACAACTTTCATATAAAATTAAGTAGACAATTACTGTATGTCAAACAATACTTTTTAACTCATGTCAAACAATAGTTTTTATTCATTTGTGAGATCATAAATTAATAATTTTATGCTTTTGGAAGTGTAGGAGGACACACGCAGTAACAACCGGTACCAAAACACAATGGTTTGCAACCTGGCCTACAAAAACTAGTTCCTTTTTCCTTAATCGGTGAAGCTTCAAGTTGGAGAGAAGTTTCTTCATGTAACATACGTTTTGCCTCAACAATCTGAACTGTTACGGATATCATCACTGCAAATACAATAATTAAGCATAAATAACATAATCTAATTGTTTGCCATCACATAAACTAGATATGTAAATAAATATTGCATAAGGTTTATGTAATGGATTTAGAGGTACATATTATATAAAACACTAATTACTTACCAGTAAAAGCTAAAAGAACGAGGAAAACAGACTTCAATGAAAATTTAACCATTGTCATAGAAAGTTTTGTTTTGTTCTCTGATAATCTTGTAGAACAACAAAGACAAAGTGATTGATATATCTATGGACAATGTACAAAGTTTTTATAGCAGAGAGGTGTGGTAAACACAATTAACAGATAAGAGGAAGATAAGATCAAATCTCCTCAAAATAGTAGTATGTACACGTAATTTCCTAAACAGAAAATCTGGAAGATATACACTACACGACAGCCGAGCGCCAAAGGCTAAAAGAGCGTTACTTTCCTAATTTCATTGGACCGTTCCGTTACATACACAACACTCACACACACTAGTCTTCCTTCTTCTTCATTCATCTCCTGCTTCCGCTTCTGTATCAGAGACACGGTGGTGAGAAAATGACGGCGGCCGTAGTAGCCGCGGCTCAGATGAAGAAGCTCTAAAACAATAAAAAAAGGTATACCATTTAGAGGAGCTAAAGCCACGATTAAAGATAGAAAGGCTAAATTTCAGGTATTTTAGATTATTTACTAAATTGATTTTAAAACTTTAAAAATTACATGGATTTAGTCTTCAGATATTTTAATATTTTATACAGATTTACTGATTTTCTTTTTATGGTAGTAGATAAAGTCTACTGTAAATTTTCATTAAATAAATGGAAAACTTGTTAAGAAAAAACAAAAAAAGTTTCGGCAGACTTGGTTCGCAAGTATCAACAACAAATAGTTCGAAGCCTACCAGGAGTTGGATTTAGAGTATTACTCTTAAGTCTCTCTCTATATAATAAACACATCAGACAATTCTCTAACAAATTCCCAATTTCTCTCCTTTTTGTAGCTTTGAAACCCTAATCAAGTCGAGAGAAAGAGTGTGCAAAAAAGTAAAAAAGTAAGCAGAGACAGTCTCTTCTCTTTCTTAATTTTGCTAATTTCTTTCTTCCTTCGCAGGATTTAAGCTTTTTGATACGATAGCAAGTTAGCAACCGATTATGTCTTACGAATATCATCTCGCGCTTGCGGAGACGGATGTAAGCTCGAGGAACTTCCGTAATTTGATTGATGCCGCTGTTATGCTATACGAAGAAGAACACCGTAAGAAAGGAAAATCCAAATGCCACACGAAGACAACTCCCTCTGAAGAAGAAGGAGAAGCAGAAAGTGACAAGATGAGTTTCTTATATAACTTCCGGAGAAAAAGAAGGTCTTCGGTTGCTTCTAGTAGAAGAAACCCAGAACAAAACCATGAAAATCTTAATGGTGCTTCTACTTCTTCATCGCTCGTCGAGCTTAACACGATCTCCGTTGATTCTAACCCACCTCTTCAGTGGTTTCCTTTTTCTTCATCATCATCATCGCTTCTTTAACATGCTCGCAGCTCATCCCGTGATGGAAAGCCAACAAAACCCTCCTTCTTCTTCAACCTTACTCGTCGAAGACAACACGGCTGAGGTAGAGAAGAAGGAGACGACGACAATCCCACCAAACCCTAATTCCCAAACGTGCAAAACAAACAACACAAAGCGCAAGAGACGTGCCGTGCAAGAGAGTAGTACTACTACTGCTGGTAGTATATCCAAGAAAGCAAAAGTTGTTTCGTATTCATGGAAAGGGAAAGAAGCTCCAGAGTGGCTTTTTGAGTTGATTAAAGACATGGAGGAACAAAGGGAGAGCCTCAGAACTTATCCGGTCCTGCCTAGGGCCTTCAGTCTCAGAAGCCCCGAGGCTCATCTTTGAGAAGACTCTGACGAAAACAGATCTCAGACCAGGCCAGAGCCGTCTCTTAATGCCTTTCAATACACTCGTCTGTAACGACTTCTTGACGCCTGTGGAGTTGAATATCTTAGCCGAAGTTCGAGAAGTCGGGGGCGGAGTTGGAGCGATTCTAGTGGATAAACAGAAAGCAAAGTGGGGTTTTGTTTTGAATGAATGGGGCATGATGAAAGCTTCAGGGAATGGAACCATGAATTACGCTTTGATTTGTGGGTGGAACGATATTGTTAAGGGTAACGAATTGAAAATCGGCAGCTTCATCAGTATTTGGTCTTTCAGGTTGTTTGGACTCCTCTGCTTTGCCCTTGTTCTTCCTCCTCATACGGATTAAAAAACACTTTTTCTTGCTCTCTAGCTAGATCTGTCTCTGACAAGTTTCTTGTCTATAACTTGATTGATGTAGCCTCTAGTTTCAGGTGATTCTTAAGGGTTTTTTGTTTTTGTTTTGTCTAGTTACAATTAGGGTTTTACTAGGAGTGTGATCTGGTGTTTTGTATTTTTTGACTATGGTATGAAGTTAACATTTCGACATGAATCTGGTTTCTTGTTAGGTGTAATTTTTAGTTACTGCATTGATTTCTTGTGATGTATCATATATCTTAATGTCTGAACCTTTGTCATGGAATTGATCCAATCGTGCAAGTGTTCTTTTATACTCAATGAGAATCTGATTTTCAACTCAGTCTAGAGTGAGCAAAATGATAAAACTAGAAACGAAATTTGTTGCCAAGAAATGTGTTTATTGTGTTGGCAACTATATTATATACTTTTACCAAAAAATTATATTATATACTCTCTATCCTTGAACTTACTTCTGCCGTTCATGAGCTTTATAGCTGTTTATTTATATTTCCACTTTGCATGCGATCACTTCTTCAGCCACTTCTATAAGTACAACCTTTGAACATCTTACATTTCAAGCTATCATGTATTCGCTTTGGAGGGAAAGGAATTCACGTCTGCATTCTTTTATTTCGAAAACTTCTCACCTCCTGGTCAAAGATATTCAACTAATTATGAGAGCAAAGCTTTTTGGGATGGATCGAAAGCTCCAATCTTTGTCTCATCTACCAGCAGATCAGACGGAAACCTTTTTGACTACATGGTTCTCTTTCTTCCAGCAATGATCTAGCTTTCTTCGCTGGACTTATTTTAACCACCACCGCCTCATTCAAAATGGTTATATATATTGTTGTCTCCACTATGCTGTCATGCTGATATATGTTGTAATCTTTTGTTTACTCATCTTCTATTTGCTTCGTTGTATTTTTAAATGGTACCTCTTTCGGAGGAGAAGAAGATGAATAAAAAAGGATATGTTAAAAAAAAAAAAGAAAAAAAAAAGAAGAAGTCCTAAAGATAACAAAGCTTAATCTTAGTTTTTTTTTTCTCTCTCTTCCATTCTTTCCAAATATTATTTTATTTCTTTTACATTTTTCCTTACTATTATTTTCCTTATTTTCCTATTTCCTTTTTTACTCATATCCTCTATAGTCTATATATTAAAATCATACATCAACAAATTTACAGCCACAAGCATAGAACATAGAGCCAAAACCCTAAAACAAAAAAACTAAACTAAACAGCACATAACATTACGGTCTCGCTTAAGATATATTTTCCCATTCGCGATGATGAACGTGGAAAAGAAGGATCGTGAAAGAGAGTCTGAAGCTTCGGAGCAAGTTGTGAATCCATATAAAGTGTCCGGAAAAGACGGCAAGGAGATCGATTACGACAAGCTTATTGACAAATTCGGCTGCCAAAGGCTCGACGAGTCACTGATTGATCGTGTTCAAAGACTTACTTCTCTTCAACCACACGAATTCCTCCGCCGTGGTGTCTTTTTCGCCCACAGGGATTTCAATGAGATTCTGGACGCGTATGAGAGAGGAGTTTTATCTCTACACTGGGAGAGGACCGTCATCGGAAGCTTTGCATTTAGGGCATTTAATTGCTTTCTTGTTTACCAAATACTTGCAAGAAGCTTTCAAGGTTCCTCTTGTTATACAGCTAACGGATGATGAAAAATTCATGTGGAGGAAGGACTTGACTGTAGAAGAAAGTAAAAGACTTGCCAGAGAAAACACTAAAGATATAATTGCTTGTGGATTCGATGTAACGAAGACCTTCATTTTCTCGGATTTCGGCTATAATGAACCTGCTTTCCGTGAAAACGTGGCGGAGATTTCAAAGCGCGTTACACTTAATCAGGTTATAGGAATCTTTGGCTTCTCCGGGGAAGATAACATCGGGAAAATCGCTTTCCCTCCGGTACAGGCAGCTCCATCTTTTCCTAGCTCATTCCCACATTTGTTCCCTGGCATGGACAATCTCCGTTGCCTGATTCCTTGTGCAATTGACCAGGATCCTTATTTCAGAATGGCTCGTGATGTTGCACCTCGGTTAGGCTATAACAAGCCTGCTCTAATTGAGTCATCATTCTTTCCTGCTCTACAGGGATTTAGTGGGAAAATGTCTGCTAGTGATCCAAGTTCCGCTATCTATCTGACTGATACCGCCAAGGACATTAAAGAAAAGATAAACAGTGCCTTGAGTGGTGGGCAGAAGTTGTCCGTGGAGCAAAAAGAACACGGAGCAAATCTCGAGGTAGACGTACCGTTCAAGTATTTGAGTTTCTTCCTCAACGATGATTCTGAACTTGAACACATTAGAAAGGAGTATGGAGAACCAGGAGGACGAATTCAAAGCGGAGGCGTAAAGAAGCGACTCACTGAAGTGTTGACAGAAATTGTGGAGAGACACCGTAAGGCTCGAGCTGCCGTTACCGAGGAGATGGTGGATGCTTTCATGGACGCGAGACCTCTCCCAAGCATGCTCGAGTAGGAGTGTAGGATACATCAAATTTAAAGATTTTTAATGTTGATTGTATTAAGCACATAAACTATTGATGGTTTATAACATCGCTTGTATCTATCAAAACCATTCAAACCTTGCACAGACTACTGATGGTTTTATTTATTTATTTTCTGCTTTAAAAAAAAAAAAAAATACTTAAAGGCAAACAAATCTAACGTCGGTTTACCACAGTTGCCGCCGGTTTAAAATACCTAGTGGTCTGTCATCTGTGTATTGATGAGAGTCAACTTATTATAATAACTTATTATAAGCCTAATATAGGTTTTTGTATTTCGATGAAATGGCTTGCGCAAGAAGGAATATTCCAAATATGTAGTTGGGCTTGAAAGTGGAAGAAACACCCTAATAACTTTTTTTTTTTTTTTTTTTTTTTTTTGATAAAGAAGAAACACCCTAAAATAATTGTTCAAAGAAGGATCCTGCCCGTTACTGGTACGTTTTCTTACTTAGTACAGCTAACAATAACACCTTGGCTGGTTTAAAACAGAGCATTGACACTGTTTGTGAATTGTTGACACTGTTTGTGAATTGTTAGGTGGCTACTGATGTAGCAGCGAGAGGGCTCGATATCCCTGATGTGGAAGTTGTGATAAACTACAGTTTCCCTTTAACAACAGAGGATTATGTACACAGAATCGGAAGGACAGGAAGAGCCGGTAAGAAGGGTGTTGCACACACGTTCTTCACGCAACAGAACAAGGTATAAATTTTTAGTTTAAATCTCAAAACAACACCTCAAGAGATTCTTTGAGAAGATTCTTTTTTTTACTGAGATGATATAATCAAATATACTCTCTGTATCTATTTAAGGGTCTTGCCGGAGAACTTGTGAATGTTCTCAGGGAAGCAGGACAAGTCGTGCCGGCTGATCTTTTGAAGTTTGGCACTCATGTAAAGAAAAAGGTTTGTTATGATCATATTCTTGAGTCTCCACACTAATTGTGTCTTCTTCTTCTCTATGGGGACATTGTGGAGTGATTGATGTTTGATTTGAAATTTTTGCAGGAGTCAAAACTGTACGGAGCTCATTTCAAAGAAATAGCAGCTGATGCTCCAAAGGCTACGAAGATCACATTCGCTAATTCTGATGACGAAGACTAGTTTTGTGTGTTTTTGATTATTTCAATTATTATTTTTTAAATATTATTACCTGAACACTTTGGAAAAACATGCATTTGATTTTCGTCTGGTGTCTCGGCTAGGCCCGAATAACAGATAAATTTTGTTTCAGCATTATGGTTGATATACATTATGTTGTATGCTTTTGATACATCCTTGATTACATTCGTTTACTGAAAATATAATCAAAGAACTCTATCCACTGAGCGTAGTCGATTGGCGGCAGCCAGTGCAACTGAGCTGAGACACTTCACTTTTCTTCTATACGAAAACAATTTATGCACAAAATGAAGTGTTTGTTTTCTAACCAAGAGGTTGGAGTCAAACAAGATGCGATTTGACTGTTTTGGGGTAAAAGGACTCATGGAAGCTTCCTAGATCCAATCTCCTGATTTCAACAGCCGGCCCAAATTTAGCAGGAGCATATAATATTTTGGATCTTTGCAATGAACCAATTAAGAACACATTTCAGAAATTGTGGAGATCAAGCAAATATTGTACATGCTGCGTCTCTCTCTCTCTCTCAATAGTAGATATAGCTAGGAGACTACAAATTTGAGTAGCTGACAAAAGAGGTGAAGAGTTCGTGTGATTTTGAGTTTTATGGGGGTTAATTGATATGCCTTAAGAGTTTATCCAAGAAGGAAGAGAAGCATGAGTAATGACGTGGAGGAATCAGCTTGAGCAAAGACCCTCTTTCTGGCAGAGGCTTTGCAGTTTCTTTTACTTAAGAGTATAAATAAGAGACAGTTGCTTTGGAGATCTTTTATCGATTGATCATTGTAGTTGAGAGAGAGTGAGACTTTGTGAGAGAGTGATTCTTGTTGAGAGATTCACTAATCGCATTGTACTTTGAGGTTAATGTATGGAAATGGTACTCTGTTCATAACATAAAATTCATGGAGTTATAAAGACTGTTATAGTCCCTTTCAAAATTTACGTTTTTGATTCTCTACACATTGGTTTTTCGAGCCTATTTTTTCATCATAATGTTACATCCATATTCAACATCTCAGTTATTTTGGATCATTTACTAATTTTCTTAATAAAACTTTAAAAATTACTTGGATTTAGTCTTCAGTTATTCTATACAGATTTACTGATTTTCTCTTTATGGTAGTAGATAAAATCTACTGTAATTTTTATTAAATAAATGGAAAACTTGTTAAGAAAAAGAAAAAATTAAGTTTCGGCAGACTTGGTTCGCAAGTATTAATAACAAGTAGTTTCGAAGCCTACCAGGAGTTGGATTTAGAGTATTACTCTTAAGTCTCTCTCTCTTGCCTCTATCTATATAATAAACACATTGGACAATTCTCTAACAAATTCCCAATTTCTCTTCTCTTTTGTAGCTTCGAAACCCTAATCAAGTCGAGAGAAAGAGTGTGCAAAACGTAAAAGAGTAAGCACAGGCAGTCTCTTTCTTCCTTCGCAGAATTTGAGCTCCTTTTGATCCCATAACAATCGATTATGTCTTACCCATATCATCTCGCGCTTGCGGAGACTGATGTAAGCTCGAGGAACTTCTGTAATTTGATTGATGCCGCCGTTATGCTATACGAAGAAGAGCACCGTAACAAAGGAAAATCCAAATGCCACACGAAGACAACTCCCTCTGAAGAAGAAGAGAGTGACAAGATGAGTTTCTTACATAACTTCCGGAGAAAAAGAAGGTCTTCGGTTGCTTCTAGTAGAAGAAACCCGGAACAAAACCACGAAAACTTAAATGGTGCTTCTACTTCTTCATCGCTCGTCGAGCTGAACACAATCTCCGTTGATTCTAACCCACGAAACCCTCTTCAGTGGCTTCCTTCTTCTTCATCATCATCATCGCTTCTCAACCAACAAAACCCTCCTTCTTCTTCAACCTTACTCGTCGAAGACAACACGCCTGAGTTATACAAGAAGGAGATGACGATAATCCCACCAAACCCTAATTCCCAATCGTGCAAAACAAGCAACACAAAGCGCAAGAGACGTGCCGTGCAAGAGACTAGTACCACTACTGTTATTAATTCCAAGAAACCAAAGCTTACTCCTTATTTGTGGAAAGGGAAAGAAGCTCCAGAGTGGCTTGTCCAATTGATTAAAGACATGGAGGAACATGAAGGGAGAGCCTCAGAACTTATCCGGTCCTGCCTGGGGCCTTCAGTCTCAGAAGCCCGAGGCTCATCTTTGAGAAGACTCTGACGAAATCAGATCTCAGACCAGGCCAGAGCCGTCTCTTAATGCCTTTCAATACACTCGTCTGTAACGACTTCTTGACGCCTGTGGAGTTGAATATCTTAGCCGAAGTTCGAGAAGTCGGGGATGGAGTTGGAGCGATTCTAGTGGATAAACAGAAAGCAAAGTGGGGTCTCTATTTGAATGAATGGGGCATGAAGAAAGCTTCAGGGAATGGAACCATGAATTACGCTTTGATTTGTGGGTGGAACGATATTGTTAAGGGTAACGAATTGGAAATCGGCAGCTTCATCAGTATTTGGTCTTTCAGGTTGTTTGGACTCCTCTGCTTTGCCCTTGTTCTTCCTCCTCCTATGGATTAAAAACGTTTTGTCTTGCTCTCTGTCTCTGACAAGTTTCTTGTCTATAACTTGATTGATGTAGTCTCTAGTTTCAGGTGATTCTAAGGTTTTCTTTTTTTGGTTGTCTAGTTACAATTAGGGTTTTACTAGGAGTGTGATCTGGTGTTTTGTATATTTTGACTATTGTATGATGTTTAACATTTTGACATGAAGCTGGTTTCTTGTAAGGTGTAATTTTTGATACAGCATTGATTCCTTGTGATCTAAACCTTTGTGATGGAATTGATCCAATCGTGCAAGTGTTCTTTTTTATACTCAGTGAGAATCTGATTTTAATCTCAGTCTACAGTGAGCGAAATGATAAGATTAGAAACAAATTCAAATTTGTTGCCAAGGCATGGTGTTTTTTGTGTTGGCAAAATGTATATATACATACACATACTCTGCAAGTTTCAAAGAGAGAATCATCGAGCAAGAAACTGTCAATAGTTAAATTCCAAATCTATACTCTCTATCCTTGAACTCACCAAGCACCACATCGTTTGAGAAATCATCCTCAAATCGAAATCGCGTCTGCGGTTCATGAGCTATATATGTATATATAGCTGTTTATTTCCACTTCGCATGCAATGATCTTCATCCACTTCTATAAGTACAACCTTTTTCGTTGGATCGATTTTGATGACAAACTTTTGTTTCTGTTCATGCGCTCGTTCTTGGTGCTGTCGCATTTCTTGTCGCGGCTATAGGTGATAGTTCTTTTGATTATTGAGCACAAGCTTTCACTCTACACACTACACACACATGAAAGATGGAAATAAACAATTTAGGGAAATCGAGAAAGTAAGTGGATATTTAGGAAAACATAAAACAAAAGTATGAATTTTTGGAGAAACAAACAAAAATGAACAATATTAGAAAGGTCTCATGAGGCTCATTCGAACTCAAGAAAATGGGGTCAATTAGGGCCGCGCCTACCTAACGTTATGTAAAAAAAGGCATGAGCCACATGCATGCCCCATATATTTAAAGATTTCGGGGCTCCTCATATATATTTTAAAGTCTAGCTTGGTGTAAGGCCTTTTAACAAAAAAAAAATTCTAGCTTGGTGTAATGGTAGTGGTCAGTATTTTTCAATGAGGAAGGGACAAGTTTGAGTATGTTTCTATGAGGAAGTGAAAAGTACGAGATTGTTTATACTCCTTCTATTTTAAATTAGTTGTCGTTTTGGAAAAATGTATCTGCAATTATTTGGATTTATTTAAATGTATTTTAAATCAGGAAATAAGGAAATAAAATATTTACAACGGAAAAGGAAACTAAAATTAAAAAAAAAATATATATATATATATATAATGTATTTATATATATATATATGTGTGTGCTTTTTGGGTTGAGTTATCTACAAAGGTAATATAAATTTAGATTCTCAATTAGTTGTCATGCACAATAAAATTAATACCAGGAAATTTTATATAATTTATGAGGGTGTTAAAAATCTTGGTTGGTGATGAGAATTTGGTGAAATATTTGTGAAAGTTTTTTTTTAGATCGTTTTGTCTAAATATAAAATTTTCATGTGTTCAAAACTAGATTATAATTATTTTAAAAAGGGGAAAATCGCATAAAAATCCCAGTCATATTATTTTAACTATTATTTCAAACCTTCAAACTGAAATTTTTAAAACATATAACCTTTAATCTAACACTTATGTTTATGTTTGTGCCTTGACCCCAACCTGGGTCCGCCACTAGTCATCTCACTATAACATGGGAATGTGTCGTGTCGGTTTCAAACGAACTTGTACTGTATATTCCGTGGAATTAATAGTCCGGCTCACCCAGAATATTAACCAGCCGTGATAAATTAATCATTATTAGCATGGGTGTCTCCGAATGTCCGTCAGAGAAATTCCACAACTATACATTTTAAGCCATGATTAAACTAGCTCACAAAACTTATTGTTACAAACTTACAATAACCGTAAAAACATGTGGAGGTATCCAAAGTGGGGCCAGAGAGAATGGAAACGGCTCCGTACAGAGGGACTAAAACGGAGATAAGACACGTCCTCCTCCGTAATAGAGATACGCAGAGAGAAAGTGTAAAGTCTCCGAGTCTGTGTGGTCCCGACAAAGAGAGAGCTGACACAATTACTTACTTTTTTTTTTTTTTTTTTTTTTGACCAAAGGCATTCATATTTAAAACAGGAAGAAGAAAAAATTACAAGCCATAAAGCTATAGTGTTTAAGCAAGCCCATTGCTAGTTTGGTACATAATAGTTAAGATTAAAAGCCCAGCCCATAGTCTAAACGGAAATAAGAGTTTCAATCAAACCCATCCTAAGAAATCAGAGCGACGATTACGGTGCAGAGGAGAGCCAAAGTTGAAGAAGCCGAGATGCCAAGCCGGTGTTTGATTCCCGGTAACTAGCAATCCGATTCCTTATTTGTCGATCAATGGAGGTGACGATGGAGTTTTCCGTCTTGAAGACTCCACGGTGAAGTCTTCCATTCCTCTCCGACCAGATCCAGTATATTGAAGCTTGCCATGCAATAAGCGATAGTCTGCGCCATAGTTTTCCAGAAGATAGAGAGATCATCTGGTTAATGGACTGATCCCAGGATCGAAGCGGCTGCATGTTACATCTCCTTGCCACCGATCTCCAGATCCGCCAGCTCATGTCGCATTCAAAGAGAAGATGATCCCTGCGCAACATTTGCCCTAGTCCTTCTTCTTCTCTGGCTTCTCTGGCTCTCCGCCGTCGTCTACAATAACTTCAGTGACCTCAATGATTTCTTGATCTACTTGAAGGCAAACAAATCCGAAGTCGAATCACAGTTGCCGCCAGTTTAATACTCCGGAGTATCTCTTATTCTCGTGGTTTGTGTATGCATGGATGAGTCATGAGTTTAGGGTTCAGTTGGTATAACTCTAATTAATTATATTAGTGCCTCCGGTTTAAATGAAAAAGTGGTTAAGCTGGTTTATGCTTAACCAAAAGCATGCGTGTTTATTAACATATGTGTATGAAAAGTGTAAAATGACTATATAAAGTGGTATACTCTTTCATCTAAGATTCCCTTATTAGATTTGAGAAAATTTTCAACAGATCAGAGGGCTTGAGAGTTCGATTTTGAGCTGTTCTAGTGAATTGCTGGAGATTCCAACTTTGGAGACGTAGCTATCTCACATCAAGAAATCAACTCCGGATGAATATTCTCTCTTTTCTGTTTTTCTTTTATCCTTCTTTTATTTCGACTTCGAGTTAAAGCGCAGAGGAATCTAGGTTAGAGTTTATTTTAATCGACCATAAAACCAAATCTTTGGATTATGATTAAGGTAGGGAAGAATATGAATCTTCCTTTGAAACTTTCTTCTATTAGGGACATCTCCAATGTATTAACCCATATTTGACTCCAAAATGAAAAAATCTCAAAATGGAGTTGAGTTTTTCTCCAATGTATTGCCTCATTTTTTGTTCAAAAAGAATATTTTAAGTATATTCTCTTTGAAAAACTTTTTATCAATTATTAAATTTACATTGTATATTTATATATATTACAAATTGCCCCATAATTGTTTTTCTTCAAAATTTTCACAATTTATATATTACAATTTGGAGTGGAGAAAACTAATATGATCTAGATTTCCCCGGGCTTAAAATTTCCATCGAGCATATATAATTTGGAGTCTTTTATAAAATTGAGATGAATCTTCCTTTGAAACCATTAACGTCTTGGAGTTTTAATTTAAAGGGTCAACAAATAAAAGCTTTAGAGAAACACAACAAATAGTTGACAATATTGATAATCAGATAAAAATATTTATACACAATATATAGATAATTGTGTATAAACACAACAAATAGTTTCATTTCTTATTCTCACTTCAAGCACTTACAAATCTTCGCACGGCACTGGAATCACCTTACACTTCAAAAAATATGGTCATATGATACAAAAATATGCCGGGTCGGCTGGTGGTATAAATGCATGGATTAACGTAAAAAAGGAGCGACAATACATAGTCTAATATATACTACTATCGTGTTTTCGTACTTGTCTAATGTTATGTTTTACATTTCGCAAGGGTCACGTAAGATCACTTTATTGGAATTAAAAAATATATATATACAAAAACAAATCCCACACGTATGCAAAAAAGCATTTGCGGATTTGCTCTGCCCATCCTAGAATTGAGTATGAAAAACGATCCACTGGTCAAAAGTGTTTGCAATATCCTTGATTGACTCTCAAGACACAGAAAATGAAGATGATGTTCATATACAACGTCACAAGAGTACCTTAGAGCACATGTATCTCAGAGAGGAATAGAGGTTCTGGCCCACTAAATTTCAGGGCCGGCCCTGGCCATACCCTTTCACAATCGCCTCTTTGCAACGAGACTGTAGAGTTGTTTCGCTGACACAGTTCGATATGTTTTATGATCTAATTGAGTCGTTTTTTTTTCTCGAATTTTTTTTGTTTGTTATCAAATGCTAAAGAGCTTCAACTCGGTCTTTGAAATACATATGCCCTTATCATATCAAAGATTGAAGAATTGAAACTTAATTTCCACTTGTCTTTCTCTTATTTTATTTTTTTGCTTGTAAATGATACATAACGTTTTTCTTGGGAAAATTTGGACTAATATTACACAAATTAAAAATATTTTGAAAACTAACCTCTCTTTTGAGATGTTTGAATACTAACCTTTTTAATAATCAAAATTATTAAAATACCCCCCCAATTTTTCAGACATAATAATTGTTTTAAATTTATTTTATAATATCCTAAACTAATATTATTTAAATTAAAAATAATATTTTTCCGTTATTCTAAATATACATAAACATTTGTTTTTATTTTATTATAACTGAAAAAATAGAAATAAAAAATTGTCTCTCATATTCCCAACTGGTATACCATAATCCCAAAAATATTCTTAAGATAAAATCTTTAACAATAGAAAAGAAAAATATAATTTTCGCAAGTTGGGTAGATGAAGCACGAAATACGAGGCCGCCGCCGCACTTCTTCTTCTCCCTTCAGAATGAGATTTGCGTCGTCGTCACCCCTCCGTCCGCCGTAGTTTCGTTGCTCCCCTGAAGCCACTTCTCTGATTGGTCTTCCCCGACTAGCCGGAGTTTGCTTCGCCCCTCGTCGAACCGCTTTTCCGACGAGTTTCCTCCTTGTTTCAAGATGTCACCAACTGCAGAACCCTCCATTTTCCGGCGAGTTCTAACGGCCTCCTTCTCTCTCCGGAGGACTGAAGAGATGGTTATTGTGGCGCCTTTGAGGACGGGTTTCCAGATCTGTCTTTCCTCTCCACCGGAGCCGTCTGATCGAGCGCCGTCTAGCTCTCGCCGCCATCTCCTCCTCAATCCGATGCAGTCTAGGCCTCTCCATCCCCTAGAGCCGTCGGATCCGCCAGATCCACCGGATCCCGTCCTGCCTGACCTCTGTGGATCTAGTCTCCTTACCTCAACCTTGGATCTATCCCCTGCTCCACCGTTTGAAGCCTCTCTCCCATCGGCCAAAGCCTCAAGAAAATGTTTCTCTCTCTCAGCCTCTACCAAGCTTACTTCCGCCGGCCAGGTTATAGCTTCCGACCCCCTCTCATTTTCATCCCTTCGTCTCGCCGGAAAACCTCTTCCGCTCCTCCACCATCATGCCTCTCCAATCGCTCCTGAGAATGGGTTCCTTCAAAACCTCGAAGACCATTCTCCCAATCCAAAACAAGTGCTCAAAAAGTCAAATCTTACAAAATCAAAAGCCGGTTTTGGGAAGCTTAGCTTATCAACCTCCTTCCTTGATGAATCTACGGTACCGACCGGATCTCTTGGGATATTATCCGACATTGCCAATTCGGGTTTCATAATTTTTAACAACTATTGTCAAATCCGAAAATGAGTCCAGCAAGGTGCTTTGACCTCCTCTCTCGATTGCTCATCTTTTCCCACTCAAGCTGCTTCAATCTCATATGCTTGTTTAGTGGTCGACACATTTGCTCGTCTAATGTCATATCTACGGGATCAAATGCCGGGACATCATCTGCGGTTCTAGAGTATTGCCGATTTACTGGTGTATCTCCGAACTTGCTCCTTTCCTCAAAGGAGACAGTCTTCAAACGCTCAGCACAAGCTATTAGTGTTGTTCATCCGTCTTTAATGGTAGAAGAACTTCAGATCGATCTGAGAACGATCTTCTTAGAAGCCCTATCAAATAAGCTTCCAATTTGTTTCTATGACTCAAATTGCATAACCTATCCATCTAATGCTTTATCTTTCATTTCTGCAACAAGTAATTTTTACTCCTTGGCAAAGAGTCTATTTACTGCTGTTACTGTAATCGTTTGAGTTTAGTTTTAATGAAAAGTTGATCAGAAAAAAAAAAAAAAAAGAAAAGAAAAATATTCTGAAGATTTGATTTGAAATATAAACTATCAGATAAATAAATAAAAAATATGAGTTTAACCTTCAAGTATCTCATAAACTTTTTAGAGACTGAAGCATTATCTTTTCTATGTTAAAAAAATGGTGCAGATTTTTGAGTTTATGGAGATTGAGTGATGCAAAAGAAATTATGGAATCTGTGATGAATCATAAGAAAAGGAGGCAAGTTATTTGAAATTGTAGATAAATATAACTAATATTGTTATTTTTCATATATCTGAAATTTAAAGATATCTAAAATTAAGATATATATTTTTTTGTTTTAATTAATTATAATTTCAAAAAAAAACTGAATAATGATTTTAATGTTTTTTCACTTATTAAAAAAGGTTAGTTTTCAAAAATAAATTAAAAAGGGTTAGTTTTCATCAAAACAGATGAAATGTCTCCCACCGACCGGAATTGGAGTCGGTCCTCTTTTCCCGTGGATCTGCTGGACAATCTGGACAGCATGAAACCACCTCTTGTTCGAAAACCACTCCTTCCCACCGGAAGAGACAATCCTGAAAGCAATTGTGGCAGCCCAGAATGGCAACAAGCGCAATTAAAGACGAGATCAACACCCACAACAAAACCATGAACAACACAACACCCAAGCACAAGAAGAGTTATTTGCTTCACGGATGGAGCTTGGCATGCAAATTCCACAATGGCGGGATCGGGATGGATTTTCTTCGACAGCACCGTAACTGAGATCGACAGAGAAAGCTCGGCGGAAAAATATGTCTTCTCCCCGATCATGGCGGAAGCTATTGCCATTCGATCTGCTCTAAATCAGGCTCTGGAAATCGGCTACGACGATATCCAAATCAACTCCGACGCTCAGGATCTCATCCGAGCAATCAATTCGCATGAGCAAATCAAAGAGATCTACAATCTTCTATTTGATATCAACGCTCTAGCTTCTATGTTCACCACTATCTCGTTTAATTTCGTTCCTAGATCGGAAAATTTGGCAGCAAACAGATTAACAAAAGACGCTATTCTCGAAGCTTCCATTTCCGACTTAAGGCTCCCTTTGTATGTTCTTGTTTTTAATGAGAAGCAGTTCAAAAAAAAAAAAAAAAAAAAAGCATACGATAAATTTATTTGCAGAAACGATTGTAAACCATTTATAAGTATGATATATTGTGATCCAATTATGGAAAATGAGATGTAATTATTTTCTAACCAAAAGGCAAGTACGTAGTCAAACAAGATGAGTTTCTTTGCTCTCATTTGTCTATTTTTGTTTTTCTTTTATGATCCTAACTTCATCGATGAAGCCAACCTTAACACAACTCCTGAGGTTTGTCAAGAAAGAGGTCCTTCAGGCTTCAGGTGGAGAAGTAATTAAGTGCGACCGATATCATGATATGTATTCTGTTGGGATATCAATCCAAGTCCCACATCATGTTTTCCCCAGCTCATATCATTTTGCTGCATCTACGTGGGTTGGAGTATAACATTTAAAAGAAACTTATATGAGTTTGTAATAGTAAAGATGCAATACACATACATAGTATTAGTAACAACCTCTTAAGCATTTTTTTTCTCTCTCGTCTCACAAGCGTAACCAAACATTTATTAACTAGGATTATCGAAAAGGGAAAGGAAAATTCAAACATTTATTAAGACAACAACAATTATCTTGACTCTATATATATAGTCGTTCATGAAAGCTTCTCTCTCTCAAATTCTTTGGTAGATAACAAGTGGCTGGTTAATCAATCATTTCTCAATTAGATTGAGTAAACTTGTGGAGCCAAACGTGGTGTTGCAACCGCGTGTAAAGGTTTTGCCATAAAAAGGTCACTCTTGCCTTCCGAAACGTCAATTTTACTCTCACCAGGCACTGGTGACCACGAGAACCCTTGAATCAACCGAGCAAGCAACATATACGTCATGGCCGACCCAATGTTCGCACCCATGCATCCTCTTCGTCCCGTGCTGAACGAAATTATATTGAGATCTGGATCGTGAAGCTCCACGTTTATGTTAGCCTTCAAATGTCTCTCAGGGTCGAACTTAAGTGGCTTCTCCCACACGTTAGGGTTTCTTCCGATCCCCATACGACTGATCAGCACGTGGCTTCCCTTGGGGATGAAGTAACCGTCCACCACCGCGTCGGCTGTCGACATATGAGGGAGGTTGAATGGCGCCACAGGGTGTAGCCGGAACGCCTCTCTCGCACAGGCCTTCACGTAGCTGAGATTTGGGAGGTCGGATTCAAGGACAAGACGGTCTTTTCCAACTACCCTATCGATTTCCTCCACAGCTTTTTGCATGATGCTTGGCTCGTTAATCATCTCCGCCATGGCCCACTCCGCTGCATTAGACGGATTATCCACCGTCGCCAACATAAGATCCTTCACAATCCAACAAGTAATAACCACCAAAAAAGTTAGAGATCATCAAATTAATATTGGTAAAAAATTATAGATTGCTAGTAACTTTCTAGTTGGCATGGCTAAAGGCTATATATGTTGTATCTAGATAACATTAGTCGATAAATAATTAAATATTAAATATGTATACCGTAATTTGTGCTTTGATCTCTTCGTCCGACAGAGTAGGGTTCCCGTTGCAGTCTTTCACCGATATAAGCATGTCGAGAAAATCTTGAGGCTCCTTCATCTTCTCATCACGCCATTTCAAGATTCTTTCATCGATCAAACGATCGCTATACTTACTCACAGTCTTCATTGCGCCGCTCAGAATCTTCTCATGCCCTTCCAAGTCCAAGAATCTTAGACACGGGACGTAGTCCGATAATACAAAGGCATAGAGATGCGTTAACACCGTAAACAAAGAGTCAAGATGCTCAATCTCTTCGAACCCTGGTCCATATCCATCTTCACTTCCTTTTCCGAAATGCCTCACACCAAGCAGCATCTTTCTAGCTACATTCCCGCTATATTGACGCACCGCAAGCCTCAAATCAATAACACTTTGGTTTTTGACGCAGTTGTTGTTGATGCACCGAACGAGATAATCGGCCTCTTCGGTTCTCTTATTGTGCATCAGCTCGAAGCTCTTCTGGCTCGTCACGTGTGACGCCACAACTCTCCTCATCTTCTTCCACTGCTCGCCTTGTGGCGTCACCGCAATGGTTAGGTATCCGCCGCTGGAGTACTCCGTTCCCATAGTTAGCGGTCTAGAGGCGAAGATGGAGTCTTGCTTCTTCAGAATCGCTCTCGCAATCCTCGGGGATGTTATGGGGATCACGTAAGTGCTGGCGAAACGGATGCATGCAATATCGGTGTTGAGTTCTTTCATGAGGGAGTGTATCCACCGGTACACCGGTTGCTTCTTCCCTACTATTTCCGGTAGGTTTCCGATTAGTGGCCAAGATACCGGACCGGGAGGGAGAGGGATATGGAGGTTTTTGGTGTATGAGGACATTAAAACGGTTTTCATCGTCTCCTTACGCTTCATAATAAAGGCAAGGATGAAGAAACCTAGAATAAACGCAAGCAATAAGGTCGAGTCAAGCATTTTTGTTTCTCAACTTGAGAGAGTTATTAGGTTGTATTGGAGTTTGAATTGAAGGATTTGATTTGTTTTTTAAATGATTTGAAGAACAAATGAGGCTATATATATATAGGCAGCCTTTGTAAACGCAATGAAGCGATTTTAGTCGAGGGCTTTACCTAAGTTGGTGGGATTTTTAAATAATACTAAAATAAACAAAATAATGAAAAGTTGGTGGAATATTTAAATCGTGTAAAAGTTAGCTATCATGTTTATGAATGATTTTTGCTTTCCATTTTTAGGTAGCGTCGACACGTTTAAAAATAATAAAATCTATGGGCTTGAATATTAGGGCCTATGAAAGTGTAAGAAGATGACACATTTTATTCGTATTGCCTACAAAAATTGAAAATCCAATCCAGAAATTTTATAATAACCATTTTTTTTTTACTTTCTTAATTATCAAATCACTACATTTACATTAAGGCCCACATATACGCGGATATATTTTAAGATTTTATAATAAAAACATGGAAAATATTAAACAAAATTTGAACATTTTTAAACGTAAACAAAATAATACTGAAAATCCGATAACGTTTTTTTTAATAAAATAAGATTGGTAATACTTTTACATTTTTATTGTAATTGATTTTTCTTTTGAATTTATGATATGAAAAATGAATTAATTTGTTTTACTATTATTTTTATCCAATACAGAAAGACTTACACATGTCTAAATCTGATCAGCAAACTTTTATTATTCCATTCAAGAGATTTTAACTGATGAATCTTTATTTCAATTTTTTTACCTAACAAAAATTGAAAATCAAACTATTTAAAATTAGAATACTAATTATAATTTTTTTTATTAGTTAATTGCTTGATAATTATTTTGTTAGTTTTCTATTTAAATTTTTTCTTTCTCAATTTTGGTTTTGCCTCGGACCATTATAAATACTATATAATGGTATTTTTCCTTTTCGAAATAGATTTTTTTCTTCCTTTTCTTAATAGATGTAACAAAAGAATTTAAATTATTTGTTGGGCTTCTTTCGCTTCTAGTACAAGATTTGTGGTCAAATACAAAAGTAGTCTCCATTGTAAAATGTGTTTTTTTCTTCCTCCTCTATCCTCATCATAATCAAATAATAACGGAAATGCCATTACTTTTTCACTCGAAGTCTAACTGTGAAGTCTAATTAAAAAAAAAATGTCCAAAGAAACCTCATCTTCTTCAATTAATCACGAAAATGCCATCACCATCAATTCGTCCAACAACCATTCTCAACCAAAATGAAGCTTTGAATGCAAGATTTATTCTTCAAACATATCTACCAACTCATTCTATCATCTCATAAACTTAGTTTTTCATCTTTCATCTCCATTTTCACCCCAAAAACTTAGTTTTTCATCTTTTCAAAAATAAGGTTCTTAGATCTTGCCATTTTCGGTGTCTGAGCTCATTCTAACGGTTGGGGAAGTTTGCTGAAACTCTAAATCAAAGCTCTAGGCTGTCAACATAACTTAAGATCACAGCAAGGTAAAGTTCCTGTAGATCTGAGTGATTTTCATATTTTGCTGCGAATTAGACTTCACAATGAAGTCTATCAGTCAACTCACAGACTAGTTTTGCAATTGACTTTTCAAAAAATGTGGAGAGTAGACTTCACAATGAAGTCTACCCCATACTCCTTTGAAAACAAAAAAACGACGTGAAGTCTATCCGTGAAGTCTAACTCGAAACATATTAGTTTTGCAATTGGCCGATTCAAATTTTTTTAAGCTAAGTCTAATTGTGAAGTCTGCTAAAAAAAAAGACTAGTTTTGCAATTGACCATGCACGACTTTTTTGTGAAGTCTATTCGTGAAGTCTAATATTTAACGTTTTTTTTAAAACGAATTTTTAGAAAATGTATATCGAAATTTATAATTTTGTTTAAACAGTTAGTTGTATTAGTCTATTTAGTTGCTTTTGTGTGGGTTTTATATTCTTATTCGTTATATACTAAGTTCAAACGGTTTTCTTATTTAATTAGCACTTTAGACATTAGTAAATAGACTTCATGAAGAAGTCTATCTTTGAAGTCTACGGACAAAGTCTACTTTATGATGTATTTTTTTAAAACGTATTTTTAGAAATTGTATAATATTTTTTTTAGATTTTATTGAACAATTAGTTGTATTAGTATGTTTATGTGCTCTTGTGTTAGTTTGATATGTTTATATGTTATACCAAGTAAAAATGGTTTTCTTGTTTGATTAACATTTTAGATATTTGCAAGTAGACTTCATAGTAAAGTCTATTTGTAAAGTCAACTCCAGAAGTCTACTCTGTGATGTTTATTTTAAAACGCATTTTTGGAAAATGTATAACGAAATTTTAAGATTTTCTTGAAGAATTAATTGTATTAGTTTGTTAAGTTGCTTGTGTGTTAGTTTGATATGCTTATTCGTTTTATACAAAATGAAAACGATTTTCTTATTTGAACAGCACGTTAAACATTACCAAGTAGATTTCTCTGTGAAGTCTAATACTGAAGTTTATGCAAAAAGTCTAACTATATGATTGAATTTGGTCTGTTTAGCCAAGTCAAATGCATCAAAAATGCTTGCTTGAATATGAGTTTTTATCACAAATATATGAAGTCTAATGAATAGAGAGCAAAAATGCTTGCTTGAATATGAGTTTTTATCACAAATATATGAAGTCTAATGAATAGAGAGCAAGGAGATTGTAAGAGTAAGCTTTTGATTGTATCTTTGTTTTCAAGTATCAAAATGAAATTAGAGATATTGTCAATGGATGGTTTATAAATTATTAAAGAGGATTGTAAACATAAACTTTTGGTATTCTAAGTTTCTTTGCATTGACAAATGAGTTTACATGACACTTTCAGAACCTAAAAGACCTTGAAACCGAAATGTAAACATATAATAAGAGTTTTAGGCACTGGCTGACTGCAGGAAGTTTATCTTCATCTTGCTTGAGCAATGTTTTAGCATCTGAAAAGTGCCTCGATGGTGTTGTCAAAATCTTGTCGATACTTCTTGAAGGCATCTAGATCTCCTGTCTCTATTATATTCATTGCCCATCTTGTCTAGTGCCTCGATAGAGTTGTGTATGGGACCATGGTCGTGATCATAATGCATGTAACTGAACCTATAACCAAAAAACAACATAAAAGAGGCAATAAGGTCACTGGAAAGTGGATACAGCTATGCAAGGACCTCATAATAATTTGGTTATGCAGTTAAAGCAAATAGCATAAAGAGATAAACAGAAAAGTTAAACATTTCTCAAGCAAATGTCCATCAAAGTCAAGTGTAATCACAAGACAAGACAGAGACTAAGGATGGAATGAGAGAACAGAGATGAAGTGAGCTAAGACAAACCTTAGGGAAAATGTGACAGTAGTTGCAATTGAGCGGTTTTGCTTCAGAGCATCTGCAACCTTTTCAGCTCCCTGAAACCATTGAAACATCACAAGCATGAATGAACAATAATCATCAAAACAAAATCAAGGGGACAATCTCGAACTCCCAATTCGATATGAACCAGATTTCACTCCCAAATCAACTGAAAAAGACTCATAAGAGAAGATAAACTGAAAAACAAAAACCGCATAAGAGAAGCAGCTAGTCATAGAAATGTTGCAGAAAGAATAACAGAGAAAACTTTTTTAGAACAAGTGGGATGGGATTAATCGAACTGAAGTGAAAACACAAGCAAACTACAGCACAATTTACAGAAACATGCTCAGTTAAAAAGTTCGAAGGAAGAAAATAAATAGAGAATATCACTTTCCTCAAGTTTAACTTCTCTCTTTGGAGGTTTCAGGTCCAGGTATTTGAATGGCTCTGTTGGTTCCTCTCTGAAAAGACAAGATGGATGATTCAGACTCCAAAAATCCACCAGAAGCTTATACTAACTCTCATGAAAGCTTGGAAGCTTGAAAGAACAAGACACAGAAAGACACAGAGACAATAAAAAAAGTAAGACTCAGAATGGTCATAGCACGCACAAAAACAAGCATGGAGCTGCAGTAATAAAGCGTAGAATTTGACTCATCAACTCAAAGAAGAGGTTCAACAGAACTTACTTGAGACGTTGAGCAGCAGCAACCTTGGCCCCGATTCTCACGGTTGATGCAGCACTGGTTCCAGCGATTTTGAACTATCTTCATTTAGTCTCCAATCTCTGTTAATCAATCAAACACCAGAGATAAAAATACAAAAATTTAATCACTAAAAGACCTAAAATTAAAGAGATATGATTTCTGATTTCATAGGGAGCTGTAATTAGCATCGAATCTATACCTCTCTAAAGCTTTCTTCGACTTCTCTAACTCTCTTTGTTTCCTCGCCCTAGCCTTTGCTTTATCGACGGGACCACTGATCTCCTCCGCGGTTTCCAGAATCCGATCTTCCAAATCCCCAGTAATCTTACATATAACCTGAATGTGGCAAAAATATACGAGATGAGGTAGATGGAAACAAAAGTGAAAACAGGAATTAAAGTGAAAGAGAGAAACGAGATAATGGCTGTGAAAGGATGAAGCGAGAGAGATTCACCTTGCAGGGAGAGAGATCCAATAGTGAGAGGGAAGATGCGAGGATAAATGAGCAGAAGAGAGAGGGAAAGGAGATAACGAGATAGCGAGGCATGTGAGAGAGAGAGAGAGAGAACCGAGATAACGGGGTTAAAGGATGAAGCTTTAGTGCGTAAGGAGAAGAGAAGGAGAAGGGAGAGGGGGCGGTGGTTAATGGCGAGGGAGAGGCGGCGAAGGTTAACGGCGGCTGACTTGATAACAGAGAGACTAAATTAGAGAGAGAAGGGAGAGGAGGCGGTGGTACATATTTTTTTCTACAAAATTAGGGTTATTACTTTATATACTAAGATAAAATTTCCGGTTAGGTGATAAAATTTTCGGTTAGATTAAACAAAATTTTGCTTAAATTAGGTTAAATAGACTTTATCATGAAGTCTACACACGAAGTTTACGCATGAAGTCTCCCAGCCCGAATTAATTTGTTTTGATTCCCGTTAATTCTTCTAAAAATATTTCATTTCCCGCTGAATTTGTTTTTGAGTTTTAGACTTCATTACGAAGCCTATTTATGAAGTCTACTATTAAAGTCTTTTTACCCTAAACCCTAAATCAAATATTTTTGATCAAAAGTTATAAACAACATCAATTGCTCTTACATATTCACAATTTACACTCTAACGTATTAATATATGAACTGTAAATCATTAAACAAACTTTCAATATTTTTTCATATCAAAATTCTCTAAACCCTAACAATTACAACCATAAACCCTAAATTTTAATCATCAAACACTAAGCTTGGTGATTGGTTTACTCATGAAACTTATAAATTGGTTCATTTTGATGAAATTTTATTTTACATACACTACAAGAATTTAGTGAAATAGCTACCGTTTATTTTGTAGCAACAAGACACAATCCGTAGCAAAAACTTGGAAGGCTACGGATGGCGACAGATGAATTTTGTTGCCTCAGCTCCGACGCTAAAATTGGTTTGTCGCTATTTTGTTGCCAATTTGCGACAGATTAGCGAGAGCATCTTCCGCAGCCAATGGTTACGATATGGCTACGACATCTTCCGTTGCTCATTAGCGATGGTTTAGCGAAGGATTTTGTGTAGCTATTTGGCTACAAATTATAACTACGGTTTACCCCTAACAATTTTGTAGCGTACATAGCAACATATTTGGATACGGATTAAATGTGGCTAAGTGTTAGTTTAGCAACAGATTTTGTTGTTGCCTTAGCTAGAGAAGTTGCTTTGTATTAATTGTAGCTAGGATAATATAGTTTATAATTTCTCAATAATGTTTGCATTTTTGATAAATAATAAATCTTATATTGTAAAAAACAAGAAATCCAAAATAATCAAAACTAATATAATCGTTAAGCATTCATTACAAAAGTCAAAACATTCTAGTAGACAAACAAATAATATAACATCCGAAAAGTGAAAACATAAAACATACGCAAAGTTTAAACCAAGCTTACATACAAAATAATTTGTTTGTTATGTCTTCAGTACAAATAAAAGTTCTAGCAAGAAGAAATGTCAACATTACCTAGACTATATTCATCTGCACGTTGGTGCTGAGAGGTGAAGAAGGGGAAGGATCGATTGAGGCAATCAGTAGCTGCTGGCTCATAAGATTGACAGCTCCAGTCCAATTGAGCAGATCCCTCTCATAACGAGCTTGAGAGAGAAGAACAACGACTGGTGGATCAATGGGATCATAGTTATCCATCTGTGAAGTTCCAAGTCCAAGCAGTTACTGTATGACTACCTACAATAACATTTGTTCAGGGAAAGAAAGCATAGTAGTGCTATTTTAAACAAAAAAAACTAAAGAACCAAAAACCAAATCATCAATATATAAGGAATAAAAAGCCTCACTCGCATAAGTGGTGTAATTGGTGTTTGTGAGTTGGACCCTTGGCTGACAAACTCATCATGATCAATTTTGGAGAGTTGTTGCTAAAGAACAATGGACTCAGCTTCTTCAATGATCTTCTTCGCATGTTTGTCAACAAAACTTCCATCACTTCAATTGACAAAATTTTCCAGTTTTTCACTTATTTCAGGGTAAGAAAAACATAAGCTATTCAAATCTTACCACCAAATCAGACCACCATTTGTCTTGCGGCTCTTGCCAAACCTCACCAAAATTCCACCAAAGTCCATCAAAATCATTGGTAAAAGCCCTTTTAATGTCATATTTGACCTCATTGTCGATGGAAATCCTATCACAAAAGGGCATACTATTGAGTTAGTGAAGAAGAATACTAGTTATATGAAACTTGAAATGTTATACAGACATTACACGGTAAACTCTTACCAAAGTGCCCTATATTTCTTCTCGGGATGCAGAGTTGGCTGGTCTTGTCGCGCAGGCACCTGTAATAGCTCAGTGATGCTACGGAGAGGAAATACTGGCGGTGAACATGAATTACTACCCCTTGAGTAACCAGGGACCTTTCGTCCAACATTCCCTGTAAAACACCAAAGAAAAATCCAACGACAATGTCACACAAGAACCATAAACCGCACAAAAAAAGCCAAGATTGAAAGAAGAATTAACCCCTAAATTACTTTCAGTATATAAACAGAAGAGCATAATATAACCTAAAACCCATAGATTTCAAGATGAGTTGAACTCTAAATCGATTTTACCCAGAAGAAGGGATGAACCTAAATCAATTTATAGAAGAATCGAACTCTAAATTTCTGCAAGAAAATAGAAGACTGAATTAAGGATTGAACATTAGAGGGAATCAATCTAGGTATTTAAGCAGCATCGAACCTTGGAGTGAAGGAGGAAAGGAGCGATTTGATGATGAATCGATTTGAGAGAGAGAGAGAGATGCAGCGAGATATTATCAGGATATCAGCCGCGAAGAAGAAAAGGGAAAAGAAGAAGAGGGAAATGAAAGGGTTTCTGCCGCTGAGAAGAAGAGGGAAAGGAAGATTTAGCTGATGAGTAAATCATGGGAATTTCAGATTTGGCGAAATTTTATGGCGGAAACTCAAATTGTTTCCCAAAATTTTCCCGGTCACTCCAAATAGTTCCCCAAAATCTATCGCTAAGTATTACTCCGTGTATTACTAACACTCTGACCAAGCAAAATATAAATATCGCCTATAACCGGATGTTATCATTTTGACAAAAAATAATTACATAAAAACTGTGGAATCTATAGAGAATATTGTATTTTTAAACATCTGTTAGCTAGTTTTTTAGATTTACATGATTTTAGATTCTTTAGTTAAAAGATAATTTGTAAGAACCAACTTTGAATTTATAAGAAAGAAATGTTTTTTCTTAAACCCAACGTTTAGTTATAAGAAGCATAATGTGATTTAAGAAAAAAATTTATATAAGAAGCATAATTTATAAGATAATCTTTAAGGATATGAGTATAAATGCCAAATCAATTCATTAACGTAACGTAGATATTATAGAATCACTCAGACCCCGCATAATCCACCGTTCGAAGTTGTATAGTGATCTTCTATAGTTGGTTCTTCAACTATTGATGGATTGTCCATTTTCATTTCATGCAAAAATTAGAATAGATAAGTTAAATTTTGGCTTTAATTGATTTAGTAAGTCTAAGTAAGATAGTAAACTGCTATGAATTTCGCCTAAAGAAACAAGTTAAACTAAAGCAAAAATGTAGTTTCAGAAAATTTACCAAAAGCACATGCTATGTAACGTTTTAATCATTTCGGACCATAGAGAGTTTACCTTGGACCCGTATGTTTCGTCTTGATCTGTTACCGACTTACCCTCAATAACAAAACTAGGTTATTTTTTTTGTAACAAGGCTAGAATTGTGAACTAGGTTCGAGGTTAGCATATAACTATTGTTTGGGATGAGAAAGGTGAGATGAGACTGAGTAGATCACCTCATTACATAAACTGACGATCGGTACCAACGTACCATAATTATTATTTATCTTGGACGTACACCAACATAACATAAACTGTATCGTTTTGACGTTTCTTAAAACCTATGAGTTCTTATTACAAGTGAAAGGAACAAAGAACAAAGAGTCTTCCTCCAACAAACAGAGAACAAAACCAGAGTACTAAAAACAGAGCCACAACGACAAAAACTCCAAAACCAAAGAACAGAGAACCAGTTACACACATTTCATCGTAGCGCTTCTTGCTATAAGCGATGCACATTGTTTGACCAGTCGACTCCAACCATTAATCATCTCCAAAGATTGTTACCGGGAAACTTGCCAAGCCGTTGGGCGAGTGATCATTCCTACTAGCTCAGAGGCCTCTATCTATAAAACTGAAGGCTCTTCTACTATATAATTACCATTCCTTCATGGTTCCTAATTATCCACACGACCACACGCTCCACCGACACGTTTATTCTTCAAACTAATCGACATAACAAAATGATTTCAAGAACATAAACGCGTTGGTTAAAACAGAGAGAGATTTTTCGATGCACTCAAAGGAGAAACCACTTAAAAGTAAAAGCCCTCCACAAACAAAACGATTTCAAGAACATGTGCACCCGCCACCCTACATTACGTCTTGATCCGTTCTTGACCATCGAAGATTGAACTAGTTTTTTTGTTTCTTGTAACAAGGCTAGTTATAAGTTATATATTCAAATCTTGTTGTGTGTAAGTGCATGTGTAAAAATAATCCATAATTTATTTTTCGTAAAAAAATGAAGGAACAGAGCAAAGAGTCAAAACAGAGTATCAACCACAAAAATAAAACCATGGCTCATGAAAGAGGACAACAACGAGACCTTTGCCTCTTTTTCAAGAGCATAAAAAGAGAATATTCAGACTACACCATGGTAATTGGCATCTCATTTTCGAAGAGCTCTCGCATCCATCTCGGTCCACCTTTTGCCACATACGAAATTAGACGATTGTCCATGACCACACTTTTTGCAATCTCAAAGGCTCTTCGGTTACAATTTTGAGCTTCGAAACAGTTGTCTCATCCTACTTGATCTCTAGTTAGCTCAATGAGACCTGCAACATGTCCCAGAAAGGCTGGCCAGTCTGTCAGACTTATGAAGAGTTTTGATCACTTCCATTCATGACACAACGAACGTACGTGTCGTTTTCCACATGGAGAATTACTCATACTCTCGAGGGCCCATTCCCAGCTTTTAATCTTTCTATCAAATCAGTTCAACTTGTGAATAAGATTGTCGACTGTGATATAATAGCTAGCCTGATTTGTCTCTCACAGGTCACAACGCATGAGACACATAGAAACCACTAGAAACCTATATTGCATTTTAGTCGACCTTGATTGTTTCTTCCTCTTTTGGGCTGCGTAAAAAACATCCCTTGTCACATTTTTGTACTCTCTCTTTAATTTGGATCTATGTTGATATATCTATTTTTTTCAATATATATTAACATTGATCCAAATTAAAGAGTATATTAGAAAACTATTACAAATATTATTAATTATTAATTTATTTTAAAAACATTAATGTTTCTTAAATCTTACGAAAACTAAAAAATGAAATTTGATCACCTAGCAACTTTAAAGAACTTAGCTACATCAGTTCCGTTGCTTTGTCATTGCCACCATGCGATGGATTGGTGAGGGCACACAAACCGTTGCCATATAGCAACATAAATATTCATATCTATCCGTTGCTAATATAAAATTTATGGCAACAACTTATCTCTAGCCAATGTGTAGCTATTTAGCTACATAATGGCCACCACATCAAGTCGTAGCTATATTGCTACAGATTTGCCACAGTTTTGGCTACAAAAATAATATTATTTGTTCTGTCGCCATCTTTCGCCATTAGCGTAGCCAATAGCGATGGCTACGGAAATGCTGTCGCCGGTCCGCAGCTAATTCAGTGAATTCTTGTAGTGATAGGTAGGACATGTCTTTATTTAAATTAAGTATAACTTTTTTTTTATCAAACTTGTTTTTTATCAAACTTGTTTTTTTTTATAGATTTTAAACTTTAAATTTAAGATTTTGTTATTTAGTAGACTTCACACAAAATATTTTCGATTCCCGCCCAAAATATTTTGTTTCCCGCTCACTTTTTTGAGTTATAGACTTCGTGGAGAAGTCTAACATTGAAGTCTACCTATGAAGTCTGACTTACCCTAAACCCTAAAACAAATTTTTAAGATCAAAACTATAGGAAACATTAATTATGTATACATAATCACGATTTACATTAGAAACTACGAATTGGTAAGATTTAAATCGTTAAACGAACCCCAAAAGTTTTTTTTGGTCAAAACTATCTAAACCCTAACAATGCTCATGATAAACCCTATACAATATACCTCAAACACTAACATGTTGATTTGTTTACTCATGAAACTTATAAATTGATTCATTTTCAAGAAATTTTATTTTTCATAGGTAGGACTTGTCTTTATTTAAATTATGTATAACTTTTTTTTATCAAAATTGTTTTTTTATATTTTAAACTTTAAATTTTATATTTTGGTATTAAGCAAACTTCATCAGTAGACTTCACACATTTTTTTGGGAATTTTATCATAATTTGTCTTACTTGATTAAACTGATCGGTTTATATGCAAATTTATTTTTCATGGATACTACATGTTGTGTTAAAGTTATGTGTAAATTTATTTACAAAAATATTTTTTAATCAATTTTAAAATTTAAATTTAAGATTGTACCAAATAGTAGACTTCTCGAGGTAGACTTCACACAATTAGAGGTTACAAACCAAACTAATCTTAGTTGACTTAAATTGATTCATTTATATGCAATTTGATTTTTAATGGATGACAAAATGTTTTCATCTTATTTATGTATAATTTTTTTAATCCAATTATTTTTCTTTAATTGTATAATTTAAATTTAAGTTGTGATTAGGGGTTAGACTTCATGATGAAGTCTACGATGTAGTAGAGTTCATGATTAGACTTTAAATAGGGTAAAACAGACATTATGGCTCTCGTTTTTTTGTTTGTTCATAAGGGTGGGTTTGTAATTTGCCATGTCCAGAAGACTAGTTTTGACATAAGTGCAATAAGGGGTCTACTTTTGCATTTCAAATCAAATTGTGTACTATATTGAGCAATTCCCCCTTATTTGTTTCCTGTTTTTTTATTACTTTTAATGGATGTATTATTTTTTCATTTTAAAAATTTGTTATCTGTTTTCTAATTTTTAGTTAGTCTTATACATATATATATTTTTTTTATTCCATGACATATGTTAGGATCTTCATACTTCCAAAATTTGTTTTTTCTAAAACACATGTCGCAATTTTGTCAGTTATAAAAATTCTATGTATCGCAAAACTTTCAAAAACATGATTTTTAAATTGGAGAAATAGAATCAAAGAGATTTGATGAATTTGCTTTGATGAATTTATGATTGAGAAAACTTGACTCTCTTTTATAGGGGTTCAAGTAACCTATTACATGCAGTTATAGGAAATTTAGTTTACATAACATATTCCATGTACAAATAGATTTTATTTATTACATTATTTTGATTTTATTATTTGTTTGGATAATATTAATTTGATGAATGAGAAACCTTTCTCTATTAGGATATGACAAATATATTTTTATTTCTTTTAACTGTAATGGATTAATTTTTTTTAAAAAAATTCCTTTATCTAAAATTTTTATTATTTTATTTTTTTTCTCTAAAACATGTGTCAAGATCTTATAAATTATAAAAATCATGTGTGTCGCAACACGTCGTGCGCATCCAACTTTATATAATAAAAAAATTTGATGAATGGAAACCTTTTTCTGTTTGGATATGGCAAATATTATTTTTTCCTTTTTGATATAATAGATTAAATTAAATTTCGTTTTTTTTTAATTAACATTTTCTGGAATTTTTTTAAGTTCTCATTTTTTCCTAAGACACGTGTCACGATCTTAAGGACATAAACTTAAAAGTGACACATGTCGCGATCTGAATTTTATAAAAATCCTACGTGTCGCAACCACGTTGTGCGCATCCAGCTTTATATAATAAGATATCCCAATAAAAAGCATATATATATTAAACTGTAATGTGTAAAATTTATTTTTCATTTAAAAAATGATATACTCATCTCATCAATGATCGATTGAAACCCTAATAAGTAAAACTAATAAGTAAACCCTATCTCAAAGTTGTTACTTATAAAACAAAAGACCCTAATGGCGAACATGGAGCTCCCATGGGATTTGATTGAAGAGATACTCTCTCGTGTCCCTCCTCAGTCTCTTGCCCGCTTCAGAACCGTATCAAAACGATGGAACGCTCTTTTCGACGACAAGATGTTCATCAACAACCACAAGTCGACGTTTCGATTCATCTTAGCAACCAAATCCAAGTTTTATTCAGTAAGCGTCAATCCAAAGGTAGAGGTGCGTGAGCTAACATTAGATATTCCCGGTTTAGAATCTCAGGCACCTAAAAAATTGATTGATTGCAATGGGTTACTGCTGTGTGAAATTGATAAAGGAGCAAGGGTTTGGAACCCGTGGTCAAAACAGACTAGATGGATCGAGCCCGATGCTGACCAACCTGGTTTACAATCTACTGGCATAGGTTATGATAAAGACAATGGTTACAAGACCCTTACATCTTGCAACGTGACGGAGGATATAGATCATCCCAAAACATCTTGGAAAGTTCATCATTTTTCCACCGATGCGTGGAAGAACATAAACGGTGTGTTGAAATCACCTTGTAGTACTACTACGGAAAGTGAGGTTGCTACTTTTCACACCACACGTGGTTTCTCGCTGAATGGAACTTGGTATCGGGTTGCTCATTATCATAAGACTATCAACGAGTTCTTCCTAATTTACTTCGATTTTTCGACGGAAACATTCCACAAGTTTTGTGATCTACCATGGGAGGGGAACCGTGATTGCGATGCGCTTGTTCTTAGGGTTTATAATGGAGATCGGTTCTCATTGTTAAAGCAATGCCACCTGACAAAGAAGATTGAGATTTTGGTGACCAAGAACAAGATTCAATATTCGGGTGGTGATGTAGAATGGGTGAGTTTCATGGAAGTGTCGATTCCTAAGCTTCCGGATTTGCTACATAAGGGATACCATTATCAGCCAAGTTACTTCATCGACGATAAGAGGCTTGCCGTGTGTTTTTTGGACGAAACTGCTCGGGCTTGCATCTATGTTATGGAGGAAAATGAGTTGATCAGTAAAACCCAATTGGAGTCTGTGGTTGGTCAGTGGCCTTTGCATTGTACCTTTTCCCCCAGTTTGGTCTCGGTTCCTCAACTTCAAAGAGAAGAAGCAGAATTGAACGATTAGTTTCATCACGTTCTGCTTCTTGTTTGGTTCTTGCGGTGGCTTAAATTTTATTTCGGTTTTGGTGTTTTTTATTTATTTTTTATTCACTTCTTTGTTAGAACTTGAGATTTTGCTAAATATCCTTTTTGTGTTGCTTTCTTTAGCCGATTAGTTTCTCTTCTAATGTTTCAGAGCAAACTAGTTATGTTGAATATATACGAGCAACGAACTCAGTTTAATTCTAGTGGTTTTGACTTCGGTCCGAAAATAATGTTAGCTTTCATTTGCTGGATACTAAGCTTTTGCATTAGTTTTAAAATGGTTTTTTAGATCTTGGAACATAAGTGGTTTTGTACATGGTAATCATGTAATCCCAATTTGAAGAAGCGTGTTGTTGTCTCTACATTAATTATGAAAAGAAAATATGGAAGAAACCCGGACAATCTTCTTACTTTCAGTAAAGAAACTAAAAACCTCCCGGGTGTTCTATTTGGTTCACCAATGCTTCGCCTCAGAGAAAACAAAATTCGTTGCCTTTATTATAAGGTATGGCTTACTATTACCTTTCACAATGAAAAGATTAATGGCTCTCGATCTCGAAAGAAAACTTGTAACTTCAAGAAAACAGAGTGTTTCAAAACTACTATTTTAAGCCTCACTACTTTCAAATCTTAATACACGAATACCATAAATAAAGCTAGCGCGCCTAGGACTGGGGTCGTACTTTCACCCTTTTTTCAAATTATTGTTTTTCTAATTAATATTATTAGACGATTAAATAATAAAATAGAAACTTAATTAAGAGTTTTTTTTTAAGGAAAATAATTTTTCTGATAAAAAAGATGGAAAAATCAAATAAAAATAAATGAATCAAATGATAAAGACGAATGGGGGAGATTATGGATCTCGTGTGAATATCTAACAAATGACTGTTTTGTAAAATCCAGATTTGATGTAAAAAATAAAATCAACAGAAAATGAGAAAAATCTGGATTCTTGGAGATTCACGAACAATCAGTTGAAACCAGAATTGGGAAAAGTAAAACTTTTATATAAGTAAAGTAGTCAATCTGAAAAAAAGTAGTGACTTAAAAAACCAAAACCAAAAACCCTAATGGCGAACAAGGAGAAGCTTCCATGGGATTTAGTGGAAGAGATCCTCTCTTGTGTCCCTCCTAAACCTCTTAAACGATTCAGACTCGTTTGCAAACGATGGAACGCTCTCTTGGAAGACAAGGCATTCATCAACAACCACAAGTCGACGTTTCGATTCATTTTAGCAACTGAATCCAAGATTTATTCCGTAAGCGTCAATCCCAAGATAGAGGTGCGTGAGCTTACCTTAGGCATTCCCGGTTTCAAATCTAAAAAACCTAAAAGCTTGATGGAGTGCAATGGGTTATTGCTATGTGGGATGGGTGAAGGAGCAGTGGTTTGGAACCCTTGGTTGAAACAGACTAGATGGATCAAACCGGACGTTTACCAACCTGGTTTACAATTCTGTGGCATAGGTTATGATAATAATGGTGTTGCTGGTGGTGAAGTTGTCTACAAGACCCTTGCGGTTTATCGGAAGGACTTAGGCTCTGCCAGTAAGTGGAAAATCCATGACTTTGCCTCTGATGCGTGGGAAGATGAGGGCCGGGTAAGCGGCCGAGTAGGGCATCCAATTATTAGAGGCATAATTTTGTTAAATTTTGTTTTAAGGGTGTATAAATATCATTTACAAAGTTTGAACAAGGGCATATTTTAGTTACTTAAATTATTCTTAAAGAGATATATATATATATATATATTATGTATAAAGTTTTAATAAGAACATATTTTTGTTAATTTTTTTAAAGGGGTTTATATATGATTTACAAATTTTTAAAACCTTTTTAGTGATATCAATTTTTATAGGGCATTTGTTAACAAATACCTGCGATCTACCATGTCACAAAAAATGTTAAATGAATTGGCTTTGTTATCGATCGAGACAACTATGATTGAAAAACTCGATTATGTGAGTTTAATAAATTATTTTGCATCTCAAAATCTAAGAGGGCTATATATTTAACTCATAAATATAACCATAAGAAATCAGTTTCTATATTTTTCGCAAACTATTTATAAAGTGGGAATTTTTTATTTAGAACTTGTTTATTTTATGAAATTTTAAGGGTTTTTTTATATTTTTTACTGTTTTATGATTTTGGAAAAAAAAATTTGAAAGGCATACTTTTTAGATTTGAGTAGGGCATTTAAATTCATTGGACCGGCACTGAAGATCAGTTGCAAGAAGCAAGACGTATTGCACAGGACCGTAGTAGTACCTTAAGGCTTTTACACTCCAAAAATTCAGGTGTATCGTCGTTGCATGGAACTTTGTATTGGGTTGCTTATTATCCGAACAGTTATGATAGAACTGATTATGATCCCTTGTTCTGTCTAGTTAGCTTCGATTTTTCGAGCAAAAGTTTGAAATTTTGTGATCTACCATGTGTGGAGGACGACCAATGGAGATGCTCTTGTCCTTAGGGTTTTTAAGGGAGATCGATTTTCTTTGTTGAAGCAGTGCCATGTAACAAAGAAGATTGAGGTTTGGGTGACCAAGAACAAGATTCGTAAATCGGGTGGTGAAGATGTAGAATGGATGAGGTTCATGCAAGTGTCGGTTCCTAACTTGCCGGATTTAGTACCGACCGGATCTTCCTCTCCGCCAAGTTACTACATTGACAACAAAAGGCTCGTCGTGTGTTCTTGCGATGAAACTGGTCGGGCTTGGATCTATGTTATGGGGGAAAAGAAGTTGATCAGTAAAATTCAATTGGAGTCTGTGGTTGGTCAGTGGCCTTTGCATTGTACGTTTTTCCCCAGCTTGGTCCAAATTTCTGGAGTTAAAGTTGAAAAAGAAGAAGAAGAAGAAGAAGAAGAAGAAGAAGAAGAAGCAAGATTACAAGTTAAGTTTTCTTGCGTTTGGCTTCTTGTTTGGTTGTTGAGGAAGCTAAAGTCTTTTTTTGCTCTTTTGGCAAAATAAAATATTTTTGATTGTTTAGAGAAGACTGGATTGAATGTTTAATAGACTCACTCAGTTCAACTCTATTTTTAGCTTTGATCACTTGTTATTGGATTAAGCTTTTAAATGGTTTTTTTTAGTTCTTACAACGAAAGAGTTTGAAACATGTTTATGTTCCACATGTTATAATCATGCGTTCCCAGTTTGAGGAACTGTGTTGTCTTAACATGAATATTATTATTAAAAAGTATTTTTTTGTTTTGTTTTGATAAAGAACAAAATGTATATTGAAGAAACATCACCTCCCAAGTCTTGGAGATTTTTTTTTTTTTTTTTTAACTGATATTCTTGAGTCTTGGAGCATTAATATCAACCAAAACTTTCAATTTGAATATTACTACGTCCTGTTATACCATAATAACTAGTAGTATTCCTAATTTCCTACCATGCAAGACGGAATAAAACTGGACATTTAAAAGATTTTTTTTTGTGTGTGACGTGGACTATTTTCTTTTGTTAAAGACCAAGATCGTCATGACTACTGGCTATATTATAATTTTAATTAGAAAAAAATTTAACGACAAGTTGAAGTAAACTAAGCCCAGTTGAAGTAAACTAAGCCCTCGTGGATCTCAAAGACTGAAACGACAAGATGTTCATTTTATAAGTTCGAAAGAGGAGAGAGAATTGATTTACTTAGAGCAAATGCATTGCACAGCTCAGAGCTTTAAAACATTTTTTACTAATAAAACAAAATTACAAAAATGCCATTTTCGTAAAAGAATAATTTTAAAACTAAAAAGTAAAATATTGGCGAATTACAAACTGACATGTGTAGAGCTTTCTCTCACATACGACTCTTTAAGTTGCTCCCCCAGAACCGATTCTGCTTGCCACATCATTTAATTTACTTTTGTTCTTTATTTTTTATTTGTAGAGCCTCATACAAGCTGTGCGATGCACATGCCCTTAGTCAGTTTTGTTGCCAGAAATGAAATCTAAAGAGTGAATCAAGAATGTCTAAAGCATGGAGACTGAAGTTGCTTCTTCTGCTTCAACTCTGCCTCTTGACGCAACATGGTGTTGACTCATCAGCCTCTGTGGTTAGCTATCTTCCTGGTTTCGAAGGTCCTCTTCCTTTCCACCTTGAAACCGGGTTTGTTCTCTCTCTTTTCTCTTCCTCTCTTTTCTTCAATATTCATGATCTGCTAACAACAACACAAGTGAAAGGAGTTGAAATATTTGCATTTTTCTTATGCAAAGCTATATTGGTGTTGGTGAGGAAGAGAAAGTTAAACTTTTCTACTACTTCATCAAATCAGAGAACAATCCTAAAGAAGATCCTGTTCTTCTCTGGTTAACGGGAGGACCTTTTTGCACTGCTTTCTCTGCTCTTGCTTTCGAGATCGGTAATGTCAAGCAAGAACTTACAAGATTTGACCTTTAATTGATTCAACTCTGTTTCTAAGCCTTCTTTGTTAAGGGCAGGGCCGTTGACTTTCAAGACTGACGAATACAATGGAAGTTTGCCTTCTCTTGTCTCCACTTCATATTCTTGGACAAAGGTGGCTTCTTTAAACATTGACCATCACAAAGTAGAGTTGTGCTTGTGGGGTTTTTTTTTGGGAAAGTTGGTTTCAAGATTTTGTTGAATTTGATGATTTTTTCAGGTGGCTAACATAATATTCTTGGATCAACCTGTTGAGACTGGCTTCTCTTACTCGACAACTCCTCTTTCTGAAACGCCTAGTGACACAGGAGAAGCAAAACAGACCTATGAGTTTCTTCAAAAGGTTCCAATATTGCATCATCATGTCTTTCTTGAGTCTCAAGTATATCATAATCTTTTCAATTGCTGTGGTTGTTCTTGTTGTTGCAGTGGTTATTGGAGCATCCTGAGTTTGTCTCAAATCCTCTCTATGTTGGTGGAGATTCCTACGCTGGTATAGTTGTTCCAGCCATTGTTCAACAGATCTCAATAGGTTTGTCTTTTTTTTTTTTTTCCATTTTTCCATCTTCTGGTCTTATTAATTTGGATTTTATTTTACTTAGCCACTTTAATACAGTCATACATGTTACGGTTACGCAGGAAATGAACATGGCAACAAACCAATGAATCTTAAGGTTCCTCAGTATCTTCAATATGTTCATCATAGCTTTGTAGATGTATAAATCTTGTTTGAAAGTATCATTTATTCCAACAGGGCTATGTTCTTGGGAACCCCTCAACAGATCTTGATCAAGATCATAATTCCAAGATTCCATATGCTCATGGAATGGGATTAATCCCTGACGAACTCTATGAGGTATATATTGAAGTCTTATCTAGTCTCTTCTCTACCAAGAATGTAAGTACTTTAACTGAAATAGTTTTTTGAAACTCTTGTTTGCAGTCGCTTAAGAGAAGCTGCGAAGGAAATTATGTAAAAGTAGATCCTACAAATACACAATGCTTGAAATTGGTGGAAGACTATACTAAGGTAAAAACATAGTCTAGAAATACTAATTATCAAAGACTAATTTGGGACTTTGTCGTTGGTAATAACTATGATTGATGACAGTGTGTATCAAGGATAGATGAAGGATATATTTTGATACCGTTGTGCGATTTAGCATCACCGAATCCATTTTCAATAGAGAATGGTGGAAGAAGAAGTCTCGAAAGACTTGTTCACTCAGATCTTTCTCTTCCAACTCCTGATTGCTATGTAAGCCAAGAAAAAAATAAAGAAAAACACTTGATCTTTGCTTTCAATATTTTTTATCTTTAGTTAAAAAATGGAAACCACGTAGTTATAAATTAACCATATCGGTGAATTATGCAGATGTATCGGTATGTGCTATCTACGCATTGGGCTAATGATGAAGAAGTACGCAAAGCGCTTCATGTGGAGAAAGTAAATAACATTACGTACATACATCTATGTCATCATCTAATACCAAGAAAAGCAAGTAACAATCAGTGCATTAATGTGAAGTTTAATTTGCAGGGAAGTATAAGGAATTGGGTGAGATGCAATTGGGATTTGGCTTATGAGAAAGACATAAAGAGTACTGTACCGTACCATCTAAACATTAGCAGCAAAGGGGTTTATAGATCACTGGTTTATAGTGGTGATCATGACATGATGGTGCCTTTTATTGGAACCCAAGCTTGGATTAGATCTCTAAACTATTCGATCATTGATGAATGGAGGCCATGGTTTGATAACAATCAAGTTATTGGATACACAAGGACTTACGCAAACAATATGACATTTGCTACTATCAAAGCAAGCCCTTTTATCAAAATTCTTCTACATATATATACTTGACGTTACATTTACAATGAAAAAGGGTATTAATTAATGGGTGCAAAATTTTCAGGGAGGAGGGCACACTGCTGAGTATAAACCAAATGAGAGCTTCATCATGTTTCAAAGGTGGATACGTGGCCAAACTCTTTAACATATTAAGCCCGAGAGATCGATTGTTCCAATGCTCATTGACTATATTATAACTTTGTTATTTTTTTTATTGTCACGACAAGACAAGTTGAAGTATTACTATACTGTTAGTCTGTTAGCGTAATTAAGTCCTTATGGATCTGAAAGACAGAAACATAAAGAAAGAAATTCATATTAGTATTTGCAAATCATTTTCGTGAATGGAGCCACCACGTTAACTCTCAGCCGCGGAATTACCAAGATGCCCTTAATGAAAATCTATTATTAAATCTTCTGAATTTCTTTTTTAATTATTTCACAATTTCGTTTTTTATATAAAAGTTCATTATTTCCTTATTAATTTCCTTATTAAATATTGATAATTATCCTTTTCTTTTTTCCTCGATTTATATTTATCACTTAAATAAATATCCTAACTATCATATTACCGCACCACTTTTCTGGAAGAAATCAAATAATTAGGTATTTTAAAAAAACTCTAGATTTTACAACCGACTTAGTCCTATTTAACAAGCAAAATAAACAGAATTTCGTTTCTTCTTTTTCGTGTTCTAAATTCTTCGATTCCATATTTCATCTTTTGTCATGTAGGTTTATAGTTATTGCTAGATCTTAGTTGTATTAGATCTAATGTTTAACTGATTATTCGTTATTTTCTGGAAATTTTATTCAAAGAATCGCATCTAACTTCTACTTCTTTTACCTTTATAACAGTAAATTCCAGGTTTGTTAGCTAATTGAGTCAAAGAAATCAACTATGGTACCAACTCAAAAAAAATGCATTGACAAAAATTAGTGGTATGTACATCTTTCGTTTTTATTTTCAACTTAAATCTTATGAAACCCTAATTTGAATAAACTTATCTAAAAAGATTTTGTAAAATGTGGGTTTAGGTGTGCGGATTGGGGGGGAGGGGGTTGTTATTTGGTAGTGGTGTTACAATGTGGGGTTTGGGTTATTTAGGGGGTGGTGTTACACTGTGGGTTTGGGTTTAGGGTGTAGGGTTTATATTGATGGGGTAGGGTTTAGTTTTTGGTGTATTTTAAAAAAACTTGAATTATTACAGAAGAATTTCATAATAAAAAAATCATTTATTTGAAATTTATATCTACTTTCAAAATTACATTCACAAATAGAAAAAAAAACTAAAACAACTAAAGAAAATCCAGAATTGAAAGATAACAAAACTAATAAATTTTTAAAAGACCTCAACTATATAAAGATAGAATCTATTTCAAAAATATTGAAAATTTTAACTATCGAAATGAATTGGTAGGTGATATGCAAGACACAAACAAGACATAATAGATACATAAGTAAAAGAAAAGAAAACAGTGAAAAAGAAGATGAAAAATTTAGAAAAGAAAAAGAAAAGTCGAACATGAGGAAAAAGAAAGGAAAGAAGAAATAATGGAATGTGAAGAAAATTCCAAAACAAATGAAGAATATTACGTAGAAGAACAAGAAAGAGAAGATAAAAATAAGACACCTCAAGATTACAAAAATAAGAAGTTTGCGAAAACAAAAACGATGAATACAATAAAAAGTTGTACTACTTATATTATTTAAATCTTTAATTAATAATTGTATTTAAAAAATATTGTACCCGCACAAGGTGCGGGACAACCACCTTGTATAATCTGAAAGAAGAGAGACAATTGGTTTCTCGTTGAAGTATAGAGAGAAAGTAAACCAGAAAAAGAAAAAAAAAAAAAAAAAAAAAAACGAGGAAGAAATTAACGAGCCGGTGCAGCGCAAATGGACGTATATATGAAGAAACCCTAATCTGTATTAGTCTGGGTTTTGTATAGGATGGATTTATTTTTTCTTTCCCTTTTTAGTCTGTATTATTGCCTGAAATGAAATCAAGTCCTTAAAAAAGAGATAATCAAGATTCAAGAATGTCTACAGCATGGAGACTGAAGTTGCTTCTTCTGCTTCAACTTCTCCTCTTGACACAACATGGTGTTACTTCATCAGCCTCTGTGGTTAGCTATCTTCCTGGTTTCGAAGGTCCTATTCCTTTCCACCTTGAAACTGGGTCTGTTCTTTCTTCCTCTGTTTTCTTCAATATTCATGACTATGTACTACAACTCAATGAGTTTGAATCCTTGAATCTCTCTCTCTTTCTTATGAAAAGCTATATTGGTGTTGGTGAGGAAGAGAAAACACAACTTTTCTACTACTTCATCAAATCAGAGAACAATCCTGAAGAAGACCCTCTTCTTATTTGGTTGACTGGAGGACCTTTTTGCACTGCTTTCGCTGCCCTTGCTTTCCAGATCGGTAATTTCGAGAAATGAAAAAATAAAAACTTGAAAGACTTGACCTTTAATTGATTCTACTCTTTGTTAAGTGCAGGGCCGTTGACTTTCAAGACTGAAGATTACAATGGAGGTTTGCCTTCTCTTGTCTCCACTTCCTATTCTTGGACAAAGGTGGCTTTTTCAAACATAGAGTTATGCTTGTGGTTTTTTTGTTTTGCTCGTTTCAAGATTTTCTTGAATTTGATGATTTTTCAGGTAGCTAACATAATATTCTTGGATCAACCTGTTGGGACCGGCTTCTCTTACTCAAAGACTCCTCTTGCTGATCCGCCTAGTGACACAGGAGAAGCAAAACAGACCTATGAGTTTCTTCAAAAGGTTTCAGTATTGCAACCAACATGTGTTTCTTGAGTCTCAAGTATATCATACTCTTTTCAATTGTTGTGGTTGTTGTTCCAGTGGTTATTGGAACATCCAGAGTTAGTCTCAAATCCTCTCTATGTCGGTGGAGACTCTTACGCCGGTATAGTTGTTCCAGCCATTGTTCAACAGATCTCAATAGGTTTGACTTTTTTATTTTATTTTCCCTCTAAATATCCATCTTCTGATCTTCTTTGGATATTAATATTTAACTTAGCCATCCTATTTACGGTTACGCAGGAAATGAACATGGCAACAAACCAATGAATCTTAAGGTTCATGAGTATATTCACTCATATGTTTATCATTACTTTGTAGATGTAGAAATATTGTTTAAAAATTATCATTTATACCAATAGGGTTATGTTCTTGGGAATCCGACAACAGAGTATGATAGTGATTGGAACCATAGAATTCCATTTGCTCATGGAATGGGATTAATCTCTGACGAACTCTATGAGGTATATCATGAAGTCTTATGTAGTCTCTTCTCTACAAAAATGTAATTATTTTGATTGAAATAGAAACCCTTGTTTGCAGTCACTTAAGAGAAGCTGCCATGGGAATTATGTGAAAATAGATGCTGCCAATACACATTGCTTGAAATTAGTGGAAGACTACAACAAGGTAAACATACTCTACCCAAAAAAAAAAACTTTATTAGCAAAGACTAATTATGATGGATGATGACAGTGTGTTTCAAGGATAAATGAAGGATCTATTTTGATACCATTGTGCGATTTAGCACCACCGACTCAATTATCAATAGAGAATGATGGAAGAAGAAGTCTTAAAAGACTTGGCCACTCAGATCTTTCTTTTACAACTCCTGATTGCTATGTAAGCCAAGCAAGAAAATTCATTACTCGTTGCTTTAGTTATAAAATGGAAATCATGTAGGTATAAACCATAACGGTGAACTATGCAGATGTATCGGTATGTGCTAGCTACGCATTGGGCTAATGATGAAGATGTGCGCAAAGCCCTTCATGTGCTGAAAGTATGTCATTTTACATATATACACATCATCATCTAATATCAAGAAAGCAATTAACAATCAATGAATAAATGTGAAATTTGCAGGGGAGTATAAGGAATTGGGTGAGATGCAATTGGGATTTGGCTTATGAGAAAGATATAAAGAATAGTGTACCGTACCATCTAAGCAATAGCATCAAAGGGGTTTATAGAACACTGGTTTTTAGTGGTGATCATGACATGATGGTGCCTTTTCTTGGAACCCAAGCTTGGATTAGATCTTTAAACTATTCAATCATTGATGAATGGAGGCCATGGTTTGATAACAATCAAGTTGTTGGATACACAAGGACGTATGCAAACAACATGACATTTGCCACTATTAAAGCACGTCCTTTATTTTTGGTTTCTCATCAATTTTTTCATTTTAATAATATTTTCATCGTTACACTTTACCATCGAAAAAGGTAATTATATTAACTGGTTTTAAGTTTGCAGGGAGGAGGGCACACTGCAGAGTATAAACCAGAGGAGAGCGCCGTGATGTTTCAAAGGTGGATACGTGGCCAACCTCTCTAACGTTAAGCCGGAGAGTCGTTATGACCAATCGATTTAATGGTGAATTGGGATAATATTACAAAATGCTAAACAGTTGAAAGTTGAAACAGCCTCTAAACTGATATTTTTCGGTAGCTCTATGCATTTAGGATTTTGGAACGAGAATTGACGGGATTGGGATGGGAATGGAAAATTTGGGAAATCAAATATGATTTCTGAAGTATTCCGTTATTATAACGGGACGAAAAATAATGGGAATGGAAAGGGAATGAGAAATTTGGGAATCAAAAATTAATATCCGAAGTCTAAATAAATTTGAAAATTTTAAGATATTTTGGAAAATTTCAAGAAAAATACGGGAAAATATGAGAAAATACGAGAAACTATGAAAAAATTCGAAAAAATATGGAAAAATTTGAGATATTTATTTCTAATTTTCAATATTTTTTTATATTTTAAACGGGAAATCGGGAAATCCTATACCCTTCCTAAACCCTTATTTTATCCATTTGAATAAAATAAATGTTCTCAAATGGGAAATTGCAAATTTTCATTCCCGAAAAATTCGAAAAATTTTAAGTGGGTAAGGGTGAGAACGGAATTTCCGTCCCGAAATGCAAAGAGACATTTTTCGGTATAACGTTTTTAGGAAAAGTAAATGTAAAATTTGGCTTCAAAATATTTCCCTTTTCCTAAAAAGAATAAATTGTATGCCTTGGTCATATCGTCGTATAGAATCCATTGGTTCAATATGTCGGTTGTCGGAGCATAGACAGATGTTCAGAACGGTCCAACCAACTGGACCGGAGTTTTTGTTTTTTTATTGTTGTTCATAGTCTTTTTTGGCAATATACGGAAATTTCACCATGCAAATTATAACAAACAAAACGTGATACTTTGTAACTTTAGTATTCCTCAGGTTGATGAGTGATCGAATAATCCAATATGGTAGACTATATTGTAAAATTTTGTCCTTCTTTTATTAAAAATTGAACGACAAGATAAGGAGAAAAAGGGACATACTGTTTGACAGTGTGGCCTATATTATATTATATTATAATGTTATACTTATATACTCCTCGTCGGTCAGATGCAACATTAAAATAAATAAAAATTTGAAAGGAGTGGCGAGTGAATCAAGAATGTGCAAAGTGAAGTTGCTTCTTCTGCTTCAAATGCTCTCCTTGTCTCATCATGGTGTTGATTCATTAGCCTCTGTGGTTAGCTATCTTCCTGGTTTCGAAGGTCCTCTTCCTTTCCACCTTGAAACTGGGTTAGTTTTCTCTCTCTCTTTTCTTCCTCTGCTTTTCAATATTTATGACTAGCTATAACACAATCCAAATGAGTTAAAATCTTTGACCGTATCTATCTTTCTAATAAGAAGCTATATTGGTGTTGGTGAGGAAGAGAAAACACAGCTTTTCTACTACTTCATCAAATCAGAGAACAATCCTGAAGAAGACCCTCTTCTTGTTTGGTTAGGTGGAGGACCTGGTTGCTCTTCTCTCTCTGGCCTTGCTTTTGAAATAGGTAATTTCAAGAAGAAAATTAAAACTGAAAAGTATTTGATCGTTAGTTGATTTTCCAAATCTACTCTTGTTTTTGGAGGACCTTTGACTTTCAAGACTGAGGGTAATAGTGGAGGTTTGCCTTCTCTTGTATCCACTTCATATTCTTGGACAAAGGTCAGTCCTTAACTAATAAAATCAAAGTAAAGGATTATGTTTTTTTTTTTTTTTTTGTGTAGTACTATCGGTTTCAAGATTGTTGATTTGGTTATTTCTTAGGTAGCTAACATAATATTCTTGGATCAACCTGTTGGGGCTGGCTTCTCCTACTCAACAGCTCCTCTTGCTGATAAGCCTAGTGACACCGGAGAAACAAAAAGAATTTATGAGTTTCTTCAAAAGGTTGTTTTCTTGATTTCCTGAACCCTTTCCAGAGTGTTTTGATAAGAATCTAAGTATACCACATACAATATTTTCAATTGTTGCTGTTGTTGTTGTTAATGCAGTGGCTTGTAAAGTATCCTGAGTTTATGTCAAATCCTCTCTATATTGGTGGAGACTCTTACTCCGGCATAGTAGTTCCAGCCACTGTACAACAGATCTCAATAGGTTTGTTTTTTTCTTTGCCATTAGAATTAACTCCCACGAAAAAATCTATCTTATCTCGACTTGGCTTTACTTAAACCACTGTCTAAAGTTCTTAACATTAACGTTACGCAGGAAATGAGGATGGCTACAAACCTATAATCAATATTAAGGTTCATCAAGATCTTCACTCATCTGTTAATCATTACTTTATATAGAGAAATCTTGTTTGAAACTATCATTTATAATCAACAGGGTTATGTTATTGGGAACCCGACAACAGATTATTACAGTGATTGTAACCATAGGATTCCATTTGCTCATGGAATGGGACTCATCTCTGACGAACTCTATGAGGTATATATTGAAGTCTATTCTCTACAAAAAATATAACGTTTTTTTTTTTTAGTGAAATAAGTTTTGAAGCTCTGACCGGCCGGAATGTTTTTGCAGTCGCTTAAGAGAAGCTGCAAAGGAAATTATGAAAAAGTAGATCCTACAAATACACAATGCTTGAAATTTGTGGAAGACTACAAAAAGGTAAAGAAGTAAAAGACTCAAGTTTAGAATTGTGAATAGTAAAGACTAGTGTGGGACTTTGTGGTTGATGATGATGATAATTGACAGTGTGTTTCAAGGATAAACTATCCGTTAATTTAAAAATAAAGAAAATCATTTTTATACCTCGAAGCTGGCTATGTCGTTTCCTAGACGGTAGATAGTACTCAAAGCGTCGAAGATCTTTGGTTCAGAATTGAACCATTCGTTCGTTTGCTTCTCATCACAGTCTTCCATACCGATAAAACCGTCTGCTGCATAGTCATTCATACCTCCACTGACCAGCCCAACTTCCATGTACTCATCAAAAGTTGGCACATGACCTTTGCGTGCCCATTTTGATATCGCTAGGTACGCTCTCCCCAAACTCTTAATCTACGATTTCATCAACTATTTTAGTATTTCTTTCACAACGGAGATGTTCTTATATATTTATAAATCTGACCTATTACCTCATCTATCGCTTGCTGCACGCTAGCGGATCTTCCTCGTGGCTTCATTTCTTTTTCAATGTCGTCCACAGTTTCCACTAAAGCTCTGATGACAACTTTCAAATAGCTTGGCAGTTCATCAATTGCACCAAGATCCCACCTGTCCATTTTGACAAGCATATATGTTTCTTCTTGTTAGACATTCAACTAAAGTTAAGAATACGTACGTACCTAGGGCTAAGTTTTAAGAAAAAAATGTACTAGGCAAAAACGATCCATGCATGCATATATTTACCTTTGCACAGACTCGATGAGACTTTTAGCTTCAGGGAAAGTGGCATATGCATCACATGTGTCGTCCAAAACAACCGTGACCATGATAATTTTAGTTGCTATAATCCTCCCAAGTGAATATCGTGGCTCGATATAGAGTCCCAATGCAGGGAAATAGACCTCCACAATTCTATCCCTGATGTAAGGAAGCTTAGATGCAAGGTTTAGATCATTCCACCATCTGCCAGACAAAACAAAACAAAAAGCTTGTAGTATGTGTCAAGAATGCATTGAATTCTTGTAGTATATATATTAGATCTGGGCATAATCACCGAACCGAAATACCCGACCCAAACCGAACTGAAATACTTGAACCGAACCGACCCAAAAACTTTAAAATATGCGAGATTTTGAGGCTAAATAAATTCGAGTATCGGGTAATACCCGAACCGAACCGATACCCGAAGTAGACCCGAACAAATCCAAAATTTTTGGTACTTATACTCATAATATATATTTTATTCATTTTTATACACTGTGGATAATATAAATACTTTAGGGTATTTTTTGCAAGTTTTGGGTAGTTTCGGATAGGTTTGGGTATTAAATAACCGATCAAAATTGCACCCCAAAAAAGTTCGGATATATTTAGGTTGTTAAACAAAAGAACCATATACCGAACCCAAACCGAACGGAAAATTAAAAATACCCGAATAGGTTCAAAATTTTAAAATCGAAAGACCGATATCCGAAATACCCGACCCGAACTGAACCGAATACCCGAACGCCCAGGACTATATATATGTTTCAAGTTTCAACTATATTAACCTTACAAATTAGTTACATTTGCCTCATACAGATATCTATCCCAAAAAAGATGAACCCAAAATAGTATAATTACGGCATCGAAAAGACATGGAACCTAATAAATAAATAAAAATATTATAAAGAGCCATGTGTTACTATAGTTAATTCACGCTGGTTTAGAGATCGAAAGGACTATAATCAGCAAGACTGAAGAAAGTAGTAGGAAGAAAATAATCAAATAAACATGGTGACGTACTTGGTGAGAGTTTTGAGTTCTTGGATGTAAAGCAACCGGCAATAGTTGAAGCTAAGCTTTGCAAATCTGAGAAGCATCTCGTCTTGACCTTCTTCTTGGTCGTAGAAAGAAATGTATTCTCTTATGGATAGTATTTCCATGTTATGATATCGAGGTCTGTACAAGGCGTTACGAATATGTGTAGAGAGATGGGGATTAATAATACTCGTTTCTTGGACTACCAAAGACTCCAATTGGTTCCTAGTGAAACTCTTTGCTTCCTCCATTATATCTTCAGAGGGAGTCCCGAGATACGCTGCTTGGTACAACTGTAGCAATCCTCTAATATCCCCGAGTAAACTCTCCTTGAACTTCCCATCTTCACCTTTGAATCTATCAAAGACATCTAGAAAATGAAACCCATATATAGTCATCATCATGTTGTATACAGATTTTTCATGTGTACATATGTGATGAATGGACGAAAATTACACTCCCTCCTTTCATAATAAGTGTCATTTTGATACTTTTCACACAAATTAAAAAAGAAGTTCAAAGTTTAGTTTTACCTTTGTTTGACTATTAGAAGTCTTACAGTATTTAATTTTTTTTTTCTCATTTAATTAGGGGTAAAACATATAAATTAATATGAAAAATGCATTGAAATTAGAAAATGACACTTATTGTGAACAGAGGGAGTAATATTTGTTTACCGCAAGACATCTTGTGCTGGTAGAGTCGGAAGACCTCAAACATGATGGAGACTGTTTCCAAATCCTCCTCCTCTGCCATTAGTATGTCAAGATCTTCAAAAGCCTGGTTTAGGATCATCTCAATCTCGGTCTCGAAGTAATGCGAGATACCAAGGCTGATAAGCAAATGGATTAAACGAATCTTGTCCTTGTTGCTGTTGTGACAAGACATGAGCCTGTCTCTCACGTTCGGTTTCATCGACGATTCAATCTCTCTTGCTATTTCATCAGATTCCTACGAAGATACAAGAGTTAGATGGTCGTCAAGAATCATGTTCTTCAGTTCTTGGCAACAAAGACTCGTGAAACGGGTCAGGTGTACTTACAGAGTGGTCAATGGGAAGGGAGAGAAAGTAGTCTCCCCAAAGAGAAGGAGAAAACTGTGTCAAAGGTCGAGTGCTTTCAAGATCATCATCACTACTCTTAGTAGCCCTCAAACAGAACAAATCTTGTTTTCTTTGCTTTTGAGAAAGAGTTTGGTTTGGAAGCAAACAACGAGGAAAGAGAGAGAGTTTGGTTTTGAGACAAAGTGGGGCTTTGTGAGCTTGAAGATGCGGAGTTCTGAATCCAAAACTCATTCTTGCTGCTTCCATTTTTTAGTCGCAGAAAAAAAGGAAAAAGGTGCTCTTTTTGTGTTTTGATGCCTGCTGCTTCACTTGCTTTCTCGTATGTTTTCTCTGTTTTTGAAGTGAGTATGCTTCGTCTGAAGCAATGCATTTATGAAGTCTGACAAACTTAGGATTTGAAGATGCAATCCACTGGCACGTCTTAATTACTAAATACAAAAAGTCAATGGTCAATGTCGTGTTCTTGAGTACAATACAAGGTAAAAACAAATTATTTGAAAACTTATGAAAGTTTCATAAATTATCTTTAAAAAGAAAAAAAAATCAGAAAATTTGGTATTATAGTAAACATACCAAAAACAGTTTGGAACTTGGGATCTGGTTTCTATGCCAGAACACAGGATGTGTTGACACCAAGGGGATTTACAAGAAAGAAAAAAAATGGAGGAAAAGGGCGACATTACAAGGCACGTCTAGTTTGTCAAGGATACATAATATACATTCAAATTGAGGGGGTGAATTTTTTTTTTTTTTTTTTTTTTTTTACTTAAATTTCCATTAGATAAGAAAGTTTTACAAAAGATGAAGCCTCACAGGCTTACAGCGCAAATTCAGATCACCAAAGCCTCACAGGGGGTGAATTTCGATGAAACTTTTCTTAGACTCGTGTCAATCAAACATCGTTGAGGATTGCATGCATCTTTAAGATAAAGTTGTTTAAAATGGATGTCATGTGTGTGTTTGAATTTATGAAACCAACACAGCACAAGACTTGTGATTTAATTTTATGAAAAATGGTTAAGCAAAAAGAATACCTTAATCTGCTTCCAATATTCTCCGTAGGGTGAAAAGGCCAATATGTCCCACGGAGCCGTGCCACCGTAAGTGAGAAAGGCTAACAATGTTGTTGCTACGCAGAGAGAGACTAAGATTATTTCCATTTCTTATTATGAAAGTTGATTTCAACCTCTAACTTCCATGTGGATTGTTAGCATCTGGTCTTCCTACGTACTTTGTGATTTATAGAATGATTTAGTTCGCATCGCATCTCTTTAGCTGGCATATAATACGTCGCAATATTATAATGGACTTTAGTTGATTGCATGCATACCTCTCCGCGTCATGCGCAGAGACATGAAATAAGAAAATGTTTATGAATAACAGTAATCGAAGTGATGCAGCATAGAGACAGTTAGACACAAGAAACATGCATTTATTGTTTATATTTTGTATTTTCTCAAGACTATATGTGATTTCCCGTGCATGTGCGCGAAACTTTCACGATTTTACAATTTGGTTCGGCTTCAAGATTAGAATGGTTTGATTCGGTTGGACAGTTTGATACTTTTATCTAACCCTATTTTTAGCTTTGAACATAATCTCTACTATTCTATTACAAATTACAAGAATTGTTACATCCAAGATTTTAATACGTACGTGACAAGAAGTAACCTGTGGGCTTGAAATGAAAATGGGCTAGAATTAGGCCCATATTTGAACTCTATACCTCGTTGTAGTTTTTTGTTATTTTCTGTCATTTAACAAAAAAGAAAAAAACTGGTAAAAAGAGAGAAGAGAGGCATTATCCCTTACGACGAGGAAGCCGTCGTTTTGAGGGTTTTTATTTTCTCTTTGGCACCGTTCGTACAATTTCCCTGAGATCTCTTCTTCAAAGGGGGCTTTCAGTCCGTCGTCGTTTTGATTCATTCAAAGTTCTTCGTTCTCTCTTCCGCGCTGTTTTTCTGGTTAGTCTCTTCCCTTTCTCCGGCGTCGTTTCGTGCTTAACGTCTATGTTCCATATCCTTTAATCTCTCCTCGCGTTTCTTGACCTTAAACACCTAATCCCCATCTCTCCAATCAAAATCTTCCACATGGCATTTGAAATATCCGAAACCGAAAAGAAATAAACAAATAACCACCAAGTGTCTCTCCATGCCCTGTATTAGTTTTATCACTTCATCGGCAACTCCACTCTCTCCAAAACTCAGTCTCCAATCATTAGTTCAAAATGCAAATCTAAATCATGGAGTTAATATACATGTTGCTTGGCTTTTTGGGGCTAGAAATGTTCTACTTATCTTAACAAAGACACTAAAAAACTTATCTATGACAAAGATTACAAAGTATTTCACTTCAACAAAACCACAACATGAGCCACTCATTGTTCATTACACAAACCACATTAAATCAAAACAAAACAAAACAAACCTCCTTTTTCTTCTTTGCAAATTGCCATTTGTTTCCTATACACCCATTTTCCTCCTCTCATTTCTCTCTTTCCCCATCAAAAGAAAAAAAAAAAAAAAAACCACATCTTTACATCACCACACAAAAACCCATAAATCAAAAATCGTTACCCATATTTCTTTCATTCTATCCTAATCCTCATCACTCAACCAAAGCTCACAAAACAAAAACAAAAAAAAACAGAGAGCTTAGGCGGAGAAGAAGAGGAAAAGGAGAGAAGCTAGCAAAAACAGCAACAATGGCTGTCTCAACAATCTACTCAACACAAGCTCTCAACTCAACTCATTTCTTAACTTCTTCTCCTTCTTCTTCCTCCTCAAAACAAGTCTTCTTCTACCGTCGTCAATCCCAAACCAACCGTAGTAGATTCAACACAATCATCACTTGCGCCGCACAACAAACCATCGTGATCGGACTCGCTGCTGACTCCGGATGCGGCAAAAGTACTTTCATGCGGAGGCTCACGAGCGTCTTCGGCGGAGCAGCCGTGCCACCGAAAGGCGGGAACCCTGATTCCAACACACTCATCAGTGACACGACCACTGTGATCTGTCTCGACGATTACCATTCTTTGGACCGGACCGGCCGTAAAGTGAATGGAGTCACTGCTTTGGACCCACGCGCCAATGACTTTGATCTCATGTATGAGCAAGTCAAAGCTCTTAAGAGTGGTGTCGCCGTCGAGAAACCGATTTATAATCACGTCACCGGACTTCTTGACGCCCCCGAGCTTATTCAGCCTCCCAAGATTCTCGTCATCGAAGGTCTTCACCCAATGTAAGAACACTCTGTTTTGTCTCTCAGACACAATCTATCAGTTTAGTCTGGAAGTCACTTTTCTTGTCGGAATTTTGGATGATCAAGAAGAATCTTGGATTTATTTTCATTACATATAAAGAATCAGTATCCGAGTCAAAATAATGGATCTTTGAACCTTTTGCATGAAGTCTTATATAGTTTGACAATGATTAAATTATATTCGAATAATTTAGTCTATAGTTTTAAATGGTCATCTAATATTTTATACTATGGTTGTATCTACTTGCGAAGGTTTGATGAGAGAGTAAGAGACTTATTGGACTTCAGTATCTACTTAGACATTAGCAACGAGGTCAAATTCGCTTGGAAAATCCAGGTGCGTTTCTAAGAGTCATTCATCTTCATATACATATATACACACATTTCATTCGACCGTTCTCTGTAACGGTTTGAGACTCCTCGTTGGTCACACACGCCGCTGCGGCACGGATCATCATCTCCATGTGAACAGAGTTTTTTCTTGTACATCTCAGCCTCGGATCAAGAAGCTCCTCTATAGCCTCTATCCCTCTATCCAACAACGGTTTCGCCTACAAAGAAAACACAAAGAATCTCACTTTAAGTCTTTTAACCAAAGAAACCCTAATTTGCATCATCAAAGTTTGACATACCCAAACAACCAAATTTTCTTCACCAGATGATCTTCTTGGTTCTATTGGTTTCCTACCAGTTATTAGCTCAAGCAACACAACCCCGAACGCGTAAACATCGGTCTTGTCTGATATCTTGCCATGTTGGAAATACTCAGGAGCTAGATATCTGCAAGAAGTTTTAGGTTAAATCAATATGCAAGGAGCAAGAACAAGACTCAATGGAAGCTTCGATCGTTACCCGAATGTGCCTTTCACAGTCTTGCAGAGGAAAGGAACAGAAGGAGCAGCGGTCCAAGTAGCTAAACCGAAGTCACACAACTGCAAATAACCAGCACAAATCAGTTCTTGTTACTCCGATCAAGAACTCGAAAAGATCATTCATTTCTTGAAAAAGGACTTACCTTTGGAATTTTCTTTGAGGAAAGAAGAATATTGGAAGGTTTAATATCTCTATGAACAACACATTGCTCTGTTCCATTATGCAAATAAGCAATAGCATCTGCAACACCTAACGCAACCTTGTACCTTGCTGTCCAAGGCAAGCCAAAAGCGGATTTCACACCTTTCTTCTTCTTCTTCTTATCTATTCAAATTCGAAATATCACTAGTCTTTAAGAACAGATTTTGATCTAGAGGAAACAATGGAGATGGTAAGAAAGATGATTATTTACCGTGTAAATAATGTTCAAGGCTACCACCAGAGACATACTTGTAAACCAAGAATAGACCTTCTTCAGGATCAATACAGAATCCAAGAAGAGGCACAATGTTGGAGCTATGAAGAGAGCTTGCTATCATCAACTCTCTGCAGAAGGATTTTGGAGATTCTTTGTCTTCTTTGTCAAGTCTCTTGATTGCTAAAGCTGTTTTCCAAATCCCGAGTTTACCCCTGAACACATAGCTACAAGCTCCTCTTCCTAATACTCTCCCTAAACAAATTGAATCAAAAAGTCAAAACCTTTACCAATTTTTTCAACCTAATCCCTAAGAACAGAGCTCAAGAACTAATTAAAGGTTTCACCTTTGGAGAAGTTACGAGTGGCGGCGACGATTTCGTCGTAGCTGAATCGGACCAATGTATTAGCCACCGGAGAAATGCTCTTTTCCAGCGACCGAGCTCTCGTCCACCGCAAATCATCCGTCGATTTTCCGGTTTCCTTAACTCCGTTCTCGAGATTCACCATCAGAACCGTCGTGGAGCCACCGGAAACAGAGAGATTCCGGCAAGAAGAGGAAGCGGAAAGCGAAGGCTCTTCTCCTTTCAGCTTCTCAAGCTCAATATGTGAACAGAGACTGAATCTAAAGGAGGAGTGAACAGAGTGAGGATCCGGATTCATATTTTCCGGAGCTGTTTCCGCCAAAAGCCACGCCTTGTTGTTCTCTCCTCCGCCGCCGCTGGTGCTGCTTCCGCCGCCTCCGCTATTTCCATTGCTGCCGGATCTCTCGATTGAGCTCGATGGAGGAAGGAAACAAGAGCCAAAATCAAAGATCATTTTTTTCAAAAGGGTTTTGAGTCCTCTGTCATTGTATTCTCCGCCGAGATCTGAAGCTAAAGGAGACGATGAAGAAGTGAGAATTGGGAGATTTGTGTCTGAATTCCGTGGATGAACAGAGGCTCCTTCATAAAAACCCATTCTTTTGGATGAAACAGATCTCAAGAAAGAAAAAAGACAGAACACAATTACCTAGAAAAAAGCAAACAGAAATTAGATTCTCTTTAGTGAAAAGTTTGATTCTTTGAAAAGCTTCTTTGCTTGATGGAAGAGAAAGAGAATAAGCTTTTTTTTTTTTTTTCTCTCCTCTTAGAGAGATATTAGCAATTTTTAGAAGGTTTATAAAATTGAAGATGGAAGAAGATGATTGATTAAATTAATATGTGATTAGTGGTGGAAGGTGGAAACATTTTAATTTTTTTCTATACCGTTAAGTTGTTGTTGTGATCTTGAGCAAGAAAAAACAGGAGAGGGGGAAAATAATTAGGTGTGAGTTATTGATTAGTGGGATTTTTTAAATTATTGAGTTTAAAATAATTGAGAGCGTTACAAGAAAAACAAATCAATCAATGGGGTATTAATGTAAGAAAATAAAATGTAATAATTTAAAGATTAGGTCATATGGGTAAAGCTGTTTTCTAATACTCAAAAGGGGGACAAATGCTGAGCCCACGAGGTTATGGTTCTCTTGAAATAATGGAGAGAGAGAGAGAGAGAGTATTTTAAAATTCATGTTAAAAACAACAAGTGTTACTATCGATATAATCATATAAATAAATAAAATAATCAAGTGTTACTATTTTTAGTTTTATATTCTCTCTGTTTCGATTCGTACATGTGGAAAACATCGACACTCGTAAGAAGTTTTACATGGGTTTATCCGGTGGGGCCAGTCCACATATTATTTCGTCGTTTTTTTTTTGTCTAACCATCTTTTTCAACAAATATTAACCTATTTTCAAAGAAAGACTACATGGTGGAAAAAGTTATACCTTAAACTTTTTTTGTATCATAATAAAATGATATTTTAACAGAAAAACATTTTTATATTATTGTTGCATTAACCAATTTGTTTCTTACGATTTTAATTTTTTTTATTCTGATAATTTTTTATGAAATTATTATTAATTTATCTCCTCACAATTTCAAAAACCTAAATTGATTACATATATCTCGATTAAAAACATTAAAGCAATATGAATTTATGTCTTTGTTGATAATTGCTTTATATCTTGATTTAAATTTTTTCTGGTCTCAGTTGAAATATGAAATTTACGTGTTTTGTTTCCATTACAAATTCACAAAATTTACAAAAAAACAGAAAAAAGTTATAAGCATTTTCCAATAATCTTTTTCATTGATACAAGCTTATTTCATTCACATCCAAAGCAAACTTCTCCCATATTTAAGTAACTCGCCGGCTTCTGAGGCCACCAATCGTGTGTCGTCACGTCATCACTCCTGAGCCGACGACTGCCAACAAACTCTGCCGGACTGCAGGGACGGAACAGAGTAACGATCCAAAGATTCCGGTGAGAGCATAAGCAATTGCACAGAAGGGAAGAGCCTCTGGCTCCTTAGCCGACAAAGCTGCTGTTCCCAGTCCATGAGCACTGGCCACACAAAATCAAGAAGTTAATATTTTTTTATCCTAATGGCATTAATGGCTAAGGAAATAATGTTCACACATTTTGATTCAAAATGTGAAAGATCATCTGTAAAAAGGAGTCACCTTGAAGCAGTTGCGATTCCCCGAGCAATTGGATCACGTAAACGCAGCTTGTCAAGAACAACTTGTACGAAGTTAGCTCCAATCAGACCAGTCACAACGACTACAGCTGCTGTGAGAGACGAATTGGTCCCTGAAAAACGTCCAAGAAAATCGTTAGAAACGTTCTTTAATGTGTTCTAAGGAGGAGAAGAAAAATCTATATATACCTTCAAAGAGTGACACAATGCTAAGGGCCAATGCAACGGTGATGCAGCGAGGTAGGATTGAAACCGTTAAAGATGGTTCTAAACCAACTAAACGTCCAACAAGAGCAGTAGAGTATAGCGAGAATAGCGTCGAAATGATCACAGATGTGAAGATCTCAGCTGCGTGCCTTTTCACGAGCTGAAGAAAGACAAAGAGGCAAATCAAAAGACATTGGTTTACCAGTTTTCTAAAGCACGAACAGAACAAGTTTGTTTTGTTATACCTTTCTTTGTTTGAACATGGAAAAAGCGAAAGAGAGAATGACAGAGCCAAGAAAACCCATTAATATGTCACCAGCACCAGGATCTGATGCTACTTTAGTAAGGTAGTTCCCTGTCACCACCAATTAAAGAGTAGTGAACAAAAAGCTTTTTACTTTCTATTTTAGGTTCTTCAAAAAGTTTCTCCTTTACTTTGGTTTACCTAAAACAGGATCAAGTCCAGATCCTGAAGCATACCCAAAAGCTAGAGCAGCGAGTACTGCCGATAGCGCGCAGCAGATTATCGGATGGAAAACTGACTTGATAGAAGATGGTAACCTGGAAAAACAAAGAAAGATAATACAATGAAAACAACTTTTCAGAGAGAGCGAGAGAGAGAGACTTAAGGAGGGGATTTGAATATTTACCCAGTACCAACAATGTAACCAAGAACAGTTGAAGAAAGAAGGAAAGGGAGACAAGTTCTTGCGCTTGTCCCCAATGAAGTAGGGTAAAACAGAGCACCAACAAACGATACGACCAAGATCCCACTCCAACTCCATAGCTCAAGCGTTGAAAATGGAGAAGGTTTCCCCATAGGCTCTGCTTCCGTCATTTCGGTTTTCACCATTTTCCTCACCGCAATAGCTGTGAAACCTGCTACACAGAGAGACGCCAACCATCCACCGGCTGTACAAACATCCCATTTCACATTGAGATCAAATCAGTATACAGTAGAAAACAAAACAGAGCAAGAAGACAAAAATTACCATAATGATTTTTAAGTGAATATAACTGAGTGAAAGTATATAGTATATACCTTGAGTATACAGTAGAAAACAAAACAGAGCAACTAGACAAACTTACCATAAAAAGTTTTTGACTTTGAATATGCTGAGTGAAAGTAGAGAGTATATACCTTGAGATCAAATCAGTATACAGTAGAAAACAAAACAGAGCAACTAGACAAAAATTACCATAAAAAGTTTTGATTTTTAGGTGAATATGCTGAGTGAAAGTATATAGTATATACCTACAATGTAGCAGATTTTGACGCCGGAAGCGGCCGGAATGTCTCTGACGGAAAGAGGGAGAGTAACAAGAGAAGGAACATAGAACAAAGGAAGCCATCTCTGGATGAACAGAAGCGCAGGCTCGAAGAAACTCATCAGACTTGTTGCAGCAGCGGGAACAACCGAATCCAATATCATAAGAACAGAGAAGATACAGAACATCCCAAACAGAGCACTTGGGAACTTTATGGACGCCGCTACAAACGCCTGCTTCAAGAAAATGTCTGCCGCAAGTATGATCCCAAGTGAGACCAACAAGTGCGCTATCGCAAACACCTGGTGTGCAACAACAACAACAACAAAGTTTAAATCTTTCTGGATCCGAGTCGGTTAAACAACATAAAGCATTCATCTTTAAGCTTACGTTACTAGAGATCGTTGATGTGTCTCCTGCTCCTGCACCATCCATGGCTTGAATCGAGAGTTTTCTCTCAAAGCTCATCTCTTGTGAACCCATTTTTAGAAACTTTTTACTCTTTAGTCCATCGAGTTTACGGAGTTTCGATAGATTCAGCTTCTGGATTGACTTTGATTCGAAACTCTTCCCATGTTTCGAATCGAATCGGATCTGGGAACAGATTTGGCGGTTTCTTGCTGATGAAAGAGCTAAAGGAGTAAAGAGAGGAGTGGCTAAAGGAGTAGTCATGGGAGTAGAGACGACGTGTCTGTGATTCTGCGAGACGACCCATCATAGTCTTCTCCATCTTCACGTTAATGATTACTGACTTTTGTGATGGGAATTGGATTACGAGAATTTGTAAGGACCGGAGAGAAAGTGCTATCAACAAAACGATTGACTTTTTTTGTCTTTTTCTCTCCTCTAGTCCTCTCTGTTCTGATATTTTTGTTTCCCGGGGTTATTTTTTTCGGTTAAAAAAAAGGTTTCTACTTTAAGCAAATATTTAAAAACATTTTGTTTAATTAAAAGCATTTCCAGATGACTATAAAGTACTCCCTTTTCCAAAATATATGATGTTTTAGAATTTGTATACTCCCTCCATTTCAAATTAGTTGTCGTTTTGGGAAAATGTATCTGCAATTATTTGGATGTATCTGCAATGCAAAATACGTCCAGATACGTCCAAATATTTGCAGATACATTTTACCAAAACGACAACTAATTTGAAACGGAAGGAGTATTGATTAAGAAATATTTATGACTTTTTAATGCATTAACTTTCTATTCAAATCACTTTTTAATAAATATTAACCAATAGTAATTCAAGAATTTGATTACTTTTAATTAACTGTTCTTGAAGTTTGTAACTTATTAGCATTAATTAACCAAAAATACCTTAATATTTCTAAAACATCATATATTTTGGAACAAGAAAAAAAAGTCTACAACCTACAGAGGGAGTATAAACCAAATCTTACAATTACAAAAGGCCCTTAAAGTTAAAGATAAGCATACAAGTAGTGAACAACACTAAAACCAATCTCCTAGCTTTAAAAACCAAAATCAGAGTCAGCAACAAATTGCCTAAAACCTACACCAAAGAGACTGAGACGTTTAATTGTAACGGTACTCATGCTGCTCATACTGATGAGCATCGTAGTGGTACTCATACTGAGACGATGACTGCTCGTAAGCTGAAGCGTAGTGCGAAGTTGGTGAAGAGGAATTGTAGACTTGATGATGGTGATGTGAAGGAGTACCGAGCTCAGTCACAGAACTAGACGACATTGTTTCATGTTTGTCCACTCTTACCTCCGGTATCTCCACCTCTCGGTGGCTCTCTACGTCTTTTTCTTCAGACGAAAACTCTTCCTCGAATGAGTGGAAGATTGGGTGCAAGTAAGCATCTGCAAGATCCGCTTTCATGTTCAGTTCCGGTTCTGTTTCCTTCTCCAGCTTGTCTTTCGCCATTGCTTCCTGCAGATAAAGAGTAAGACCAACGATTAAAACACAAGTTTTTCGTTAAGAAAGCTTGAGACTTTTCTTCAGGAAGATTGTTTCTTGAAAAGATTGGTTATTTTACCTCGAGAGGGTATTTTCGGAAGGCGGGTTCGAAGCGGTGTTTGCAGTATTTGTGGAAAGCAAGTGTGAGGATGGGCAAGATGATGAGCAACGGCGTTGAGTCAGCTGCCTTTTTAGAAGTCAAAAGTCCCATAAGCAGAAGCTGAGATATCAACAAGCTTGCGATTATGCGGCCATGAACGTGCGGCCAAAACGCTCCACAGCTCTCGTATTGTTGGTTGTAGACATTGATGATCTGCGTTTGTTCAAAAAAACCATCATCAAGAAGAAAAAAAGCTCCAAGGCGACTGCTGATATATATATGAGTCTGAAACCGAACCTGATGGCGATAGACCAAGTAAGCAAAGGCGAAGAATACGCAAATGAAGGGAAGAAGAATGGGAGTGACAACGGCGTAGACAATCCCCAAGAGGAAGTAGAGCTGGAGAGACGGGAGAGTCTCCTTGAAATCGACGAAACCAGGGTCCATTGCTCTCTCTCTATCACGTTCGGTCTTCACAAGAAACATGTTCTTCAAGTGGAAAATAACGAGCGGCTTTAACCGGAGAATCTCACCAGCGATACCAGCCCACCCGTCAACCATTATGTAAGTGATAAAGAAGGTAGCTTTCATCGGAATAGAGACCCCAATGGTTCGAGGAATCCTGTTTAAAAACGCATTAAAACAAGAGTTTTAAACTTTTAATCCTCAAAGTTGGAATCTTTGGAGAGTTAAAAAGAGGTTATAAAGGTTGTTTTACTGAGATGGTGATTGGTGAAGGAAAGAGTCAAGCTGCTCAAACGCTGTTCCAGCGATGATACTTCCCAAGAACACATTCACTAACATGAAGTAATAGTATTTTGCTGCTGCCCTACGCTCGAGTGTCGATAAAGCGATGTATCCTTCAATCTTAGACATAATCAGTAGAACGGTCGGGAGAATCCACAAGAATATCTTCAGGGCAAGACCCGGTAGGAAACCTTGTAAGAACGACTTAACGAAATCCCTGCAATAAAAAAAACCAAGAAGATGGAGTCAACGGTTCTGATATATATCAAGAAGTGAAGTCTGAGATAGATTAATGGACTTACAATCTAGTGATGGGTCTGAGGAATGGTGCAACTCTGTCGAGACCTTGTAGATTGGCGAGAGACTGCACGAAAGCGATTGGAATCATGTAGAAGAAGACCAACGCAAAGACTGAGATACCAATGACTAGTTTCCGGATGGTCAAAGAGATGAAAGGTATAGCAAGGTTTTGCCAATAGATATCACGAGGCTCTGGAGCGTTACTCGTTAACCATAACGTTGGGTTCTTGCTCTGCTGCGTCTGTGCACAGACAGCAGCGCCCCATCGTGAATCGAACGAAACAAATGCAACAGGAAGCATCAGTTTTGAGTCCTTGAGAACTTTTTGGCGCTCCAGAGACATCTGTATCAATATCATGAGGTTAAAGTATGAAGCTTTTTTGGTGTCAGCAGTTTATTAGAAGCAACGGAATTGCTTACATTGTGGTCAAACTCCTTGATTTGTTCTTGGTAGTACTCAATGGAATCAACCTTATTACCCCATAGACCAAGAAACCCTGTCTGGATAAACAAAAACCCGCTCGTCGCAATCAACATCATATCATTTTCAAAAAGCAAAACAAAAGGTGTGGAGAGACTAACTCTGCAAGTAGGCTTCTTGTGCGGATTGCGTTGATGTTTCAGCACGTAATAGTCAAACCAGTTTTGCAGCCTCTCTCTTTGCTTCACCAGCTTTGCGTACTTGTTTGCATTATAAACTGCCTGAAGCAAGAAGATCCGATCCATCAAACACACAGGAATACAGTATATCAGTAAGTGTTAAGGAGAAACAAGTTACCTGATGACAAAGGTAATGCTCAGGGTGATTCGTCTTAAAGAACTGATCCACTGTATCAGGAACTGAATGTCCTGGCATGTCAGGGACGTTTCTGACAACAACCTGCAAAAATAAAAAAACAGAGGATATATTATACACACTGATGCAGACACTTATCGTTGTTTGGAATACGAAGCTTTCACTCACAGTGAATTGCTCTGGACGCCTACGCTGAGAAGCTAAATACTGCAGACGCATTGTTGCAACATTATCGTATTCTCTGTAGAGCATGTAACATGCCCATATTGTGAAAAGGTACTCTACTCCAATGTGGAAGAAGAACCTAACACATACACACACACAAAGAGATGTTAACCACAGCTAGTGAAAATCATTGATCTTTATTATTAAAAAGGCTTCATTTTTTTTTTTTTTTGACAGAAGTAAGCTCACTTTGAGGATTTAGGCTGAACATTTGATATAGAGAGCTTATCAATGTCGCTGACAACGAGTTCCTTCTTCAAGAAGAAAAGTGTTCCACTTGATACATTCACTGGAACAAGAACAACGAGCGCTAATACCATGGCTGGTACAAAGATCTTCAAGCTGCCAAACACAAACCAAGAAGAAAAAAAATGTTATAACTTTTTACTATGGGTCTATCCAAATTCTCTTATAAATAATCACAGTAACTTGCAGAGAGAAAAAATGGAATCTAAAAGTGACTTTCTGAAGAAACAAACATGAAACAGTGACAAACAAAACAAAACTTCTATTATTGCTTTTTGCTTTGTCTTTGTGGAATACAGAGCAGACAAATCTGTAACTTAGCTGTAAGATCATTATTTAATTTTGTAAGTATAAAGTACAATATTTCTGAAGAGTATAGATTCTTCTAACCGTGAAATTCGGGAATTTGTCACTCTGAGAAAAATTCGTTCTTGGAGATTACAATTAAAGCGGGAATCCCAGAGAAAACCAACAAAAAAACCTAATTTTTTTGTCGAAATTTCCCATTTTATTTTCTCGAGAATTCAACAGTAGCTCATACACTAATCATGCATACAAGCACTAAATAAAGAAAAAGAAACAAATTACCAATCAAATCTGAAGTAAATAAATCATGTGGAAAAAAGTAAATGAATGGACACTCGTAATTAGCAGAGAGATTTGGTTTAGGTAAACTATCGAACACTTAGCAATCAACTTTTTACCTTTAACGGAAAAGTTTCGATTTTTTTTCTTTCATTTTCTCGAGAAACAGACGTTTCAGCTAAAATCCGCAGATTTTGCTCTAAAAGTAAGAATCTTCCATTTTTAGAAATAAAAACACCCAATTGCGAGAAGAAGAAGAGAAAGAAAGTTACCCGAGAGTGTAAATCCTGAGGAAAATAGCAGAATCGAGACCAGCGTGACGGATAATCTCGGATTCACTCATTTTCATGGCTTGAGGCATCCAATTGAGGAAAGTGAAGTAAGTCTTGTAGTTGAGGTTGACGAATTTTCCGACGAGGGTTCCGTCGGAGCGTCGTGGACTGCTTCTCTCTTTGGAGAGATACCATTTGGGGAAGTAGACTCTGTCGTTGATGGGTTGGATTCTGAGGACGGCGAATGCGATTAGGAACAAGAAGGCACCGAAGAGGTTGATGAGAGCTGAGACTCCAATGTCTTGTAGAGTCGCCATTGATAAACACCAAAGAGAAGAGAAGAGAAGATTAGAGAGAGAGAGAGGCGTTTGATAAAGCGTGGCGTAAAGGCGAAAGAGAATAGAAAGTATCGAACTTTATGACTTTCTACTTCCTGTTTTTAAGGTATGTAATAAGATTATCATATTTATCATTTTTTTTTTTTTTTGACGACATCATATTTATCATTATATAATTAAAAATATCCATATATATGTTTTTCGGTGGTGTTTTATGTAAAACTGTGTGTTAAGTTTGAAAATAATATACAACTGCAAAACATTAGAATTAGCATAGAAAAATAAAATAAAATAATAAATCATAGAAATGAATTTCTTAATAAAAAATGGCATACATTATTGTGAATATTTTTAAGATCCCTTTTAGATGATTGTATTATATTTTCAACTTTGGAATAGGAAGGTTCATAGCCAGGGTATAAGAAAATTTGGTCTCGAATTATCATCTTATTAATGTGCGCCGGAATTTAAAATTTTGTTGAATATTTTTCTTTCTTAAACAAAATTCAAAAAAACTGGATATTGAATATTTGTATGCCTTTTTTGACGATTTTCCTAAAAACGAAATGTGAGAACATAGACCGACCATAGTAGTGCCAACTAGCACGCGTGAAATCGAGTCGTGGAGAAGTAAATTAGGTTGCCTTTGTGGGTTAACTTTTTGATTATGTTTCCTTCACAAAGAATAGTTTTTCTTTAGGAAAAGGATTGGTCCATAGTAAAAAAAAAATGTTGTGTTTCTTATCCGTGAACATATTAGTTCACTCCATGTCTCCATCCATTTGTATAATTCGACCTTAATATTAAATCTCTTATAATTTGATGTGATGTGTTCGATTTACCCATCTTATTATTATGAATTCAACTGGGACTTTTTGAGACGCCTTTGCACTTGTACTTTCTCGGCGGGATTAGACGATTTGTCGAGGAAAAGAACATTCGTAGAAATGAAATATGTTTGATATTGGGCTCATTTAATTTAAAGTTCTAAACTAAACATAAAATATAGACGAGGAAATTGAAAGTTGGCAATATAGAAAACACGAACACGTTGAAAAGAAAAAGGAAGACTTTATACATATCATATTTTGTGTAGATGGTGAAGAAGTACATATTAATGAAACATTAGAAAAAAAATGAAACATTTGAGCGTCATTAGAGTATATTATTGTAGGTACAAATGTGCAATATACTGTATCTATGTTTTATATCTTCTAGGTGGTCACGGAACGCAAGTATGGACTGGTTTGCTTGATATTGGTTAACCAAGGAAAAGGACATTCTTGTTTTTGTTCTCTTAAAACATCACATGTCGTCCTTCCATATTTATTCACGGACTAACGTAAAGTTAAATTATTTACAATACCTTTTCATGTATGGTAAAGTATGTATAAACACAAGCTGTACGGATTATATAACTAATTCATAACTCTGCTTGTTAATTGCTGAATGATAGAATGGTAAAAACTACATGGTTATACAATTATATGCGTTTTACCAGTCTTGCAAGTTTGTAATTTTGTATAATTGTTGCTTAATATATTCAATATTTTGTCATTCGGTCATCTTTTTAACAAAAGAAAGAAAACAATGATGTTTTTTCAAAATAAAATATTGAAGGTTGCTTAAGGTTTTGGGATTAGTAACATGTGTTGATGCGGTCATCCACGTTTATCCTTACGTTGGAAATAAATACTAGTATTTCATTTCATATATATATATCCATCTCATTGCCTAGATGTGCCTTGTTTCGACTTAGAAAGACATTAATTAAACATGAACACCAGTTTACTTTCTAATTTCTATTCAGAACAACAAATAGTTGACTTTCTATAGGTACGACTTCTAATCATTTACCCATTAGTTTGGCAAAACCGCAATTAGAAAAAAAAAACAAGATGTGACGTAATAGTGGATAATTTATAAATTTTTGTTATAATTTATTCTTTTTATTCTACCGAAACTGACATTAAGAAAAAAAATGTGACCGTACCATCAGAATATCAATTTCCCATAATCATCGTGTGATTCAATGTTGACACACGAAATGCACACATTTTTCAATCATTTACCTTTTCTATCTTGTCTTATACACTTGCAGTGTTTCAACTTACAAACTAATCCACATTTTATCCTAGAAATAGGAAACGTGACATCAGCTGCTCTGAAGCAAAATCGACAGCCAAAGAACTATGAGATGCAAAAGTGCAATTACAGATTATTAGTGGGCTTACAGTTTGGCTCAATTGCTTTAATCGAAAAATAGGGATTTGGTGTTTGGTGCTTATATTATTTTTTCTTTTCCTAATGTATCTCATTTGTTTGTATTGTATTTTCTTTGTCATTTCAACCTAATGAATGTTTGTTGTTATTCTTGTATTGGTTGTTAACAATAAAATATTTTGTTCTTTTTTGTTCTTTGTTATCACTCGACTAAAACATCAGTTCTTAGAAAACAGTAAGAGTATGTTTTTATTACATAACGAACAAGTTTGAACAACACGACCAACACATGAATATACAACTTCAAACTTAGGATACATGTATATCTATATATATACTTTTTATATAGATATGAATTCACCAAGTTAATCAGAGAAACATTCTTAAGTAATCATCCATGCGTCTGTACTTGACATCCGGATAGAGACTAGAAGCTTCCTCGTCTTCTCCGACTTCGTGATCAGTGAGACATCCTTCATAGAAAATGTGATAAAAATGTCCTAACCCCGCTTGGTGTGGAATTGGCATTTCTACATAAATGTAAATAAATCAAACAAAGTTGATGGGCTTTATTTTCAAATAGACCTAAAGCGTGGTCCATTAATCACATGTAAATACACTATGACTAAAGACTTACGCTCAATGTTGGCAAGAAAGTCTTTGCCAGAGATATTGGTTTTCTCCAATTCATTTTCGGTTAGCTTTTCCCATATCTGAACCAATTCAATCTGCGTGAGAACATTGTCCGGAGGTTTAACATATACAGTTTTGTTCAACGTTCGTGGATCGTTTAGCGTTTTTGCGGTGTATTTTGCGATATCGTCTTCATCCGCGAACACAACTACAAAGATTAAATGGTTTAAATTGATTAATTTAGAAATACATGCGTTGATCTTTCAAATCTAAAAGAATATAGAATCATAATTAACGGGAGTGGAATAATTAAAAAAGAAAACTCTTAAGAGGTTTTTCTTTTTCTTGTTTACCTTTTGTATTTCCATGGCCGTATATGTTTACTTTTTTCTTTGGTGGGAGTAACGTTTCCATTTGAGATAAGTTTCCGGTGAAATAGCCGGCAAAGCAAGCACCCACGACGTAAGTGTAAGAAATTCCGGCACCTTCTATCGCTTGACGTACTTCCATTTTTTGGTCGAATGTTTCTCTTCCAGGAGGTAATGCATGTCCCATACGAGGTGGATCCATACCAAATTCAGATGGTAAAAATCGCTGTAGTTATTATTTGCAACAAAAAAAATTGCAGCAATTATTATTTTTATGAATATCATCATAATTTTGTACGTAAAACCAAAAAAATAAAATCATAAGTTTGTACCAACAGATAATCATTCAAACTAAAAGAAATAAAAAAGTATTTATGAAAACCCTTTGATTTGTTTCAAATATTAGGGTAAGTTTCTATATTATAGATTGACCCCGCAAGTTTCTAAAGCTCTTTAATCTGAACCTTTACTTTATTACCTTGACGTTACCGGCTTCTTTGATGGCTTCGACGAGTTTGAGCTGGACAAGGATGTTATGACTACGGAAGTGGGAACCAGACATGGCGGAGACAACGATGTCGACGAGCTTCACGGCGGAAACTACGCTTTGGTGGTCGGAGAAAGAAGCTTCGACGAGACGTGCACCGAGTTTCTTGAATGAGAGAAGGAGTTGGACTTTGTCGATGTCAAAACCAATCTCCGGCCTCTGTAAAACGTAAGTCTCGTAACCTTCATCCAAACACGCCCTCACTATCATCTTCCCTATGTAACCGGTCGCTCCCACAACCAAGACGCGCGTTTTCTCGCCGCTTTTGCTCTCTCCCATTTCTTTCTCTCTCTCTTGAACTGTGTTTTGGTAAAATTGTCTTGCCTGCTCGTGTATATATATGATTCGAAACATGTACATGTGTATATATGTGTGTCTGTGTGTGTGTGTACCAAATGGATTATTGTATGCATTGTAACTTGTAAGTAAAGTTAGTTATTCACGGTTGATATGATGCCTATAAATAAAATACGTGAATAATACCCTTTTCATCTGATTTTTAAAATTGAATGACATGTAAAGAAGAAAACACACTTCCATTCTTAGTGAATTAATGTTATGTAATCCACAATTTGTAACACAACATCTCGAGTCAAATATAGTACCATAGATTGTATATAAACCGATCGATTAATTGAATTACTTTTCAGCTGTTTTTGTTGTCAGGTAATATCTTTACACTAATGCATTCATGATTCATTTACACACATTACATCATTTGTTTGAAAAGCTATGTACATATGTATTCAACTCACTACGTCATGATTTATAAATTTAATTTCAACGGTCACAAAGAATCCCCTGATCGTCAATATTCGTTGATTGTACACACATAAATCTGTTTTATTATCAAGTTCTGGAAATTTGTTAAAATATGTATAATCATATATCAAAACATGTATAAGTTTGTACATCTTCAACTGCTCTGAAGTAAAGAATCTTTCAATGTTTAAAATGCGTTGTAGTGTTGATGTTGTAGGTAATTTTCTCTATGCAATCGTTCTAAAACTAATTCTAAATTCTTAACTATAATTAAAGAAAAAGAAGAAATGATGACAATAGATAGATCAAGAATGGGGTTGGTGAAAGCACCCTGTGATTATAAGTATCCATTATAAAAGGAAAAGTTGCTGAAAGGGTACTTTTTTAGTTTATAATTATGAATGCATTATTAGTGTCTAATTTTTATATACAACACCAACTCTCTAGTTAATCATTATGAATGCATTAATGATTCAATAAGACAATTTGTGTCTAAATTTTATTGTAAACAAGGTATTTCATTGTTTGAGGCTTAACATGAGCCCACAAATTTTAAAGTTATTTACACCCCTCCAACTCTATTTATTTAAATCAAAAATTAAAACTACCCACTTTGAATGGATTGATGGTGAAGGAAGTTTGGAAGATGAGTTTTCATACATGTATTACATGATTCGAATCATGACGTAGTGAGTTGAAAACATGTGTAGGCCTTAACACTTGTATCAATAGACCTACTTGAACTAAATGCTAAACAAGTTGATTTTCGATCCAATCATGATCCTGAAACTGGAACTTTTCTATATGGAAAAGGTTTGTAAAGCATCGGATATATGTAGTAAGGCAATAGTATTTCTGTTTCACAAGCATGTGGTGAGTGAATATGCAACAAACTCACTTTGATCCGAATATAGAGACAAAGACCATGGACGTTAGCAAGGGATTCTAAACATTAACGGTTCTAATTTTGGGAAAATTATCATTTTATTCTCAAACTTTTTGTAATCAATAATTTTATCTCTCAACTATCGCTCACTTTAATTTCTTAAATGTAAGTTAACTGCGCAAAATTGGAATTAAAAAGTCAAACTTTTGAAAATAAAAACTAATCTTTTAATAATAAACGTACAATATTAAATAAAATTGTAAATGCATCATAATTTTCAACATTGTACCTTAAAAACTCTAAATAAATAAGTTAGAATAGTTTTTGCGACTTTTAGCGAGCGTGAGTTCGAATTCAGTGGATTATGGCGATTAAATATGCGTTCGTTAATGCAAACATCGCATATAGTTTTTAGGTACTGCTAAACTATGGTTAACCCCTCACATTTCATCCGAAGTAGAAAAATTCAAATCCATATGTAGGCACCTAATCTGAACAAGCATTTTTAGTTAAAATTCAAATCTATGGTATACTTGCAGTGTTGCAACTTACAAAGTAATTTCACATTTGCACCAAAAAAACTTACAAACTAATACACATTTTCACTTAGACAGTAGAAACGTGACATCAGCTGCTCTGAAGCAAAATTGACAGCTGATGTAGAAATGTTGCAACACATAATTTGGAATTTCATCATCTTGGTTGATGAAGATCGCTTTCAGTGTAAAGCAAATTCGAGGAAGGAGACTAACAGAGATATTCTGTTCTTGAAGTGTACTTCCTGTGTTTTAATTTTCTTTTAAAATTCTTAATTATGTATTTGTTTATTTTATTATTTCATATCCTTTGTATGTAATTTTAATTTGGATTCTATATAAATAAAGATAGTTGTTAAAAATAAAATTATTAGTCGTTTTAACCTAATGAAATTTTGTTGTTATTCTTGTATTGGTTAACAAGAAAAGCAAATATATCAGATATTTTTGTTCTTATTTTCATTCGACTGAAACATCAATTCTTAGAAAACAGTAAAAGTATATTTTTATATCATAGCGAACATAATTTTAGTTTCACGACACACATGAATATAAAACTTCAAACTTAGGATATATGTATCTATAGACTTCATATATATATATATGATTTCACCAAGTTACCTATAGGAACATTCTTAAGTAATCATCCATGCGTCTGTACTTGACATCCGGATAGAGACTAGAAGCTTCCTCGTCTTCTCCAACTTCGTGATCAGTGAGACATCCTTCGTAGAAAATGTGATAAAAATGTCCTAACCCCGCTTGGTGTGGAATTGGCATTTCTACATAAATGTTAATAAATCAAACAAAGTTGATGGGCTTTATTTTCAAATGAACCTAAAGCCTGGCCCATTAATCACGTGTTAATACACTATGAAATTCAAATACTTACGCTCAATGTTGGCAAGAAAGTCTTTTGCAGAGATGTTGGTTTTCTCCAATACATTTCCTGTTAGCTTTTCCCAGATCTGAACCAATTCAGTATGCGTGAGAACGTTGTCCGGAGGTCTAACATACACAGTTTTGTTCAACGTTCGTGGATCGTTTAGCGTTTTTGCAGTGTATTTTGCGATATCGTCTTCATCCGCGAACACAACTACAAAATAAAATGATTTAAATTGATTAGTTTAGAAATATGTGCGTTATCATAACTAGAAAAGGGAGTGGAATAGTTAAATAAAAAAAACTCTTAGAGGTTTTTCGTTTTTTACTTACCTTTTATATTTCCATCACCGTATATGTTAACTAATTTCTTTGGAGGGAGTAGAGTTTCCATCTGAGATAAGTTTCCTGCAAAATAGGCGGCAAAGCAAGCACCCACGACGTAAGTGTAAGGAATTCCGGCAACCTCTATTGCCTGACGCACTTCCATTTTTTGGTCAAATGTTTCTCTTCCGGGAGGTAATGCATGTCCCATACGCGGTGGATCCATACCAAATTCAGATGGTAAAAATCGCTGCAATTATTATTTTTATGAATATCATCATGATTTTGTACGAGCAAATAATCATTCAAACTAAAAAAAGAAAAAAATATTTATAAAAAACCCTTTGTTTTGTTTCGAAAATTAGTGTAAATTTCTATATTTGCATATTATACGGGTCCTTTACAGTTTTACGTTTTTTTCCCATATAAATGAAAGAGAAATGCATGTAAAAGTAAAAAAAGAAAAAATATTTTCAGCATTCTTTTAACTTTTTCCCATTGTGTGGCTCCTTTACTTTTTAAGATTGACCCCGCAAGTTTTTAAAGCTCTATAATCTTAACCTTTACTTTATTACCTTGACGTTACCAGCCTCTTTGATGGCTTCGACGAGTTTGAGCTGGACAAGGATGTTATGGCTACGGAAATGGACGCCGGACATGGCGGAGACAACGACGTCGACGAGTTTCACGGCGGAAACGAGGCTTTGGTGGTCGGAGAAAGAAGCTTCGACGAGATGTGCACCAAGTTTCTTGAAGGAGAGAAGGAGTTGGACTTTCTCGATATCGAGACCAATCTCCGGCCGCTGTAAAACGTAAGTCTCGTGACCTTCATCCAGACACGCCTTTACTATCCTCTTCCCAATGTAACCCGTCGCCCCCACAACCAAAACGCGCGTTTTCTCGCCGCATTTGCTTTCACCCATTTTTTTCTCTCTTTCTTGATCTATGTTTTGGTAAAAGTGTCTTGCCTGCTAGTGTATATATATGAGTCGAAACATGTGCATATGTATATATGTATGTGTGTATACCTAATATATGGATTATTGTATGCATTGTAAGTAAAGCTATACACAGTTGACATGATGCCTAAATATAAAATACGTGGATAATACCCTTTTCAGCTGATTTTTAAAATTGAATAATATGAAAAGAAGAAATTATTCTTCCATTCTTAGTAATTCAGAATTAATGTTATGTAATCCACCATTTGTAACACAATATCTCAATTTTAAATATAGTACTATAGAAGTGGATTGTATATAAAAATGATCTAGATTATAATTGAATTATGTCTTTTTTGATCCTTATATATATGATACTCTTGAAATAATGTGATATCCTAACCTTATGGTTTTACATTAATGACATTAGAGATAATTTTTCTTCGCTAACGATCGATAAAAGATGAATTGGCGTTTTTAGCATACGTTTGATAACAATCGAAAATTACTAACTCTGACAAAATTGTTTTCGCTTTGGAAGAAGAAAACTCTTCGCCAACTCTTCGATAGAAAAAAAAAATTAATTTGGGATTTCCTTTTTATCAGATGGTGTTTTTTTATCGTAATATATTTATACTAAATGCATTAATGATTCATCAACAAACATTACATCATTTGTTTGAAAAGCTATATATGTATACGTATTCAACTCCTTACGTCATGATTTCTAAAGTTATAATTTCAACGGTCTCAAAGAATCCCCTGATCGTCTATATTCATTGATTCTACACACATAAGAATTGTTTCATTATCAAGTTATGGACATTTGTTATATTTGGTATAATCATAGATCAAAAGGTGTATAAGTTTTGTAAATCTTCAAGTGCTCTGAAGTACAGAATCTTTCAATGTTTAAAATGCGTTGTCTTGTCGATGTTAATGACCCACACGGCGCAGTACTCTTAGGAGTTCATTAAACTTGTTGCAATACTAATTTATTTCTTCCATTTTTTGTACGATATTTTTTTTTACTTGTTAAAACAATAAGAATTGTGATTTTATTTGAAGAAAAACATTTTCTACAACAATACCATGTGGACGGTCTTCCATCGCCGTAAAGTAGTCCCCGCAAGCATAAAAACAAACGCAAACGCGAACAGATAATTGTTAGAGAATATGAATCTTACTTATTTAAGACTAGAAACTACACAAATCGATATAAAAATACATGAATGGAGAGATTATTTGTAATTAAAAGAAAAAGTGAATTAGAAAAAGGGCTTTACGTGCCTTTTTCTCGAAGCGGCGTTGTAGGTAAGTTACTCTATGTAATTGTTCTAAAACTAATTATAAATTCTAACAAATAAAATACTAAGAAGAATGAGAAGAAAAAGAAGAAATGATGACAACAGATAGATGAGGATGGGGTTTGGTTGTCAAAAGAAACAGAGAAGAATGGGGTTGGTGAGAGCACCGTGATTAGTTGAGTTTTTTCTTTCTTTTTCTTGACCGCTATTAGCTGAGTTAGGTGCCACGTGTATGTGTTATGAGTTATATCCTTATAAAATTCATTCTTGTAATAATTAGAAAGTATTTGAAAGTAATATGGTGATAGGCAAATAGCAAATGATGTTCTTATACTCCCTTTATCCCATATTATAAGCAGTTTTGGTATAATTTATCTGTAATTTTTTTAATATATTTGCAAATACATCCAGAAAATTGCAGATTCATTATGCCAAAACAACTTATAATATGAGACAAAGGGAATATAATTTAACTGTTTGGCACAATATTCAAGATACCACTAATGATTAGTCGGATGTTTGATATAGATCTGCACTCACTAATCGGTGGTTTGAAAGACAAGACATTATAAAAATTCTACATATCTTTTTTTGACCTTGAAAATTTCTTTAACTAATGCAAGAAAATTTCAAGTATGTCTATTGCATGTCTCCACCAGATTAGTGCAGTTGAAAAAGTGAGGTTAGAAGTTAGAACATTGACTATCAGTGGTAGCTAATAAACGCTGTTTTCTTAACCTTCTCGAAAGCATGTTTGAACTTAACAATCTAAACACAAATCAAACACCAAATCTTCTTGACTTTTTAACTTGGATAAAGAAGTATTAGTAATAAATTTACGATTAGAGTTTCAACAAAAGTGCCGACAAAACAACAAAACAAAAGAATTCAAACAAAAGTAGTTGGAGCTTGGAAGTTAATTAAGTAATGGAACTTTATGCATCTTTAGATGTTTGTCACTTGGCACTACAAAACAGCCAAAAGTTGGAAGGATGTATAATTGGGCTTCTTATGTTTAGTAGGCTCATGGTGAGCCTTCTTACTGCAAATCAAACCAGAGCCCAAAATCCTATTAAATTGCTAAAGATTCAAAACTGACCAAATGTGACTCAATCTCATACAGTAAATTCATGTTACAGTTTTCATTTCAATGATTCAAAATATTGAAACCATGGTGAATTCACTCAATCCGTTGATAACAAAACATAAATATGACACTCAGTTCGTTTCAAATTACATGTCATTTCAGGTTTATTTTGTACATAAATTTATTTGATATTAACAATGTTTCAGGTTTATTTTGTACATAACTTTATTTGATATTAACAATTAATAAGCTGAAACAATATTGATAAAACTGGAAATTTGATCAAAAATTGCATTGAGGATCTAAAATGACATTTATAATGAAACAAAATTTGATCTCTAGAACTATAAATAATACTATGAAACAAAGGGAGCAGATTAAATAGATAGACAAAGCAAAAAAACTTCAATTTTGCACAATATGTTGGTTTAAAATACACTATTTTAGAAATGGTGGTGTCGTATTTAACAAGAAAGTTCAGTTGTGACAAATTTCCATATATCGCTAAGTTTCCGCTCCCACGGAAGGCAAAACAAACCAATTCCTGCAGCCGTATTGGACATACTCTCAGGGGTTCTGAAGCTCAAAAATAAATAAAAAAGAAATTAATTTCACATCTGTCGAAGTCCAAGCCCAGAGTCGTCTCTCGCCGCAGAGCTTTTGGAACCGGCTCTACTCTACACGTGTCGGCAGGAGAGCGCACCGCGCGTTTTAATTTTTCCTGGGTTTTGTCTTTTTTTTTTTTTGTTCTTCGAAATCTCTCCATTTTCTTCGTTTTCTCCGTGTCTTCTTCTCTCTGAAATCTGCTCAAAATCCATAATCGCTCGAACGATAGTTTTCTCACTCTATTGTGTATTTAGGTTTGGTCGTAGATTGTGTATGAAAACCATATCGATTTGTGATCTGTTCAATAGTTTTGGTCGCAAATCTGTTTTGTGAAATCGTAAATTGACTTGGACAGTACCACGATTATACCGTCAATGGTGTTGGTCGAAAGTGAAAGTAAGTACCAAATCCAGCTCGTACTTCCTCTTCACATCCCGAAACTACGTCGTTGGTAACGACGGAGGCGAAACTTGTCGGCGGAGATGATTCCGATGGGTTCAAAACTGCAAGTGAACGTGAAGTGAGCAATGACGAAGATGAAGAAGGTGATAGGAAACAAGACGCGATAACGAACCCGGAATCAGAACAGTCCGATAAGCCGGAGAATAAGGAAGAGAAAGTGGAAAGCCATTAGCGATTCCGGATCAAATCAGGTAAATATCCAAGTTTGATCGATTAATGGTTATAAACATCAAAGTTTTTCTTTAAAATGTTTCCAATTTAGCTTCGATTTGGACTTTTGCATGAACTACTTAGTAATTGCGACTTCTTACGATTCGGTTTAGCTTGAATCCTTTTGTGTGTTTTTGTGTTTGGAAGGAGAAAGCATTGGAGAGTGGTGGAGTCTCTGTAAACAAAGTGGAGATGCTCACTCATTTTCCAGAAATGGCAAGTTTTGTTTCTTTCTCTTAAGCTTGCAGCTCTTGCTTAAGTTTTGGTTTTTGTGCTAGTGTTGATATTCGTTAAAGATTTTGACAAACAATAAGGCTGATTTCAATGAGTTGTGACTTTCTCAATGATTATGCAGTTGAGTTTGGTATATTAAACTTAGCTTATGGTGGTGACGATGAAGCTTTCCTACAGAAAGTAGTGACTCCTATACACAAGACAATAGCAAAGGTTACTTAATTCAGTTATTATAGCCGTGGCCCTATTTTCTTCTTGAGCTTTCGTTCAATTTCAATCTATGTACTCTTTTTTTCATCTAGATCTTTGTGTACTACAGGAAGCAAAGAGAAGTAGAGAAGGAAAGTCGAAGCATTCTGTGTGGAGAAACTATGATGACTTGAATGAATATTTTTGGTAAATGCATATGATCATCTTATAACCTTTTTGGAATGTCACGGTGGAGCAATGATCTGTTATGTTATTTGATGTATTGATTCTTGTTTACGCAATGATCGTTATTGCATGGAATGGGTACGGAGAGTTGAGCTCCATCTTTGAGGGTGATGTCTTCCTAAAGGTTTTGAGCGTCTTCATTACAGTAGCTATACTAAAACTTGCCAAGGTGATGAAACAATAAGCAATGACATGTTCGTGTAGCTTAGTCTTTTGCTAACCTCTTCAAACGATAAACTTGTAGATAAACGGATTTGTAGATTGTTTATGTATAGATAATGATCAAGTGAAAACTTTTTTTTAAAGAACCCCATATGAGCTTTCTAATGGGGCTGTCAAAACTAAGAAAATAAGTAGAAATTTCTAAACTTAAAATATTAACAATTTTAATATAAAAAATGTTTAAAGAGCTCCATTTGAGTCTCACCATTGCGGATGCTCTTAGTACATTGCTGATCCTCAAGAAGAGTTCTCATGAAGAGAAAAACCAGACAGCATGAGAAAAAGCATAAAAAAATTACAGAACGCGTTTTAGTGAATTAAACGCAATTAAGCTGCTTTGACTAAATGTCTAAATATGTAGAATAATTCGAATTTCAGTAGTCTCAGGGGGGTTATTGATCAGTCTAAAAGTTTTGGGGTCTGACCCTATTTTCTTGGTTTGAGAATCCGTACAGTAGAGTAGAGTATCTCACCAGCGGACACCATTGGAGATGCTCTTGTTTACTCTGTTCTCTCTCTCTTACTTTGACTTTGATATCGTCTAAAATGGCCGTCACCGAGTTTTTCGCCGGCGAAATTGCGACGGAGCTCCTGAGACAGCTCTTTATGATATCTGCCAGAGCATGGAGATACAAAAGCACCGCCGAACAACTCATCATCTTTATAGAGATCATTCAACCTTCGATCAAGGAGATCCAGTACAGTGGCGTGGAGCTTCCTGCTCACCGTCAGGCTCAAATCGGTATGCTCTCTGAAACACTAGAGAAAGGCAAGAAACTCACCGAGCAAGTCCTGAAATCCCATCGCTGGAATATGGTTCGACAGCTATACCTCGTTAAGAAAATGGAGAAGTTAGAGAAGACAATCTCTACTGTCTGTAGGGGTCCGATGCTGACCAACATCCTCGCAGATGTTAATTTTCTCCGGGCCAGTTCCGATGTGCGTTTCCATCGGGTTGACCGGAGCCGCCTCGAGATGAAGATGATGATGGAGCTCGAGATACAATTGGGTTCCATGAAAATCGGTGGAGGAGGGATGATAAGGGAGGCGACGGAGAGCGCCGACGATGACATGGAGATTGAGATCGAGATCGAGACGAACAACGGTTCGGAGAAATTTGGGGTTGGATTGGAGATGGGCAAGTGGAAGGTGAAGAAGATGATGTTCAACACTGAGGGAGGGGTAATTGAGATTAGTGGAATGGGCAGTGTCGGCAAAACCACTCTTGCCAGAGAGCTTGAACGGGACGATGAAGTTCAATGTAAGCATTCATCTTCTTCTTCTTTTCTTCTCTTGCCCTCTCTTTGAGTTCAATGTGATTCTGGATTTCTGCCTTTTTGTTTAAGAGTCCAAAGACTGCTTTTTCTGTCAGGTTATTTCAAAAACCGGATTTTGTTTGTGACTGTATCACAATCTCCGATTCTTGAGGAGCTGAGAGAACATATATGGGAGTTTTTGACTGGTTGTGAAGGTTTAAATCCTGTTCCAAACTGGGCTTTACAGTATCAACAGAAGCTGGTGATTCTTGATGATGTTTGGACAAGAGAAGCCTTGGATCGCTTAGCGTTTAACATTCCTGGTTGCACAACTCTTGTGGTCTCACGGTCAAAACTTGCAGAGCCTGAAGCCACTTATGGTGTTGAAGTTCTAAAGGAAGTACCGACGATTTTGGTAAGGTCGAGAGGGTATCTTGTCCCTAATCCCGATAATGTTGTGGCTGTTGATGAGGAGGATGCGATGGAAGAGGAAGCGGAAACGGAAGAGACGGAAGCAAAGTTTCTCCAGCCGGCGGATACAGCTGATGAGGCATGCTCATTCAATACAAACAAGCGTGGTGACTCCTCTAGCACAGTATCTAGTACTTCTCCGATTTATCCGTCGGCATCTATCATCACGTCTTGGCAGAAAGGTCAACTTCTGGGACGAGGATCATTTGGCTCTGTGTATGAGGGCTTTTCAGGGTAAGTCTTGCTGGTTTAAACTTGAATTTAAGATTCTTAGTCGCAGCTTAAATAGTCTTTTAGTTGGGAAAACTGGAAATCTTGAATGAGGGAATGCTAAGGAGTGAATTGAAAAATACGGAGCAAAGCGAGTTTTTCTAAATGCCTTGTCTTTGGCTGATACGGACCAAATATAGAGATGGGGACTTCTTTGCTGTCAAGGAAGTTTCACTACTTGAACAGGGAAGTCAGGCACAAGACTGCATACAACAACTCGAGGGGGTGAGATATACCTGTATTGTACAAAAGTAGGTTGCTAGATAATCTCCTTACTTTTGCCAACTTTTTTTCATTTTCTACAGGAGATTGAACTACTTAGTCAGCTTCAGCATCAGAGCATCGTGCGATATCGTGGCACAGCCAAGGTATGATCCTGTTCTGGCTTTCCTTTTCCCAGTTAAGCACTTCTTTACTCATTCAATAACTTGTCAATAAATAATGCCTTTCGCTGTTTACAGGACGGGTCGAATTTGTATATCTTTCTTGAGCTTGTATCCCAAGGGTCTCTACTAAAACTCTACCGAAGATACCGGCTTAGGGACTCTGTAGTCTCCGTCTACACTAGACAAATTCTTGATGGTTTGAGATATCTACACGGCAAAGGTTGTATCCACAGGTAAAAGACTAGTAGAAACTTCTGTCCCCTGTATTTCACAAGTCTCTGATTTCCTGTATTTCGTGTGTGCTTACTATTCTCATTTGATGCGACAAAGGGACATCAAATGTGCAAACATATTGGTGGATGCCAGCGGAGCAGTTAAACTCGCAGATTTTGGATTGGCAAAGGTTATTTGCCATTAATGGATGTTTATAGTTTTTAGTAATTTTGGCATAACTAACTCGCTTACCCTCTTTCTTGATACTTGTTTCATTTTCGTTATTTAGGTGTCGAAATTGAACGACGTTAAGTCCTGCAGAGGAAGTCCATTCTGGATGGCTCCAGAGGTATTGTTTCGGGAGATTGTCAAGGCCCTTAATACTCTTTTTGATTTTGTGACTATAATGATAGACAAAACATATGACAGTTCAACAGAGATATATGATCTAAAACTGTTGCTTTACATATGGCACTGATATGTGACATTGTACTTGAGGCTATACTTGTACGGTTGATTCTAAAACGAACATAATAAAATTTGACCAGGTTATTAACCCGAGGCGTACTGGTGGGTATGGAATTTCAGCTGATATATGGAGTCTTGGGTGCACAGTGCTGGAAATGCTGACTGGTCAGATACCCTACTGCAAACTCGAAAGCCATGTAAGGTTTCAAGATTTTCAAACTTTCTATACGAGACTTCCCGTTCCCGGTAAAACAAGAGTTGAAAAAGTCAAGAATTCGTCTCGCAGGTTCAAGCAATGTTTCAGATAGGAAGGGGTGTGCTTCCGGAGATATCTGACACTCTATCAACTGACTCTCAGGATTTCATACTGAAATGTCTCAAAGTGAACCCGGAAGAGCGGCCAACTGCGGCTGAGCTACTGAACCATCCATTTGTGAGAAGGCCCTTATCATAGAGACTATTGGGGAGACTCAGGATTGGGATTTGGGATCAGGATCTTGGCGTATGAGAGCAGCCGTAACCAGAAGATTTGTCAGAGAGAGAGATCCCATAGAAACTATATTGGGGAGACTCGAGATATCAGATATGATTCTTCAACACACGTCCCGTTCGGGATTTTGGGCAACGAGACCTTTAAACTGCCTGGTTAGATTGTTTCTGGCTCATTCGTTGGTTAGTTGTTGTAGGGCTTGATTTGAAAAGAGCCATATTCTTCTAGGAAAAGGGACACAAACTTGTCGATGTTGGGGTTTTGAGTGTATAGGTTTTGTTAGTCTATGTATCCAGTATGGCTGGGTTTTGTCAGTGTATGTTGACATGTTGTAATGTAATGCGTAAAGATTTCTGTTTTTTTTTTTAATCTATTATCTACTAATCATACCCATTTAAATGCGTTGATGCAAACACCACGAACCGGTTTTTAGGTACTGCCAAACTATGATTAACCAACCCCTCACATTTCATCCGAAGTGGAAAATTTCAAATCCATTTAAGCACCTAGTTTTAACAAGCATTTTACTCTATATACATTTTAGTTTCTCTTATGGTATCACTTGATTTGTTGTATATAAATCGATTATACATGTTTCGATCCAGTGATTGTTCTATGTGAACAGCACAAACAGATACAACAAGTAACACCATCTCTGTATGTGTTTTAAAAATTATTTACCATATAATAACACAACTTTTTAAGCATCACCTAGTTACTACTATTAAACAAAAATATACTTTTTATGCTACCTGTGACAATAACAAATTTTAGATCAAAATTCTCTATTGGCCTAAAAAAGAAAGAAGATAAAATTTTCCAATTTGAGTATACTCCTGACATAAAAGCAAGGTCATCACCACCCGCCGTTAGATGCTAAACACGTGTAATTATAGAGCCGTTTTGGTGTATATCTGTCACGATTGAGCTGGCTTTTCTTTTCTATAAATGGAATTTTGAAATATATTTGTTTGTTCTTTTAATTTTCTGCTTCTCGCTGTTATCGCGGGAAACTTTCGGGGTGACTTCCGCCGGTAAATCAGAGACCACCGGCGATAGACACGGCGGAGCAGAGACAGAGCATTTCGTATCTCTTAACTGTTTCTTCATTTTTCCCCCCTTATATAGATTTATTCTCTTTGACCACGGTCAACAGATACTAAAAATCGACGAATCCAAAACCCTAGAATTTTTTGTTGTCTCCGATCAAATGGAGTCTCGAGGATCTTCTGATCAAGAAGATGAACATATTGTTCAAGTCAGAGAAGCTTTAATGTGCCCCGACGGTGAGAAATTCGAAGGTTTGCGAACGGCGAGGTTCCTTAACTACACCACCGCATCTATAGACGACCAAGTTTTCGATCTCCCGCTCGACGCGTTCTCGTATCGGCCTCAGACGGTTAATCCGGTGAAATGGACGGCGAAGATTTCGTTCCCCGGCTGGGGATCTCCGTCGTTGAACTGGATCGAGTGGGTAAACGCGATGGCCGAGTCTCACGCGACGGTGTGGAGGAAATCGGGAGTTCACGACGCGATTCTGGCGTCTCGGTATCAGATTAAGAAGCGGGATGATCTGATAATGGCTCTGATTGAGAAATGGTGCATAGAGACGAACACATTCGTGTTCAATTGGGGAGAAGCGACGGTGACGCTTGAGGATATGATTGTTCTCGGTGGATTCTCTGTGATTGGGAACAATGCTTTGGCTCCGATCAAAAAAGGAGATATGAAGGAGGTGGAGGAGAAGATGAAGACGGCGAAACGCGGAATCGAGGCCGATTCGGGGAAGAAATGTTCCGTTAGCTCGTGGATGAAGACGATGATGAGCTCAGGGAATGAGATTGAGCATGAGGCGTTTATGGTTTCATGGCTTTCACGTTTCGTGTTTCCAAATTCAGCTGATTTGTTGAGGGATTTGCTGTTTCCGGCTGCGATTCAGCTCGCTAAGGGGGTTCGATTGGCTCTGGCGCCGGCGGTTTTAGCCGGAGTTTATCGAGATCTCGGTGTTTTGAAAGAGCATATTGCTGGTTACAGTGAGAGAGAGAGTGTTGTGGTGAAGTCTCCGTTTCAGTTTGTGCAGGTTTGGGCTTTTGAGAGGATCATGGAGTTGCAGCCACCGGGCGGACCAAGCCAGTTAAAACCTGGTGAGCCACGGATGGCCCGGTGGCACCAATACGGTGGCGGTGGTCAGGATGCATACGGCTACACGGAGAACGTTAGAGCGGTGTTGGACTCGGCTAAAGAGAGTTTCGACTATCGTCCATACACAAAGCCTCTGAGCAACTTCACATTCCCGAGGTTTTACTTGGAAGATGACTGTTGGGTTCGTGTGGACTCTGGTGACAAGAACATTGTATCCTTTGGCCGGTGCCTGAGGTTCTCTAAACTTGTTGGTTTGGATTGCATCGAGCCTTATTATCCGCACCGTGTGGCGTTGCAGTTCGGTTATGACCAGGATGTTCCCGGCGTTGTTCCGGCTAGGATTGAGTCGCCGGAATTGGCCTGGAAAGATTACATCCGTCCGGTTTCTGATGACATGTTGTACATTCCTGCTCGGCTCCATGAAGGTGATGTTACGGTTGGGTACATTCGTTGGTGGAGGCTCTCTGTTGCGATTCTGCAGTCCGAGGCTAAGAAAATTGCCGATAAGCTTCTTGCTTCACCTCCGAGACAGAAACCAGTGACTCCAACAGCTGCTGCAACGACCCCAACGAAGACGACATCTTATTCACCAGGGAAGTGGAAAACATCAGGTGCAAAAGCTGATAGAAAGGATCAAGAACTGGTGAAGAAGCGGGAAACGGAAACAAAGAGAGGGACTTCTTCTGTTACAGGTTCAAGGATGGAGGTGGATAGAGCAGAAGGTAGGAGCCATAGCAGTAGTAGCTACGGAGGGAGCAAAATGGGATCAGAGGAAGCGACTAAGCGTTCTCTAAAGAAGCCTGAATGGGTCCAGAGGCCATCGCCTAGCTTTGGCAGAGCAGCGGTCGATGTTAAGGATCTTAGAGGAGCTCTCAAGGGGTCAGGAGGAACAAAGGGTCAAGGGCATGTCACATTTCAGCTTCCTGATTCACCACCAGAGAGGTCTCCTCCACCGAAGTCACCTACACTTTTTCCAAAGCAAAGCGGTAAAAACAATGTGTTCTCATGTTCAGGTCTCAATGTTGATTCCGTTGTTTCTCAAGATTGAAAATTTGTTCTGTTTTTGCAGATTCTTCTGTCCAAAAATCGAGAATGTTACCTCGAGTAGTAGGCAATGCCAAACAATCGAGGTGTTCTCCTCAGGTTCCATCAAGACATGCATCATCTGTTTCTCTTCCTCCAAACCATATAAAGAATAACAATTCTCCAAGCCAGCGAGTTTCAAAGCCATCATCTGTCTCTGGTTCTTCTTCTTCAACTAGGAAGTTACCAAGATCTCCTGAAGCTGTCAACTTGCGTGGTCAGAAAAATTCTCCAAGCCCGCGAGGTTCAAAAGACCGGTACAAGTCACCATCTGTCTCTGGCTCTTCTTCTTTAACAAGGAAGAAGTCATCACTAAGATCTCCTGAAGCTGTCAATTCTCGCGGTACCAACAGTTCCCAAAGTCCCCGAGTTTCAAAAGACCTGAACAAGTCGTCGTTTTCTTCTTTAACGAGGAAGAAGTCACCATCACCAAGATCCTCTGAAGCTGTCAATTCTCATGGTGATTCATCTCCTAGAGGCGATTCTGCTGTCAAGAGAAATAACACCGACGTAAGCACCACAGCTTCCAAACAAGAATCACCGAGGAAAACACAACAACTTGAAATCGGCAAGGCTACTACTACTACTACTAATGTGAAGTCTCTGGAAGAGATTGTGACTTTGCGGGAACACGTTGACGAAGGAGGTGAAGTGACATATCATATACCGAAACAACAGTTTGAGGATTTGACACAAGGAGTGCAAGATGTTCTACAGGATCTGCAGTCTATTAAATCCGCTTTGAACATACAAGATCATGATGAATAGATCCTAATCTCTCAGGCTTGCAAATGGCTTTGTTTTTAAAGTCAGTTGATACAATACTGTGAACTGAGATCCAAAAGTTACACAAAAGGTTTAGACACACAAATATAATCCATACACTATGAGAGAAAGACATTTTCGGAGTTCTCTGTTCGTTCCTGACTTAAAAAGTCTGGTTGCTTACACATCAAAAACTAACAGTGTTCACTTGTTCTTTGAGATCTTTTCTTCAATGAATAATTGGTCAAGAAAAGCTATTTCAGGTGTCTTTTTTTTTGTACCTTTGAGACAAGAAGATACCTGTAACTGTAAGTTAGAACTTAGAAGAGCTTTTAGCTTCCAGGACTTGTTGTGACATCGACAATGTGTGATACGTTTCTTGAAGCTTCTTGGGTTGTGTTAGGCTTTCTTCAAGAACAAGAGGAGCTTTGGATTGACTCGATTTTCCTTGAACCTCAAACACATTTTCCTCCACATGTACTTCCATTTCTCTCATTGTAGCATCTAAATTGGACAATCGAGTCAATCCGAATCTCCTATTGTTCTTAGTTCATACTAATCCTCAAGAAATTACCCTTACAAATCCCCCAAATCAAGACCTAAGCTGGTTGAATTGAGGTTGCAAATTCACTTAAACGATTCAATTAGTTTCTTTTTATAAAAAAAACAGCTTTTCCTAAAACCATTTGATTTCAAAGCTATCGGATCTAGATCCACAAGTGTTCAATAGTCATATTCCATTTACACACGTGGCAATTTAATTCATTTTTTTTTTGTCAACATCCACATTAATACTGTCATTTTCCTTAATCTGCTGTCCAAAAAGTTGATCAATCTTCCTCTCTGAAATGGTGGAGTTTTTTTTAATACAGCGATCAATTAAAAAATCACTAAATCTGGAAGAAATGATCAGATTCTCAGATGAGCATGTGACTACTGACTTGTGAGAGAGAAATTTATATCTTACAATCATTGACTTATTATTACTCTCCTTTTTCACTTCTATCTGCTAAAGATTCGTTTTTTCTTTCCTTTCCCATTTTGATCCAGTTTTTTTTCCTTTCTGGGGAAAAAGTTCATTTTTTTTCTGTTCGTCTAATCCAAAGTTCTATTTTTTGCTGTCTGGGTTTTATTCTGTGTCTCAGTCTCTTCACGTTTTCCCCGTAATAACCAATTTTACTCTTCCACGGAAATTAATTTTGATATTTGTTTATATTTTCCTCAGCATTAGCTACTCTCAATAACCAATTTTACTCTCCATCTCTCTCTCTCTCGTCCGTTTACATCAAAAGAATCCGACTTTGCTAAGAAGTTGGGATTGTCTTTGATCAAAACATCCACAGAAGAAGAAAATCTGATCTGGAATCTATCATAAGGTATGCTCCTCTCTTCGAATCTCTGTTTGTTAATCTATGATACAAGTAGGAGAAATAGCTCCTGCGTAATCTATGAATCTAAAATTTTCGATTCTGAATTACAATAATCTGATAATGAAGAAACTGATCTAATTGGTTTTGTGTTCATCAGGAATTGAATAAAAAAAAGATGGGATCTTTCAAAGGTCATGCTTTACCAGGCACATTGTTCTTAGTGGTTGGAGTATGGCACATTTGGAGTTCAGTGGTTAGATTCACAACGAATCCAAAATCGTTTCGGGTTAGAGTTTGGCACCCTGTTCCTGGTTTCAACGATAGGATCAAGTACTTGGAGCTTTACGTTGTCACTATCGGATCATTCATTGACTTGTGCATCGAGTTCTTGTACTCTACTCATCTCAGGTTCTTTGTCAATGGTGTCTTGAATCCTTCTCACATGAACGATTTCGAGCATTCCGGGATGCTTCTCATGTTCTTCATACTTGGATTCATTGCTTTGCTCTCCGAGAAAACAAGGTATTAGACTTGTTTGTTTAATGATTGATGTTTATGGCAATGCAAGTTTTAGGTTGGATCTTTGGTGATTTGAGAAGTCAAAAATGGTTTTTTTCAGTGATTGTTGAGACTATGATTCGATTATCATTAGATTCATCAAGATTAGTATTTACCTTTGAAGTTAGGTGGGATCTTTGGTTATTTGAGGATTCAGAAGTGGGTTATTAGTAACTTTCGACTTGGTTTTTGATGAAAACAATCCTAAAAAGGGATCTTGATCGTGCATAATAGGATTATAGATTCATCAAGATTGGTATTTAGCTCTGGAATTGGATTGGAACTCTGGTGATTTTGAGAATCCAAAAGTTGTTTATTAGTTGGTCTTGGCTTCATATTTGATGAAAACAACCATATAAATGGATATGATTCAATTATCGATAGGTCTATCAAGATTAGTATATAGCTTTGTAGTTGTGTTGGACATTTGGTGATATTGAGAACCCAAAAGTGGTTTATTAGTGATGATAAGTGACTTATTTTTCAATGAAAAAACCATAGAAATATGTCTAGATCGTTGATAAGATGATTTGACTATTGATAGTTTCATCAAGATTGGTACTTAGTTTGGATCTTGGGTGATACTGAGAATCAGAAGTGGTTTTGTTAGTGATGCTTGACTTAATCTTTTATTAAAAACAACCGTTGATTCACCATAAAGTTTTTTTATGTGTCATAGGTTACTTCCTCTGCCACAAGAAGCTCTGTGTCTAATCGCAGCAACAGCTTTTACAGCAGAGTGCCTTCTCTTCTTCTTCCACTCCACAAGCCACAAAGGTCTTGAAGGTTATTACCATCTCCTCCTCGTCTTTCTCATCGGTCTCTGCGTCATCTCCTCAATAGCAGGAGCAATCTGCCCTACAAGCTTCCCAGTAGATCTATGCAACGGCATTGCAATGACTCTTCAAGGCCTCTGGTTTTATCAGACAGCTTTCACACTCTATGGACCTATGATGCCTCAAGGCTGCAGTTTGAAAGGAAACTCTGTCGTCTGCAGATCAGCCGATTTCGAAGTCTCTGGAGAGTTTCTTGCTAATTTTCAGCTCTTCTCTTTGGTTCTTGCTGTTCTTGTTTATGTTGTTGGGTCCTATGTTTTTGCAGCTTCAAGATATGGAGTTAGTAGATGAGAGAGACGAGGAACACATTTAGGAAGTAGGAAATTAGGGATTTTGTCTCTTAATCTTTTTTTTTCTTTTTCTTCTTCTGCATTTGGACAATAACAAGGAGAGAACACATTTTGTTAACAATAGTTTCAAAATCATCAATGAGATATCTAGATTATAAAAATCAAGAAAGATCTAGAAAAACAAAATGATATAAAGTAGAAAAAGTAGATTTGATTTTAGATTTAAAATGAAATAACATTATAACAATGAGAAAAGATGTCATCAAGTACCCTGAGAGAGAATGTGATTGATCAAATCAGATGAGACCTTGGCGTTTGAGATCAGAGTAAGTCTTCTTGTTGTACACGTTACCTTCTTGATCTTCAAACTCTTCTTCAACTTCTGGCTTCCACTTGTTCTCTCCTTGCCTCTCCTGTATCTTCCTCCACAACTCTTTAGCTTCCTCAATCAAAGTGATCTCGTTGAAGTGCTTTGTGTTTGGGATCCCTAAGCTACGCATTCCACTTTGGTGTTTCCCTTCTTTAAAGTGCATCTCGAAAGCCCTTCTTCCCTTATACACATGGTCTCCACATATCTCACATTTAAACTCATGGCCAAGTCCATGAAGGTTGTAGAGCCAGAAAGGTATAGGCTTCCCGTCCCAACCCAATGGCAGCTTCAACGGATTGTTAATCTGACCATCCTCCTCCTCCACCTCCTCCTCGTCGTTAACAAGACTCTCTGACTCCGCATCCATGCGGCGTTCTTCCTCCATCTCTTCATACGTCCATGACTGTTTCTTGACAACGTACTGTTTCGTCCTTTCGATTGTCTCTTCAAGTAGAACGCAGAGTTTCTTCACTTTGGCCTCTGTTAGTGCAATCTCTTTAGCAGTTTCAGGCTCCTGTTTGGTGAAATGTTTCTTGTCAAGCTTCTCCAAAGACGTATGCTTTGTCAAGAAAAGTCTCTCTGCTCGCTGCCTCACAGTACCACCAACTTTCAGACCTAATGCCCCTAGAGCCTCCTTTAGCCTCTCAGGTCCGACAGCTATCAGTTCCTCCACTGTCTTGTAGTAATCAAGATCTATGAGAGCGTAGATCTCTCCTTTTCCACCTGCATATTGCTCTTCAAAATCAGTCTCAACCTTACAAAGTATTCTTTCAAGATCTTGCAAAGGCTCGGTCCGCTGGAAAAAGTTGATCAAGTAACCTAGCAGAGCTTCAATATACTTCTTGTATTGCAAGGAAAGTTTTAGGTTAAACTGAATCTTATCTAGTTGAGAAAAAACATTAAGGTATGCAGAATACTCAACCTTTTCACCGAATTTGGAGTTGATGTATTGGTTATACATCTCATGCAAGTCCAAGTACAAACCAGAGCTGCCTTCCTCTCCACGGAACGCAATAGCTGGTTCCTCCTTAAGGCGTGCTTCGTAATCCTCAACAAGATGTGGTCCAGAAGGATGGTTTCTATGATATTCAACTATCTCTTTCACACGACCTTCTAAGGCTTCAAACACTTTTGTTCGGCTGCCACCAAGCGCTGATATCTCATCTTCTCTCGATCCGTCTTTGTCTTCATAGGTTTCATTGAGTTTTTTAGTGGTGAGGATGATAGATTCGATCATGTTACGGATACGGTGGCCTTGTGCCAATGTCTTCTTGATCGACGGCGGATTTGTTTGTAGATCTTTCACGATCAATCGCTCTAATCTTTCAATCTCCTCGTGATTGATGCGAGTTTGCTCGATGAGAGTCGATGACATCTTCTTCTTCTCTGACTTTTTCTTCTTTTTTCCTGAGTCTGAGCCCTAGATCCAATCTCTTTCCTTTCTGTTTTTTATTTAAGAGGCATCGAGATTATATAGGAATAAACAGCCTAATTTCCTAAACCATTATGGAATAAGTATAGAAATTGAAAATCCATAATCTTTTAGATCTTTTCCCTTTTTTTTTTTTAAACAAAGGTTAATTTTAATTTTTTTTTTTAAACGTTTATGTGTGGCCAAGTGAAATAGTTTTATTACTGAAGTAGAACTAATAATTACATTTTTGAATAACCGAATACAGTTTTTGCTGTTTTGCATTATTTTGCTCTCGCTAAACAAATATTTCTGGATTCCACATTACTGTTTTGAGCTAAGACACTTTTGCTTTACTTAACAAAATTTATATATAGCGTGCTTAAGCAACATTAATTGTTTTGTTTTGAATAAGAAATAAGCAAAACAACGAGAACCACCATAACCATTTTTAATTATCTGCAGCAAAACACATATAGAATACAACGAAGATGCTCTGCAAGGTGACTTGAACGACTTCCATAATGGTTTCAGCAACTACTTTGGAGAGGAAACATAAACCCATCGTTGCACATAATAGTTTAGGTATCACGTATCGAATGAAACTGAAAGCAAGAAAAGCCACACATAACCTGAAAAAAAAGAGGACATAATTGTGGTGAAATGCGTGAATATTCTTTCTTTTAACGTATTTAATTGTAAAAGTTTCGAGACGCACCAGAAGTGTTGAGTAGTGTTGTCTAGAGATGATAAGCTATCAGTCAAATACCATAAAAGCAACACAACCCAACCCACGAAGAGATATTCAATCACCTTCGACCACAAGTCCATCACTTCGTTGAGCCTGTAACCCAAAACAAAAAAAAACATTATCGTCTTTCAGCATATGCAAATAGAAACAATTTTTTTTTTATAATATATAATCTTTGAATAAAAAATTGTTTACAAAATTACTATACCTAAGAAAATTTATTTTTTAACAATAGTCACTGGTTAGGCTGAGAAGGATACCTTGTGTATGCGCCAACACATGGTTTATGTTGCCAAAAACGCCAAACTAGAATAGGGAGAGTGGCAATACAGCCACAAGTGTAACTCACGATCCATACTTGTGCATGTTCATCTTTTGCCCGAGTCACAACTACAATGGCTGCAACAATCTGGACCAAATTCAAAACAAACTCGATCAAATTCCAAACATTAATTGGATTTGTGGATGAACCAGCCGATGATTGCACATCCTCAGCCTCATGTGGTGGTGTTTGCTCATCGGCAGTCATGTCGACGATGTGCTCATGATCATTTGATGAAGAATCGCTATCACTCTTGCTCAACAAAGGTCCCTCCATTTATCACTTTTGCTTTCTTCCGTTTTATCCATAAGTAACACTTAAGTATATATAGACCTTTTCAACTGTGTTGAGCTATTATTTCAAACCAAATCTTTTAAGTCTTTTATTTATCATTCAATAATATGGTGCCAAATTATTATTTTAAGACCAAATCTATAGTCTACAAAGTATTATAGTTTGGTGCTAATTGCTAAATTCTTACCTGCAGCAAGACCAATTCAATCACAGTGTTATTTGTCTGGATAAATTTCAGCTATCACACGATACATGATAAGAAGTACAAAAGCTAAAGTATATTCTTTGTTTTATAAATATGTTGTCTACTTCACTAGCTCAAAGCCTCAAACTGTAGTTTAATATTTTTACTTGAGTGTATAAAACTTCCATGGTTTTAATCGGATATAAGATAATATAATGAATTTATGGTAATATATATATTATATTATTATTAGAAAAATAAAATGAAAATCGGACTTTATTGTGAAACGGACTGAAAATTGATTACCACAATATGAAAAATATTTTATGCTCTCAAGAGGAAAGTGTCGAACTCTTCACTTCCTTTTACATTAGAGACTCAAAAGCAAACCATTTATAGTAGAGTACATATAAAGTATAGATAACCCAAATGCCTCAAGCCTTTTGACTTCACCTCCAAGACCTTTCAACACTGGTCCAAGCAAATGTTAGAGATTACAAACGATATCGCCTGGTTGCAACCTCTCTACAGGTACTTGATCATACCCCGACCTTCCACGCTCACCTTCGTCGCTTGTAACCTCTTCTTCTTTGTTCCTTTTAGCTGTTGCAGTTTCTTGTTCATCTGCAATTTAACAAAACCAGCTCTGACTCTTCAGAGGGAAGAAAAGAGCAAGAAAAGGGTTTTTGTTTGTATAATGGTAAGAAGTAACTTTACCTTGACACGACGCTGGTCCTGAGAAACCTGTTTAGCACGGGCTCTGACCTCATCTGGATCAATCTTGGATTGAGGACGAATCACAAAGTCCAATGGGGTTGCTTCCGGTCTCATTGTCATTTGCCTATCTCCCCTTGAACTCTGACCCGAGGTCAGACCAGATTTACGTTGCCTGAATATTCATCAACAAACAATGACTAGTGTTAAAAGCTAAAACATATCTTCAAGATGTTCATATATCTAACTCCGGAGGAGTTTTTTTTGTCATACCGAATATCCAAGTCAAAGTCACCATCTCTGGACTCCATTGTCGGAGCTTTGTTGGCAGGTCTATGTGAACAAGAAGAGAAGTGTTGGATCAGTATAATATGAATGTGAACACTAAGCGAGTGAAGTAGAAAAATAAAAGGTTTTAGATTTTACTTCTTCACTGCTGGCCTTCTATAAGGAACCCTATCTTCATCAACATTTCTCATGTCTTCAAACCTAGTACTCTTGTTGAAAATTGGACGAGACTGCAGCAACATCAAGCATACAACAGTAAGCAAATGGATGGAATTTAACTCAACGGATTAAAGCTGTCGACAAAAAGATTTTTACCCATTTATCAACCAAATCCTTAGCAAGTCGTCTGTTTGAAGTAGTTTCCTCGTCAGACTTTGATAAGAACATAATGACCTATCAAAGCCAGAACAAATTTAAGCGTCTCATATGGTTACTTCCAACATACCAACTCGTGAAAATGCGTCAAGTGGTGTGTACATACCTTTCCAAGCCCACTCTTTTTCAATTGCTCCCTTCTATCATACTGGTCCAAGTCAATCGGAAACTGCAAGACAAACTCAGGGAATTGATAAAGGAGCTAGAATTGGTCAATCGGGTAAAAATCTTCTACAGGGAAAGAGGAGCATACATCAGTAAGAACTTTCAAAATAGCTGCACGGATGTTTATATTCGGCAAGCTTCCATCTGGAAGAGGCTCAAGCCAATTCTTCAACAGAGTTAAAACTCCATGGTCCAGGAACTCTGTTTGCAGCTGCTTCCTGGATAAAGACGAACACTCAATATTACAAAACAGATTGTTAGAAAGAAACTGTTATAAGAAAACGATAAGTTCGCAACTTACTTTCCAAGAACATCGGTAAGAAGGGAAAGTTTCTTAAGCTTGTTGATAGCAGGCCTCCCTTGTCTATTAAGCTCTGCATCTTCCTCTGCAGTGACTTCAAGCTCAGCCATAACATTCTCAACCAAGAGAGCAATCTCCGCAGGGTTTTTCTCAGTCTTTTTCTTCTTTTTCCCCATTTTGAAAAGGTTATTTACCTCATCCTCATCCTCCTCACCCTCCTCTGCCTGTTTTGTGCATAACAAAAAGCATTACGTATCAGTATCATCAACCCAAAGCTAGATTAAGAGATGAAAATTTGAAGACACAAACTCATACCTGAGGATAATGAGTTGGTGAGCGGTCTCCAGCATCACCTCCATACCTCTCAGAAGGATCCAAACCAGTATCGTCAATGAAATTATCATCATCCATAGTCCTAACACCTTCTTCATCATTCTATAAAAATGAAAACACTTCCTATGAGATTAGAAAACAAAATCTGTCTCACCAAAAGAATCTCAGAAGAATGTGCAACCTCTGGATTACGTGCAATAGATTTCCACATCTCATCGATCTCTTCCGATTTCCTCTCACCGCGGCTTGAGAACTTGTTCCTCTTCTCCTTCCCACTGCCGCTACTAGTTCGATCTTTCTCCTTCTTCCTCTTCCTACCAACTTTATCATCATAATCTGTACTACCTCCACCACCGCGTCCTCCTCCTCCCATGAACTCATCAAACTCTTCATCTTCAACATCCTCATCAATCAATTCAGGAACTTCGATAGTCTCCTTTCCACTAGAAGCTTTCTTCACCAACCTTTTCCTCGGTTTGACTTTATCGTTATCGTAAAGTGGCGTTTGTGAGCCTTCACCTTCCCAGTCTCCGATATCATCGGCCAAGTTATCTTCCAAATCATCCTGAAGTGGCTCCGACGATGGCTCACGATCATTTCCGAAGTCATCAAAATCCATCAATGGCTCCCCATCTACATCACGGTACCTGAAACGAAACACAATCAATTACGAACAATCGAACACGAAAAGGAGAAAAAGGCCTATCAATCTGAAACACAGAAGGTTTTGAAATCGAAAAGGAGAAACAAATTCAAGGTTTTTTCGTCTGCCCGTGAAACGAAATACTCTTTTTGTAACAAAAGAGAATCGGAATTTGGGGAAAATCGAAAAGCTCGATCTGGGTAACCCTAGATTTGAATCCCTTTAATCAAAAGGGGGAAGGGATGAGAGAATTTCTTCTGCGGGACAAAGCTAAAAATATAAAATTGAAAGAAGGAGGGGAAGAGCTTACGGATCATCTTCGAAACCCATTTCTGCTGCGTTTCCAGAAAACAATTGAGCAGAGATAATCTCGACTGATCTTCGAGTTGTCGAGAGGGTGCGAGAGGAGAGGAAGGAGAAAAGGAAGAAATGGGATCGCTCCTATTGGAAATTCAACGGTCTCGATTGAAGAACGATTAACAGTTTAGATCTCGCCACGTCATCGAAACTCGGAGTAAGAAAGTCAACTATCGAGTCAAGAGGCTCAAAAACAATAACTTGTGAGCCGAGTAAAATTGCGTTTGGGTCTGTATTGCTTGAACTAATTAACATCTAACTCAAGTTTTCATTATCAAATGCTTTCAGCTGCCATCCTTTTCACCGATCACCATATCAAATCGGACACTAAGTTTCTTGGATAAACTCTTGTAATCAACTTCTTCATTTAGCTTAAAAATGTGTAGTTTTGATATTTCCCCAATATATTTTTTACTTTCATTTCCAATCCCATATATATAATATCATAACCATATGAAATGTCTCAATAGAAATATCATATTGTTTAATCCAATTTTTAATCTAAATTTCTTTCAAGTCAATATTATTTTGCTATAGGAATCATGCATCATGTGATATAAATAAAACACATAAATCAGTCCATTCATTGATAACTGATTTTAGTTAAGAATACATTAAACTTAACTTAATACACAGTCCTTCAAAATAGTTTGTAATTAATTGAAAATTTCATTAATGAATTAATCATTGGAACTGTAGAAATCAGGAAGTTAAGAAGCTGAAATTGATACTTTATTATTTCACAAAATATGTATTTATATATCCTTACAAAATAATAACAAAAACAACTACAAAACATCCCTTGCCAAAAGACACTCGGCTCACTAAAAAAATTCTCAAGAAAATGGATTTGCTTGGGGCAAAGATATTCTCGATGAGCTCCTTACTATAAACAAACCTAATCGCTTCACCTAAAATACATTTCCACCACTCAAAGCACATATAAAGAGAGCCATTCACAGCTTCAACATTGTAGCATTTGAGGATTTTATCAAACGTTTTCTAAAAACAAATATGGGATGACATGTGATTTTTTAGCTACTACTTGTACTCTCAAACTAAAACACAGAGACTTTTTCAAACCAATATGATTGTCTTTTACAAGTGGTCTCGGACAATGGAAATACCAATGGTCTCAAATGGTGGAAAAATTGCACAGTAGAATACAAAAAAATTAGGGTGAACAAAGACTGTGACCACTGACATATTATTAATAGCATAATTTGTGACCATAGTCACACTTATTACCAGCATAATTATGTGTTTAGTTCACAAATCTCTTGGAACCATAGAAGTTTGTGTATATTGAAACGGTTTAGTAACTAGTGAATATCATAACTCTTTCAAAACCTCAATTGTTAACATTTCCATTGTTGTTATCATTTTTCTCAGCTCTTTGATCACCGGTCATGATATTCTTATTCACTTATAAAAATAACATTTATTGTATTCATGACCTTAAGTTATAATAAAAAATGATTGAGATGATTTTTCAACAACATTGATTTCATTTCTCTACTAAGATTATATTTTTGCAAAATAAACTTTGATATTTATCCCTTTCCTTACTTTTGAGATTTTACATGGATAATTTCACAAATAAGATAAAATGTTGGGCTTAAAATTAAAATAAATATTCTCTCTGTCAAGCCCACGCACAATCCTCCTCTTCCCCGTCAGGAAACACGACACGACCAATCACCAAAATACCTCTAAATTCTCTGACTCTCCAAATCTCACTCCAATTTCTGCAAAATTGAAAGCTTATTGATGTATTTCGCATCTTAGGTTTCGCTCGGATTACTCCAACATTACCCATCTTGAGGTATTTATTTCCAACCAATCGATCCCTAGTTTTAATTACGTTTGAACAAGATATTAAATAAACGTTTAGTTTTTCTTCATTGCGTATCTACGATTAGATTCTGAATTTCAATGCTTGATCCGGAGTGTAATTATTTTTAGGTTTCTCCTCCAAAAAAATCTGTTTTTCAGATTTGTTGGATTTTGTGTTATCGTCTCTTATTGGCTCCTCCAGCTAACTTAAAAGATGTTCCTTTATTGCATCCTGAGATAAAAAAAATGTGACCTTTTTTAGCTTTTAGAGAGAAAAATGCTTAGAAACTGTATCTTGGGTTGAAGAAATCTCTACCCATTTCTGTGACATCTGATTTTGGTAAATCCTGTAGGTTTTAACTTATAAGCAGAGCTCGTTCTGGTCTTGTGTGAAAGCTTTGTGAATGTGACAATGGGAAGCAGCGAGATGGAAAAATCGGATAAAGAGAAAGAACCTAAAACTCCACCACCACCTTCTGCATCTTCTGCGTCTGCTTCTGCTCCGGCTACATCACAGGTTTGCATTGTTGTAAATTGATCTAGTAAAGAGTCATGCTTTGGTGATCAATGTTTACTGGTTTGTACTTTGTAGGAGCCTTCTTCTGCTGTTAGTGCTGGAATGGCTACTCCAGATTGGTCTGGTTTCCAGGTCTAAAACGAGATTCCTTTGATCATTGTTTCTTTATTGCATTTTAGGTATTGTGTGGCTCATTTGTTCTGTTTCTTTTACAACAGGCTTATTCTCCTATGCCGCCTCATGGTTACGTCGCGTCAAGCCCTCAACCTCACCCTTATATGTGGGGCGTAAGTCCAATTTCCGTTTAATACCTCTTTAGAACCATTGTGTTGATTATTGAATGTAACATGAACTGAAAGAAAAATTGGTTTTTTCTTTTGATTTGTAGCATATGATGCCACCTTATGGAACACCGCCTCATCCGTATGTTACAATGTATCCTCCAGGCGGCATGTACACTCATCCTTCATTACCTCCGGTATTGATTGCTACATTTTGTTGGATCTCCGGTTATGTATTGAAAACAGTGAAATGTTTACTGTAATGTCTGTTTAACATGATCCGTCTTGCAACTTGCAACAGGGGTCTTATCCATATAGTCCATATGCAATGCCTTCTCCTAATGGAGTGGCTGAAGCTACTGTGAGTTTTTGGATTTTTATCATTTTCTTGCTTAGGTATAAATGGAATCTTGATTTAGAAATGTGATGGATTCAGGGAAATACTGGAAGCGGTATTGAAGGTGATGCTGCTAAACAACCTGAGGTGAAGGAGAAGTTGCCAATCAAAAGATCAAAAGGAAGCTTGGGAAGTTTGAATATGATTATAGGAAAGAACAACGAGACTGGGAAAAGCTCAGCTAATGGAGCTTGTTCTAAAAGGCATGTCCACTTGATGATTGTAATGAAAAAAATCGAAATCTTGTTTTGGCATACTAAAATCTTGTGGGCCTTATGATTGCTAGCTATGATGATGCAGTGCTGAGAGCGCTTCTGATGGATCAAGTGATGGAAGTGATGCAAATTCACAAAATGTAAGTTTCGACCAATTCACTATTGCGAACATGATGATCATGTTACTTATTTGCGCTGTAACTTTTTGTAGGACTCTGGATCTAGACACAACGGGAAGGATGGTTGGTGAATCTAGCTTTGTTTTTCTTATTATGTGATTTATAGGTTTATGCTTATTCAGAGAGTGTTCTTACTTTCAGATGAGACAGCTACAGATTCTGCTCATGGACCACCTGTTAACGGAAGTAATCTACCGGTGAACCAGATCGTCCCGATCATGTCAGTGCCGGCTACAGGTGTTCCAGGCCCACCAACAAATCTAAACATCGGAATGGATTATTGGAGCGGTCATGGGAATGTTTCTACAACAGTTCCTGGAGTTGTGGTAGATGGTTCTCAATCACAACCATGGTTACAGCCACAGGTTTGTGTAAAACTTTTCCCTCTGATCTTGCTTCTTCCTCTACGGTTAAATTTAAGATGCGGTGTGTTTGATTGTATTTGTGGTTTAGGACGAGAGAGAGCTTAAACGACAGAGACGGAAACAATCTAATAGAGAGTCTGCTCGTAGATCCAGGTTGCGTAAACAGGTGATAACAGAAACCAAATTTAGAAAAACAAGTCTGATTAGATTACGAATGATGAGAAGCTTTTCTTCTTTTCTTGTATGTGTGTGTGTGTTCAGGCAGAATGTGATGAGCTCGCGCAACGAGCAGATGTGTTGAATGGAGAAAATACAGGTCTTAGAGCAGAGATTAGCAAGCTTAAAAGCCAGTACGAAGAGCTTCTTGCTGAAAATAGCTCTCTCAAGGTAAATCGCCGGCGAAATATTCTGCTGCTAGATCCGTAATTTGCTTAAAAAGTAAGATTGAGAGCAAGTTCTTGTTTTTCTTCTTGCAGAATCGATATTCGTCAGTGGAAGGAGTAAACTTGGAGAAAAACGCGCAAGAACCAGAGACAAGCACACTTGGGGATGTTGCAGAGACCACACATCGTTCCTACAACAACTCAGCCTGACTCAAGAACAGTAGCTAACAGTTCTATGTAATTTTAGGACGTTTGGTCTCGATAGAGTTTTAGCTTAATGGTGCGTCTAAGCCGGAGAAAAACGCTCTCTGCTTCAACAAATTGTGTATATTTTTCTCCTTTTTTTGTTGTTGATATTTTGGACTTTTTGTGTCGATAAAAATGGACTTAGACTGATTAATTTTCTAAATGCACATATTCGTTTCCTTGATAGAGTATATATGTATCAAACAACTTAGTGATAAATAAATTACAAAAAGTCAAAACAAAGTGATATTATTCCCTTCAATAGGTGAATTATACAATGTTCACTAATATTCATCAAATGGTAGTAGTAAGAGCATGCACTAAACTATCTCTATCATTGGCTGTATACACAACGTCACACCACTCCAGCATTCCCCAAATCTCTCCTTTTTGGCGTTTATCAACCGCGATTTCTGCACACCAAATTTTCGTCTCCTTAATAGTAGGCACATTCTCTTCCCACAAAACAGCCCTCTTCCCACCATAATCCGTTAATATAACACGACCTCTAGTAGAGAATAACGTCCAGTGCACTCTTTCTAAACCCTTCAAAGTCGTCCATAGTTCTTTTTCCGAGTCATACCAGTCGATCTTCCTACGATCATAACGGTAGGCAGGGCCGGTCCACGTCCCGGAGCAGCTGCATCACACCGGAGAGTAAGTGGCCGAGTAGGGCATCCAATTATTAGAGCATAATTTTGTTAAATTTTTTTTTAAGGGTGTATAAATATCATTTACAAAGTTTTAACAAGGGCATATTTTAGTTACTTAAATTTTTCTTAAAGGGATATATATATATATTATGTATAAAGTTTTAACAAGAACATATTTTTGTTAATTTTTTTTAAAGGGGTTTATATATGATTTACAAATTTTTAAAACCTTTTTAGTGATATTAATTTTTATAGGGCATTTGTTAACAAATACCTGCGATCTACCATGTCACAAGAAAGGTTAAATGAATTGGCTTTGTTATCGATCGAGACAACTATGTTGAAAAACTCGATTATGTGAGTTTAATAAATTATTTTGCAGCTCAAAATCCAAGAGAGCTATATTTAACTCATAAATATAGCCATAAGAAATCAGTTTATATATTTTTCGCAAACTATTTATAAAGTGGGAATTGTTTATTTAGAACTTGTTTATTTTATGAAATTTTAAGGGTTTTTTTAATATTTTTACTGTTTTGTGATTTTGGAAAAAGAAAATTGAAAGGCATACTTTTTAGATTTGAGTAGGGCATTTAAATTCATTGGACCGGCGCTGACGGTAGGACACGTTCTCTATCACACAATGAGAACATGAGTAAGCCCATCCCCAATTCAGCTCTAATAAGTCTCCCACTTCCCATCTACCTTCATTCAGCTTGCACGTCGCTTTCTTTTCCTCGGACTTCACGTTCACGTAGATAGTTCCTTGGTACGTGGCGCTTTTGTACCAAGTGAGTCCGCGTGTCTCCTCGCTAGGGATCTTCATCATAAACTCCCAAGTTTGGGTCTCTGTATCATAAACCTCCGTACAATTCGGGTCTCCTATTACATATATCTCCTATTACGTGCCAGTCGCATGCATGGGGCCTCACGCCATTTGTGAGAACGACAGTCCATTACCATCATCATGTCGACGCTAGACGAAGCAGTAGCATTATTATCCCTAACGCCAATAGCGTATATATTAGGACCAACCACTGCCATGTCAGACCAGCGTGCAGGCCGAACATTAGGAGATGAAATTGGAACCAAAATCTTCTTGGAGAGTGAACCAACGTAGTCGGTAAGGTTTGTCGAGGGAGAGGCTTAAGCACACGTAGAGACAACCCTCGGTACGACCTAAGAGTGTTCGAGTCTGGTAAAGCTCTGTTGACGCAAGAAGAGAGTGGAATCTTTTGGATACTAAGGAGAGAGTTGGGTGATGCAATCTGGAGACACGGGCTAAGCAGTTAAATATCAAATCATCAGGAAGCATCATAATTGACATCTGTTTTCTTTTCAAAGGTTGATCTTCTCCGTTCATGGTTGTGTATCACGATCACTTTTTCTCTCTTAGGGTTTAAGGTTGCTTTTTACGCAAGAAATCCAAATTTGGAGTTGAGGGAAGTCTGAAGATTCAGCTGGAGTTTGACGTAACGGATTTGAGGTTAACGAGAGATTTCCTTCAGATATCGAAGAAAGGTTTGGGAGTTTTTTTTCTTCTTTTCCCTTTGATTCTATTTCTATGAGAGAGACAGAGAGCGATTGCGATTGAGCAGAGAGATTCTGGCAAATTTATATTTATCTCTATGTTCATGTCGGAGAGGGAGAAGACTTTTCTTTTCCTTTTAGGAATATATATATAGGAGGTTTTTCCTTTTTTTGAGTTTTTCTAATCTTTGGGGAATTACTGACCGGACATAAGTAAATTGCAAGAAAAAATCATCATCATCATCATAGAAATTTACTCCAGAAGATGAGTAATTAATCGGTTCATTAATATTAAAGCTTGGACAAAGTTTAAGTAACAAAGATGAAATAAGCAACGAAGAACATAGCATCACCGAGAAGAGAAGACTGGCCAAAACATAGCTTTCATACGATATAGCCACCAATGTTCGCTCTCATCAAACAGTAACAGCAAACAATTTCTTATCGAATAAAAATGACCTGGGAACTGTAAGCACAACATCACACCACTCAACTTTTCCATAAATCTCATGTTTGTCACGTCTTTCAATCGCAATCTCAGCACACCAAATCTTCTTCTTCTTCTTCTTCTTAGAACTAACATCACTCTCACCCTTGTCCCATAAAACCACAATCTTCCCACCGCAATTAATCAATATACACGATGAAACTTCGTTGGTAATCTAGGCAGGTCTTTCTCCAAACCCTTCAAAAATTTCCAAGATTGTTTCTCAGAGTCGTACCATTCAAGCACTTCATTTAATCCATAAAAGTACATGACGTTATCAACCTCGCAATAACAATCAAAATAACCAGCCAGACACATTCTGTGTCTTAAATCCATCTCCAACCCTACTACTGGATACCATCTATTATCCTTTGGCTTGTAAACCAAGGTCTTGTCCCCAAACAGATAAAGATTTCCTTCCATGGCTAAGCTCATGGTCTGGATTTTCCCGCGCATCTCTGCGCCAGGGCTTGGCACATCCTCCCATGTTTGGGTTTTAGGATCGAAAACCTCGATAGAGGAACCAACATCTCTGGAGGAGCCTTCCACTACATAAATTTTCCCATCGATAACACTCACACGAGGTTTCCTCTGGACTCTCCGCATGCTTGGAGCTTCGTGCCAAGTGTGAGAGTTAGACCGACAATCTATGAAGAACATTCTACCATTGGTGTGTCCGGCAATCGAATAGATTTTAGAACCAATGGTGGTAAGATTGTGCATGTACAGGGGCTTACAAAAACGAGAAGAGTCGGTAGTTGGGACTGAGACTAAATGATTGCCACTTGACTTAGTGCTATTCATTGGGTTTTTAAATGGTCTAAAACATGGAGTGAACCATTGTGATTTAGGGTTAGGGTTAGGGTTAGGGACTCGAGTTGGTCTCCGAGAGAGAGTGAACCAACAAAGATTGTTGCGAGGACCGAACTGGAAGCACACATAGAGACAAGTCTCGGTGCGACTTAAAAGCGTTCGGGTATCATAAAGCTCAAGTGAAGCAAGAACAGAGCGGAATCTCTTGGAGACTAGGGAGAGAATCGGGTAATACAATCTTGAGACCCGTGCTAAGCAATTCAACAGTAGATCGTTAGGGAGATTTGAAAGATTAAGTGGTGACGAAGACTCTTTGGAGTTTGTGGCGCTTGACAAGTTAGTTGATGACGACGGCGGCATGTTAGAAGAAAACGCTCAGGAGGATGGATATACCGATGATAATCAAATCCCCAAAGCCCTTAATTTTACTACTTTATAATGATGGACGAGTGTGTTACCTAAATCCTTTTTTTTTTGTTATAACCTTTTGGAAATTTTCCTGATATGCTTCTATTTTTCTTATGCGAACTTTCCTCTAATAACACAACCTTTCCTCTAATAACATATAGAAATCGCATCGGGAAATGAAACACCTCCTTTTGCCATTTATTTGGATCGAACTTTCCTTTTTCAAAAAAACTAAAGCAGTCAAAGTTATATTCTACCTCAAGAAAATATTACCAGATGCAAGGCTTTGTGAGATTAAGTCTTTTGGACCTAAAAAGTTTTTAGGATGCCTTGGCCACTGTTATAAAAAAAAAAAAAACAGATTACACTTTAAGAACAGTGATTAACCGTTAGGTTGAATAATTAAAGCTTGGGAAAATGTGTTTTTTAGCAACGAAGAACAAACGTAATTACATAGGTAAAGAATAGAAATGAAGAAATAATCGTAAAGAATCACCGGAAAATAAGGCCAAAACATAGCTAGCTTTTATAAGAAAGAGAGAAACGTCATATGCATTTTACTTTAAGCAGTAAAAATCCTTAATCATATTGAAAACAAAATGATATATATCACCATGGCCATGTTCATTCATCAAACAGTAGCAGAAATCAATTGCTTCCTGAAAAACCTTGACCTAGGGACTGTTAACACAACGTCACACCACTCAACCCTCCCATAAATCTCATATTTGCTGCGTCTTTCAAGCAAAATCTCGGCACACCAAATCCTCGTCTCAGAACTAAAAGCATGTTTCTTATCCCATAAGACCGCAATCTTTCCTTTGCCGCACTGAATTAAGCTAACACGATTTTTACCCGTTGGCAGTTTAGGCAGTTTTTCCAAACCCTTCAAAACTTTCCAGGCTCCTTCCTCATAGTCGTACCATTCGAGCACTTTCTTTAACCTATAACAGTATAATACGTTATCTATCTCACAATAACCATCGTCAGGAATCTCATCCAACCAAAGATTCATGTGTAGCAAATGCATCTCCAACCCTACCGCCTCCCATATTTTTTCACTCGGCTTGTAAACTAAGCTCTTGTCCCCAAAGAAATAAATGTTTTCTTTGGTGACCAAACTGTTACTTATATACGCCCCTCGTATCCCCGCACCAGGGCTTTCCACAAGCTCCCATGTTTGGGTCTTAGGATCAAAAACCGCAATCGAGTATTTCAAGGAACCAAAAAGATCTCTGGAGGAGCCTTCCACTACATAGATTTTCCCATCGATAACACTCGCTCGAGGGTTGTTCGGGACTATCTGCATGCTTGGAGCTTCGTGCCACGTGTGAGACCGACAATCCATGAAGAATACCCTAGGCGAGTCCTTATTATGGATGTATGCCGTGTATCCACCAATCATGTAGATACTAGAACCAACTGCGGTAAGAGTTTGACAATAATATGGAAAATCATTGCGAGATGGGACCGAGACCAAAATATTGTCACTCGTTAGGGTTCTTGATGGTCTAAAGCATGATAGAGTGAACCGTCGCGATTTAGTTGGTCTTCGGCAGAGAGTGAACCAACGATGGCATAAGTAAACATAGAGACAAGTCTCGGTGCGGCTTAAAAGTGTTCGGGTCTTGTAAAGCTCGGGTGAAGCAAGGAGAGAGCGGAATCTCTTGGAGACTAAGGAGAGAGTCGGGTAGTAGAATCTCGAGACTCGAGCCAAGCAATTCAACAATATATCATCAGGAATATATGACATATTTAGTTGTGACGACGACTCTTTGCAGTTTTTGACAGTTCCAAGGTTAGTTGAAGACGACAACATATTATTTACAAGAAAACGCTCGAGAGGAAAATCGATGATAATCAAAACTCCAACGCCCTTAATTATTACTACTTTTATATTGGGCGAGTGTATTTCCTAAATCTATTGGACAAAAAAAAAATCCCTAATAAAGTAGATTAGGGTGATTTAAACTTCAATTTAAAGTGAGATAATGTTTGCATGGGTGGTTTAAACTTCAATCTCGAAAAATTGAATCGTTTTTGTCAACAACGTACGTACTTAAGAGGAAACCAATTTGGGCTTATTGTGGCCCACACATCACAGCCACGTGGCTTGTTCTTATTTCTTAATGATCATGTGTAGAAAAAAGATATTTTATTATTTTTTTGTCATTACGACGAGAGAGTCACTGTAACCTGAGCCACAATTTCGTAGTCTTTTCTTCTTCTTCTTCTTCTTCTTCTTCTTCCGCTGAATATTATTGGAAAAAAATCAAACGAAAGAAAAATGCAAGCGATTTGCAGCCATGGCAGGCTCTGCTTCAAGCACTGCCACTCTCTCTCCGATTCCTTCTCCAACTTCCTCTCTCCTTCTTCTTCACCCTCGCTTCTCCCTCAGGTAATAATTCCCGAGAAAATCACTGCGAAAATCACTAACCTCATTCCCGTATTCGAGCGATTCCCTTAATTTCTACTTCAGTCTTCATTAACCTAATCTGCTAGAGTCGAATTGAATACGATTAGTGTAGAAAATTTCGAATTATTCTAGTGATATCACCAATTTGGAGCTGTGCAATTCCAATTCCAATCCCAATTATTGCTTCCGTTGTGATTTTACAGAGATGCCATTCGTTCTGTAATCCGAAGCTTAGTAGCGAGAATAGCCGAGGAAGAAATGCGATGACAGTGAGAGCCTCAGGAGAAGAAGACTCTTACGAGAACTTTGCCCCGATTGCTCCCGTTGAGCTTGAATCTCCAGTTGGACAGCTCCTAGAGCAGATTCTTAGAACTCATCCTCATCTCCTACACATCACAGTCGATCAACAGCTCGAGAAATTAGCCACCGATAACGAGTCTCTTAAATCCGAATCGTCTTCTTCACAAGACATTCTCTCCAAGTATGTCTCACAACCTCAACACATACTGGATTCTATAGTCTAATTTCACTTATAAATTGGCAAGATATGCAATTCTTAAGCAGAGAACATAAGCTATGTGTAGACTTGATTCAATTTCATTCAATAGTATGAGCAAAATTCAGATTGGCAAGAATGTATTATGACTTCTCTTTTTTCCTTCATCATAAAACTGGATTCTATAGACTAAGTTTTCTAGAAATTGGCAAGAATTTTGCAATTCTCAAGCAGAGAACATAGGCTTGATTCAATTTCATTCACTAGTATGAGCAAAAAATTTCAGAATTGTTTCTTGCTCTTGAAAAATGTGGTTGTGCGTTCTTGATTTTTGCAGGAGGATATCTGAAGTTAGAGATAAGGAAAAACGGAAAACATTAGCGGAGATCATTTACTGTTTAGTGGTACAAAGATTTGTGGAGAAAGAGATCTCAATGATCCCTCGGATCAAACCAACTTCAGATCCAGCAGGACGTGTAGACTTATGGCCAAACCAAGAAGAGAAGCTCGAAGTCATCCACTCCGCGGAAGCATTCGAGATGATACAGAGCCACTTGTCCTCCGTCCTCGGAGACCGAACCGCCGTCGGACCTCTGAGCTCGATCGTTCAGATAAGCAAGATCAAGCTCGGGAAGCTCTACGCTGCTTCTGCGATGTATGGCTACTTCTTGAGAAGGATTGACCAGAGATACCAGCTCGAGAGAACCATGAACACGCTTCCGAAACGGCCTGAGAGAACCAGGGAACGGTTCGAGGAACCTTCGCCTCCGTACCCGTTATGGGATCCGGATTCTTTGATCAGGATCCAGCCGGAGGAGTATGATCCGGATGAGTACGCGGTAGAGAGGAATCGAGATGAGTCGTCTGATTATGGGTTGAGGTCTTACGTTACGTACTTGGACTCGGATACGCTTCAGAGATATGCGACGATACGGTCTAAAGAAGCCATGACTCTGATTGAGAGGCAGACGCAGGCGCTCTTTGGGAGACCGGACATAAGGATACTTGAGGATGGGAAGCTTGATACGTCGAATGATGAGGTTCTGTCTCTGAGTTTCTCTGGACTTGCGATGTTGGTTTTGGAAGCTGTGACTTTTGGGTCGTTCTTGTGGGATGCAGAGAGCTACGTTGAGTCTAAATACCATTTCCTCAAGGCTTGAGTTTTAGTCCCTCTCGTTGTATCTTTGTTTTAGTGTAAAGGAAGAAGAAGACATTGGTACTTTTGAGTGTAGTGAATGTAAATGTTTACATCTCTCATGAGAAATTGGTTACAACTCATGTTTGTAAAATGTAATAAAACTTCTCTCCAAAACATTAAATTAAAATTTAGGCATATAGCTCAAATCAAATCTTACTATTATAGATCTGATTTACTTTTCTTTTTTGCATTTTTGTTTTACGTATATATGTTAAACTGTTTTGCTTACATTCAAAAGAACATAACGGAGTGTAGTTCTCAAATTTTATTTTATTTGTAGATGAAATGTTAACGTAATGAAAGTTATAATGCTTCACATTATGTTTGATTTAATTAAAATATCTAACACCATTTTTTTCCGATGGATATTAGGTAATCAGCTTGGACACGGTACCACAAGCGCACAAAACTTGCATAATAATCATTAATCAATCTAGAAAACACTATCATTATAATCCATTTGTGCATATGTGTTCTCCTACAAACAAGATTGAAGATGATTACATGTCATACCCCACCATATGCAGTTCTCCTAATCAAATGAATCATATCTTGTGTGTTGTAAGTTGTAACCACATTATTATTGGTTAAATATCACTTTTCCAAATAATTGTTCGAAGGACATCGATCCTCAATTATTGTTATATGTGGATCATGTTTGTGTTATATATGGATCACGACCCTAGTGAGTTATATATTACAAGAATGTAATCTTCGAATAGATTATGTTCCTAGCTTCATGTTTAAGGCATCATTGGGAGGTCCGGGTTACTTACTTGTATAGGGAGGCCAATCGTCTAGATGATGAATTGGCGAATTATGTTTTTGAACTACCATTAAGGTTCCATTTGTTTGATTTTGTTCCTCTGGATTTATTGGTTGTGTTGCGTGATGATGAACATGGAGTCTCGTGATCACGGCAAGTTCGCATGTAAAAATTTCTTTTTATTCAATAAAGTCTGGGAGCTAGCTCCCGGTATTCCACCCAAAAAAGCATCTTCAGAATCGATTTATGTATATACATAAACTGATATCGAGTAGATAACCATTAGGTCTTCCATATGATATAGTTAAACTATAAACAATCTAAAATAACAATTGTTTCATTTAGCCACTTCCTCGATTCTCATTTTTTTTTCTTTAGACTATACAAAGCTCTACAACCTGAAAAATAAATGGTTCAATCATTATAGCTAGTGCGTAAGTTTAGTTGTGGGGTTAAAATATTCCAAAAAGCTCGATAATAGTGATGACATATATCCACATGCATATGCTCTTGTATCAGGTCAACCCCACTAGAGATGATGCAGCTGAGTCTCTAACTCGTCTCTCTACCATATTCAACTCATCATGACTTTCTTATTTCTTCTCTAATTGGTTGATGATTGCTGAATTAGGACCTTTTTCTAGTTTTCCTATTTGACCCATTTTGTATATAATATATTAATGTAAATCACAATAATATGTTATATGTTGTTGTTTGCTATTAACCGGTCAACGTTTTGGTGTAGATTTTTGAAAAAAAAAACTATATATATATACACAGTTATGGTGTCATACATTTGTAACTTAAGCAGGTTCTTTTTTCTGAATAACAAATTTAATTAGTATATGTTATTATATAACATGTTCATAATGAATTTAAACGTAAAACACACATCTTAAAAGATCGCAGCACGTCAAAAGAATTATGGATGCACGAATGGAAGAAACATTCTTCTAGTTTAAAAAGTGTATAATTTTATTGTTAAGCGGTTATTAACCAAGTTAGGAAAGTGTTCGAACCATTTTCAATAACTTATGAATCGTGTCAAAGTAAAATGAGTGATCTCTACGATTATTAACATTTTTTTTGTCCCCAAACTAAGCATAGACATGTTGTCAAAAAAAAAACTAAGCATAGACATATTTTCTTGGAATGTAAGTTGATTTATAAGATGAACAAAGGTGGATAAGGTTTCCGTTCTCGGTACGTAGATAATGCCGTTTTGTCTGATGGATTAGTATAAAAAAACAAAAACAAAGATTCTCATTTGAAAAACAAGAAATGTGCATCAAGTCTTCTTCTTCTTTTTTGTGCGAAGTGCATCAAGTCTATGATACAATATCTATAAGAATATTCCAATAGATAATGTCAACAAAAAAACATATGTAACGATTATCTTTATTTGCTAGCTAAATGCAGAAGCTAGCAGACAATTGAACACTGCGGGCCATTTATGATTGTGTGTACAGATGGTAATGGAATCGATCACTCTCTTATCTGAAAGAAAAGAAAAAGGGAAAAAGAAAAGAAAGATTGCTTCCTTAGTAGCACAAATGGAAATTAAATTCAGCCTCCAGTTTCTATCTTTTAGTTAAGAATATGTGCGCGCCTTTGATACATACTTTCACATTATGGTCGAGTAAACTAATTGTTAAATGCCAATGATATACTGTTTATAAAAAATGATTCAACTTAACATTCTGCTTACAGCTAGAAAATAGTTGGTAACACAGAACTACCTCATAATAATTCTCCTGTTAGTTACAATTTTCTAAGATTTGTTAATAAAATTACTGACAAATTTTTCAACTATAATGATTTTATTGTTATATATGTTGTATTACGCAATAGAATAATTTTCGGCTTATTCCAAATTGAACCATGCATATGCAAAACACAATCAACATATTCTTTCAAGAAAAAGAAAAAACAATCAATATTATTTACATCATAGAAGAGGTTAAGCATATTATGATATGGATTAAACACATTTTATTTATATTGTTATTATCAAATAATTTTTTTTTTAGCAACAACAGAAACATGTGTTTCTTAATTGTTAGATAGATAGGTTTTCTTCTCGGCAAATAGATAGGTTCTGTACGTATTCTCATTTTTAAGGAAAAAAATTGTAAATAAAGTTATAGTTTTGTATAAATACATAGAACCTTATACGGTTATGATTTTCGGACAGCTATAATATCCTCCAAAAACAATTAGTATTTCGATATTTGAAAAGAGTAAACTAGTTGTTCGCAAATTTTAAGTTACAATATATATGTACCAACATTTGAGTTGAATTTGGAATTTCGTGTTTAAATGATAAGTAGAGTATTGCAAGCTATAACTAGGTCCAACTATCTCCGGCCAACCATATGTTAGTAAGAGAAGTAGCTCCTAAAGTGGAACTGATAGGTGTATAGAATCAAACATTAGCCTCTCCTTGTTTTCATTTGAAGTTAGAAGCGTTATTAGTACTTATGTCTAATATTTTGTATTACAAGATTGATTCTGACTTTTAAAACGGACAGCTCATAATTGATCTCGATGACTACCAAATGGCATATTGATCTCTAGCTAATCTCCAAGAGAGTTCTTTAGTGTTCGCAACAGATTTTCTTCCTTTATCTTTTTTTTTTTTTTAAATCACGTCGTTAAATGCTACGACGGATAGTTTGGCCTTGTTGTGCTAAAGCTATGAGCCTATGCATATTTATTCTTTTAAACTTTGTTCCCCTGACTTGGATTACCAACCCCAAAATTTAATTGTGAGGTTGACAAAAAAGAAAAGAAATACAATTAGTTAATTAGGATCATGATAATATCCCATTAATTATAATTCAAATCCAGGATTAAATAGTTTTGTTGTTTATCTGCTTTGCGTATATAATAAAGTTCATGGCCAGATGCATGTATTTTAGAGAGTTTGGTAAACCAAATCAACTAACTGCGCTTTTACATATAGCTCTCTTCGCACATACTCCAACTGAGAAAATATTATGAACAAAATTAGTTGTAATCAACAGCTGGTAAATCTAGAAGGGTTAGTTAGCGCAAGAAGTGAAGTTTGATCGTAATTTGTTTAAAACTATCCACATTCGGTAGTTAGTTTAAGTGATTCGATCTTAGTTTACGGCTTTGTGATTTATTCGAAAGCTAAGCTCGTAGATTTATAAATATCAAACAATTACTCAAGTTGTATTATAATCATGGATTGAATGATACGGTGATTCGGGTATCTGGTGCTAACGAAAAGAGTGGACTAGTTTAAGTTCTTTATTTGATAAAATAATTAACAATCGTAGTTTTGTTTCGAACCAGAGTTGATTAAATATGTCAGCACAAAGCTACTGTCTTGTTAATCATTGTCTATCTAAACTACTCTATAGTTTATAAGAAGGTAATTAACAGAAGAATATTGTAAAGAGGATGAACAAAAGATAGGACTATAGGAGTATATAAAAAGGAAACAGAACTAACTAAAGAACAAAAGAGTCCACGGAAATGTTTACGTTTGGCTGTCCATAGTTTTGGAATCTATACCTTTTTATTATTATATTTTTTGTCAAATACCTTTTCATTAAATTAAAGTTTTGATTAGTGTAACCACCTAATTTGAACATCTACACGTAAAATATGTATTTTATATATATTAAATGATGATGATGACCGATAATTATATACAATCTGCATGGTATACAGATAAAGACACTTTGGTGTCCATTTCATGCTTAGTTGTCATTTTTGTTCCTTTTGGTTCTCATCATCGAGAATGACAAATCTACCCTTCTATATACACTTAACCATACAAAGTGTATACCAACTATATACTGATATACATTTCTCATATGCTAATATTACTCTCTCTTTTTCTGTCACATGCTAATTTCGCTCTAATTGGGCTATATACGAACAGCTAAAAAGAAAAAATAAAAATCATTTTGTTTATTTATTTATAGTACTAAAATTAGGAAAGAGCCAACTAATGACATTACCAAAGACCTTATCAAAACTGACATTTGGTACTATCTTGATTTCTTGGTTCTTTACGTCATTATTATATTACATGATCCAAGAAAATTCCAGCATACCGTAAGTTGTATCATGAGATTAAAGGGATCGGAGTGAAAATGTTATTGGATCATTCTCCCACTAGTTTGTATTCGTATTGTTATTTTGTCACCACCCGCATTCAAATTTGTACATTGCATGTTGACCCAAAAATAGGAAAATGTTACTATATGACTATCGATGTCAGATAAGATAACTGTTCGCAAACTACTTAACACTTAAAAATTGAACAACATGGTCGTTACAAATACTATACAGAAAACCTTTATCACCGTGAAGTAAACATCTATGCTTCAATTATTCAAAAAGACAAAATCCATTAAGCTTAATATTTGTCACTATAAAGTATCCAGTTCACGAGAATCATAACAATTAGCTGTAAACAATTTACCATAATCAAAATGATCTCGAAGAATCAAGAGAGATCTTTAAATTGAGATTCACTCGAAAACTCTATATCCAAAATCACAAAAAAATTATTCGTGCATTTCCCTCCAACCACTTAATTTTAAAAAGTTTACAACTTGGGAGATATTGTAAATTGTAATCGAGATTATTTTTCTATTAACAGACTTTGGTATTTATTACACCATTACACTATTTAAGGACATTTACTAAAACTGAAAAATTGTACTAGTATTAAAATATCTTTACAAATTTTTAAAAATAAATCTTATCTTCCAATATTACAAGGATATTCATTTTTTACAATTTGATTCTACTCGGTTCTTTTTTCTTTATGATCTCATATCCTTAAATACATAGACAACGGTGACACGCCAAGGGTAAATTGAAAAACCAAAACTGTTATATAAACACCACGAGCGTGGAAGCCAGAGAGCAATTTTCTCCCACCAAAAAGAAAAACCTCTCTTATGGGGTCAAAACATTTATCTAATTAATAAACACAATTTATAAATCTTTTTCTTAATCCCAGAAAGATTACAGAAAAAATGTTCAAATCATCGTATAATCTCATCTTCTTCTTCATCGTCATTTTCTTCGTCCTGAGATCATCAGCGTTCTCGAATCTCAACAGCTTAAGCTTTGAAGAATCACTCTCTCCTCTCTTCGGCGATGGCAATCTCGTACGTTCCCCTGATGACCTCTCCGTTCGTCTCCTCCTAGATCGATACACAGGTATATACATATACCCCTATACATACATATACAAATCGTTTCTCATTTCTTATGATGATCTGATGATGATTATTATTATTATATAGGTTCTGGTTTCATATCATCAAATATGTATGAACATGGATTTTACAGCTCCATGATCAAGCTTCCCGCCGATTATTCTGCCGGTGTCGTCGTCGCCTTTTATGTAAGCCTCCGGCTATTTATTATTTCCTTTTCTTTTTCTTTTTGATTACCAAAATTGTTTTTTGGTTCCCAACTTTTTGCATAACTGTTCAAATATGTTTTTTTCCTCAAAAAGTATTCATTTGAAAATGGTCATAATTTTTTGTTTGGGCGAGAAAATCGTCACGGAAAAGAGATTAACAAACGTCTTGTCGATGAACCAACCCATGGACACAATTTTCCCAGTTTTGGTTGCCTAGAAAATAGTCATTAATTTTCCCAATAAAATAGTTCCATTTTTCCCAAAAAAACTTTAATTTAGACTTGGGATTTTTAAAAAAACTAATGTATAATGGAAATTCAAATTAATTTTGATGGGCAGACATCGAACGGAGACGTGTTCGAGAAAACACACGACGAATTAGACATAGAGTTTCTAGGGAACATAAAAGGAAAGCCATGGAGGTTTCAGACAAATCTATACGGAAACGGAAGTACACACAGAGGTCGTGAAGAGAGATATCGTCTCTGGTTTGATCCAACTAAAGAGTTTCATCGTTACAGCATCCTCTGGACTCCTCACAAGATCATGTAAGCTTCTTAATTGATCCATCATTTTTCTTTCCCGGTTTAGGCTGTTTAGCTCCAATAGCGTTGACCAAACACGGTTCATAAACATATGACCAGCTTTGCTTGAAAGAATGTTTGTCTCTTAGAAAACGTTTCTTTCTTCCTAAGATAATTAATGAATCTATAAAATATTTTTTCTTTTTCTTTCTAAAAAATGATATTTCTTTCTTTCTTTTTTTCTCCTTTTTATTTAATTTTGAATAACCAAATCGAATGAGAGTCCGCTTTTTCCATAACAATTAATTCGACATTACTGTAACTCTCTGTAAGGCATTAGCATATTTATCATTTTTCACGCGTTAGTCTTCACGCGTAGTAATTAAAACCCGAATTAACTGTTCAAAAATCTGACTTTCTAGTGACCTTCTTGTTTATGAAATTAAATGAATGAAAAACGTTAATCAAAAAGAAAGAAAAAAATAAACGAGATAAAATTTAATGAGAATTAACTACTCCAACGTCAATTAACTGGTATTAAGGCTTCATTGACTATTTTGTTTAGTTTATTGTTTATTTTATCATCCAAAATAAAAAAAGGTTTCAATTCGTTATATATATTTTTAATTTCTTTTGTCAGCAATTTAACTAATATAAATTTTATATGAAACAATTTACAGATTTTGGGTAGATGACGTGCCGATTAGAGAAGTGATAAGAAGCGATGCAATGGGAGCTGATTATCCGGCGAAGCCAATGGCTCTTTACGCCACCATTTGGGACGCTTCCGATTGGGCTACTTCCGGCGGCAAATACAAAGCCAATTACAAGTTTGCCCCTTTCACCGCCGAATTCAAATCCTTCTCTCTCGACGGCTGCGCCGTCGATCCCATCCAAGAAGTCCCCACGGATTGCTCCGATTCCGTCGAGTTCCTCGAGTCTCAAGATTATTCATCCATCAATTCACGTCAACGCGCCGCCATGAGAAGATTCCGGCAACGGTTCATGTACTATTCTTACTGTTACGATACGGTTAGATATCCGGAGCCTCTGCCGGAGTGCGTGATTGTTCCGGCGGAAAAAGATAGGTTTAAGGAAACGGGAAGGTTGAAATTCGGTGGTACTGAAGCGCGTGAACGGCGGAGGAGTCGCCGGCAGCAAAGGCCGGCAATTGAGAGTGATCCTGACGAAAGAAAACGTTTATAAGCTTTGCGCCAATTTTTATTTATTTATTCGTTTGTGAGTAAAAGAGAAAATAATAAAACGAGTAAAAGATTTGAAAGCCCAAAAAAGAAAAGACAAGCAGATAGGATAAATGAAATGGGTCTTTTGGCTCTTTCGTAATTCTTGATGGGTTAAAGCCCATTAGAGCGTTTACACAGGAGAAAAGCAAAATTGAATTGTTTTGACATATTTGACGGTTCTCTTTATGGAAATAAGGAAAAGTGCTTGTGTATGTGTTTATATATATATGTTTGTGTTAGACCATCTCCATCCCTAAAACCATGTTTTTGGTTCTAAACCATTTTTTATTAATAATTTTTACACAAATCAATTTAACAACTTTTATGTGGTTTCTTAATTATTTCTTCCTCCATCCCTAAAACTTTTTTTTTGGTTCTTAACAAAAAAAAAAAAAAAATCCATTTTTATAATTTTCAATATGATACATAAAAACATAAAATATATCACAAAAAATTGATCTCCATGAGCACTAGTTTCAATCATCTGCTTACAAACAATAGTTGAAACTTATGATGCATACCAATAAAATTTGTAGGAAAATAGTAACTTCAAAGGACAATGAGAGGATCGGAAAGAGAAACGTGCGATGTTCAAAAGGTCGATGATGTACCAGTGTAAATATTGTGTGACTTCTGCTGCTCAACAAATTGAAATTATTTGAACCAACATGACGATGTTCTGCAATTAAAGATCAAAACAGTAATAAGGAAATGAGAAAAAAAATTATATGTAAAAAATGAAAACAAGTTTCGGAAGTGATTCTTCAAATTACTTTCTCCAGCGCCGGCCCATACTGTTTTGGCGCCTAAAGCCAAATTTGTTTTTTGAGCCCACTAAAAATCGGTATTTTTTAAAAAGGAAGAAAAGTGTGGGCACCGAGCTTCGAAGACAATCCCTGTATTCATTCCTGACCATCTTCTCCGCGTCAGGATACCAAACAATTTCATCCCCTCTCTGAAAACAAACAAACAATGGCGGAAATTTTGAGAATCCAATGGAAAATTGACCGAGTTTTAAATTAACAATCCATCAATCCTAATAAAATCGTGAATTAATATCTCATATATATGCAATTCCGGGTAAGGGACCGGCGATTGAGCTCCATAATTCCCGGCGCCGGTGATAGAGCTCAAGAGCAAATGTGGAACAAGAGCGAGGCAATAGACATTTAGACAGTAGTCGAGGAAGCCGAAGAGTTTTCTGTTTGATTTATTTTCAAATGTCGATTTAATGGTAGAAAGTTTTTTGCTAAAAACCTGGTTCCACGAAATTAATTTATTTTCTCTTTTCTTATTTCTATTTAATGGCTAAAAACTTTCTTAAAACCCACTTTAGAACCAGGGATAGAGATGCTCTTATGTTTCTAGGATTCATCAATATTAAACAGCCATGAAAGATTCACAGGCGTCGTCTCTCTCACGTAACCTAGATCATGCCACCGAAAACTCCACAGAAACGTTTCCTCTTAAACTCATCTTCAAGATACTCTTGGGACTTCCGGCGAAATCACTCGTAAGATTCAAATCCGTGTCGAAGCAGTGGCACTCTATCATCCAAAGCAGAAAATTCTCCGACGCGTTTCTGGCTCAGTTATCAAGGACCCGGCCTCGTCTCCTCAGCCCCTGCCCCCTGAACACGACCAACAAAACGACGACGACAACTCCTCCACAGTTGTCGCACGACATGACGATCTCAGATCTCCGCTACCGCAACATAGATGATGAAGGAATATAATTGTTAGTATTCCAAATATTTATATTACTTAATTCTATAATTTTAGATATTTTCAAAGTGTTGTGTGTAATGATGATGTTCGATGGGCACGAACAAGAACATCTTGTTTTTAAATAAATTCAACACTCATCAATGAATCACTAATCCATAAAACCAACCACTTAATCAATTTAACCCCAAAAATAATAGGAAACAAATAAAACTAAAAATCAGAAGCTCTGCTCTTCTCTCACATCACCACTCTGTTTCTGTTCCCAATACTATAAAAGTACATATATTTACACTCTCCTATAACCTCTTCAAGTCAACCAAAACGATCCTCCATCAATCTCCGAGTTCTTGATGGTAATGTAGAGAAGAGAGAGGCAAATCGCGATAAGCCCCGACCAAACATAAACAATCGTCGGTGTTCTTCCTCTCCTCCCCATCAACCCTTTCGCAAACGGATACATATGAACCAAAACCCAACAGGCGAAGAAACACCCTCCGACAAGATTACTCCACTGCGGATTCTCACTGAAAACCGTCCGACACACGGCGAAAAGAATCGCCACAATGTTCAACACTATGATCATCAGCGGAAGAATCATCAGAGCCGTCCATTTAAACAAGTAAAGATCAGCGAACTCGTCGTCCTCGTCATCCCCCGTCGAAGACTTCGAAGTCAACGTGAAAGAGATCTCGACCCCGGCGATGACTTTGAGAATCCCTTGAAGAACAGCCACGAAATGTGCACTCGTGCCTCCGATCAACCAAAACTGCTCGTTCCTCCACCATTCTTCCAAAGAGATCCCTGACCATTTCACTTCAAGAACAGCTAAGCCACATATAGACAACGAGATGATCAAAAGGTAAACGAGAAACGCCGGCTTGAGCGTGTCCACCACGAACTGACCGGAGAAGAGTGATAACGGCGGGAGGAAGCAATACGTCAAGATGAAAATGCTTGTGAACGGATAGATCCCAACGTTGAGGTAAGAGATCCTCTGAAGAAACTTCAGTTTCCGACCGGCTAAAACGGCGTTGTTTCGTGAGAAGAAGATCTCAACCGACCCAGTGGCCCATCGGAGCACCTGGTGGAGCCGGTCGGTTAAGTTTATCGGCGCGGTTCCACGGAACGCGTCAGGCTCCGTCACGCAGTAGAAAGATCTCCATCCTTTCTCATGCATTCGAAAACCGGTCACAACGTCTTCGGTCACTGACCCGTAGACCCATCCGATGCTCATTCCCCACTCGGTCTTGTCCTCGTACCAGCAAGAGATCACGTTGACCGCCTCGCTTACGGTAGCGTAGTCAAGCGGCTCGCGTGGTCCGGTCAACGAGCCGGGAGGGCGTCCACGTCGGCTCGAAGACTGGTCAGTCGCTAACGGCCTGCCTTGAAACTCAGCGACTTTCACAGAGCTCACTAGCATACTCGAGCTACCGAACTGCTTCGGAATCAAACAGATATCTTCGTCCTCCTCATCGTCCATGTAGTACTCAGGCTCAGAAGCTACCGTCGCAAGGTTACGTTTCTTGGTCTTCGGGTAGCAGCAGCTGAAGCAACCAGACGGGTCTTCTTCGACCAAAACATCAGGCGGGTCGAAACCGTAAAGAGCGGTTCGACGGAAGAGACAGCCAGTTCCAACGTACATCGGTCCTTGGATCCCATCAAGAGCTCTTAGGTTAATGTCGAAGAAGACAGTGTTGTTGTTAGCGTAACGATCTGAAGGATCGATTCCTTCAAACCTCTGAGGAAACTGAACGTAGCAAACGCGGTCTCCGTCTCGGTCCATCATGAAACAGATCCCATCTCTAAAGGCTCTAGAGTTGTATACGTAATGGTCACAGTCCAAGTTCAAGATGAATGGTCCGTTAGACATTATGGCCGATGCTCTAACCAAAGCGTTCATGGCTCCTGCTTTCTTGTTATGGTCATAACCTGGACGTTTCTCTCGGCTCACGTAGACAAGCATCGGTAAACGAATGTCTACTCCTACGAAATCCAACGCACGACCGTCACCGCCTAGTCCGGTAACCGGTTCGTCTCCAGGAGGATCAAGCAACACCTACAAACCAAAACCAATTAGAGATCAAAACACATTTCTACTTTTTTTCTAGATTACTAGGTTCTAGGTCAAAGCTCGTAATTTTTCAGCCCTAACGTGTTTTCTAAGTTACCTGTATAACACTAGCGTGGTCGCCTTTGGAATGGTGAGGACAAGGAACAGACCAAGTACCGGGCCAATGAGTACCGTCACTCATCCAAGTAGCTTTAGGAGCTACTATGGAAGGTTTTGGCTCTTTGATTTGGTCCTCTTCAACTTTGACTTTCCAGTTTTTCCATTTCTCCAAAGCTTTGATCTCTTCTTTGCTGTTAAACGCATCTGATCTCCGTCTAATCGAATGAGACAAGGCGTTAACACGAACCTTAAACTCCTCGTACCCTCGTTTCACGTACCGTCTGTCTCTTACAAAGTCATATCTCACTTTGTCTTTATAAGGATCTCTTTTCAGACCGAAGTAGCTTTCAGGATTCCTCGGCTCGATCTTGTGTTTCCTGCAAAACGGTACCCATATCTTGGCAAAGCTAGCTGCTTCAGCCATTGCTTCGAACGTGAGAAGCGATCCTCCATCGTCGGAGATGTAGCAAGAGAGCTTCTCGACAGGATAATCAACGGATAAGATGGAGAGGATTGTGTTGGCTGTGACCAACGGAGGCTCTTTCTCTGCATCAGCTGTTGAAACGAAGACGTCGATACCGGGGAGATCTGATTTACCGGTTGGGTTATTCGGGTTTGGTGATTCGAATTTCGCCTTTAAGGCTTCGGTATCGGTCCCGTGGTTAACCGGGTAAAGCCTAGGGATTTGGTCGATTAACCAAGAGAAAGCAAACCAGATTTCGCAGATCACAGAGAGGAACCATAACCAGATTGCTTTATCGTTTGGGTTTGTGATTCTCCATACGAGAAACAGACCGAGAAACACAACTCGAACAACTATTAGAATCCTGTAATAATAAAATGTCAAAATGTCAGAGAACATCCTTAAAAGTTTAAAGATCATGTTTTATGTCACATAAAGTGTTTGTAACTGACACGTCAGAGGTATCCAAAAAGTGTGTGAGAGAGAGAGAGAGAGACGGAGATTTTATGTACCGATAAAGAGCGATGATGATCGGAGAGATTTTGACGATACGAGTCAGGGGTTGAGAAATCTTGTAGAGCAAGGCATCGCCTTCTTCGCTGATTCTGAGATCGGTTTGGACGGATTCGTCGTCTTTGCAAGATGAACCGGAATCGATGTCTTCGAGAGCGATCTGAACCGGAACCGGGTTGTTGTCAGGCGTCGGAGAGAACTGGACGATGTATTTGGCGAAATCGGAGCTGCTGCTTCCGAAATCGCTGCCGATATCTGCGGTGGAAGTGGATACGTGGCTGATTCTGGGATGTCTTGTGGAAGGTTCTTCGGACATCATTTAAATTAATCGCCGGAATATTAGAGAAAGCTCTGTTTCCGACGCCGGGAACTGGAGAAAACAGAGAGACGCAAATGAAATAAAAACGGCACTGAGTGAAAATGGTTTCTCAGATTGAAGAAGACGAAGGCAGAGATTTAATCGAAGGAATCACGCGGTGCGAAACATGGGAGAAAATCAATCTTCGATCTTTGGTTCGAAATTTTGTTTAGAAAATTGATTAGATTGAGATGTTTGGAATTAAGCTTACCTTTTTGGACGAAATCAGAATCAGTGACGAGATTTCAATCAAAATGTTACTTCTTCCTTACATTTATCATTAATGCAAAAAGTTCTGAAATATATCATCCGGAAGACAAAATTTTACTTTTTTTTTTAATCTAAGAACAAACGAAACCGAGAAGTAGATTTTGAGGATTTTATTTTCCCAGTGGAGATTAATTCCGGAAGTTTTATAATGGAGTGTTGTGTGTACTTATGAGTTTTTGCGATTGAGGTTTTCTACAAAATCCTCTTAAATGGTCAACAAATGGTGGGAGAGAGGAGAAGAGATTTTCTTCCTTAATCGTAAATATTTACTCTAATGAGAATTTCTTTCCTGAATCGTAAATATATACTCTAATTTTGGAATTATTATTTGTCAAATATTAATTAAATTGTGTTGAACAGCTATTTATGCTTGCAGCAAGAGACAAAATATACACAAAGAGGCGGGTCGAAATGGGTAATTCCAATTCTATAAAGGGCATTTCCGGAATGTTGATCGTTGTTATTTTCTACTTTATGAGCTCCTATATGACTTTGACTTTGTACAGGAGGTGACTCGGAAAGGAAAAATATTAGGACCGGAAATGGAAACGGTCAAGGACTTAAGGTACATCCGTACATAATTACGTCCCAATTTGTAAAAACCAAAAACCTTGTTATGTAGTGAAATCTTGTAGCTTTTCTGCATTATCTCATTATCTGATTCTTATGTGTTGAAACAAACGAATGATATATTTTTTATTTGTCTTCTTGTCAACTTGTAGATTTTTTTTTTTCACTTTTTAACTTGAACAATGGCTACCTCCTTCCTTTAAGAAGGTTTTAAATGAAAATTCACTGAACTAAAACTATATCAGGTCTCTCACTTTATAACTTTTGTTCTCATCCGATGTTAGTAAAACCTATAAATTACATACACATTTGAATAAGCGATTGGATTTTTCAAATTTCAACAAACTGTTTCGAATTAGTGAGCATAATGTTTTCTTCTTTAGAATGGCTGATTTTCTCTTCTTTAAAATTTTCCAATTTCTTTTTCTCCATGTTTGGCATGCAGTGTTAGAATTAGTTTTTATTGTCTTTTTTCGTAGGTTTTTGCAATTTATGTGTCGTCGTCAAATGTATTAGTTGAAGTTTCTTCGTTGACAAAGAAAAAGAAATATAGTTGATGGCACATAAACTATATACAAACGTCCTGAATGAAAAATACATGAATCCTTAAAGTTAAATTCTGTTGACCCTCGAGTTTATGATGTTTTCAATATTTGACCCACATATATAGATATGTTTCAAAAAAAAAAAATAGTTATGCTAAATCCTCGCCTGCCACTTGATTGCCGTTAACGTATAGTCGTATACGTACTAAGTCGGTGAGAAAAAAATTATCATTAATTTCAGTATGACAACGTAATTTTTTGTGAAAACAATAACGCACTATATATTTTTTTACGTTTTTAACTATTTGACTAACTAATAATTATATAACCGTTTTAGTTATACCTTTAAACTATTTATTATATATATATATATATATTTTTTTTTTGGGTGTAAAATTTATTATATATGTAATGATGTATTTGTATATTTATCAACTAGTTAATGGAGAATGATTTTTTTAGTTATATACAGATGTAAAGTATTTAATTTGGTAGAGGCAATTTATAAAAGACCGTCATCTAATGGACATATTTTACAATTCATCCTCATTTTCGAAAAGGATATATAGTAGGTTTGACTTTGTAAATTATAAACGGTCGTATAAATCAACGAGTTAGAACCCTTCAGTTTAACGAGTCAAGTTTAGTATGCTTATCTAAACTACATCCCATTCTGTACCAGTTCGGCTACAGATGCTTGTAGAGGCTAACAAACCTTCAAACTCTTTTTTATCCCACTAGTGAAACGCACTATTCAAAAAGAAGAAATGATCAATAATTAAAAATGTTTAACCCAAGCAAGGTGGTTTAATGGAAAACTCTTCACGAAGGGTCTAGTATAGTACCAATCTTATATTCTTATAATACCGTTTTCATTTGGCATTTATCTGTTTTATGTTTTTTTTTTTTTTGCTTACCATGTAAATATTATTAATGAAGTGGTTAGGTACTACAAGGTTGGACCTTTACAAAGAGCTCCTTGGCAAAAAAAGTTCTTTATCATATATATCTAACATGAGTTACATGCAGTACTGGTTTCAATTATTGTCACGGTCACTTTATAAAGGGTTTGTGTATAAATTTGGACTCAAGTTTAAGAAAATACTGTATAGCGAAAACAGAGAAGCAAGAGTGTTAAGAAACTTGGTGATTTAACATTTATGCTTGTGGAAAACGGACAAATTACAAAATAATAGACTGTTGTTAACTCAATCTATGAACTTAACAATATCAATTTAGAAACATAAAAAATTGTCGACCTAGTCAATGTATTGGAGCAGCAAACCCTAATTGTAAGAAGCGAACATCATTGGATCACCAAAAGATGTCGTCTGATTCCATGAAGCATTCCCAAACTGGAAAACTGGGTTTTGTGTCTGCATCATCGGAGGAAGTTGATTGTTACTGCAGCTTCCCATGCCATCAATTCCTTGTCCCTCAAGCAATAAATCCGAGTAACCAAAACCATGATTCCACGAAGCATTTTGATCAGACTGGACAGGTGGGCTTTCTATCTGCATCAGAGGAGGAAGTTCAATGTTACCGAACCGTTGTCCCCCAAGTAAAGAATCTGAGTAACCCTGATCAAGATTCTGTGGAATCATCGCCGGTTGGTGAAAGGTGGAAGGCAATTGGGTAAAAGTACGGTTAACATGGTTATAGAGAAGGATTGAACAGTTGGGAGGATGATTTATCAACGAAGACGAAGACGAAGACTTGGATAAATCAGTTGGGATTGGGAAGCCGGAGTAAACAGCAAGGCTCTGCCTCTGATCTTGTTCCAGATGATTCGCTATTGGCTCTTCAGTCTTCTGTTGATGATTATCGACAATTAGCGAAGGAGATGGATCCGTTGATGAAGACGCGGCACAGGGCTCTCTCTGATGATCATGTGGAGCGGAAAGAAGACGAAGTTTTTCTTGGAATACACGTAAGCGACTTTCCAAGGAAGCCTCCATCTCAAACAATTTGTCTGATAATTTGTTGTCATCGTCATGCTTCTTCCCGTCGCTGATCTTCTTGTTCAGAAACTGAGAAAGGTTTGAGCTTTTCTTGCGCTTCTCTCCTTCGCTTAATTTGCTAAACCTCTCGGCCATATCTCTGACCTTGGTTTGATCCTCCGGCCATGTCTTGATTAGTTCTCCGTCACGGCCGTAGTAGAGTACGCAGAGTTCGACATCGCATAGAGTAGAAAGCTCGAAGGCTTTCTTGAAGAGCGTCTGTTCTCTCATGCACAAATTGTTGTTCTTTTTCGAAGCCGGCATGTTGTTGGATGATTTCTTGAATTGCGTTTGATTCCGCACAGAGAGTTTGCTGTTCTTCGTTGCCCTAGAAGAAAAAGACGAATCCATGATTGTTTTTTCGCACAGATTTTCAGAGAGAAAAGAAACAATTTGAGAGTGAATTGCGAGTAGCTTGAATAAAGGTATGAACAAAAGGTATGGTTGAGGGTGTTATATAGTTATTGAGGATGATGTTGTTTCCTTTTTACTGCTATTTCCTTTTTTTCTACGGCGATTGTTGTCTATGTGCCTTCTTCTTATTCCATTTTTTGCTTTTGTATGATACCGATCGGTATGAGTCCTACTAATCTAGCCGTTAGGATCATCTCTCGATTTCCATTTATTCAACTCACTCAATCTAACCGTTGTAGTAAATTTATTTAACTATTAATTATTATATTCACAGGAAAATTGTACAACTTTGATATACAACAGAACAGAGCTTACTAGTCCAAGAAACAGTGTAATTAACATGCTGATCTCCAGCTGATTTTGCATTTAACAATTAACTAATCTTATGGTTTTGGGTTAAAAAAAAAAATGTACGCAAAAAAATAGGATAAAAGGGTAAAAAAAAGATGGCATTATCCTGGTTTGACACTAACAATAGAATAAGAGCACATGCGCAAAATTGAGATTCAGATCCATCCTTCTGATCTCGCACATTTGTCAACTCCATTTTTAGCCTTTTCTTCTCATCAGCAAGAATCTTTAAAGAAAGTTGATGCCACGAGGAACCTCTTTTGCCAATATATAAATAATTTTTTTTTCCATTCTTTTGAATCTGGGTTTAATCGAAAAAAGAGGTTTCTTTTGTTTTCTTCTTCAAATCATCATCATCGCTCGTGAATCTCCCAAAGTTTCACTAACCTGGCTGAGCTCTAACAGTAGACGGAGATCTCGAGACGACCCTTGGATCTCTCACGGTTCGTGCTTCTTCATCTCTCGTAAAGGTTTAGTCTTTCGTTTCCATCGTTCACCCTTCACCGTCTCTAGCTAGAAACTTCTCTGTTTTGATTGATCAAGTCCCGAGATCGTTTTAAGCTCTTTCTGGATTTTGTTAATGCATAATTGAAGATACCCATCTGAGAAAAATACACAAAACTGTCCCTTTCTTCTTCCCCAATTACCATCTTTCCCAATTAAGACGAACCCTAGATTCAATTTTGAATAATTTTATAAGGGTTGTTGCAGATGTGGAGAGTTCTAATCGTTTAAAAAAAATCTCTGGATGACGTTATGCAGAAGCGGAGAATCATCACCACCGTGAATCCATCGGCGTCTATTGAGATGAGCCACCACAACGACGTTCCTTACTCAAACGTCGGAGGAGATGATGAGACTCCGACTCCATCGCCTAAAGCCACCGCCAAAATCCGGAAAGTCTCCATGTTGCCACTCGTTTTCCTCATCTTCTACGAAGTCTCAGGTGGTCCTTTCGGTGTCGAGGACAGTGTTAGTGCAGCTGGACCATTGTTAGCTCTCTTAGGCTTCATCATCTTCCCTTTCATCTGGAGCATCCCAGAGGCGTTGATCACAGCAGAGATGGGCACAATGTTCCCAGAGAATGGCGGCTACGTCGTGTGGGTCTCCTCTGCATTAGGTCCCTTTTGGGGGTTTCAGCAAGGTTGGATGAAATGGCTGAGTGGCGTCATCGACAACGCACTGTATCCTGTTCTGTTTCTTGATTACTTGAAATCAGGAGTCCCGGCGCTAGCTAGCGGTTTGCCGAGAGTTGCATCGATCTTGGTGTTGACAATCTTGCTTACATACCTCAACTACAGAGGACTCACTATAGTCGGTTGGGTTGCTGTGCTTATGGGAGTCTTCTCCATCCTTCCCTTTGCTGTGATGGGTTTGATCTCGATCCCTCAGCTAGAGCCATCGAGGTGGCTTGTGATGGACTTAGGGAACGTGAACTGGAGTTTGTATCTCAACACGCTCTTCTGGAACCTAAACTACTGGGATTCCATCAGTACGCTTGCTGGTGAAGTTGAGAACCCTAACCAGACTCTTCCAAAGGCTTTGTACTACGGTGTGATCTTAGTTGCGCTGTCTTACATCTTCCCTCTTTTGACTGGAACTGGAGCGATCCCGTTAGAGCGTGAGCTATGGACTGATGGGTATTTCTCTGACGTGGCGAAAGCTTTAGGTGGAGCGTGGTTGAGATGGTGGGTGCAAGTGGCTGCAGCCACATCAAACATGGGAATGTTTCTTGCTGAGATGAGTAGTGACTCTTTTCAGCTTCTTGGCATGGCTGAGCGTGGGATGCTTCCTGAGTTCTTTGCGAAACGGTCGCGTTACGGGACGCCTCTGCTAGGGATTCTGTTTTCGGCTTCAGGGGTTGTGCTCTTGTCTTGGCTAAGCTTTCAAGAGATTGTAGCTGCGGAGAATTTGTTATACTGCGTTGGTATGATCTTGGAGTTTATAGCTTTCGTTAGGATGAGGATGAAGCATCCGGCTGCGTCGAGGCCTTACAAGATCCCTATTGGCACCGTTGGTTCGATCCTCATGTGTGTTCCTCCGACGATACTGATATGTGCGGTTGTGGCGCTCTCGTCGCTTAAAGTAGCTGCGGTGAGCTTTGTGATGCTGATCGTTGGTTTCTTGATGCATCCTTGTTTAAGCCATATGGATCGGAAGAGATGGGTCAAATTCTCCATCAGTTCTGATTTGCCGGATCTTCAGCAGGAGACTCGTGAATGCCAAGAAACTCTGATACGTTAGGAGTGTGTTCTTCTTAGTTACTTTGCCACATGTTATGTTTTTTTTTAAAGTACAGAGCTTCGAAACCATAGCTTAAAAAGCTTGAATTTTCATGGTATGTTCTGTTTTTGCTCAGCTTGTTATAGTTTTTTCCCCCGTAAAGTTAGCTTCTTTAATAAAATGTGTCAATATTGGTCGTTGCCAACGTCGTCGATCTGTGTAAATTTCGTAGCTTTGGGATGAAATTTCGAAATCCGTCTCCAAATTGAAAACTTTTGACACATAAATTCCAAAGAGGAACATAACAAATAAAGTGAAGTCAACACTCAACAGTGGAGAAGATTTCTTTCAGGACCAGTATCAATGTTTTACCATTTCATTGCCTGAAACCAAAATTCGCCGAGTGTCATAATCGGAGATTCCATCACAACCGTCTCCGTCGCTTGTCTTCTCATCCTTCTCAACGATTCGTCCTTCCTGTCCTTGATTAGTTTATTGATATTTATGTGATGGATATGGACAATCTCAAAACAGAGAACCACAATTTTTTTCAATTATTTTAATAAGATATGAGATCTATTTGGATATGGGTAGGTTTTGTTGTCTTCTTACAACATCACACAATCCATCTGGAAACGACCCCTGAATCTCTCACGGTTAGTGATTCTTCACAAAATAAATGTTTCAACTTTCTTATCAAGAATTCAAGAACTTGTTCTAAGCTCTTTTCTCTTCTCTTTTGGTTTTTGTTTTAAAGGCTCATCACAATGACAGACAATAACAACAATGAGCATCCTTATGATGCTGTTCCATCTACTAAACCAGCAGCAACAACCAATCCGATAAAGAAAGTTTCAATGTTACCACTCGTTTTCCTCATATTCTACGAAGTCTCAGGAGGTCCTTTCGGTGCTGAAGGTAGTGTGAAAGCAGCAGGACCACTCTTAGCTCTCTTAGGCTTCATAATCTTCCCTTTCATCTGGTGTATCCCTGAGGCACTAATCACCGCAGAGATGAGCACAATGTTCCCAACAAACGGAGGTTTCGTCGTTTGGGTCTCCTCCGCTCTAGGACCCTTCTGGGGTTTCCAAGTCGGCTGGATGAAATGGCTCTGCGGAGTCATCGACAACGCGCTCTACCCCGTCCTCTTCCTCGACTACTTGAAATCCGCAATCCCGGCTTTATCCAACGGGCTTCCAAGAGTCGCGTCGATCTTGATCTTGACGCTACTGCTTACTTACTTGAACTACAGAGGACTCACCATCGTTGGTTACACCGCGGTGCTTATGGGAGTGTTCTCGATGCTTCCTTTCGCGGTGATGAGTCTTGTCTCGATCCCGAAGCTCGAGCCTTGGAGATGGTTTGAGATCGGTGAAGAGAGTGTGAACTGGAATTTGTATTTAAACACTCTGTTCTGGAACTTGAACTACTGGGACTCGGTTAGTACGCTTGCTGGTGAAGTAGCGAACCCTAGCGAGACGCTTCCAAAGGCGTTGTGTTACGGTGTGATCTTCGTCGCTCTATCGAACTTTCTCCCGCTTCTGGCGGGAACCGGGGCTGTACCGGTGAACCGGGAGGTTTGGACGGACGGTTACTTGGCGGAAGTTGCGGGGATCATCGGTGGAGGTTGGTTGAGAGTGTGGGTGCAGGTGGCTGCAGCGACGTCGAACATGGGGATGTTTTTAGCTGAGATGAGTAGTGATTCGTTTCAGCTTCTCGGCATGGCGGAGATCGGAATGCTTCCGGAGTTTTTCGCGAGGAGGTCTATTCACGGGACGCCGTTGGTCGGGATTCTGTTTTCGGCTTCTGGTGTTTTGCTTTTGTCTGGGTTGAGCTTTCAGGAGATTGTGGCGGCTGAGAATTTGTTGTACTGTGGTGGGATGGTTTTGGAGTTTTTAGGGTTTGTTGTGATGAGGATGAAGTGTCCTGATAAGTCGAGACCGTATAAGATACCTGTTGGGAATGTTGGTTCGGTTTTGGTTTGTGTTCCTCCGGTTGTGTTGATCTGTTTCGTTGTTGCTCTGTCTACTGTGAAAGTGGGGTTGGTGAGTTTTGTGATGGTGGTTGTTGGTTTCTTGATGAAGCCTTTTTTGGATTATATGGATCGGAAGAGATGGGTTAAATTCTCTGTTAGTTCTGAATTGCCGGAGCTTCAGCAGCAGGAGAATCGGGGATTGGAAGAATCTTTGATTCATTAAGAAAAGCTTGGAATCTTTGTTTGTTCTTATTCAATTTCTTGTTTGTTCTGTTCTTGATTGTAAAAAATGTTGTATCATTCTTTGATTGGGACTCCTCGTCGTCGTCCTCGCCGTCATTATTGCAATTCCGGCGAGTAAAAATGGAAATGAAACAAAAAGACACTGAAAATAGTGGGCTTACAAGTTAGAGAGGCCCATTTAATTTAAAAGGCCCAATAAGTGGAAACTGACCACATTTCCAGATCTCTACCGTTTGAGGGATCGAGACGAGAGAATCGATTGATGTTTGAGAAGAAGGAAAAAACCCTAAACCCCCACTAAATTCGCGAGGAGAAGAAAATGAATGGTCTCTCTCGTCATCTTCGAGCTTCTTCCTTGTCTTCGTTGATTCGGAGCTATGGTGGAATCAACTCGATCCGTCGATTTTCGTCTCAGTCAGATGGCTTCTCTGGTTTCGTTATTCCTCCATCTTTATCTCTCGTCGATTTTGCTTTGAGTTTTGAGTAATACCCCAGAAATGATGGTTGAATCGATGATATATTTTCTAATTTTTCATCTGATTACTGCAGTTTCTGGCATTCGAAACTTTTGATTTGGTGTTTTTCACTACTCATTTTCTCATGCCATAGGGAATTGAAAATGTGTGACTTTTGTGATTAGAGATTCGCCATAGGATTCAAGCATTTTTCTATAAGTACAAAGCGAGCGATTGAAATAGTGACTTCTACTAGTTTCATGTAATCTCAAGGATTAGCTTCTTACGTCTCTGAAACAAATTTGCTGAATTTTATAATTAAAGCAGCAAGAAATATACAAAATCCTAATACCATAAATCATCTCAATATCACTTCTTTTTACAGTTTCCTCAGTTATATGTCTATACATGGAAATGCTTTAGTTTTTAGTTTAGAAAACCTCAAAAATTCTGCAAGTGTGTGATTAAAACTGCAGCTGTATTGATTGATTTTGCCTTCCATGGATTCTTGAACAGGAGGGAGATCTGGAGAGCACGAACCAATTCCACAAGACGCTGAAAAGAGTTCCTCGCCGAAAACTTTCAGTGACCTAAAAGCAGGCCTCTCAAACAAGATGGGAACCGGCGGTGGTTACTCGGCTCCAAACGCTCCTCCTCCTTTCAAATCCGCAACGAGGTCACGCTTCCCAAACACGTTACCTGACCAGTTCAGCCAGATGAATCCAGGCTTACCAAACGCAGGAGGAAGCGAGTTCTCTGCTCCTAGCGCAAGCTACCAAAGCTTCACTAGATCATCGCTTCTCAATGATAGTTCCCGCAGCGGTACCAAAGACCTCGACTTTGTCAGAAAAGTCATCGAAGGAGACGAAGGAAGGAAAAGCTTGGGGATTTCCTATCATTTCAATCAACCGAACCTCGAGACGAACGCAGACATCATCCACATCAAGATGCTGAGGAACAACACTTTCGTCACGGTGACTGATTCCAAAGGGAACGTCAAATGCAAAGCTACTTCCGGGAGCTTGCCTGACCTGAAAGGTGGGAGGAAGATGACGAACTACACAGCTGACGCGACGGCGGAGAACATCGGGAGGAGAGCTAAGGCTATGGGATTGAAGTCTGTGGTGGTTAAGGTCAATGGTTTCACGCATTTCAAGAAGAAGAGGAAAGCCATTGTTGCGTTTAGAGATGGTTTCACTAACTCGAGGTCTGATCAGAATCCTATAGTGTATATCGAAGACACCACTAGGAAAGCTCATAATGGTTGCAGATTGCCAAGGAAGCGTCGGGTTTGAAGAAGAAAACGTCTTTATTGCTTCTTCTCTGCAACAATGTCTTCACAGGTTTTCTCTTGTTGCTGCTTCTGTAGAAACCTTTTTGATTGCAAAATTGTCTCTTTTGTTGGTTATGTTTCGTTCGGGTTTGATCCCGTGAACCGTTATCTGAGATTATTGGACCAAAGAGATTGATTAAATAAACCGGAAATTGTAAACCGTAATCCGCTTTTTCAAGTCCGCTCGGTCTGAGTCCTTGACTCAATAAAACTCAAAACGAAACCGGTTGATTGCACTAATCTGCTAGATTATTCAGAACCAATTGAGAATTAAGACGAAAAAATTGCTCTCTCTGTAGAGTTTCGGGAATAGAGATTGAGAGACCGACGCGGATTGCGGCGGCGATAAACCGGAAAACTAGGGTTCCGATAATGACGGTGCCGGAATCAATTGCGGCGGCGATTAACCAGATTGATGAGAAGAAGGAAAAGCTGAAGAAAGCTTTCGACGAGCTCGAGACGCACCGATCTCTCCTCTCACCATCTTTCAACTTATCCTGGTCTGAGATTGACTCTCACTTCTCCTCTCTCCAGTCTTCACTGTCTAACCGCTTCCGCCTCCTCCAATCAGCCGCGCCTATCCCCGAATCCGACAAAATCGAAGCCTCCGCGGAGGATACGACGGAGGCACCGCTCGTTTGGCCGGAACTGAGAACGTTTTGCGAGAATATGGACGGGAAAGGATTGGGTGAGTACATGATTGACAATTCGAGGAAGCGTATGTCGATCAATTACGAGCTTCCTGCAGCGATTCGCTGCTCAGCGAATCCAGCAGCATTGGTTCTCGACGCGATCGAAGGCTCCTACCACTGTTCTCCGTCGGCGACGGCGAGAGCGATCGACGGAAGAAGGATTTTCGTTTTGTTACTGGAAGCTTTGATTGAGGTAAATCCGAAACTCACGAACGATTTGAGAGAAAGAGCAAGGACGCTTGCTTACGATTGGAAACTGAATATAGTTAACAAACCATCAGAGGCGTTAGGGTTCTTACACTTGGTCTCAGTCTTTGAATTAGCATCTCTGTTCACAATCAAGGAGCTTGATGATTACATATTCTTGATCTCAAATTATAAACACGCAACGACGATTAGCAAGAAGATTGGCTTAGATAAAGGAAGAATCGGAAATCTCATTTCGAAGTTTTTGGATACTGGGAGATTACTTGCTGCGGTTAGGTTCATATATGAGTTTGAGATGAATGATAGATTCAGACCAGCTAACATTTTGAGAATGAGCTTGAGGAACTCTAGAGAAGCTGCAAAGAGGATTCGCGCCGAGGGGAAAACTCTGCCAAGGCGCAGAACGAAGCTAATGAGAAAGAGCTCACTGCGTTGAGAGCAGTGATCAAAGTCGTCAAAGAGAGGAACCTCGAGTACGAGTTTTTAGAAGAGGAGCTCGAAGAGTGCGTTGAGAAGTTGGAGAATTGGAAAGCTCGAGCTCAGAAGAAGCGTGCCAGTAATGTCCAGCAACCGCAAAAACAGCTCGATAAGAAGAAGCGGCCTCGAGTTGCTAATGGTGCAGCTAAGAGTCAGCAACAGGCGCTTTTGCCTAATCCTAGCCAGAGTTTACCAGTGAACTCGTTTGGTCTTTTGCCTAATCCTCCTAGCCACTGTTTGCCTGGTGTTGCTGTGCCAATGCCGTATGGTAACCCATATGGTATATATGGCTCTGTTCCAGGTCCATCACCAGTTCCAGCTTCTGGACCTGTCTACTATGGGCAGCAACATGGTTATGGTGGATATGCGTTGCCATCTCAATACCCTCCACATTACTATCCTCAGTAGCATCTCCATTGATATAGTATAGGGGAATGGAAGCGATATTTAATCCCTCGATGAGAAGAGATTAAGAGGTCTATGGTCTATGTGTTTGATGTTCTGTATTGAACATTAAGTAAATTTTGCAAGCTGCAGATACAGAACACTTGATAGAGCGGCTGTTTTGTTTAATGTTTATGATAGAAGAGAAGCAAATTGATCCTCTCTTTTTTTTTTGGTTTTTTCTCTCTGAACACTCAGATTGTACATTTTTATAATCTAACCTTTAATCTATTGGTTTATTGGTTTACTTGTGGAGGAATGGTCTGTGGATTGATCTTGCGATTATAATCCGTGATTTGGTAGATAACCTGCCACGATTTTCTTTCTTTTTGTTGTTGTTGTAGCTACCAAGACTTCCTTTCTTACTGTGTCGATTTAGGACAGTATAGTGTTTATCGAGTAGATCTTTTCTGGCTTGTCGATTTCCTTGCTAGCTACCGTTTCTGAATTTCTTAAATAATTGAGTAAACAACAATTGCTCACAAGAGTCCCAAGACTGAAGTTTGAATATATTCATCAACATTTTCAAGGAATATCAAAAGGATATGCCTTGGTCCTTGGTGAATTGCGTTTCAAATCTCAATGGAGAAGGAACAAGTTCGATGACGAAAAAAAACACAGAACATGTTCTTTCTTGTACAGTGTACCCATACTGATCAGGATAGGCCAATCAGCGAGTTGTCTGGGTCCACGTAATATCTCAATGAATTATTTTTTTTTTATTAGAAAAATAACATAGAAATGAAAAATCATTGGGCCTGTGAGGGTCTCGCCCATATATATCCCACGCGTCATCCTCGTCTTCTCCGTCTTAACACTGATTCATTTCCGCTTGCTTATCTCTCAACTTTCGACGTCTAATCATCATCATGGGTTTGAAGGTACGTTCAGATCCGTATTATTTCGGTTTATATTCGGATCTAGTGTCTGTTTAGTATTTCAGATGTGATCAGATAATATTGTAACCGATTTGTACAGTTTTTCAAATTCACGAGTTTGTGTTTACGAATCCTGGATCGTGTGATTGATTTCTATATTTTTTCTGTGGAAGTGGACGTGTTAGATCGAATATTTGTGGTTAACAGATTGAGCTTTGAAAGGCTTTTATCTGGATAAAATGATTTTTATGTCACATTTCTTGGTTATCTACGTTATTAGAACTGTGATCTTGCTCTCGGATAGAGCCAATTATAACAATTGGAAAAACAAAACAAAAAAGAGTCAAGATTTAAAGTAGTTTCTTTATGATCATTACTTTATGATCATTACTTTATGAAATTGATAACCAATTATACTGATGAAGCTTTTTTCTCTGTATGACATAACTGAGTACTCAAACATTGTTTGCAGAGACTCCTTTAAAGATTTGAATCTGAATTAGGTTTTGGTTTTTGTTTATAGTGACGCCTTGTGCTGAGTTTGATGTAAAAGTCTCTTTGCACTTATAATATATCCCATTTGAGAATTTGAATGCTCATATGGTTGATGGTGTTTTAGGTAATTAAGATTCCTTCTCTTGATTTGTTGATTTATATATATGCAGGAGGACTTCGAGGAGCACGCTGTGAAAGTTAAGAAGCTCACAACGAGCCCATCGAACGAGGATTTGCTCATCCTTTACGGTCTCTACAAGCAAGCCACCGTCGGTCCAGTCGACACCAGTTAATATTACCCTCTCTCTCACACCTTAAGAAGCTTCATATTATCCTGATTATGATTATGCGGTTTGCTTCTTGGTTCAACTCTTTTGCTATGTTACTAACGTTTTTGTTCCTTTTCGATTGATTCAAAGGCCGTCCTGGAATGTTCTCCATGAAGGAAAGAGCAAAGTGGGATGCTTGGAAGGCCGTTGAAGGTAAGAACATTTTTCATGTTGAAGTTGATAGTTTAATCAATCACTAAACAGAATTTGACCCGTCTTTTGTTTTTGATGTCAGCGAAAACGACGGACGAAGCCATGAGTGACTACATCACTAAGGTGAAGCAACTCCTGGAAGCAGAAGCTGCTTCCGCTTCAACTTGATGGATATATGATTCGTCGATCCACATCTGCAGTAATTTTATCTTAAAGCTTCAGAATAACGTAGCATAAGACTTGTTCTTGCTTCTCGTGTTTCCTATGATTATGAATCCCTCTACTTTGTTGACCTTAATCTTGATTGAAAATCCTCTACTTTCAGCTATCTCTTGAAGATGCTTTAAATTATAACCATAGTTATGTGATCCGGTGATATGATCTTGTCGAATTGAAGATGAAGCTAATCTAAGTACTATGTTCGTTACGATGATCGTATCCTTATACATATATGGTCAATCGCATTCAATAGGTGAACCTCTTTAATGTTTATGTTCAATCTTGGACTTCGTATAAGAAAAAGGCTGGAACTTGAGCATTCTTTGTCCCTAAATAAAAAATATCCGAAGAATTAAAAAACTTTGTTTGGATCACACTGGTTTAGATAAAAATCGGAATTTTCGAAATTGATAGTTTTTGAGAGTAGTGCGAACATATTTTATGTAAAAGGTCATTTTCACTTCCTTGTCTCGTTGCTATACGAAAAACACTTTTCATGCACCACACAACTGTCCCATATGTGATCAGAAATTCAGAACTCAAGTCAAGTAACGCATTTCTTTTTGAAATATCTGTTTATGTAAGCCTTATTGAAATAACTTAGCATAAGACTTGTTCTTGTTTTTTTTTTTTTTTTTTCTCTCTATAACTACTATAAGCATAAAAAGCTCAGAATGTTGCAAATCTCTTTTCTTAGACTTGGAGGATGTGACTTAACCTTCTTTCCTTCGTGTTCTTTCTTTCATTCTGTTGTGGTTTCCAAAAACGTCTTGTGTTCTTGTTCTTGACTTGTGCATAACAAAATGCTCGAAAAACTTCGACTATCACATTACACAATAAAACCTCAACATTAGGATTTAAACCCATTACCTATCCTAAGTCAACGACTCAATCTTAACAATTTGTTAGCATTGTTAAATACAGTAGAGGGATATAAAGGCCGTTTACATATGTCATCTGACCTATGTCAAGTATAAAAAACTTAGCATTGTTACTTATTTGTCAACTTTTTAATTTTACTTGTACTATGATAAGTACATGAATTATAAGATATGGTAACAACAGTGTTTGTTACTAATATTTTCCAAAAATAGTTTCATTTGTTTCAAAAAATTTGACTGTGATAAATATAATAACATAAAGACAACAGAATGAGAATGAGAGAAATGCAGAAATGGGGATTAATATTTTAAATAAACCGAAAAAGCAATCCGTCTGCTCTTTCCCCTAATTTTTTTTTCAAAATTTGAAAACCAAACGTTCCCGATTTTCGTCATCTGTGTTCTCCAACGCCGCAAAACGCCGCCTTCGCCGCTCCAGCTGCATCGGTGAATGTAAATAGCCGACCTCTTACCTTACCCTTTTGATTACAACGTGTAAGTCATCATCATCATCACCTTCTTCTTCTCCTTCTCTTATAAACCCTAATTTCTAGGGGTTCTGTGAAGTCGCAGTGTTTACACATCCTCGAAATCGTCCGTCTTTAGTTCTCATGTTAGGATTACCTCCAATTTGATCGCAATTTTTGAGGATTTACCCAATTTTGCTTGATTCGATTAGCTTTTGACTTTGATGACCACGAGAATGGACTAAAATTAAAGTATTTCAGATTTTTGTTTTTCTCTCTGCATTTCGCTATCGATGTTGATTTGATTTCTCGTAGCTAAGACTTTAGCTGATTTTATCGGAGGTTTCTTCATTTTCAGGTTCCACAGCTTATTGATCGAAGCTCATTTATCTGCCGAATTTGCCTAAATGTCCCTCTTAAGTAGGTTTTTCTACAAGAGACCACCTGATGGGTTGCTTGAATTTGCTGATAGAGTTTATGGTAAATCCCATTCCTTTCACTTAAATCATGAATGAGAGATATCACCAATTGTTTTTTTTTTCATGTTCTGATACACATTCTGTGTAATTATACAGTTTTTGATTCATGCTATTGCACGGAGGTGTTAGCGGATGGTTTGTACCAAAGCTTCCTTCACGAAATCATCAACGACTTACACGAAGAGTTCCCGGAATCGTCCTTTCTAGCCTTCAATTTCCGAGAAGGAGAGAAGAAAAGCTCATTCGCTGAAACTCTCTGTGAATATGATGTTACTGTCCTCGAGTATCCAAGGCAGTACGAAGGCTGTCCTTTGCTTCCTTTATCACTCATCCAACATTTTCTCCGAGTCTGTGAGAGTTGGCTTGCTCGTGGGAACCGTCAGGATGTGATTCTTCTTCACTGCGAGAGAGGAGGCTGGCCGCTTCTGGCTTTTGTTCTGGCTAGTTTTCTCATTTTCAGGAAAGTTCACAGTGGCGAGCGCAGAACTCTCGAGATTGTGCATCGAGAGGCTCCTAAAGGTCTATTGCAGCTGCTCTCGCCGTTGAATCCGTTACCGTCTCAGCTTCGTTATCTTCAGTATGTGGCAAGGAGGAATATAAACCCTGAGTGGCCACCTCCTGAGAGAGAGCTTTCTTTGGATTGCTTGATTATTCGAGGTATTCCAAACTTTGACTCCCGGCATGGATGCAGACCAATCATACGCATCTTTGGAAGGAATTTTAGTAGCAAATCTGGTCTTTCCACGGAGATGCTGTATTCTACGTCCAATCAGAAGAAACCCCTTCGGCATTACCGGCAGGTGGGTGTGTTATTATTCTGATGTTTACTTTGACACTTCCTATAAAGTATCAATCTTTCTGAGTGATGGAACTCTGTACAATCTGGCTGCAGGCAGAATGTGACGTGATCAAGATTGACATCCAGTGCTGGGTTCAAGGAGATGTTGTACTGGAGTGTGTGCATATGGATTTAGATCCAGAACGAGAAGTTATGATGTTCCGTGTGATGTTCAATACTGCATTTATCAGGTCCAACATACTAATTTTGAACTCAGACAACTTGGATATTCTTTGGGAGGCCAAGGATCATTATCCGAAAGGGTTTCGAGCTGAGGTATAGACCTTTTAATTCATCTCTTTGGATTTATTATGAATGTAAAATTGTTGGATATGAGAAATTATGGGTGCAGAGAGGAGTAGCCAAACACAAAAGATGATTAACATTAGATGGGTGGATAAATATTGTCCATTCTTATGTAAGCTATACTTGCGCTTGTTTCTGACTCTGTTCTTTATGCATTCAGGTTTTGTTTGGAGAAGTTGACAATGCCTTGCCTCAGAAAGCTCCAGTCCCAATCGTAAATGGTGATGAGACTGGTGGCTTGCCCATTGAAGCATTTTCTAGAGTTCAAGAACTTTTTAGTGGTGTGGATTTGGCGGAGAATGGAGATGATGCTGCTCTGTGGTTGCTGAAACAACTTGCTGCCATAAACGATGCGAAAGAATTTACAAGATTTCGGCACAAAGGGAGTTTTTATTTGAATTCTCCTGACTCTGAAGAGGAGACCAACACATCTAGTGCCGCTGATAGTTCAGATGAAAGCTTTGATGTCTTTCACAAGCCTCGCATTCCTATATCTTTTGATATTAATGAGACAGACGACATTCCTACATCTTTTGCTCCTGCATCTTCAGAGGAGCCGCATGAATTCTCTCGTCACCAACAGCAAGAAGTTCCGGTGAAAGACAACGTCCACCCTTTGACTCTTCCATCAGATCCACCATCTTCTGTTGCTCAGGTCACACTTCTGCCTCCACCGCCACCGCCACCTCCACCTCCTCCACCTGCTTTCACGAGCACAACATCTTTTAGACCCCAACCCCCACCCCCACCTCCACCGCCACCTCACCCTAGTTTTAGCAATAGAGATCCTCTGACAACATTGCATCAGCCTAACAACAAAACCCTTCCACCACCACCACCTCCTCCTCCTCCAACACCTTTCTCTAGAGGCATTCCTCGAACTTCAGCTCAACCACCGCCACCTCCACCACCGCCACCTTCGTTTGGGAGCACAGGAAATAAACTTCAAGCGCAACCACCTCCTCCACCACCTCCTCCTCCTCCTCCTCCTCCCATCCAGGCACCTGCTAGTAAATGTGTACCGCCGCCACCACCCCCGCCTCCACCTACATCTCATTCTGGTCCTGCTTGTGTTCGCCCACCTTTGGCACCACCACCACCACCTCCTCCGCCTCCTAAGGCTAATATTTCAAATGCCCCTATGCCACCTCCTCCACCTCCACTTCCTCCTTCATCTGCAAAGTTGGGTGCTCCTCCGCCGCCACCACCACCACCACTATCCAAGACCCCTGCTCCGCCTCCACCACCACCACCACTATCCAAGGCTCCTGCTCCGCCTCCACCACCGCCACTATCCAAGACCCCTGGTCCGCCTCCACCACCACCGCTATCCAAGACCCCTGGTCCTCCTCCTCCACCAGTCCTGGGTCGTGGTACAAGTAGTGGCCCACCACCACTGGGCGCAAAAGGTTCAATGGCACCGCCTCCGCCTCCTGCAGGAAGGGGCAGAGCTTCCTCGGGACTTGGAAGAGGCCGAGGTGTCGGTGTGCCTGCTGCTGCACCTAAGAAAGCCGTGCTGAAGCCTTTGCATTGGTCTAAAGTTACTCGGCCAGCAAAAGGCAGTTTGTGGGCTGATAATCAGCAACAGGAAAATCAACCACAGTGGGTTTTTCTTGAATTTTCCTTCTTTTAGATGTTTTAGCTTGGCATTCATACTGTTTAGGAATAGTTCATTACCAATTATTTCCTGTACAGTCTTGCAAATGTACTTATCTCTCTATTAGATGTTATTTTTGCTAAACTAATCATGGATTTTCTGCATCTTCATGACAGGCCCCAAATAGATATATCAGAGCTCGAGAGTCTTTTTTCTGCAGTTTCAGATAACACTGCTAAGAAAAGCACAGGTCGTCGGGGTTCTAGTATCAGCAAACCTGAGAAAATTCAACTGGTGAGGCAGCTCAGTTTCACCTCTGTACATATCCAACATTTATTGTATATAATTGACAGTTATGTAAAATTCGAAATTTTACCAATAGTGGGATTTATTAAGCAGGTATCACCTACAGCTATAGAATGTGCAGTAACCAGATGATTATTTAATGATCTAAAGTTAACTCCATTCTTTGGTTGCTAGAAAAAGTTGACTATACTTTGCAAATTTCATTTATTCTGTCAAATGGTCAATGATTATGTTTCTTGTCTATAAATTACTTCCCGCGCTAACTTTTTCTGTGTTTGTATCAGGTTGACCTGCGAAGAGCAAATAACTGTGAAATAATGCTTACGAAAATAAAGATTCCTCTACCAGATATGCTTGTAAGTATTTGCTGTCAGTATCTTTTTACCCATAATTTAGCATTGAATCAATTTTGTGAGGTGGATGTTTAGAGAGAAAAAGCATGCAAGTTGTCTTTTTAGTTCTTACATATCTTTATCTAACATTTTACCTAGTTGCATCTCTTTTACATCATGTTTACATTTCTATTAACTGATAATTTCATATCTTTTTCTTATCTTAGAGCGCAGTTCTAGCCTTAGATTCTTCAGCTCTGGACATCGACCAGGTTGAAAATCTCATCAAATTTTGTCCGACCAAGGAAGAAATGGAATTGTTGAGGGTAATCTTAAAGCTTATTGTTATATTTCTCTCTAGTTCATAGGTTCTGTTTGGCTTCAAAAGCGTAGTTTTTTTCCCTTCTGAAAGACTTAGCTAATGTGATTTTCATAAACAGCAAACTCTATCAGAAAGATCCTGTTGATTTTCCTCCTTCCCGCAATTCCTTAATGCCTGAAGCTGACTCATGCTGTTTTTGTTTTCAGAATTATACTGGTGACAAAGAAATGCTTGGAAAGTGTGAACAGGTTTGTTCCAGTTCTCAAAGCGTTGGATGGTACTTGTTTATAATCAGTGTTCTGACTCTTTAACCTTGCAAATGTATCAGTTCTTCATGGAACTAATGAAGGTTCCACGTATAGAAGCAAAGTTACGGGTGTTTGGCTTTAAGAGTACCTTTGCTTCTCAGGTAGAAATGTTTAACTCGCTGAATATGGTCTCTCCTGTCTTAAGACATGTAGTCATTGATTTTGTTTTTTTCTTTTGTCCTTTTCAGGTGGAAGACTTAAGAAGTTGCCTAGATACAATAAACACTGCCACGATAGAGGTAAAATTGAGAATCAGATCTTCTATATCATGGTAATGTAACACCATCTTGGTCATTAAGTGTCAATTTCATGTACCAGGTGAAGGAGTCTTCAAAGTTACGTCAGATTATGCAAACGATTCTAACACTGGGAAATGCTCTAAATCAAGGAACTGCGAGAGGTCTCATGTCGTCCCATTGATTTCCGATTTCATGGTGTTTTTTCTTCTGTTAGTGTCCTTTTGGTGATGTAGTGCTTTGTGTTTCAGGATCTGCTGTGGGTTTCAAACTGGACAGTCTTCTTAAACTGTCTGATACCCGTGCAAAAAATAACAAAATGACTTTGATGCATTACTTATGCAAGGTAGAGCTCATTTTTCTTTAAGTGGTGCATCATAATGGTTCTGCAGTTAGTTGCCTAAGGTGGTGTTTGAAGATGAACCTAATGCCTTATTTTCTTTCTACTGTTTAGCTCGTTGGTGAAAAAATGCCAGAGCTGCTTGATTTTCCTAATGACCTTGTTCACTTGGAAGCTGCCTCGAAGGTATGCTTGCTTCTCCCCTTCTGAGAACTGCTAGAGCTTGCAATATGAGCTTCCGTCTTTCGTATTAGCACTTGCCTTAGTTGTTTCTGAAAAAAAATGCAGATTGAATTGAAAACGATGGCTGAAGAATTTCAAGCGACGAATAAAGGCATTGAAAAGGTTGAGCAAGAACTCACGGCTTCAGAAAATGATGGTGAAATTTCTCTGGGCTTCCGGAAGGTAAGAGCTACACATTGAAAACGTGTTGTTAGTTTGCTTAAATGGGTATCAGGAATGTGCATCTTTGGTTGAACCATAGGCCAAATGTTTAACAAGCACAAAATCTTCGCATCTGTTTAAATTGAGATCACTTCATGTTTTCAGGTCTTGAAGGAGTTTCTTGTTACCGCTGAAGCAGAAGCGAGGTTGCTTACTTCCTTATATCAGGAAGCGGTGAGTAATATCTGATCAGTTAAGACTTTTTATTCAAACTCATGTTCCAATCCTAATAATGATTTTGTAATACACAGGGAAAAAGTGCAGATTCATTGTCACACTACTTCGGTGAGGATCCAGCTCGATGTCCTTTCGAGCAAGGTACAGAGACAATCCTCTTCTTCCTATATTGTCCAAAAGCCATTTCTGGAACAAATGCAACAAGTAATCATTTCTATTCTGACCCCATTTTTCCTCTCTGCAGTGACTAAGATTCTGACTCTTTTCACGAAAACGTTCCTCAAATCTCGAGAGGAGAACGAGAAACAAGCCGAGGCTGACAAGAAGAAGCTGGAGAAAGATGCAATCAAGGAGAAGCAACCAGTGACAAAGAAAGACGGTGCTGCTGATAACGAACAACGAGCTTAACCTCTGGATCCATAGACATAGAACATGAACAAACATCGGTCTTTCACTTAAGACCTGAGGTTTTCAGATCGATGAAGGCTTGGTTTTTAATAGGACTCCAATGCTGCACATACCGAACAAGAGCAGAGATCTTAGACAAAGTAGACAACTTGTATGATGTTTAGATGGAAGTGTTAAACTATCTATGATTTCACTTCATTGATGTAAAATCCGAGGTTCGTGTTTATGTCCTAGAACAAATTCGAGGCTTTGGTGCTATTATCTTCACTGTGCATATAAAAAACAATTTCTTTTTCAAAGAATAATAAATCTTTACATTTTACTTGTCTGCATAACATAGTGCAGAGAAATAATGAGAAGCACTGGTCTTGTCTTGTTCCTATGAGTTCTCTACATTTGTTCTTCTAACACAAGATTTTCGCTTCTTCTTCTTCGTTTTCTTCTTTGAGCTTGTTTATTTCAGTTTTGCGAAGATGCAGACAGTCAAGACAGAGCAGAGGACACTTCATCTCGAGGAGCTTCTGTTGGAAGTATCGGAACGGGTGGAACGTCGAGAGGTTTTGTTCTCCTAGTTACAGTCAATTTCAGTCCTTCTGTGGTGTGTATTGTAGCTCCTGTAGTCATTTTCACCTGTCCATCCACAAAAATCAAATACCCTTAACGATCTTTCGGTTTGCATTTCAAAGGCTTAATCTTAGTTCAGTTTTGAAATGTTCGTGTTGTATTGAGACTATACCGGAGGAGCTCCTGGTGCAGTCTGAAAGTTAAATCTTCGAATAAGCATTGCGATTGCTACCACATTCTACAAACAAAGATCTCTGTCACTGCAAAGAACATATGAAGCAAGTACTCATATGTAACAAGTATTGGTATTGATGTCAATTGATTCTTTACCTCAAAGGAAGCAAACATGTCACCTATGCATTTCCGCGGTCCTCCACCAAACGGTAAGTAACTGAAGTTTTGGTTCGTCTCATTTGGATTTGGTCCATCTAAAGGCCATCTCTCGGGATTGAATATCTCAGCGTCATCCCAATGAAGAGGACTTCGATGTAGGTTCCAAACCGAGATGAAGATATCCTCATTCCTGTTAGTTTGCCGAACACAATCTTTCATCAGAACTCAGAAGTTGCATCATTCTTGAACAAAACGAAAACCACAATGTTGAAATTTCGCTACCTTTTTATGGGATACGGTCCAAGCAGATCGTTCTCTAGAGAACGACGGATGAGTACTGGTGGTTGTGGGTATAGTCTCAGTGACTGCAAAAACATCAAAGCAAAAGTTTATCCAAAAGAGCATTTACCTCAACCAGTAAAATTCAATCGCCTTTTACCTCATTCATGACTCTGGTAGTGTATTTCAGCTTCTTCATATCTTCAAGGGTTGGGAATCTATCTCCGATAACAGAATCAACCTACATAGAATCCAAATGTTCTTTTAACATGTGAAAATGTTCTTGCAAGATCATATGCGAGAATGATGTATCACATACCTCTTCTTGGAGTTTGGCAACTACGTTGGGGTTCTGCAATACCAACAAATAAAAGTTATAAATCTTTCTTTTGGAGCAAATTCACTTCTTGTTTTGGTTGTTACTGATATGTCCACTCTCTTACCGTTGTTAAGAGGTAAAAGGTCCATGTTAAGACCGCCGCTGATGTTTCATGTCCGGCTATAAGCATTGTCATCAAGTCATCACGGAGCTGCTTGCTAGAGACCTGAAACAAATTCGGAAGGAAGACGGATCAATTGAGATCCATTGAAGCTGATAACTATCAAACTACTGGATTTGAAGAAGACGATCATTACATCATCTCCTGAAGCCAAAAGGAAGTGAAGGATACTAGGATCTCTTTCGTTCATATATTCTTCATGAAACTGCAACTCCTCTTCTTCTACCATTCTCTGTAAAGACCACAAATGATAAGAAAAAGGTATGAGGATCCAATTATCCAACGAGCATGAACACAATTCTTGGACATACCTTGCATGTTGCGATCAAATCATCAAGTGTGTCATTGATCAATTTCAGGGAAGTAGCAACTTTCCTCTGACGTGGAGAAATATCTTTCCAAACCGGTATGTCCCAAACAGGAATAGGTGAGACACTCCTATCTTCAGCTTCTCTAAGAACAGTGTAAACTGCCTAACAAAGAGAACAAGAAAAGCTTTCATTTTTTGCTAATCCAACACACAAAATGGCCACACAAAAAAACAAACTTTACTGAAATCATGAGAGAACCTCAATCACACCGGTATCATTTGTTAAGGAATCAAAGTCGAAATTGAAAACCGCCTTGCCAATAATATCAAGCGTCAAGCGAGAGAAGAGTGACTCCATCTCTACTTCTTCCCCTGAAGTTGCAGCAGAATCAAGCTTCTGGCAAAGCCTGTCTGAAGCTTCTCCAAATAAGCTGATCATAGCTGCTACATACTAAACAACACAGAAGAAATGATTATATTTCCAACTAAGTAAAAAGTCTCATACTTTTTGGTTACCTTCATATGCAATGCAGGCACAATCGCACGCCTTCTTCTACGCCATATCTCCCCATCAGCCGGTATGAGTCCTTTTCCCATCACAAAATCCAGAATTTCAGCTAAAATCCCCTAAAGATTTACAAGCAGATGTATAAAGAAAAGCTTTAGAAACTTAGACCAATCGTTGCTAAATTGTTAGTACAGCTAGTGTTTATTACCTTGGAGTAACCTTTTGCGTTGTCCTTCAATATATGCTTAGCAATAGAAGGATCTGACACGATCAAGAATGACTAACGACACAAAAAAGAAGAAGAAGACTGGATTCAATATTGTCCTCAACCACTAAACGTAGAAGATATATAACACACAAAGACGAACCTTTGGCCCAAAGGTCAACCTGAAAATTCCACCGTATGTAAGGAAAAGCTCATACAAAGGGATGAAGAAAGCTTCGTTCCTGACAGCTTGAATCGAGCCTTTAGCCTCTGGAATCTTGGGGTAGTCTTCGTTCGAGTCGGCCCAATCAAACATGAAATCAAGAACATTGCTGGGAACTCCAAGCTTTGATAAACCATTCTTCACTGTTGATGGAAAACTTGTACAAGCCAAAAGAAACAATGTTAAAATGGCATCAGAGAAGCATCAATCACAAAACAATTACAGAAAACCAAAAATCTATTTCTTTAATGATTCCTGAGCTAAATAACAAAATTTTACCTAGATTTTTGAACAGTGAAGGCTCCAGAAGCAATCCGAGCAGATAACTCAGCACGACGCTTCTCCTCCTGAAGCTTGTCGGTGCTTTTCACGCCATTAGGCACTGATTTCTCCTCAGATGGATCTCTTCCATTAGAAGTCGATGCGAAAACTACGAGATTCGGTCTCCGAGAGTACGTTACAGGTTTAACGGAGATAGATGTATAGGAAAGCGGAAACGCCGTAGCCATAGAATCTCAGGTCAGAGAGCTCGCACTAGCTTGATAACGAGCAAACCATTACAGAAATTCAAAAACAGAGATTGGGAATTTGGATTCTGACAAACAAACAGAGGGAAATTTTGCAGAGTGTGAAGTGGAGAGGAAGAGGAAGAAGATGAGAGAAATGTGACGTGTGCATTTTACTAACGTATACCCATTATCTTTTTAAAATGTCGCTATTAATTAACTTTGTTAGTCCAACCAAACTCTAAGGTAAATAATTTTCTTTACTTTAAACAAAAATATGCGTCACGCGCCAAAGCTGCGCGTATGATAATATGCGCCACGTCATTTTCGGCGTAAATAAGTGGATTTGTAATCAATGTCAAAAGGCTATGATATTGGGCCTTTAATATATTTCTTATGGGCTTATTATTCAGGACTGCTAATTCCATGTATCGCAATTGAGCCGGCTCCTCGCCCAAACAAAACCGGATCCAACATTATTTCAGCCTGGACCGAACCGGCCATATTTTGTTCTTCATGTTCTTCTACAGAGATTAAACGTAAACTGGAACTAAAAAAATCTCTGTTGACGATTGAGTCCTCTGAGAACTCAATAAAAGGCAACAATTTCTCGATTGTCGATGCAAATAATTGAAAATTTCTGAGTGGTCTTTTGTCTTTTATTTTTAATTGAAGGAACAGTAAACCGAAGCTCTTCTATTTTGAATTTCTTCCATTTGAGCTCTGCAAAAGAAATTGCAGATGAGAACTCTGGAATTAGTTTCACCGCCATCTCCGGCATCTCTAGCCCCTTCTTTCAGCTACTCCGCCGCCCGGAGCGTAACTGACGTCAGAACCGTCGGCAACGACGTCAAGACCAACTTCGATGTTCAACTTTTCCTCAGAAGACCGAAACTCCAAAAACCAGAACCCGTCGTCGTCATTCAACCTCAGAATCAGATTGACAGAGCTCCAAAATCATACCCTCGATGCTCAACTTCCGATATTCTCCGATTAATGGATTCTCTTTCTCTGCCTATAAACGAAGACCTATACACGTGTCTCGCCAAGGAATCAACCAGCGAATGCGATCAACGCGGAGCATACGAGCTGCAAGTTCACATCATGAACTCCAGTCTAAGACCCAGAACGGCTTTTCTCAATCGTCTCCTCCTGATGCACGTCTCGTGTGGGCGTCTGGATATTACACGCCACATGTTCGATAAAATGCCTCACAGAGATTTTCATTCGTGGGCAATCGTTATCCTCGGCTGTGTCGAAATGTGTGAGTACGAAGACGCTGCTTTGCTCTTCGTTTCGATGTTGAAACACCAGAACGTTTCTTCCAAGATTCCGCCTTGGATCATGGGCTGCGTTCTAAAAGCGTGTGCTATGATCAGAGATTTGGAGTTAGGGAGGCAGGTTCATGGCTTGTGTCAGAAGCTAGGGTTTATAGAGGAAGAAGAAGATTCGTCGTATCTCTCGAGTTCTTTGATACGTTTCTACGGGGAATTCAGGTGTTTGGAAGAAGCTGATCTTGTGCTACACCAGGTTTCGAATGCGAATACCGTTGTTTGGGCAGCGAAGGTTAGTAACGACTACAGAGAAGGTCGGTTTGAGGAAGTAATCAAAGATTTCATCGAAATGGGTAAACATGGGATCAAGAAGAACGTCTTGGTGTTCTCTAGTGTTTTGAAAGCATGCTCTTGGGTCAGTGACGGTGGGAGAAGCGGGCGAGGAGTGCACGCGAGTACAATAAAGCTCGGGTTCGAGTCGGATTGTTCGATCCGATGTCGGTTGATCGAGATGTATGGCAAGTATGGGAAGGTGGAACATGCAGAGAAGGTGTTCAAGAGTAGGACTGATGATGATACAAGTGTTTGGAACGCTATGGTCGCCGGTTATATGCAGAATGGGTTTTACATTGAAGCCATTAAGCTTCTGTATCAGATGAAAGCAACTGGTATCAAAGCACATGGCATGCTCTTAAACGAAGTCAATCTCAAAGCCAACCTTTAGATGAAATGAAAACGATGAACATGAATGTACTTATATGTAAATATATATATGAAGAAAAAAAAGACAAATTAGGTAAAAAGACAAATTCGATTGTTTGGTTTACAAGTATTGATTTCGTAAGGTAATTGAAAAAAAAAATGATCATATTACATTTATATGCCGAGAATGGTTCGGATTTGATCCGGTGGATGTCGAGCGAGGGCTTTAGGATCTGGATATCCGTTTTGTTGATCAGTTACTGCTCGATATATAACTTCGTAGTCTTCGGCTAAAGTTTTAGCGACCCTGACACAAGCTTCAGACCTGAGTTTAGGAACTTGTATCTGCTCAAACTCGGGAAGAGAGCCTTCGCTGCCCAAGACGAGGCCGAAGAACGCCTTGAGGCATTCCGATAGCGTCGCTGGCGATGTGTCTTGCCGTTCAGACAAGGGAAGCTCGGGTGTAGAAGAGCGGAAGATTTGCATTTTCTCTGAGAGACCGCATTTTTGGAGGAGCGAGTCGACTTCTTTCAGGACGAGGAGGTTTATGTGGTTCTCGATCATTGATCCGATGCTGGTTACGTATTGGGATGCGACGTCGTGTCTTAGCAACGGTTGCTGGATCGCGCATAAACAGTTGATGAGGAATATCTTCGAGGGTGTTTCATTGTTCTGTAAAAGGAAACATATAAGATATGTTACATTAGGAAATGTCTTCTCTGGTTAAAAGCATCATTGATGCATAAAGCAAAATGGTACCTGTGGTGTGGAGAGGCTACTAGAGAGTAGAGCATCGACTGAGGTTAATTGACTTGAGTCGGTACTTGTTCTGCTGATTCTTCTGGGTAATTGGCCGCTCATCTTCGATTTGTGCGCCTCTGCTGCTTGCTCGCACATCTGCAGAGTTGAGAAATTGGTTCAATGCATGCACAATCATGGGTTTTTTATGGACAATATAGTTTGCTGCTACTTTCTTTCATGTTACCTTAATGATAGGGTCAAGGAGCGCAGAGAGGACGGGATCAAAAGACGGTTTCTCTCCTGAAGCGGAAACCATCATGCTGTTGTAATTCTCGATGATCTCTAGAGTGAGAGAAACTCCTTCTCGGACAGCTGGAGGCGGAGAGAGATCAATGGCTACAGGTGGAGGGTATCGTAGAAGTTTCTCCCCTCGGGTTTTGAGAATGTCGAAGAAGGTTTTCTGTGCAGCGTCCTTTACCATCCCAATTGTATTACACAGAGCAGTGTCTCGCCCGAGTAAGTCTGAGATCTGCAGAGTGAGAGAGAAACCAATGATGAAACTACTAGAACAATAAATGTTGTATAATGTGTAGAGGTTAAGTAAAAACTCACAGTGTAGCTGTAGAACTCCAAGGTGTTGGTGAGTTTATAAGATATAATAAGACTTGGTTGTGACTGCAGAACTTGTTCGACTCTCACTTTAAATGGCCGGCAAACTCCTTCAAAGATTCTATCCAGAACAAACGTGAAATCAGATTCTGCTGCCTTTAGCAAATTATTCTCAGAGGTGTTCTTTGCGTTTGAATTATGGTCTGCTGCGTCTATATCAAATAAAGCATGAACCAGTTCTCTCTCTGATGCCAAAGCCTGCAGCCAAAATAACATTTTCCTTAGGCAAGAAAAAGAACAGCAATAGAATTATTTAGTCAGTACTCAATTCACACACTTGATATGACATCAGTAGCATGAGGATTAACAATGCAGGACTCATAGAAGAAGGAAATGTGGTCACAAACCTGATGTAGCCACCCAAGCATGTCTCCCACGTAACGTAAAGGGTCATGAGCATGAACTTCAATGGGTCTAGGCATTCCTCCAGGTCCTCCACGTGTAAGAGCGCTAATAAACCTTCTAAATAATGCATTGTGCCTCAGATTCCCTACCTGTATGATTTCGACATAGTTCATCGCAAACATGCCCCGTATCAAAACAGTTTAACGGAGACTAGACTTTGGTGAAGTTGAAAGACTAACCTCCTCTGCACAATATTTGAAGAGCCCGGGTCTTTCTTTAAGACAGCGAACAGCAGTTCTCAAAAGCTCACTGACCTCTGGGTTATCTGTATCACCCAGTTTCCTACACTCAGCCTGAACCCACCTAGAGGAATCAAGGTTTCTTTGGTTATATCTCAATCTGATACCTCAAACTAATCTCTAGGCTCACAGCAAAAATAAAGAACTTCATAGTGTATATTCCTCTTTGACAGGCCGGTCCTGAGTTTATCTAGTTGGCTCTAGGCGGACTTAGAAAGGTGACGTTTTTCCAAAACAAATATCGCCCATATATACCATGAGAATCAAATCTACATTCAACCAATGTACCCATTTCATATGATTCACAATTAATATTTTGATAAAACTAAACTCTACTTCTTTCCATGCAAGGAAAGATCATACGTAACGCTATAACTCTAGCACGATTTACACAAACGAAACCAAACTAATAAAGCAACATTGTGGAGAAGTTGGAGGAAACACTAAACTATTCAGATTCCAAATTAGCAATGGAGACTTCATCCTCTATCCAAACACTAAAATTTCTGCCAACAAGTCTTCTTGAAAGAAGCAGATATGTACCTGCAAAGGCGCTCATATGCTCCTTCTTGATACGTAGCCATCATATTCATCAGGTCCAAGCCTGCCCGCTGCATACACAACCCATACAGTCAACACTAACCACAAAGAAAATATCTACATTTTACCTGAAAAAGATGGCAATTACCTGATGATGCGTCCTGAGAAGTAATTTGCAATTTGAATGAATTTCCTGAACGTGAGACAAAGCTTGGAAGAAATTCTCGTCCAATTCATCTTCCCTAAGCGCTTTAATCTGTCGAAAATTGCATCAATTAAGCAACAGAGTGAAACACACAGCAAGATCTGATCACCATCAATGTATGATGGCAAGAGCTGACTCACCTCTTCGTTCGACAGCTGATAATCACGAAGAAAGCAATTGACGATCTCCTGCCTCTGAGTAGTGACCTCAAGCTCTTGCTTTAGCCTCTCAGTGGTACTGATGATATCGCTGGTGGTAGCTGCCGAGCTGCTCAGCGCCGCCGCGATCTTATCGCAGCAATCGGCAAGAGCATTCACTTCCTCCTCCACGCGATCCAGTGCGATCTGAGTCGAATCAGCCGCGCTAAGGAACTCGCTGTTGATCTCGAGCGCGCGTTTCTCGATCGTCGATCTGAGATTCCGCCGCGCGTGAGCACTGTTCTCGTCGTAGAAAGTGGACAGAGCGTTTAGCGACGCCACCAGATCCGGACTGTCCGTGCGGCATTCCAATACCTTCTTCAGCTTCCGAGAGAGTCCCGGTGCTAACCCCACCGTCGACGCCATTGTCACTCTCCCTCGTTCAGATTTCTTCTACAAACGTTCTTTAAGCATTTGCTAACTTTCTCTTCTTCTCCGATCTCTGATGATTTTCCTCTTGCAGAACGGTCGGCTCTGATTTGCTTCTGTGATGGGCCTAAAACTCGGTTAGTTGAGCCAATAGATATTTTAGTTTATGGGCCTTTTAAAGGACCTCATAAAAGGCCACGAATATTCATACGATTCTGCTACTCTCATGCAATACTAAAATTAATTGGCTTTTTTTTTTGTCAACACCAAAATCAAATGGTTTTTAAGTTGGAAATTTATTGAATTTGATCATACGCCAACCTTAACCAAAATCAATCTGACAAAAAATGGTTCCATTTTACCAGTCTAATCCAAAAAAAAAAAAATATATCCACTCCAAACACGAAAATTGTTATAGTAAGAAGAGAGAACAAGAGAAGAGAGAATTGGTTGTATCTTATTCATGAATAATGAGTCCTTTATATAGGATACAAGAGAAGGGTTTTCCTTGGAGAGGAATACAACTTGGAGAACAAGCTAGAACATTCTAGAATATGGGCCGATAATGGGCTTCCATATAAACTAATCATAACACTCCCCCTTGGAAGTCCATTATCTAAAAATATCTTCTAAGTGCGCATGATGCTGCCTCGTTAAAACCTTACCAGGAAAACCCAAAGGGAAAAACCTTAGTTAAGGAAAAAGAGTACAGCGCGCAACTACTCCCCCTCATGAGAACATCCGTGTAGATTAGGTGAATGAACTTCTTGATAATAGCAGATGGAAACTCCTTTAAAATCTTCACTTGAACAGTCTTTAGAACATTGACATCGCCATTCTTCTTGGGTGCATGGATCAAGATGATTCATCTTGATCAATCTCCTTGCTTCACTTGATCTCTAAATAGATGACAAGACTTCTTTAGATGTTTCTCATTTGTGTGTTCTTTGTTGCCTCATTAAAACCTTTCATGGAAAAACCCAATGGGATAAAAACCATGATAAGGAAAAAGAGTACAACCACACATATCATCATATTCTCCCCTTGGAAGCATCTTCTTCAGGAGATGCATTCCAATACTATCTTTTGGAGATTACTATAAGTATAACTTTGATGAAAGTCATTTAGACTTTTAGTCTATGACATCTTTTTCTATAAACAATCATTTGGACTTCTGGCCAAATTTTCTCTTTTATATACATTCTTGTAATCTATCTTGTATATATAATCTCATTATTTTGCTCATTTTCAATTATGAAAGAGACTAACATATTTTTCAAATAGCATTTGAAGTATGGTACTTCAGGACCAAATATATGTGAGCATTGTTTATGTAAATCATGCCATAACATTTCTGGGAATTTGGGATATCTTAAGACAACTTTGTCTTTCCAAGATCTTTTATCCCATCTCTTGTGATACTAATTTCGAAAATGCTTCAGGAATTTCGATGTTTAGTTTCATGATCTCTATAATACCTTTTGTTAAATATACATGGGTATTGTACTTATATATCACTTTGTATATCCATGAAATATATTTCTATTCATTTGATTGAATAGCTAATGTTCTCCGGGAACATAACGATTATATCATTAATTCTTCAATGATTATATCCTTCAGGGACTTTTATATAAATGTCATTGTTTAGTGAGTT